TATATTTTTTAATAATATTAATATAATTAAATTTAAATAAAGATTATTAAGCTTATAAATTTTTATTTTAAAGGTAATTTAAAAAATTAAAATTATTTTAGCTTTTTTAAAGGAAATTTAATCTTTTTAAATTAAGTAAATTTTAATTAAAATTATTTTATATAAATAAATACTTATTTTACTTAAAATACTTAAATTCTTAATTAATAATTTTTAATAAAATATACTTAAAGTTTAATTAAAGAATATTTCTTATTAACTTATAAGTAATTTCTTTTTTTATTAGCTATTTTTTTAAATATAATAAAAGTACTTTATAAAAAATTAAGTTATAATAAAAAAAAGATTATTTATATTATTAAGTTTTTAATTATATTTTATAATCTTTCTTTTTTATACTTTTAAGTTATTATAAAGATTATTATAAATAATATTTTTAATAATTATAATTAAGTTTATATAATAAGTTTAATTATTAAATTTATAAAAGGTAAGAAGCTTTTTCTTTTAGTTTTTTTAAATAAATTATTTAATAATAATGCTTTTAATTACTTTTATTAAGTTTAAAGTAATATAATATTGCTTAAATAATTTTAAGATTTAATTATTTAAATAAGTAAATTAATAAATAATAATTTTAAAATTATTTAAAATCTTAATAATATTAATTTTATTAAACTTTAAAGTATTTAAATTATAAATTATAAATAAAGCTATTTATAATAAAATTATTATATTAATAAAAAATAAAACTTTTAAAATATTAATTTAAATTCCTAACTTATTATTAATAATAAATTATAAGGTTTAATTAAAGCAAAGCTAATGTTTTAATTAATAATAAGTAAGATTAAATCTTCCTTTTCTTTTAATAAGTTTCTTAAAATTTTTTTCTTAACTTTAAATAAAAGAAAATAAATAATTTTTAAAATTTTAAAGTACTTTTAAAATAAAAATAGGTTTAAAAAAACTTTAAGCTTAAAAATATAATATATATATTATAATAATTTTTATTAAAATAATAATAAAATAAAGAAACTTAAAAATAATAATATCTTTAATTAAAGTAATTACTTTTAAGGAATTTATTTTTAATATTATTATAAAATATTTAAATTAAAATTTAAAAAATAAAAGTATTAATAAATATAATAAATAAAATAAACTTAATAAAAGGATATTTTATTAAAAAATAAAAATTATAAAGCTATAATAAAGAAAGCTTTTTAAATATATATTTAATGCCTTGCTTATTAATATTATATTAAATTTTTAATAAACTAAATTTAAGTTTAATTAAAGCTTAAATAAAGTTATATTTTAAGTTTAAATCTTTTATTTAATTTAATTAATATAAAAATATATAATATAATGCTATTTATTAAATTTATAAATAAATAAAATAAGTATTTTAATTTTATATTATAGCTCTTTTTACTTTAAACTTAAGGTTATAATAATAATAATAAATATTAATTAAAAGTTTAAAGCATTTTTAATTAATATTAAGTAATATTTATAAAATTTAAATTTATTATTTTAATTTTAAATTTATATTATAATTATATTTTAAGCATAATCTTTAATAAAAAACTTAAAATAAATTTAAAGCTTAATAGTATATTAATATATAATTAAAATAATATTTTATTTAAATATTAAAAGCATAAAAGGTATCTTAAAATTAAAAAATAGTCTTAAGGTACTTATAATATTATTATAAGTTTAATTATACTTAACTCTTCTTTATAATAAGTTAAAAATAAACGTAAGCTTTAATTAAAGCTTTAAGCTAATATATAAAATAATTTAGCAATATTTAATATAAAAATAAAAAAAAATAAAATTAATAAATAATTAGCTTATAATTAACTTTTTATTCTTTTTATTATTAATTAAAGATATATAAAATTAAAATTATGCTTAAGCTAAATCATTAATAAAAACAAGCTACTTAAATAATAAGGAATAAGTTTTGTTAAATTCTCTTAAGAATAATTTAAAGAAAAGCTTTAATATAATAAAAAGGAAAATAAAAATAAAAGGGAATTAAAAAAAGGAAAAAGATAAATATTTTAAAAATTTTTAAAAATAAGAAAAGCTTAATTAAAGCATTAAATATATAAAAAAAGAAAAAGTTAATTTCTTAAAAGAATATTTAGAATAAGCATAAAAGCTAGCTTTTTATAGCTAGCCGGAATTTAATATAGTATCATTTCTTATGTAATTCCCTGCACCCGCTAACACTATTTAAAGAGTTAGTTAAAGGCTTTTAATTGCTTTAGCCCTATTTTTTTTAGCATAAGGCTTTTAATTAAAGCTTTAAAATATTACTTAAGTATATTTTTAATTAAAATTTAAGCTTAAATAACCTATTTTATATTATTTATTTCCTAAGATTTAAGATAAATACTTTCTTAAGATTATTATATAAATTATTAAATTATTATATAATATTACTAAATTTTATATATATTAATAAGCAATTTATTATAAGTTTTATTATAATAATTTAGGTATAGTTATCTTAACATATAACTTATATTTCTTAATTATAAATTGGGGAAAGGATGTTTTTATTATTACTGCTATATAAATTAATAATATATTATTCCTTAATACTTTAGTATTTTTAAAGCTAAAAAAATAAAAGATTAAGGAGGTAAATATTTAATGCAAGTTAAAAAAAATATTTACCCTTAATAAGTTACTTATCTTTAATAATATAATTATAAGCATTTTTAATAATAGCATTTTATATTTTTATTAAAAGGGCTAAGGTAAGAAGATTATGCTTATTAATAGTAAAGTTAATAATTATATTTAATAATATATAAAGCAATATATATAAAGAGTATACTTTATTTTTATTTATTAATTTAAAGTAGCGTTTAACTTATTAGTAGTAGCTTAAATTTAAGAGCCTTTTTATAAGAATTATAATAAGCTAAATCGCTAGCTATAATGACAAGCTAATAACTTAAAACGTAAACTTTAATATATGCTTTTAAATTTATTTTAAGCTAAATTAATGATTTTTATTAATAGCTTATTTATTAATAATAAGAACCTTAGTTAATAAATTAGCTTTATTATTATACTTATAAATAAAATATAAACTTAATAAGCTTTTAAATAAAATATTAAAAGTAATATTATTTATTAATTTTTAATTAAGTGCTAAAAAGTAACTTAAAGCATTTTAGCTTTAGAAATTTATAATATAATTAATAGCTTTAATATAGCTATAATGCTAACAGCTATTTTATATTAAATTATTATATATTTAAGCATTATAATAATTCCTTTTATAATATATATTAATTTATACTCTTTATATAAATACTTAATTAAGTTTAGCATAATAAAAGAAAAGCGCTTTATAATTAATATTATAGCTTTTTAATAGTTATATAAAAAGTATAAGATTTTTAAAATTTATTAAATCGCTAAAAATTACAACTTAATTAATGCCTTTATAAAAAGTATTCTTAATAATACTTTTTAATGCTTTATAAATATAAATAATATTATAATTAAAGTATAAAGTTATATAAATTATAATTAAAAAGATAAGGTAATTATTTAAATATAATAAAAAGTTAGGAAAATTATAATATATTAAGGCTTAAACTTAAATTATTAAAGCATAATTTAATAACTTATTAATAAATTACGTTAATATAACCTTAAATATTATTATTATATTATATATTATAAAGTTATTATATTAATATTAATATAATTAACTTAAGTATATATATTACGTAATTATAAAGATAAAAAGATTATTAAAGGTTTTTAATAAAGGATAATAAAATAACCTTTTTAATTAAAGATAATATATAATAAAAGTATAAAAATTTAGTTTATATTTATTAATTACTTATAAATTACTTTATAATGTAATATAATTAATTAACTTTAAATTATATCCCTTTTAAGAGCAAATCTTATATTTAAGATTTTTATAATAATACTTATATATTAAAGGTTTAAATAATAAGGGTTATTACTATTTTATAAATACTTAAGTTATTAACTTATATTTAATAAGCGTTCTTAATTAAATTTTATAATTTAATATTTATATATTAAAATTAAAAGTATTATTATTTATTAACTTAATTAATAATCTTTATTTTATACTTTACTTTCCCTTTATTTAAATACTTTATTTATTAATCTTTATAACTTATTAATTTTATTTATTTAACTTTTATTTTAATAACCTATTCTTTAATTATATTCCTTAATTTCTTTATTTAATAAGCAATATTAAGTATAGCAAAGCTTAAGCTAAGTTAAATTAAAAAAATTTAATTATTTAAAGATTAAATAATTATATTAATAATTTAAGGATTTAATTTAATTCTTATTTAACTTAAGCGTTATAAGTAATAAAAGTATAAATTTATAAAATATATTATAAATAAAATATTTATATAATAATTATAACTTTTTAAGCTTTTTAACTTTATATAATTAGGATATTTTAATATATATATATACTTAATTAACTTATTTTTATTAATTATATATTTTAATAAATTAACTAACCTTTAACTTCTTAATAACAACCTAAGCCTTTTTATATGCTTGCCTTTTATAATAATATAATATAATAAAATAATAATATATTTATAATTTAACTTATATATATAATTAATTAATTACCTTTTAATTTTAAGTTTAATTTAACTTAATACCTTTCTTTCTTTTATACTTTTTAAAAGTAGTATGCATTTATAAAATAGAGATTATTAATATAGGAATAATGGGTATTATTTATATAAAGGATTATTTAAGATTAAGCAGCTTTAACTCATTAAGATGCTTAGCAGGCAGCAGCCTTAGCGCTATATATAAAATAGCTAGCACAGTTAGGCCTTCTGCCTTCCTCCCTTCCATAGTTAACAACGATCAACCACTACACCAACCAAACGTCGTATTGCAATACGTGACCCAGCCAACAGGATGAGTCTGGTTACGAAGATGTTATGAAATATGTGCCTGGGGGCTACCATCCCGTCGACATTGGTGACAAGATCGCCCAGTACACCGTGCTTCACAAACTGGGGTCCGGCGGCTTCGCAACCGTGTGGCTGGTTCAGTCCAGCGACGACAGCCGGTACTACGCCCTGAAGAGTCTCTGCGCTGATGTCTTGGAAGCGAAGGCCAATGAGCCAGAAGTCATGGAGCATCTCGGCCCACATGACCATCCAAACGTTGCCAAGTTACTTCGTTCCTTCGAGGTCACCGGCCCTAACGGCGTGCACACGTGTCTTGTTCGTCCAGTTTACGGTCCCAGTCTCTACCAATGGTCCATTAGAGGGTCTCTGTTCTACTGATGATTGTTTTGTCAGAGAAACCATGCTGAAACTCACACTAGGGCCTTCACCCTGGGCGCAAGACATCGGATTTCTCAGCAAGTTTCCAACGGTGTTGCGTTTCTGCATGAACGTGGAGTTGTCCACGCACGTTCGTGTCGAGTCCCGCCCATACATGCCTTGAGCTGTCGCCAACGAGCAGATCGCAGATCTTACCACTTCCGATGTTGTCTTCAATCTTCCAAGCATCCAATTGATGTCGCCAGATGAAGTGTGCCAGTTGCTGGGGCCCATCGAGAGAGAGAAGCTGAAACTGCGCGACAGCTCCAAATCTCCTCATGGCCCAAAGAGAATTGTCAACAATCCCGACTTCTCAGGTTTCAACATTGGCATGTCATCTGCTGCAGTCATGATTATCGACTTCGGGGAGGCGTTCGCGTTGGGTCGCCCTCGCCATCGCACTCGGCTCGGCATCCCGATAACTTCTTTTCCGCCCGAGGTCTGCTTTGACCATCCTCCCTCAGCCGGCAGCGACTTGTGGGAATTGGCCTGTCTGCTGTTCGAGATACTCTGTGGCAGACCTTGCTTCCGCTGTACTTTCCCATCTTCGAGATGCTCATCGGGCTTATAGTCCATCACGTGGGCTTGTTACCACGCAGCTGGCAAGGTCACTTTGACGCGGAAAAATATGGTGACAGACAGGGCAGGACGTTGCAGAGCACACCCGATGGCGCTTGGTATTGGTTCGAAGCAAAACCCGGAGAGGAATGGGGTAGCCTCGGGGGAGAAATCGCCAAGGCGGCCTCGGGGGTGGAGCTGTCGACGGAGCAGCAGGGGTTCATTGTCTCCTTACTACAAGATATGCTGGCTTGTGAGACAGAAAACCGACTGACAGCTCGTGATACGTCACGTCGTATAGAGTCTGCTGCGTCGCTGTTTGGTGGAGAAGTGGTTGAGCACCTCCTCCTGGTTGAGGATATCCCGGACGCACCATCACCGCCGCCACCTCCAGAGGACAGTGACGCCAAGTGACGAGACAGACTCACGCACAAGAATGAGCGGAGAAGCAAGGTTGGGCATCTCAAGACTCGATCATATCTCATTTATGGTCGCGTGAGGACCTAATGCCAATTCGCGAGGTCCTTGAAGTCCTGTCCCTCGAGCTATGTTCGCTCACCTTGCTATGCACAAAACTACAAGCGACGTCATCTGACTACTTGTAAAGTCAACGATTAAAATTTCTTGGATTGAAAATGCCAATGGTGTGGATATGATAAAAGACTTCGTACATCAAAGTCGGGCTGCTTCCATATTCACAGCCTCAGTTCCTTCCGCCCGTGACCATTTCGAAGCTACGTCCCTCCACATATCGTAGGTCAAAAGCCATCGACCAACCCCATGATACCGCCAAGGGAAAGGGTCATCCCCTGTCTCCTTTGCTGTAGGCAGAATGGGATTCTTCTCACTCAGCCACTGCTTGTCCAACTCCCCGAACAGTTTGAACTTGGAGTCACGATCCCGTTGCTCGACGCCGTCTTCCAAATGGTAGATCCACTGGTTGTAGGTGCCCCTCCTTACCACTTCCTCAGTCCTCTCTCGTCTACACGCCTCATACACCTCCAGTGCGTTCCTCTTCTCTGCTGATGATTTGCCTTTCAGACGGCCAAGGCAGAGTCCAAGAACACCGGCATCCTCAAGAGCCATCCCTGCACCACTGGCCAAGTATGGGAGCGTAGCGTGCACTGCATCGCCGAGCATGGTGAACGTTCCCGAAGGATGAGACCACGTCGGCTCCAGCCCAGGGCGGATCATCAGGCGCCATTTCAACACCGAGTTGCACATTGACAGTAACTTCGGGATTCGCGGGTCCCAGTCAGCAAAGTGGGCTCGCATCTCTTCGATGTTCCCTTCTAATGTGTTCGCGCCAGCTGGCATATCGTCCGGTACCAGTAGTACCATGTTGAAGAGGAGGGTCGGGTCGTTGCTGTAGTCCAGACCTGAGGCTGCCTTGCCCCTGAGGACGTAGTTGACTGCGTGTTTTCCCGGTCCGACCCAGTAGTTGACCTGCGGCTCCTCGACGAACTCGCGGAGGTCTGGGTCTTTCCGCATCTCCTCGGTGTTCAGCATGAGACGGTATGCCAGATCACCTGTCGGGATGGGAGGATCCTCTCTTCCCAAGAATACCTCCCGCAGATTCGAGTTGATGCCATCTGCACCAACAACAAGATCCGCCTTAAATGTCCTCCCATCCGCACAGATGACCGTCGACGTTGATTGATGAGTATTCACGGTAAGATCAGTCGCTCTGGCGTTCGTGACAAGCTTTGCTCCCAGCCCCACTGCCCTTTGGAGAAGGCATCTGTGAAGATTCGTCCGGTAAAAATCCCAGAACGGGGCACCCGTGGCTGAAGCGTATGCGACATAGTCCATGTCCGACAGGCGATTGCCCCTCCACCCGATGAAGTTACACTGCGTGGGCTTCGTGGCGTATTGTTCTAGAGCGTCTTTCAGGCCCCATGAGAACAGGACCCGTGCAGAATTGGGGAGGACCTGTATCCCCGCCCCGACCTCGCCAATCTCGGAAGCCGCTTCGAGAACTGTCACGTCATGTCCTGCCAGGAGGGTAGCGATGGCAGCCCCTAAACCACCCAGGCCTCCACCAACGATGATTACCTTGAGATGATTAGTTTGCAGTCTCTGAATCTGACACACGGAGCTTTTACGTGGAGTTTCGACTCTTCATCTCTGTGGATTTTCTCTTGGGTTGGAATGTTATCCCAAAACGCCATCGTAAACGAAGTGGAGGTCGAAGGAGCCTTGCGTTGCCGTATAGCAATGGCTTTGCTCCAGTGATTTGATGATTTCGGTCTCGGATGTGGTTTACGAATTCAAATGCACTTGGACGTAAGCAGGTTCAGGTGCTATCCCCGTCATCGAACAGGTCTTTTGGTTGGAATCAATCGAATTTTTACCTTGTCTGGTCCTCCTCATCGGAACCTCGGGTCGGCGTGTGCCACTGAGGCTACGTACCGGTGCAGACGCTGTTACCTAAGCCAAATACTGGCACTAATTGGAGTGAACCGAAGTATCTTCGTACAGGTCCCCGTGTCACGACTAACGCACCATGGCACAGCAGCTCAGGTGGGGGAGGTGCTTCCCGATATGAGTTGTCGTAAGCACTTGGGCAGCCGTGTCTGAGCTGGCGGCGACGCGGTAACACAGGCATTGTCTATCACGGCAAGAGTGGGCCGGGTTATCTTCTCGGGTTGTATCGAAATGATCGCCGCCGGCACACACGGATATGTCATGCATACGCCAATGGCCGGAGTTGGGGTAGGAACGCCCAAGGCGTATCCGGGGAAGGAGGGCTGGAGTGGGGTGCTGATAAGGGTGACACAGGTAAGAACGAGGCAGTAACGCGAGTGCAAGTGCCTTGGCACGAGCAATGATAAGTTCAACCTCCTCCCCCATCTACGACGCTGGCTGGTGAGAATTGCTCACTCGCCATCCCAGATTCCCGCCGAAATTGCGCTGCCCACTCTCGGCAGATTGACGCCATTGCGCGGACATGGATGGGTTTGACGGGCAAGCCGCACACGCGGCCGACGCAATCCCTGTTGCAGCAGAGCCGAGCACAGGGGCTGGTGGAGGTAGGACGACTGCCGCGAAGAAGCAAGGCGCAAAGAGATTCGAGTGCACGCACGCAGGATGTAACAAACGCTTCACGCGTCTGGAACATATGCAGAGACACGCTCTCAACCACTCTGGGGCAGGGGACTTCACCTGCTCTCGGTGTAGTGCTCACTTCAGGCGGCCAGATCTTTTAGGTGAGCCTTTGGACAACCCCCGGACGAGTACCTGGGCACCCACCTACGCCATTTCCATCGCTGACTATGGAGCAGAGAGACACATGAATCGTCACCGTCAGAGGGACGAGGAAGCTGGTGGACCCGGCTTTGGCACTCTCGACACGCGCAAACGCTCCTGGAAAGCTCCGGACGGATCGGTCGTCTCAAAACGACCCCGGCCTACCGAGCCAGACGGCCAAGACCCGCGGGCCGGCTCTGAGTTTGACGGGGCCATACAAGTTGTATCACCACCTGTATCCGATGAAGGACGGTACACCCAAAGCACGCACCCCTATAATATTGTCCCAGAGACAGAAGACGACTTCGGTCACTGTATCGACGTCCTCGAGGGCCCAACTGGTGTCCCAACAACATCTGTGTCCGCGTATTTCCCACAAGTTGGTTTGGGCTATAGCGACGAGCCAAACATCACAAACACGCGAACAGATCCGTCACTGAGCAATGGACAATTGGAATACCACCCCGTTTTCCAACCCGATACGGCCAGTTCTTTCAATATGCCATATACTACCGCATTGGATTACAACTGGCTGTTCAATTTAGAGGCAGCTACAGCGTCGGGTTTCGGACTCACCAGTGCCAGAGATAACTTCTCAGATCCAACACTGTTCAGTGATCCAGACCCTGGAGAGGCACAAAAGGCTGACATGGCCCCGTCTCAGCATATTCAAAACCCTACACCGGAGTCACTGAGCAGCGCCACTTGGAACAGCTGGCACGAGGACAAGTCTGATGGAAGCAACAGAGATCGGGCGAACTCATCTACAGAGATGCGGGTTTCTCCGGTCACTAGAGAAATACGCCCTACACAAGCCCAATCAAGGACAGCAAGGCAGCCCGCTGCGTTGAATGGACACATTCCACGAACAGATGCAGAGAGCCAGCCAAGGCAGCAACAAGGCATTGATAGAAGGGCCCCGAGCAGGAATGAGATCGACCCCCGCCTTCAACGACAGAAGCCAAAGAGCAGGGTTGCCCGCGAACGACCGTTGGCGATGCTGCAAGACCCCATGTCGACACCGAGGATCGACCAACAGGTCTTGGACAAACTTCTCGCCGTCATCGAGGCTGCTGACCCCAAAATACCGGACTCACCGGCCAGCTCTTCCGTGCGAGACCACCCCCTTCTATCTCTTGAGTCTGTCCAAACCTGGCTAGACTTATTCTTCACCCAATTCAACACCACCTACCCTTTGATACATATGCCTACTTTCAATGCTAGCACCACTGAGCCCTTACTACTGCTTTCAATTTTGTTACTCGGAGCCACCTACCTAGACAAGGCTGCTCACCAGCTCGCTGTTTGTATTCATGACGTTATCCGGCCGAGCATTTTCGCACACGCTGGCTTCTCCGCCCGACCAGAATTATGGACGCTACAAGCAATATTGCTGGTAGAGTGCTTCGGGAAGTCGAGAGCTGGGCAGAAACAGCACGATATGAGCCACCTGTTCCATGGCCTGTTGATCAACCTCATCCGCAGGTCGGACTGCCAGAGCATCACGAAGACTCCTGGGCCGCAAGATGGTGTTTCCCTGGCCGAGGCCTGGAAACTCTGGGCAGTTGCGGAACAGAAGAAGAGGCTTGCACTACTGTGCTTCATGTGGGACACACAACACGCAGTCTTGTTCTGCCAGAGTCTCTGCATGTCCGCGTTCGAATTGCGCTGCTCAATGCCGTGCGCCCAGGCTGTCTGGGAGGCCCCAGATGCAGAACTGTGGGCGAGAGCCTGGCCGAGCCCCACACGCCAGCCATCAACGCCGTCTTCGGACCCTGTCGCTCCTTCCATGTTCCTCCCAGCTCTAAAGTTCTACCTGACTGCACAACCTGGCCCTACAGGTGTGCCAAACCTCGACGCGCTCGGCCAGGTCTTAGTCCTCCACGGTCTCATGTCCATCGCATGGGACATGCAAAGGCGTGACCAGACCTCCCTAGGGGTCGTGTCCACCACCGGTCCAGCATCTTGGAAGGACCTTTTGAGCAAGGCCTACGACCGCTGGAAAACAGACTTCGACGCGTACTGCCGCGACGCAGCGCTGGCCTCGACCGAGCCAGGCGACACCTCGTCTTCGGAGTGGTCAGCTTTCTCCGCGGCATACAGGGCAGTCTACCACGCGGCCCAGGCTCTGCTTCACATGGACTTCCTGGACGTGCAGATTTACGCGGGTGCGCGCCACATCCTGGGGAGGCCTGTGCAGCAGCAGGACTATGTCCGCTCGTCACGGGTGGTCAAGCGCTGGGCGTCAAACAGCAGGGAGCGTGCCGCGACTGCGGCGTGGCATGGGGCTGGGATGCTCCGTGACCTCATGACAGGCGAGGGCAACTCTGATTCCGGCGGTTCTAGCAAGACTGTAATGGAGTCCCCTCACTTGGCGAGTCTATTTCATGTCCCATGGTGTCTTTATCTGGCGACGTTGAGCTGCTGGGCTTTTCATCATGCGAAGTCCACCCGTCGAGGTCGGTTGGAGGATGAGAGCCACCTTGATGATGATGATGATAGTGACGGAAGCGACGAAATTGTGTGGGATTCCAAGAAGGAGATGGATGACCTGGTCGCATGGCAGGCCCAATGAGAGACCTTGTGGCTAGCCAGGGGCGAAGACGGACGAACGGTCTGGTATGGGTCGTTGCTGACGTGCTGTCCAAAGTCCGATGGGGCATCGTACACGCCGGAGTTGTTGTTCTGCGAGGCCTTGTTCCGATGCGATTGATCAATCAGTATGAAGTCATGTAAATATGGTATCAATAAGCATCAAGATTCATCATGTTGGCGCGACTGCCAAGACTACATTTGTACTTTTATGGATCCACAAAATGCCTTTCCTGGCCCTGCATTTATCCCCTGCACAATGTCCTGTCACCCAACGTCTACCATCATGTCCCTTTCCACGTGACCTGCAGAAGCTGTCATCTTTCTACTTTTGCAGATCCCAGCGTTGTTTACGAATGACTTCGTCCCCCTCCATCGCCAGACATCCTCACCGGCGTTCATCCCGAGAATGTCCGCCATCAGCAGGAAAAACGCCTGCGATCTGCTCTCTCATCTTGTGGTGCAGCTGTCTAACCCGCCCAGCGGATATGAAAGACACAAAGGACTATATGAGGCTGGCCCGACCCCCCGTCGCCAAGGGCGCGATGTTGCTGCCATCAGGAACCTGCTCTTCACAAGCATGCGCACCGAGGTCTTTGAGATATTCTCCTCGCCGAATTTGAAGCCGAAGGGGGAAACGTGAGGCCCGACCACGGAACCCCCTCCTTTTCCTCCTCCGCGACAAGCATGATGAGCAGAGTGCAGTGACCTGACATTGCATGAGAAACCCAGTATCAAGTCAAAGGCGGGCGACATTTCCAAGCCGGAGAGAGGCGTGTACCTCCACATGATCGTGGGCAGGGACAACACAGTCCGACAACCTGTCCTTCCGCTACCACCGGGACAACCCGTCCTTCCACAACTACGCCATGCAGAACAGCCGCTAGGACCACTTCATCGTCCTCGCGGTGCTGCCGCCGGGCCCCACCGCTGCAGGTTTCAGCCCCAAGGAGCAGGCGCTCCTGTTGAATATGCTCGAGATGTGGTGTGCGCTGCTATTATCCACGCTGCAACCCAGCACGATGGCGCAGTGGCATGAGTATGGGGCCCGTGCCGGTGCTGGCAGGCCGTGGGTTGGTTTGAACCTTGGGTGTCCGCTTGATCATGGTGGACCGGTCAAGTATGTCAATTGGAGGCATGCCCTGAGCGAGAGTGAGGACCCACTGGCCACTACCTACGTGGTAGATGTTTTGGATGGGAGGCGTGAGTTGACACCGAATCGTGGTTTGGCATATGGTTTGATGGTGGGTATCTTTGTGGCTGTTTGCATAGTATCGTTAGCAGGGCCTCAAGGTCACCCCGGGAGGAGGTGAAGCGTCCTATAACCAGATGGTTGATATTACCTGGACTGTTGAGTTCTATTCTTCCTTCTGTGTAAATTAGTGTATTTCAGAGTAGTGTTCAAAGTGTCAAGGTGCACCCCCACACACAAGCTGACCTGTGCCAAGGAAAGTGTAGCACGCAAGGGAGAGAAGGCTCGGCTTTGTTAGCTAGAGGGTGCATTGCTACACAAACATCGCCTGAGATGCCACGTTCTCATGGAACAATGCTTATGAAAAAAGCGATTGGGAGAAGCATCTCACACATCGAATGCGGCAGATGCAGACCAGTTGCACTCACCTCGGTTGGTTGAGCGGAACAAGCAACGCCACACCGCGTAATGTCGTCTTTGTCCACACATCGCCGGAATGAGACACCCTATATACGACCCGGATCCCACTGATTTTGTACACGCTGGAATCCCAAATCTCAATCACGGACCTCAGGTCTCTATCTATTGAAATGGCTTCTATCCTAAACTACTGTATAGATTCACTTGATGATTTCATATGCCTTGCGAACGATTCCCCGTTCCTAGCCACACTATCAGTGTTCTTGATCGCAAGCTTAGCTTTTTCAAATTTCTGGGCTGGTTGGATTGCACGTCTTCAGCAGTCCGAGTCACTGAATCTGACTAGCATCTACGACGCAAGCCAAGGGACCGATAGCGTGAACAGGCCGCCGACGAGTTCCTCGATCATCCAGCCACCTCGTCGGAATCTAGGAAATGGCAACACACGGCCAACTCGAGGACGCGCTCCGTTCTCATCTTCTGCTGGCGCGATTCCGAACCGACCATACGATGAGCCACACGGGCCGATAGGATTCCCGATTCCATCTGCCGAGCTTTCAAATCTTCTCAATCCGAGGGAACCAGTCGTGGTCGGTCCACCGCTTGAAGGCCGCAGTGGCGTTTCCTTTTATCCCTCCACTAGCCCCAGTTACAGAGGCAAGTCGCTCCCGCCGCATTCTGGACTATCCTTGGCACGTAGATACGGCAATGTGTAGTAGACTAACCCCAATTCCAATTCAGGCACGATCAGTTCCATCTCAGATGGCTCTGAGCCACGACGTGATGAAGTCCTGCCAATTCGCCAGCATGGTGCGTTGCTGCCCACCACTGTGTACTCATCGCCTTCTCAGCGGGGCACTAATACGCACCTTTTACCACAGAACTCTATACATACCACGCGAACCAATACGATTACTCGGGCGGAGGCTCTCCGTCCGAGCGGAGTCAAGACGCAGTGGACGCGCAACTTGTGAAGGATCAAGCCAGGGTCTACTGGGATCAGATCAGGGCTGAAGAGGCCCAGGTCAGAGCCGACACGCATCGCATGAGCGAGAGGCTCAGGGTCGATATTCAGCGCGTAGATGCCCATTATAGGGCCCAGATCCGGCGAGCAGAAAGGGAGATGCAGGAGATGGATGAGGATATGCGAGATATAGGCTGGCGCATGAGTGATACTGTCTTCGGCATATAGCGTGCAATACCCCACAACAGACTGGTGGTGGTGTCTGAGCGTCTTGTGAGGAATGGCGTTGTGGTGAAAGCCAGTGGCAATGTTGAGGGCGTCTTGAGGATGACTGTATTTGATATTGGCTTCAACTGTATGGTTCGTACTTTGGATTCGCGAACTTGACTGGATTTGATGGTGGAATCATTTTTGCCATGTGAGCCCGATGTATGTTTTCGTCAAGGAAGGTGGAACAAGAATCATGCATGAAATATTGGAAGTGAATTGACTCATGTATTGGTTGACTGTCATCTGTTGCTATCTTACAGCATAGTTAAAACCGTGACAAAACGTCCACGAGACCCTCGAAACCTTATTCATTGTCGTATTTGTATTTCCGATCACCTATCTGGTGCGGAATACGATGTGATACCGGCGGCACTGGCTCCCAGAATGGTCTCAATGTGACAAATATTGTGTGCGTCATTCCCCGCTGGCAAAAGTCTGAGCAAGGTCACATGGTTGTGGTATTGCCACGGTACAGTTCACAGCCCCATAGACACACAGAAAATTCACTTGTATTGCGAGTTACAGAGTAGAGATATCCTTCCTTATGCTACACCATTACGAACCTGCACCCATTGGCTTTCTCAAAGGTCATTCGGCACCTTGGAGGTCTTGGCCGCGGGCTCGCGCCGGCCAGCAACGCCCTGGCCTTCCCTCTCAGGCTTAGGGTCGAGCGGCTTGTCGAGGCCCAGGCGGTGCGCGGTGGTGTACGTGGCGATGCCGCCATCAGGTCGGCCTCGGTGACGAGCTCCTTCCTGCGGGTGTCGACCAGGAGACGGATGAGGTCGGGCCGCATGTAGTGGCCGGCAAAGTCGGCCAGGACCTTGGTCAGGTGCGTCTCGTTCAGGTCGATATCCACGAACAGCAGGCCGTCGAAGTCCTTGTCGGGCTTGACGACCAAGCTGCCGTCGGGGCGGTAGATACGGGCGTGGCCGTTGTATGTGGAGGGGTCGGTCTCAGGCTCGACGCCCTCGGGGGTGGTCTTCTTCAGGCCCTCGACGCTGAGGCGCTGGAAGGGTGCGAGGGTCCAGGTGCCGGTCTCGTAGGCGTAGGCCGGCGTGACGAAGTCGGAGGCGGTATCGGCGTAGTTGGTCGCGGGGTCCGGGTGGACCTGGCGCTCGACGCCGGGGTAGACGGGCCAGGCGGCGATGTGGATCTGCTCCCCCTGGCTCAAGTTCAGGGCCTTGAGGAAGGGGTTCATGTTCTCCCAGCAGTTGAGCTGGCCCAGCCTGCCGAGCTCGGTCTCGGTGACGGACTGGAAGGTGTCGCCGGAGCCATCGCCGTAGACGAGCTTCTCGACGTGGGTGGGCTTGATCTTGCGGCGGTGGTTGATGATGTTGCCCTCTGGGTCGATGAGGGTCTGGGCGAGGTACAGGGTGGCGTGGTCGATCTCGGAGAAGCCAAGCGAGACGTAGATCTGGTTATCGCGGGCTGCGCGGCGGATGCGGCGCATCTCCTCCGAGTCGACGGGAAGGGAGTTCTCGCGGTACTTCTTCAGCATGGGAAGGGATTGGAGGTAGTTGACCTTCCACATCCAGTAAGGGTAGCCCGGGATCCCTGCCGATGTATCAGTAGCTGATATCAAGGTTGGGTGGTGCAAGTTGCAATGAGACGACATGGAGAGTCAGATGCTACTCACAGACTTCAGGGAAGGCAACCAGCTTGCAGCCGGCCTGTCCGGCTTCGTTGATGAAGTTGACAGTCTTCTGGACACAGGCCTCGAGATCGAACCACTGTGGCGTGTTAGTAACTGTGATACAGGCAGAATGTGGGTGTTCAATGATGACAGCTTACTCCTGGCTCCGAGGTAACAGCTGCGGCCTTGTACTTGGTGATGGGCATTTTGGAGAGGTCTGTCGTCTTCTCGGCTTGAAACCAATGGATTGTTTGGTGTGGGTGAAGCTGATTCTGGAGTAACTGTAGATCGATGATGCTTCTTCAAAATAACGGTATGGTTTTCATCAGGATCTCATCTTTATATATCTGCTCGTCCGGCGTCTCGCAGATATTGTGGGGGTTCGCAAACGTCATGGTCTCACGAGTTGAACTCCGCGTTGTTTGGGTCACCACCTGGGCTGCACACACCGGGCTCTGGTACTGAAGAATCCCGAACACAATTCTGCGCCGTGAAATCAGGGGCGCAATCGAAACGCGGCGTCTATGCATCACAAATCTTTTCGGGACTCAATCATCCGCCGTCAGGCCATTCTGCTGGGTAATGTGCTCACTCAAAGAAAATCAATGGAGTCGGACTTGTGGCCTACAGCGATTTTCCACACCTGCAGCTGTACGCCACACACCCACTCTGTTCTAGCCATTGGGGTCCAATTCCCACAACAATTGAGGATGGTTTGACAACATACTAAAATGGCCGATCGATCCTGAAGCTGCGGCTAGTATTTGACGTTTCTCAAGCCATGCCTCCCTCTGTGCTTGTGCCCCCAAACTTCGTCCGCCCGGGCTCTCAGTGGCATCTCCGCAACACGCCACGAATGGATCAAAAAATTGATTCCACATTTGTACCGAATTCCCGGACCGGCCGATGCTAACAATCATGCCATGAAGACGTTCTCGGACCGGTGCTGGCTCGGCAAGTTCGGCCCCACGCCCGGTCTTTGTGTTCAAAGCCCGGCCGCACGAGCCCGATCAAATGCCGTCTGTGCCCACATATTTACGTGTCGCCAGGGATAGCCGCCAGAATCGCCTTCTCGGACTCGAATGACTGGTGCCCAGAGATAGAGATTGTTTTTTGTCACGGTCAACCAACCGGCACGAGGAGTTACCCGCTGGGGCTGTCGGCGTGCCGACTGGGGTGCATGCAGATGTGCTCGCGCTCTGAAATGCATGTAAGACGAGAGAGGGTGGGCAACCGAGTGGCAAGCAAACTCGATCCCCACCGTGGCAAAAGTATGTGGGTTAGCTTTCAGGAAAGACTGGTACACCATGCTGACACCTTCCAGCCAAGTCATAGTATCACTGGCCCAGGCCCCCTCACTTTCCGTGGCTCTGATAAACTCGGCGCGATCAAGACCGTAGTGGATCAGCGAGACGCGTAGTGCGTTTCCTCACTCCATTATCCGTTCCCATGGTGCTTACCCAGCCATTGGCACTGTGAGGGGTGGCTAGATTGAGTAGGGAAGTACGCCCTTTAGTTAAAGGACCATCTGAGGAACACAGAAAGAAAGCGTCCGAGCTGGCGGATTCAGCAGTGGAAAAGGGAACAGAATACGGCCACTCATCACGATAGGTACCCCACAACATCATGCCTCTCATTTCACATTCTCTATACGTCTCCAACATTCGCGGTACGGCGGAGGCACCAAGCCGTATTGTCTGACCGGTTCTCAGTAGGCAACGGATGAGTTGCGCAGATACTGATGGTGTGGTCAGTCACAGGCGCACGATTGGTGCTAGTGCTATGAGGATGCATCTTGGGGTCAATAAACATTCCAGATTGGCTTGGATAAGCACGCTACAAAGCGGGCAACCTGCGGGTGAGGAATCATTGTGTGTGCTTCGGAGGAGGGGGCCCTTTGCTGATGCCGGTTTATGGTGAACCAAGATGCTTTCCACCAAATCTGCACAGTTTGTGCACTGTCCTTTTTGAAGCTCCAACAAGGCAATCACTGATGACAGATGACTTTGAAACCAAAGGTTCTAGTTTGACAGGTACGTAAGCAATCACTTCACATGCCCGTCAAGAATATGAACGCTGTGGTAACATCATGTTTTCTTCGCTACGATTTTCTCTTCGTTTCCTCTTCATCCACTCTCAAGTGTACCCTGGCAGTTTCTGTGATATTGCTCCGATTCGTAGTGCGTAAATCCAAGCATAGCGTTGCTGGTCGCGTCGTTTTACATGGCGAGTATCGGTCGCTCGATTGTGACCACAACAGGCGTTGTGGAATCCTTCTGATTTGGGAATGCCGAATCTCGTCGCTTAACCATCCCTTTTTTGCGTTTAGCCACCGTTTCCAAATTAGCATCCCGCCACTTTTTCGGCGCCGTCTTGTTGGGTCTTTTCCCTTCGACAACATACGCGAATAGCCCACCCTCAGCAAGCATGAACTTCTGCAACACGGTTCCGCCGCGAACTGCTAGGCCTATGAGATTGCTCTGAATGAGTAAGGAATGCGTCACCCGAACAATGCAGTCGCTGTCATCCATTCCAAAAATCTCGTCGTGCAGGCTCGCCGCGCGCTTTTGCACCGCGTCGTCCTCCTCCAAGTCCTTGGCATTTGTACCAGCCTTTGGTGGCTTTTTGGAACGAGAAATATACTCCTCAATCAGAATATCGGCACAATTTCCTGTCTCTTTTTCCCGGAGATTATTCAGTATGTAGCTGTCCTCGGGTGGCGTAATCATTATTTTCCGAGAGTCCTTAGGAACGTGCCCAGGAGCATGCTCGGGAACGTGCCCAAGAGCGTACTCGGCCGTCTGCATGGCCCGAAGCAGAGGGCTGACGTAGGCCCTCTTCGGCATCGGAAACATATGCTTCTCGAGCTGGCGGAACTTCGCGTTTGCATCTTGTGCTTGCTGCACACCCTTCGCAGTGAGCGGGGGGTCGATGATGCAGTAATCCTGGCCCTCATATTTAATGATGGGCTGCCTTTTATGCTCGGGTTTCTAGGCTGAGTAAGCTCTTGTGCTGATGCGTGAGTATGTAGGATTTCTCTTTACCTTGGCCCACAGATCTTTACCGATCTTTTTGAACACGTTTTTCCAAACATTGTGATCTGCCTCTCCGTGCCGCAGATCATACACGAGCTTGCGGCACCGATGAGTGTTAGACGCGTTAAACTCCTGGATGGAATTGTAGATGAGGTGTCCCCAATAGGGAAATTTCGGCGTGTGCAAACTCCTGATTGTCGCTTTCTGTGCTTCGCTGGTCGCTCGGTCAAGTAGCGCACGGCGGGTGTGCAGCCAGGCCGGATTTAAACCAAGGGGCTCTGGATTCACCAGAGTTCTCTCGCCTTCGTCTCTCTTCTTTTCCCCAGAAGCGTTGAGAGTTTCGGTGACAGGGTACTGAATCGAAAACAAGTTATAAGGCTCGTTCTTGTGCTTGCTCCGCGGTCCTTTCAGTTGAACGCCGTGTACGACGTGTGTTTTGGTGGTTCCGGGCATTTTGACTGCGCCTCAAGCGACTAAAAAATATCGTTAGCTGGGAGGGATCTTAGAGCGGGGTGTAACAGAGTTGTTAGCTATCTGGTAAATACAATTTGGGACGCCTCTGGTTCTTTAAATCATTCATCTGTGCCGTTCCCATAGTCCAATGATGTGGCCTTCGTTCTTGAACTGAACAATCGTTGTCCACCACGATATAAATAGTCCGCGGCCGCAGGCTAGCGTGGTCTCTGTAGGTTGGCCGTGGGCTTTCGGGGTGGTGCAAATTGGCCGGGTTGACCAACAAACGTTGCAGGGCATCCTGTAGGGAAGCCAACGTTTGTTTCAGAGCATTTGATTGGATGCTAGTGGTTCCCAACGTGGGTCAAACGAACAGTTGCATTCTATCGTCAAGAGTACCTGACCCTTTGAATTGTTTCATTAGATCCTGAAATGCTAAGCGAGGAACGATTCCAAAGTGGCAAGACCGTTGCTTTTTTTGTCTTGGCCTTTTGCCGCTGCAGCCGCAGCTTTGAGCTGTTTTGCGTCCATCGTATCATTCGGCCGGCCACAATAGAGCCCGCCAGAAATCTGGCAGAACCCAAACATGTCCCTGATAGTGATGTACTCCGTAGCCCCGTACGTGTCCATCGTCTTCCAGTCTTCAATCGGCACGAAGCGAGACTTCTTCCTAGTGACTGAGCTGGAGTAAGCATCGAAACAGGTACCTTTTGCAGCTGCTTGGGACTCTCACCTTTCTCGAAGGCACTCACAAGCTCCTCCGCCTTCGCATTGACACTGATTGCTTGGATAAACTTGCCATGGTACCATTCTGGGGCGAGTAGCACGCCGTGGACAAAGTCGCCGAAATCCTCGGTGATTGAGACAAATGGTATCTCGTCTGTGCCCCATCGCGGAAACCGCAGAGCTAGGTAGCCCTCGTCATCTTGGTTGAAGGGGAAACCTCCGCAAAATGGGGCCATCTCCTCCGGGAGGTGGTTCTCTAGATACCATCCTGGACTGACGATTGTGGCCGATTTGAAGTTGCTGTTGCTCTTTGCATATTCCGAGATGGCGTATTTATCTGGTAGGCGTCAGACGGGAAATGAGACTTAGAACTGCGCAAATCGTCTTACCATCAATGATTTCATTTGGCAGAGCACTTTTCGTGATGATGGAGGCAGAGGCAAGGCCGCTGTAGATAAGATGCTCGACTCCAGCCTCGGCCGCTGCGTCGATCAGGCTCTTTCCAAGTTCTTGCTCTGTTGGCGCTCCCTCTTCACTAAGAGCCTGGCACGGTCAATCAGTATGTCAAAGTACACACAGCAGTGCTTCGGGTTCAAACCACTGCGTCATCCGAATTTGTGTTGATGAACACGGCCCAGCTTCCTTTGAATGCCTCCACAACCTGGGTCTTGACGAATCCATTAGCTTGGACTACCTCCACACCTTTCGATTTAAGATCGGACGCCTTGGAGGACTCTGGATTGCGGGTGGTTCCCCTGAGAGCAAAACTGCTGTTCTTGTTCTGCAAGAGAGAGGCGATGACGCTTCCACCTTAGGGGCCAGTGGCGCCATACACGGTGATGAGGCGGGTAGTGGTAGTGGTCATTCTTAAGCGTTGCAAAGTGAATGGGTTTGCCGACGTGTAATGTTGAACAAGATCATCATGTCATTTATTGAAGGTGAGACTACACCGTTCGTAACATTAAATACGCCAAATTAACCGTTCAAAATGAGGATCCTGAGGGTGCTTAGAAATCCCATGAACCTTTCTCTTACACAAGAGAAAACCCGTGACTTTGTCCGTAGCCAAGCAACACGTAGGATTAGGTAATCCTTGGCATGTGGAGGACGGTTCCAAATGCGTCCATTGAGTCAATCCAAGGCAATCCGTCAGTCTCCTTACTTAATCTACGAGGACATCGAAGACGTGGTCGCCTCGAATGGAGTCTTGGGATTTGGTATGAGAGACGTTTTGAAGCAAGAGCTTCCGGTATCGTCTCTGGCTTACTCACTGCATGAGCTGATGATGCGTGTAGTCTATGTGGTGCGAGCCACGGTCCCGTCGATTCAGATCCCCTTCTGCGCGGCCCACATTTGCTTATGTATTCATTTAGCAAGTCATGACGAAAGGTTTCGCCATGGGTTTCCATCTTGAGACTCGTGAAGCTCCCTTGAGCACAGCGCACCTATTTTGAGCAGGCCAATGCGGAGATGTGCTGCTCCGTGCTGAAAACAAAAATCTCCGCCTCCGATTCCCCCGGACCGGGCCTCTCCGCATCTAGCCACTGTGTGTGGAAAACGAAAGTATCCCCCCCCTGTCAATTTGACTCATGCTCCCCCCCGCGGCCCCTAAATCTCAACTTTTAAGTTTAACTAGAATTTATCATACCTTTATCAAAGATTTAAATTATATATTAAATCTAATACCATTTTAAAGCTTATTCTTTATATAATTTAATATAATATAATATAATAATAAAGATATAATATATATATAAAATATATTAATAAATATATTTTTAATTTAATAAATAAATATTATAAATATAAATATATTACTTTTATTATATTAAAAGTTTTAAATTATATTATTTATATATTATTTAAATTTAAATTATATATATATATTTAAATATTAAAGTTATAAATTTTATTTATTATTTAATATTTATTTTTATATTATAATAATTTTAATTATTAATATTATAAATAATAATAATAAAAGTTATATAATATATATATTAATAAAAAAGTTATTTAATATATAAATATTTAAAATTATTTATATTTATTAATATTAAAAATAAATTATTAAAAATATTTTATTATTATTCTTTATTAAATAAAGTTTATAATAATGTATTTATATAATATATAAAGATTTAAATTGGGATAGTTATTATAAAAATAGTTGGTTTTAAAAGTTTTTATTGTTTTGCCGCGAGGGGGGGGGGAGCACGAGTCAACTTGACAGGGGGGGGGGATACTTTCGTTTTCCACACACAGCAGCATTGGTACAATGAAATCGCAGTCCGGCTGGCAAGCACCTTCATAACCCATATCGCTATCCGCGGATCTATGTAAGAGATGGGCGACACCCGCCTGGGCCTATTCTGGCGCTCTGAGGGTTCGCGGCCAACATGCAACCGCGATGGCAATAACACGTCCCGCCGACTTGCTGGCTGCACGTTGGCTCGCTGGGCGAGTTTCCGCCATGCCTCGCCATCACAGCAACAATAGTACTCGGCAAATTGACGACGGAACTGACCGCCAACCTCCTCTAGCCTGAACAGAAACTCGATGATTGCATTTATGGTTGGAGACTGCTCTATGCTGACATTTTTCGAGACTGAGTTGTCTGTTTAGTCTTTGAAGTAGCTTCGTCATAGTGAAGCTTATTTCCCGTGCAGAAGACAAAGCCCTTTGACACATCTGCATTCCTCTTTAGAAGTGCAGAGATGTTACCGCATGCGGATCTCGGTACCGATCAGATTTAGTTATTACTGATGCCGGTAGGAAACTTCGCACGTCTCATGCTCATGCTCGCCCAATAACACACCATGCTTACTCACGGTAATCGACAGTTCGCAGTCTGAACTCCATGACATGACTGTATCATTTGTCTCTTGATACCGGAATCAGTGACTTGTTCAGTCTGACATATTCCTGTGCCATCAAATTCATCTGAACAAACACAGTGTATTTTGCCAGCAGTAACGGCACGAAGCCTAAGCATGGACACTGGAACTGCTCCGAATACATCAGAGGCTGAGGGCCCTATAGACAATTCCGCCCCTCTCGCTCAGATCGAGGCCTCGGAGACCATCAACTTCAAAGGCGGGAAAGACAATGCAACCATCCGCACACTCGTGAGCGTGAAGAAATGCCCGCATGGATTCCGATCGCGTTTAGGATATCATGCCAATCTCTATATCACGCTTGCGGATGGTGTGGAAAGGGAAATCGGATATATAACAGCCTGGCGCATTTCCAGACGATCCGGAGTCAATCCGAATATCGATCCACAATATGTACTGGCTGACTGGTACTTCGAATCTCTCGGGACGTATGATGAAGACTCCAAACAGTTGGCCTACTGCATCAGATCCCTTTATGGAAAGGGCGAAATTCCACACAGGATTTCCGAACGGATTGTGAATAGGGAGAAGAGGAACGAGATACAAGACGGAGGGAATGAACTCGTGTTTATCGAGACGATATACATTAAATGGCGGGAAGACCGAAAGGATGCGCGAACCGAGGTGCGTAACAATGAACCGGGGTTCAATTACTGCAATACTGATATGCACCATTGTAGTACAGGGGATACGGCCTCGCCGCAATATACTTGGAGACCTACTACAGGCTACTGGGTGGCAAAGTATTACCTGCTTGGTTCTCTCTGCGTGGACCAGTGACATATTTATTGTTGCCCCGCATGCACCACGACTGGCTATCACCAGTAAACCAATACTGGCGTTACCGGTGGGCACAGGACAAGTGTGCCAGACAACTATTTGAAGAGGAAGTTGAGACATATTTGAAGGGACTGTTCCGAAGTGACTATTACGGATATGAGTATTACATCCAAAACGCTAAGATTGTTGACACTTACATAGACGTATTGGGTCGCGCCGTCGCGCCGGAAGACTCAATATCGGAACCCTGCGACCGTCTACTTCTACCAGCAGCTGATTAGATCCGCAGCGGTTTTGCAACTCATTCTTCCGTGGAGATCCGAGAGCACCATGCCAGCCTGGACAATCCAACACACAATTGTGTAAGACCTAAGATAATGTATGAACAGGCAGTTAATTACTGGAAAAGACAAGGAATATGGATAGAGCTCAATTCGAAGATCTCGGACGCAACGGGCCAAGTTAGTGGGACTTTCTAATTGATCTTAACGTCCTCCTTTTTCGCACACATTGAAGGACAGGCTACACTTAAGCAAATATTCAATACTCTGCCATCCACAACGATAGCCGAGAAGCACTCTAGGGGTACACAAGAGCACAAGTCCTTTTTTACGACGAATAGTCAACTGAATAATGAATTGCCGACTACCAAGACTCGGTTCTAAATAGACCTGCAAAAGCTTTGCCTCCACAGAAGCTAGGTTTCTCACCCATGACATACCCAGTGTATTACGAAGCTGGATTGATCTGTATATTTCTGGCGATGTAGATGAGGAACACCTCTCTTTAATGTCACTTTATAACTTGTAGTGATGTTCTTGAAAGATTCTTGAAGCTGGTATTTTATAGGATTAAACCAGAACAGATGGTTTGACACATGTTCCTGCCCTAGACGGCGTGGAAACCATGATCAACTTAAGAAATGTGTACATAATGTTCGTGTTTTATTGAGGCATGAGACCTTTCTTTCCCCGACTCTTGGCCCCCTAGGCTCATCCAGAGCGTTATTCAGATCACACTGTTCGAAAGCTTGGTATTGATAGGGAAGAAGGCGGAACAGACTTCGAAACAAATGGCGAGGCCGGTATTTCAGGCTATAATACTCAAAATGTACGAGATGCTGGAGTGCATGGTGACGAGTGGCCAAGCAGCTTCGCCACTGAGTCTTGACATTCAATGTTTGATGTCCAGGGTGCTTTCCAATTTGCCGTTGTCTTCAATTTCAAAACAATTTGTATGCGGGGCATTTTCCCAATTAAATATCGTTACTAGGCACGAAAAGTCTGTGGTGGTCATCCCGCACAATCCATTTGGTCCCTATCAGGGTTGAGGGAAAACTTAGCTACACGATATTCAACTCATAAAACAGTGTTTCACCACCACTGAATTCCCAGCTCCTAAATCGATCAAGAGCCTATTACCGCCACAGTTATTTGCACTTGATGAAACATGTCGCATCATGTTTTGTGCCAATTGTCGCTCCACCTTCCGAGTTTCGATGGATAATCGGCCCTGGGATGGGATTGATGCTGACGATAAGGAGACATGGACAGCATATCACGACTATGAAATTCTTTACCAGAATCTCGTAATAGCAGCCACCAAGTGTCATTGCTGCCACGAAATCCTGCAAAAATTAGAGGGCCGCTACCGCTCTAAGCTTTGGGCAGGGCGAGACTTATACGTTAGCATGAAGATGGAATTTGATGAGGATAACATCGGCGTCTATGGAGCTCTCGACATCTGTGTCAGATTCCACAACAACAATTCTTCATTTGCGGATGTTGAGTTCAAGATCGAAAGACATACGGGCTCTGTCTTGATCGAGGGACGTCAAGGCGAGCACCCACAGTTTGGTCACTCACACATGGTGCCTGTGACCGGTCGTTTTCCAGCGAACAACACCGGGTCTGAATACACGGCAGGATTTGTGAAAAAATGTTTGGAGCATTGCAAATCCCAACATCGAAGTTGCCAGCCAGAGTCCATAGGAGCACCCTGGTGTCCGACCCGGTTTGTCGAGGTGCTGGAAGAAAACACCTTCAGGGTCATCGAAACTGCAGAAACGGTACCTACTGGACCATACTACGCTAGCCTAAGTCATTGCTGGGAAAGCATCCCGCGTGATCACTGCAACGACAGAGAATATTGGCCGCCTGAAGAAGCACATTCCATTACTAGATTTACCGAAGATATTTAGCGATGCGCTACAATTCATCAAGGCCATTGGAATATCTTTCATCTGGATCGACTCGCTCTGCATCATCCAAGACTCGGTGAAGGACTGGGAGTCCGAGTCAAGAACAATGCTTCAGGTCTACCGACATGCGGAATGCTATCTTGCCGCGGCTGTCTCTGAGGACAGTCACGGTGGGCTGTTCTCGGAGCGAGACTACGCCATCCTTCCATCCGGATGGTTTGAGATGGATAACAATATACCTCGGTTGAAAGGAACTTGGTGTGCTGTCCCTCACGGCTACTTTAAGGATGCTTTCGACAAACAGATTGGATCATCTCGGCTGATGAGTCGGGGCTGGGTTTTTCAAGAGCGTGCAGCTTCGAGGCGTGTAATTGCCTTCGGTCGAGATCAGGTTTTTTGGGATTGCTCTGAGGCCCTGGAGAGCGACGTTCTTCCAGATCATCACATCAACCTTTACCACTACAGAGACGAAAACAATCACTGGAACTCTGACAACGCCATGGGGATGGCCGTCCCCAAGCTCCTCACTCCAGGAGTGCCGATATCCTTTTACTCACTGGGAGATGGGCTTGTGGCGTGGCAATTCATCGTGCAGCGGTATAGTACATGTGATTTCACATTCAATAAGGACAAACCGGTCGCGATACTCTGTGTGGCACAAATGATGAGTGACGCCCTGAAAGCCCAGCCCACGGCTATCTCCACGACTTACTGGGCTGGCCTGTGGCTGCAAGACATGTATCGGCAGTTAGCATGGAAGGCTAATCGTACTGGGCTTCCCAAAAACTGTCACGCGCCATAATGGTCGTGGTTGTCTATTGATGGCCCTGTCCAGTGGGTCTCGGTAGTCGACTTCGACCCGCAGTTCGAGCATCTCAAGGTATCAGCATTGGCAACCGTGGCTTGGTGCGATAACGAAACGGCGAAGGACAACTCCTCCTTCTGCAACCTATCTTCTGATCTGAAAACATGGTGCAATTTGTATCTTTTGCATATCACGGAGCCTCTCGTCGCTGTCTCATTTGGTGCTGAGAAACTTTACGAGCCCTATGTTTACCTCGACTACGAAGATATCGGAACAGACCGCCTCCACTTCTTGCCACTCACTTATAATGACAGAGACCCCTCTGACGGGAACGGGGCATTTACCGAAATAATTGTCCAGCCAGCGGACAATCAGCCCGGAGTATACAGACGGTGTGGCAGTGCGGAGCTCTTGCCGTCCGAGCCTGAGGATACAAGGGTTATGCCAGCTGGGCTTAGCCCCTTGTGTCATCTGCTGGGAGAAAGTCCCTCTGTTGTGGATCATACATACGAGGAGCATGATCCAGAGATGGGATATCTGATCCGTATCATCTAAAGCTTCATTAGCTTAGATAGTAGAAAAGATTTGGAACTATGTATTCTTTTACGACTTAAATGAGGATTTTATCTCGCGTTTTAGTATTTCTTTCTACGAAGGACTATTCCAGGAGAATGGCATAGTAATTTTAAAGTGTCTTAGTGTATTCTTAGATTATACGTGCGACTCCTTCCATGATTAGGAGGGGAAGTGCACATTTTAGGACGGTAAAACCTCGGCACATCTCACCCGCCCACAGTAAGCACTGGTCCACCAACACTTCGGCTCGTTTAATCAACCGTCTTACATCTCCCCAACTTCAACTTTGCACGCCTCGGCACTCTCAAGTCAAGCGCTCATAATGACATCACACGGTCTCCTTGAAGTCGACTCTATCGAGATCAAAGTCATCGTCGACAATGAAGTCGACCCTATCTCACCCGCGAATAACCCCGCCGTGCAGTACCCCGGCTACATGCAAGGCGTGCCTCTGGACAAGCTTCCATCAGATGATACCAGGAGTGGGGCGGTCGCCGAGCTGAAGATGGGAAACATCTGCTGCGGCGCCCACGGGCTTTCGCTCATGATTACCGCCAAGAAGGGCGACACGGCCCACACGATGCTGTTCGACACCGGCCCGGAGGAGTCGACCTGGGAGCGCAACGCCACCCGCATCCGCGCTAACATCGCTTCGATCGAGCACATACACCTGTCGCACTGGCACCGCGATCATTCCGGGGGCATGCTCGAGGCCATCCGCATGATAAACGCGTCCAAGATAGAGCGAGGAGGCAACACCAGGCCGTCCAAAGTCGTCGTTGACGTGCATCCGGACAGGCCGGGCTACAGGGGCATGATGACGCCCCTCGGTACGATCGTCAGCCTGGAAGCGGACCCTGGCTTTGACGAGATCGAGGAGGCTGGGGGAGTCCTAGCGAAGCATGGCGACCTGCATCCTGTGCTGGATGGCTTCTTCCTCACGTCCGGCGCCATCCCCCGCGTGACGCCGTACGAGGTGGGGATCAGGGGCGGCATGCGGTTCAGCGAATCGGAAGGCAAATGGGCTTCGGATGAGGCCATTGCGGACGAGCGAATGGTCATGTGTAACCTCAAGGGCAAAGGCCTTGTCGTATTCACGGGCTGCAGCCACGCTGGTGTCATAAACGTCTCCAAGCATGCCATCGATCTTGGACAGGGCTTGCCGTTGTACGCTGTGGTCGGTGGGTTCCATCTGTCCGACAATCATCCAGAGAAGCTGGAGAACTCTCTCGCAGACCTCAAGAGCCTGGAACCGAAGGTGCTCATGCCCGGGCACTGTACTGGATACAAGTTCAAGTTTCTCATCGAGCAGGCTATGCCCAGTGTATTGGCACCGTCGTTTTGTGGCAACACGTATACCTTGGTATAGAGAAAGATTCGGAAGGAGTGTTTGTATAAATATTTCCGGCATGGGAGCCAGCGGTATTGACGGAATCAATTCACTCATTTGGCCGGACATAGTAATCGGTAGCTATTGGGGCGTTTTGGTGGTGGCCTAACCAACGTCGCCCGGATGGCCATGATCCGACCAACGATGGCAAAGAAAATCGGGCAAGACAGCACGATGCTACACAGATGCGTCGGGAGTGATTCATCCCACGCCCCCCCCCTCCCATCCACCTTGGTTTATCAAATAATTGATCAGATAGGTTAGCCTGGAACACGCGCGGCTGATGACTGCCGAGAACATGCCCTCGCTTGAGATAGACATACGCTCATGTGAACGGTCTTCAAGTTATGTACACCAATTGTGGCTTATCTGACTTGAGCAGCGAAGCCGTGGCCAAGACTTATCCTTTCAAGCCGTCGAAGTCAGACTGAAACCGCCCAAAGTCCCGCTCCATCCGCTTCCCTCCCCACCGATTTTACTCAGAGGAGCCTCAAAGGCGATTTCCGCCCAGTGGAAGCCAAGACCGTTGTATCCAATTTGGGTCAAAAATTGCTCCTCGGGTTCAGAGTTCAGGGAAGCATATGTCCTGTTGCCTCGGGCGATGATGCTCAGGTCAACCGTCTCGTTGAGAGGCAGCGATGTGTTGAGGCGGAAATAGTTGCCACCAGCGAAGAAGGTGATGTTGGGCGTTAGCAGGAGCGTGGAGTCGCTGCCAGTGAGCAGTGTTGCGTTGGTGGGAAGGTCGAGAGACGAAATGGTCAGGCCCGAGAGAGTGAGCGTGTAGTTCCGGCCCTTGGATGACAGCGGTGTCACAGCTGAGCAAGACGGTGACAGTGTGAGCAGTGATCCGCTGGATGCACAGTCGGTCTCAATGGGGAAGCTGTTTGGAGACTCGTCTGCGAATGAGGAATTGCCCGTGAAAGTGTAATTGAATATTACATCGCCGTCAGATGGGACAGTCCGGTCCAGATTTTGACCTGGTACGGCAGCCTGAAGCGTCTCGAATATGGAGCCGAAGTCCGTCTCTGACAGGTTTCCTCCCCATTGCTTGTCGGCCAAGGCAGGGATGCCGTCGCGCCAGGCGTAATAGGCTTCGGTGTAGACCGATGTGTTGGCACCGTAGTCATTCCACATTGGAACGATGGATCCCAAAACAAAGGGGTCGGCCTCGGATGGGTTGTTGGTTGCGTTCTTCTGGTCGAATACATTCGGACGCCAGTATGTTGCGTCTGGCGGCGTGCCATAAAATGTCTTGGTCAGGTTGATGTGATTCAGGTATCCGCCTGCAGGAGCCCATTTGTTGACGATATAGTAGTCATCGTTTGAATTGACGACGGAATAGTTGTTCAGAATGTAGTCAAAGTATGGGTTATCTTCGAAGTACTCCCAATGTTGGACTGAGACATTTTGGTAAATGTTGTTGTATGTTTCGTTGTAGACGGGTGGGAATGTGCCCCAGATTCGAATGAGCTTGCCCGATTCACCGCCAATGTGGCTGGCCATGGCGTTTACAAAGTCGTTGTAATCTGTCGACGGGCCGGTGTATTCATCCGCGCCGATGGAGACAACCTTGGTATGGAACCAGGGGAGGAATTCGCTCCAGATCGTCTTCATTGTTGGAATCGTCTCTGGATGGCTGATGTTGAGCAGGCTCAGGTCTCCAGAGTACCCCAATTCCGGTTTCCATTGCACAATCACCAGCGCGTGACCTGGGGCCTCAATCTCCGGGATGATGGTGACCCCGCGAGCAGCACAGGTCGACTGGATCTCGTCAAAGTCCTCGCGCGTGTAAGATTCGTTTCTGTATTTGTTCAAGCCCGACACGGCTTCAGCGTCCGACCACAACCTGAAGCGGGCGTACAGCTCGAGGGACCGCTCTTCGGAATAAATGGCGACGTTGTTGTACAGGTTGTCGCTCAGGTGGAGATGAAACGTGTTCTGCTTGAAGAACGACATGTACGAGCATAGCTCCGTGATGAACTCCTTTGGGTAGAAGTGGCGCGCAGCATCGAGCATCATGCCTCGCGTCGCCCAGCCGGGAGTGTCTGTGCCAGAGCCCAGTGGAATAGACCCGTCGTTCAGCGTGGCTTGTTGCAGGACTGTCCGCGTACCCCACCAGGCACCGAGAGGGCTTGCGCCAGTGATAGTGATGGCATCTGAGGTGACGGAGAGAGAGTAACCCTCTGACGATGGATCTCCTGACGCGTTAAGATAGGCACTCGGATCGGCCAGGGTCAGGAAGATGCTGTCCGTCGTACTGTTGGTGCCATTGGTGACTGTGGCGTCAATGTTGAATTTGGTGCTCAGGTCGTTGGCAAATGTCTGAGCGAACTCGAACAGGGTCGGCGGGATCAAGGTGGCCATGGAATCATCCACGGACGATGCATACTGGGCATCTACCACGATCGTATGAACGCCAGATAAATCGTAAGTCCCATCAGACGCGCTGTATGGCAATGTTGGTATTCCAAGAAAGTCGCCGGAAACAAGTGCTACAAAGGTCTGTTAGCAGCGCGAGCGCATTTGGTGGCGGAGTGTTTCGACAAACATGTTGACCATAGGCCGGCAAGGCCTGCCTTCAAAGTCGGAGCTTTCATTGCCACGCGTATCTTGTCTACCAGCCACGACAAAACGTTTTGAGAAGAATCGACGGTGAAGTCCATCGTGTAGACGTCATGGTCGCCGGATGTGTGTGTTATTTATCCGGCCCTGTCACCGCTCACGAGACCCGGCAGACATCAACGCGAGAATCGTCATCAGGCATATCTTCGACCGACTCCGCATTCGAGGAACGGTTCTTGGGGTAACGTTACCGGTCATCTCCAACCTTGGAGTCGCCTAGACAGAACCATGTGGGGAATGCTCCCCTGGCTAGACTTCGTTCGCGACTATCATCCTGGCGGGCACAACCTTGGAAAGAGGTGTTATCATGCAAGGCATGTCCGATACGAACGCGTAAGGTCATACCTAAGACCCCAATGTAGTATAGCATGTAGCTATGGTGCCATGCCTATCTCAACGTCCAATGGCGCGAATCATCCTGCCAGGGAGCGGCCCGTTGCCCGGGGTTTGCTTACCCAAATGCGGATTTGGTGCCGGCGACTAATCTCCGACCAGTTTGTCGACGGCGATGAAGCCCTAACCCTCTTGACGACATGATTCTCTGAAGTCAAGCTCCCGACGGCCGATGGTGTGCTGGCCCAAATCTGGACCAGGCTCTTACACGTGTCGACATGTCGGTTGCCGACAAGCAGACCTGATCTGTGGACATAAGGTAATTGCGCACAAAGAAGTGGCCGATCGTTGTTGAGGCAGTCACTTCAGGCATCCGAGCGCAAGTGAGAAAGAGGTATTGGGTTTAGCTCTCTGTTAGTAGACCGTGTTTGCATGCTTTCAGTACTGCTTGACCAGTCTTGATGGGCGGTGGGCGTGAGTGTTCAACATCTCGCTTTCATGGGTCTTTCAATGCTCCATTGTCTTGCATCGCAAGTGCCATCCAAAACATTCTTAGGGTCAGGCTGCGCTGTATTTGACAAACGGCTTTGCTATCCAACCGTTTATCGTTGAAGGTCCCTCAGACGTCGTAACTACTGCATCAATGAGACATAAGTGCCGGGAGCCTACTGCAACTAAGACAAAAGTGGTACATTCTTGGAGCTCGTTTGTCTCGTATTCTGCAATCATGTGGAGGGGCTTTCTAATTACTGATGGTGACCGGATGACTGATAGAACCTCAGGCTTCATTGTTTCCTTCCTCATTGACATATGTGTGGGGGAACAAGGCATCAAACAGTATGGAAGCAGACACTGCATAGAATATTTATGCACCATTGCCCCAGAGTGTGGCAACCCGTGGACCAGGGAGTTTTTCAGTTCTCCATCACACGCATCCCGGCCGGACACCTGACTGGCATTTGATTGAAACAATATCTTGTAAGCATAGCACTTCAATGACTCCTCAGTTATGCCAATAACTGATCCAAGTTCGGCAATCTGGGCTGAGGAACTAATTCGACACAACGATAGGGAACCGCGTCGTATTTCTCAAAGCACCCGACTTTGCTTTGAATGTCACAGAGTTGCCATCCTACAACGAAAGCATACACCATGCCATCAACTAGTCATTTCGGACTTTTCGCTGCCAGCAGACGGGCCACTAGCCCAGATACCAGCTCGTTCGACACCAAGTCCCTGCTCGAGTCGCTCGGTACTCCTGATTCTGCCATCCACAAAAACGCGGACAGCATGCTGGGTGATCAGTCGACTCAGCCCTCTAACCCTGTGAAGGAGAAGCCTACTGGTAGTGGCAGCACGAATTCAGTTGTGGCCTGCGTGAAGGATCCCGAGGATCAGCTGGAGGCAGCCGAGCAGCGCCTCTGGGATGAGGTCAAGGAAATCATCGCCACGTTCGGGTAGGCCCAACCTTGCCCAGACCTCTCCTCCTCACACATTGTGGCCCACTTCTCTTTGTCGTCTTCTCAGAAGGTGTACAATTGTTACTGACTATCTCAGCCCGCCCGTGGGAGCGGTGAAGATCAAGATTCCCAGCAGCAAGCAGCACATCCTCGTCCACAGCTGTCTTCTCATCGGAAAGTCAGCTTTCTGTCGTGCGGCACTGGCAAACAACTCTGCCCAGGGTAAAACCCGGACATTGGCACTGCCCATTTCCACTTCCACCACCTTGGCTCACTTCTTGAAATGGGTGTACAGCGACACTGTCCTCCCCGCGCACGGAACGCTCTGCCCATGCTGTGCCGAACGCGGCGTGTCGTGGCCGCAATTGGTGAACCTCTGGGTCTTTGCCAGTAACATGGGCGTGCCCAAGCTGCAGAACCACGCCATCGATATCCTGATCAGCAAGATGAACAGCTACCTCGAGTTTGACAATCGCTCCGAGGGTGAGATCGCTCACATTCGCGCCGCCTTCAGCCTGCTCTGGCCTGGCAAGAATCAGGCCCAGGCTCAGATGGCACAAGGCGATGCCGACAAGCCGCTCCGCAAGTTTATGCTTGACTGGTTTGCTAATCCCCTGGTGAGTACTTTCTGGGCCACTTTTCCCCATTTTCGAGGGGTCGAGCAGCACTTCTTCGATCGGGGGCTGCGACTGTTATGACCCGACATTATTCTGTTTGACTCCACTCTTTTCCATCATTGAGCAATCGAGGCTTCGTAGCTGACTCTGGGTTACATAGTACCAAACCAAGGCTGAGGCCGATCAGCTCTGGGCTGGTGGACTGTCTCGCAGCTTCTACAGAGACTACGCTTTCTACGCCATGGAGAAAAACTTCTCCCTGGGAGATGATGAGTTGGATGATGAAGTCGATTCCAATTTGCACATCAAGGCCATGGAGGAAGTGACGCGTCACAAATTGGGATGCCTCTGGAAGATCAAGCCAGAGACCTATTACGTCGACGACAAGACATTTGCAGCTCCTGTTGCCAAGAAGAAGTGAGTGGCCGCCCAGGCATGGAGATGAGGCAAGCGAGCTAGCTCAGATAGATCATCTATCGGACAGAGCGGGCCTTGGTCTTCAGTGGAGTGCAGCTTGGTTATTGCGCCTCGGCTGATCATGTGCAAATTCCTGGGACCAAGCCAGGACGAAAGCCAGGTCGAAAGGCAGGCCGTGTGGACATCAGACCGTCCTCATCCTGCCAGACTGGGTCGGACTTGCCTTGCGAAGCTACTGACTGGCAATCACATTTTCTTTTCGGGGAATTAGGAGACAAATTCTAGACTTCAGTAAAGCCTCTTCTCTACGGATCTGGACAATCAATTGGAAGATTCGGAAGCAACATGTATTTTGCCTTGCCGCAATCACTTCAGGATGGGACCATTCGCATCTGGTCTGTACTATGGTATCACGGTCCACCGGGAAATGTTATGACACGTTTCACCCGCTGTGTATTTCTCCTACCCGGGTCGTTCAGAAGCACTGAGAATAACCTCATCTTCTTCGATTGTCCAAGTTGAGTCATGGACGCATCAACCGCCGCTTCCGGATGCTGTCTTTCAGGCAATGCAACTGTGAGCTGAGACAAAATGCCTTCCATCACTGCTTTGTAGGGGCTTTACCGTAATAGGAAATCGATGCAATCCTCTGGGGCGCCCTTCCATTTGGTCCGGGGACCCGTACTGCCGGGGCTGCAACGCCAGGGGCGCGGGTTTGACATTCGGCACTGGTTTCACATTTCGGGGCCAGCCGACACTGTGGGCCATTCCATCGGCATACGAATCATAGGCCTGCTCACTACGGTGGGAAATGGTGTCAGATCAGCGCAGATCGCGTTCGCGGGTGATGCGCCCAGCAAACATGGCTGCATCGTGGTGTGTTCATTGATTTGCAGCCGAGATTCCGGCACGTGCGATTCGTTTGCGACTCGACTGCGGATCAAACTGGAGATCTTGAGGCTGAGAACAAAACAAACATGCATCCTCCTCTTCTCGTCCTCATCCAAAACTTCACCCTCTTGTGAGTTTGCGATAGATTCATCGTCTCAGCCAGACTTTCTCAGCCCGCGAATCTCCTGAAATATCACAAAAGTCAAGTCGGGGTCCGTGGGGAATCTGCAAGTCTTCATCCCTTCTCTGGTAAGGCACACTCAAAGCAACTTTGACAGCCCCTTCAAACAGTGTGTAGTAGTGGAAACCCTGGCACCGGAGAATCACATTGTCAATAGTTCCCAACCGTCGGATTGCCTGATCCAAGATTACGATGCACGCAGCTACACAGTATTATGTGGAGCCAGACGATCTGTTAATCTAAACACGCGTATGTGGATGTGGACGTGGATGTGCAATTAAGGTTTAAGAGGCATGTCTGAAACACCGCTGAATCTTCTCCCGGGGGCTACAGGTGAGCAGGTTCTCTCTACAGCAGTGAAAGTAATGGCGTGCTGGCTGTTGTGAGTAACGATGCATACCTCTTTGGCTGCATCCAGAATCTGACGCCGTACGCAAGACCGAATCAGGAGGAGAGGTTGCGAGGCGGTGCGAAGAAGCGATTGCAACATCTTGGCTGTTTCTGCCACCGTGGTACCAAGCACGGCGATTAGGTTTGATCGACATTAACCATAACGAAAAACATATACTGGAGACATGACGTACGAATTGCGGGCCCATGCTGTCGCAGAGCCCCAATGGGAGGGTTGATCGCGGAGATGGAAACGCAGAATGAGACGACATGTCGAAAGATCAAGTGATTCCACGCCGAGATGCCAGACGTGCGAAGGCTAGGACGAAGACCCTGCTCTGACGATTCTCAGCCCGGCGTGTGCGGCAGATCTGAGGTGAGGCCCTGAACCCTAATATGCTGGCAGTTCAAGGCCTCGGCCGAAAGCACCTGTCCCTTGCATGTGCATTCGATATCATCGCCACTCTCGTCGTCCCAAGGACAGCCGGAAGTGGGATGATAAGACCTGAGTGGCTTTGTGCGTCTATTTTTATTGTGCCTGGTCTGCCTCATCAAGCGTGCCCGGGCGCCCAGGCGGCCTGGGGAGCCTAATGGAGCAGACGAACTGAGCTTCTAGGGCCTATCGGGGAGAAAGGGGCCCATGGAGGGTGTGATACCAAGGGCCTTGGATGATTGAACCCCAAAGCTTGCCACGGAGGTCCTCGCATGGACTGTAGAAGAGGGAAGGCGCAATAGGCAATGCCTTTGTGCTGTGTGTTTCTCATGAGTTTCCTGATGCGGCCTAGTGATTGAAACACATGAAGCACTGATTTGAGACGACTTTCTGCTGCAATTCGGTCTCGGTCGACCACCCTCCTGGGAGGCTGTCAACTGTCAACGCAATTCTGGGACGACCCATTCCAGTAATTACAAATGCGATGAACGGTCGACTGGCTGACTTGGCAGTTGATGCGTGGGCGGAGGGATGGCTGGATCCAACAATCGAAGCGGCCCGGGGTGTGGCCTGGTGAGTCGACAGGTGAGAGACACACAATATAGGCAAGTCGGGAATCAGATGGCGGACCAATCGCAAGTTGCCGGCTAGCCAAGTGCCTGGATCTCCAATCGATCCCCCAGCGATCGCCCTGCGCTCCGCAGCCGTGCTTGGAGGGGCGTGGGGAGCCGCCTTGACCCCTACCGAGACCTGGTCGTGTTTCGACCGATCTTCCAACACAGCGGTTCGACAGACAAGCTTGATTCATAGTTTGAAAACTTCCTTCGCGCTTCCACATCGGGGAACACCAAGCGGCAGGGGTCGCTTGCGTGCATCGAAACCTAGTCGCTTGTCACATATCTCGCGTGGCTGTGTCTATTCCCAATGAGGAGAGGTTGGGAGAAATTCGGCTTCCAAGATGTCAAAAGAAGGCCCGTTCGTTGCGACTCAAAACGTCCAAAGAAAAAGCCCCTCGAGATGGGACTATTTATCTCGACGGCATCCCTTCGAGCTTTTTTTTTTTTTTTTTCCTTTTCGTACTCGGCCTATTCCTTCCTTCGACAGCAGATATTAACCCACTCATCCCCTTCTTTTCCGCGGCACTGGATGCCAGTTACGCCCAGGCGACTTTATACCAAGTAATACACAGCAACAATGAAGTTCACTCTCCTGACCACGCTCCTTGCGGGCTCTGCCATCGCGGCGCCATCCCTGAACAAGAGGGACCTGGCAACAGTCCAGCAGGCCATCGGCACCGTCCAGACAGCTCTTGAGGGGCTCGGAACAGCCGTCCAGGGCGTCAACGCCCAGGACCCCAACAGTGTGACCGGTATCCTCGGCGCGAGCACCAACGCACAGAACGCCATCAAGACCGCCACCACACAGATCCAGGGCACCGATGCGCTCTCCCTGACAGACGCCCTGTCCCTGCAACAGACCGCCACCGGCCTGACAACCGCAGCGAACACGACCGTGCAGAACCTCATCGCCAAGAAGCCCGTCTTCGACCAGCTCGGCGTCTCCTCCGTCGTCGCTACCCAGCTGACAGACCAGAAGACCGCCGCCTCCGCGCTCGGTGACGCCGTCGTGTCCAAGATCCCCGCCATCGGCCAGAGCATCGCCCAGCAGTCTCTCGGCCAGATCAACACCGCTCTCGACTCCGCTATCCAGACCTTCTCCGCTGGCGGCGCAGCAGGTAAGTGTTGCCATTGTTGACCGCGATTTGCACGTCCCGACGCTGACTGGAAATAGGTGGCGCAACTGCAGGTGCAGGAAACGCCACTGGTGCATCAGGCGGTGCTGCCAAGGCTGGCAACGGAACCTCGGCTGCGGAGCCGAAGGCCGGTGCTGGTGCGGGATCTTCCACGCCCAAGGCCGGTGCCGGCTCGGGAACTGCCTCCGGAGCTACGCCCAAGGCATCCGGTGCCAGCGGTGCCGCTCCCAAGACTCCCGCTGCCCAGCCAGCTGGTGGTGCTGCAGGTGCCGGCGGACTTGGCGCTCTTCTTGGTAGTCTTACGGGCGGCGCGGGCGGCGCGGGCGGCGCACAGGGCGGAGCTGGAGGACTTGGCGCTCTTCTTGGTAGCCTTACGGGGGGTGCGGCTGGAGGAAACGCAGCCGGTGGAGCAGCTGGAGGAGCGGCGGGTGGCGCGGCAGGTGGCGCCGGTGGCCTCGTAAGTTCTCTCGTGTTCTCTGATCCATAAGCACGTCGACTGACCATTCTTCACTCTCAAGGGTGCCCTCCTCGGGGCCTTGGGTGGAGCCGCATAAATTCGTTCCCGACATGGGATGAGCAGAGTGTGAGCTCTGGCCTGTGGTGTCGTCCAGTGACACAGACGAGCGTGGGCGTCGTTCTCGTCTCGCTGCTTGATGTGGCGGGACGGTCCAGCGTCCCACAACGAATTACGAATTCCTTTGTACCCCTCATAGTCTCTAGTACACTTAAAAAAGTGTCAACGCATGTAGATTACCTCTAGGCTTTGTGTGGGCGAGGCAGACATGAAATTGTAAATAACAGCAAATCAAGCGCGTTCTTCTGGGAGCTAGACTGACCTTCGTTATTAATTCGGGCACAGAAACATCTCGATGACTTTGGCCCTCGCGTCGGAAAATTTAACACATATCGGTATGTCTGGTGATACGTGATTATCTGGGGGCGCGCCTGTCAAACCTGTCCCATTACCAGTTGACTCTCGAGCCTGTTTGCTGTACATCACGACCCCGCCTTCCAGGATGTGTTGATGTGCATCTCCTGTGACGATTGATCCAGAGTGTGAGGCCGAAGAAACAGTTATCTGCCGTTGTGGCCTCGTCCACCTACACCAAGGTGATCGCTCGTTTCCTCATTTCCGGGCAGGAAGGGCAGGACCACCATCCTCACTTGCTCGCCAGCGTGCATAAACTTGCCCAGTGACATGTGCTCTGACGCAGGGGCTTCCTCTAGAGCTGAGAGCATGGCAAAGACCTTTGAATTCGACACCACGTTTCATCGATCTTGTCCGTGCTGGTAGGTACCTGCTGGTCGTCAGCATGTGATGTCCTCGTTCGGATGATTGGGCACCCGCCTTGCCGATACGAGGACGTGGGCAACAACCTGCAGCAGGATTTTGACCTAGGCATAAATCCAGCCAACCAGTGCACCTTGGCCTTGGTACTTGAAAAGTTGTAGTATTCATTTGCTAGGTGGGCCTCAGTCCTATCCTAAGCCCATAAGTTTAATCGCCTTTGCGTACACACTTCAGTCATCGACGTCAGCGCTTTGGTCTTTTTCATTTAGGGTTGTATTTGCGACTGATTCAGCAGCTCTTACCAGTATCATGGTTCTTTTACATTTTTCAAATCTGCAAAGAGCCCTGATACTTGTACATTTGTGATGCGCAAGGATCTCCTGGACGTAATATTGTGCAAGAAATTAGATCATTTAAGAACCAAATGTGCTTGACTAATCAACTCAATCTCATTTTGCCTAGTAGTTGTGAGTAGGGTCATTTACAATTGGAAAGGAAAGGCTACAAGCTATTTTATAGAGACTAACCCAGAAGGATATCCTTAAGACTGCCTCATAAAATGTGGCACACTTCCGCGTCCTTTTCCATCTCGGCCATGCTTGCTTAGCATTCCGGGCTTGTCGTCACCATCCTCCTTGTCCGGGCTCTTGAGTTGTTGCAAAGTATTTGTCACGAGAGGGCCGAGAGACATAGCAGCTGGCCTACAATACGCCAATTCAAGTTAAGTGGGCGCTATCTCTAAAAGAAAGAAGGAGCGCATTCAGAAGGCCCTTGGGCACTACAGAAGTAGGCAGCCAGAGGGGCGTGCAGTGGGAGCTTAGTCAGCAGACTGCACCATGCACACCCACGCACACCCACGCACACGCGCCTTCTCAGCAGGCTGTTGAAGCCAACACTTGGGACGCTTCTCCTTGTCCCTTGGTCAGATTGGCAGGCTTGATCCATTTCTTGGGACCCGTGCCTTTCAACTTGTGGACTCGTCTGGATACTTTGCTGGCCTTGCGTGCCTTGGACGTTCCCGGTCTTCGCTTTCTGCGCGGACGATCTATGATTCCTGCCACAGCCCGCCTCTTCTCCACAACTCGTTCGTCCTGGACACACGCACATTTTGGCCCATGTGTTGAAGCTCACGTCACATTCAATTGAGCAACGACATCAGGAAACCCAGGACGGAAACTCGCCATTCCACCAGATCGGCTCTTGATGCATCTCAGGTGGGCATCTCGGAAGCCCGGCTGGGAGTTTCCTCATGGTCTGCACACACCACGACGGCCACTCCTTCCGTAATAATGACTGATCGACGCACTTGACGTCCCTGCTGCCAAACAACAGGACAAAGACTTTTGCAGACGGAGATCCAAAACAAATCATCTCAACGCAAATCGACAAATAGTACGCTGGCCGGCAGGAGGTTATCCCATAGTGGGTTATCCCAGGTTAGGCTATCCCATTACATGTTGTCCCATAGCAGGTGACCCCATGGTAGGTTGTCCCATGGCAGGTTGTCCCATGGTAGGCTATCCCGTAGTTGATTGCTATGCAACAGGTTATCTCTTTGCAGATTGAACTATCGTAGATTCCCCTATGACAGGCTATTGCATATTGCAACACCCTAGCAAAGGTCACCAGACTTGATCCGAGAATGTTACGAACCAGCCTTTCTGAACATGTCTTTCTGCTTTGACGATCTAGTAGAGACTTTTTATTATTATGGTAGCGTGTAACCATTCGGGACGTGATTTCGGGGAAGAGAGTTCTCGTCGGACAAATCAAAAGGCAATTCTCATTGAAGAATGGGACACCAGCAACTACCCATGAGGACCGAGGACGCTGTGAGGCGAGAGAACGCATCCAACATAACGATGTCATTTGCTTCCCTATATAATGTGTTTCTAGAAGTATGCATCGGCGTTTGTTATCAATATTGGAATAAAGCCCATAACTGGGACCGTGAAAATAGATCACGGCAGATTCGTTGTCATCGAGCAGAAACTGATGTTTCCTGAGACCGGCGTGTCTTCTTAACCTAGGCCCCCCAAGTATTGAGAACGGAATAAGAACGCTTGGAAATCTCATGATGCTCCGGAATCACGAATCACTCGTGGAGTGACCTGTTTCTGCAAAACTTAGGAGACAAATAGTTCGTCCATCCAGGGTCTGACGATGACATTCAGAAACAATGTCCTTCTCGTATGACTGAATAGGCGGGTACTGGCACATTCGGATCTGATGTGTCCTTCGGAAGCCTGTGACAGCCAGATGGGGGCACATAACTTTGTCTTAATCGTCGAACCTGTGACACGCGAAGACGAAGTGGTGCCTGCAGAAAGCCCCTCTGAGTGTTCACTCATTAGCTGTCGTGCAGCTACGAAATAACTTTGGTAGTCATTTTAAGGATGTATGATACTGATATGCACTTTGCTCTTGCCTGCAACAGGATCAGGACTGAATTCGATCCGTTGAAACGTATTGTCAACGCTACTGGCATCCGCTCTGAGCTTGTGGCTAATTAGGATGATTACTACCACACTACTGAGGTCGCGTTGTCTTTGCGATGATTCGTAAGCACTCGCCGCAACGATAGCCCAAGAACCACGGAATTACACTGGATTCCACACAGCGTTCTGGAATTCAGGCCTTTGCCCAGGCAGCGGACCCTCGCTATGTTGCAGCGGGGTGTGGAACTGCCTTGACAGGCAGCTGTTCCCGTCAGCTCTGCAGAGTGCGCGATGTGACCGTGGCGAGCGGTAGAACAAAAGAGAACGGTGGTATCGGGCGAGGACGTCTCGACTCAAGAGAATATTTTCTCTCTTCTCAGTGCTGCAACATCGGTTGAAGCCTTCAACTGCGCCATACCATGGAGGCTTGTGACTTGCAACTCGACTTCTGAATAGGTGCGTATCAACTGGGAATGTATTGATTGGTATTTGATCTCACCGATGTTAAGGACATTCTTTCTTTACCAGAAAATATGGGAGCCCTGATGTACGGACCCCACGGCAGGAAACATTACCTCTTTGCCTTCAACACTTATTAGTTCGGGGGGGAGGGGTTCAATTCAGTCTATTTATATGTACTGTGGCCGAAAAAAAGGTTGGCCCCCTACAGCCGGGCGTTTGTGTTCTTCCAATGGAGTTGTGGATATTCCAAGATTTTGATGTTGTGTAACTGAGTTGAACTCAGCTATGCAAGGGGTGAATTTGCCCCTGGCCCCTACCTGTCTTGTGGGACCTGGCAGCACAAATTTATTTTCTTGTCATTGTCTTTTTCTTTCCCAGAACCCAGCCGTTCTTTGATTTTCTCTCACATTTACCCTTTTGGTGCAAACATCCACGCTTGTCGAGTCACAAGTGCTTTCGCCTACGCGCTTGGCTACGTCCGGTGTTTGCTCAAGACATTCACCATTGTCCGCTCCTTGATTGTCCAGAAAGCCACCTCATAGGGCTGTCTCGAGTGATTTACCGTCTCGATATGGGCACCTCTTCAACTCTTGTGAACCAACCTAGGACTATCTTAGGCCCACTAACCACAACGTTCACTCCCCCAATTTCATGTGGCTATATCAAGGTTCCGGGGACTTTTACGGATGGCAGGGTCGGTTGGCGCGGACAATCCTGCAAAAGCGAATCCATGAACGGCGTGGTGAGTGAGATTTCCTAGGCAGTGATCAGTTTCGCCGTCGCTATTCACCAGTACGAGTCGATCACATTGTTATCTTGACATTTCTGGTCTAATGAGCTTCTGATTCTGCAGATAGACGCAACCCAGTGCTGGCCCCCAACAACGGCGGGCGCTGCATATCCTTCTTCGCCATTCTTAGGATGGGGCTTTTACTCTCCGGGTCTCGCTTGTCCACACGGCTATACGAGTGCATGCACAGCTACCGCTAATGGCGACGCCCAGTGGCCGGTACAGTTCTTGATGTTAGATGGAGAGACTGCTGTGGGATGTTGCCCAAGGTTAGTTTAGACATATCTCCCTTGTACTCGAGTTTCTACACCAGGGCTAACAGGATACCATGATGACTGTGAAGTGGATATACGTGCTTCAACATGGCAACCTCCGGAGCAAGCTGTTCTCTCCTTGCTACATCTACAACAGTAACTATGGCGGTGTGCGATTCCGAGGATTCAATGAGCCTTTTCATGCAAACATTCCCGTACCTCACCGTCCTCACCACGACCGCGGAGGAACCTCCCACCATCACAAAAACATCCATGATAGATTCCGTGACAGCCTGGGCGCCCATGATCCAAATAAACTGGAGGTCAGCAGATCGAACCACTATTCCAACCTCTATACCTAGCAGTACGACCTCCTCTTTGAATGCAACAATACCGGGGAATGAGAACACTAGTGGTATATCTACCGGTGCGATCATTGGTATTGTAGCCGGGTGTCTCGTATCCTTGGCAGCCATCTGGGCTACATGGTTTTTGATAAGACTCAAAAGACGACGTGCGCTGCATGTTGACACCATGTCTCAGGATCAAGGTCAATACAAAACCCCAGCAGATCTGCTACAGGTGCCGCAAGATGACCGCCGATGTTCTGGGCCGATTGAGATGGGAGATGAAAGAAACCCACCTGAATTGCCTGGAACCCGGTTGGTTGCGGAATTGGATGCCAGCGGTTTCGGACGCGCAAGCAGTAGAAATTGAGGGACAAGTCACTTAAGTGAAAAGGCGGGGGGTTATATTGAAGTCCAGGCAGAGTAGACCGACCCCGTCAGCTTTTTGAGAAAAGCACCTTCGGCTCAGATGCCGTTGGATAAATCTCATAGTTTCAGTCATCAATCTGCTTAACTGATCGTAGCACGACACGATGCATGAAGATCCAGTAAGAATTTCATGGAAACATTGTCAATGAGCATGATTAAAATGACCATGTGGACTCTCCGGATGCAAAAGACTGGGCCTCTCCCGGTTTCAAGTCCTTCATCTTGCCGCCGCCAACGTGAACAATATCAGATTACCGTCTGCGCCATGATCACCGCTTCCGCGAACAGCCACTACGCGGAGATTTCTTAATTTTTGGCTTGTGCAATCCAACCTGAATTGAACTGAAAGTCCAATTCCACGCGACTAGATTTATAGATAAAATTCGGGGCTTGCACAATCCTCGTTTGCCTAATCCTGGAATCCTTTCGTCGAGCGAAGAGCTTCACGTCGAGACCAGAGCCCCCATCCCCACCATCACCTCTCGGGCCAACCATCCCAGTGAGATGCACAATATTCCTCTGTTCCACGTTGTACTGCACAGACTGGCGCCTTTCCAACGAAGATTATTTCACTTCCTCTCACCTCTTTTTTCCGAAGCTCTTGACCGCCGCAAAAGCCGCCACGGTCTCTTGTGTACTCTGAATCAGCAGGTAACATGGGTAGATGATCGAAATGACATTGAGAAACACGTAGTATCCCCAGAAGTAGTAGGCTTCTGGTCGCGAGTACTCGACTCCATTGCGGACGAACTCGAGGGTACTTGTCCCAAGGTAAAGGATGTCGCCGTATATCTGACCCAAGCTGATGATGGATTGGAGTGGATGGCGGAGGGGATGATCATTAACGATGCACCACGCGCAGACAAATGAGAGAGGGCCCCAGAGGATTGCAGTAACGGTCTTCATACACACCAAAAAGTTGTCGGAGGTGAGGTACCGAGAATCGGACAGTGAGTATTCCTTCCATGCTTGGGCCAGAGTGGTAGACATTCTTGCGAGGTCATTGTGATAGAATGCGAAATATCCTGGGTTTCACCTGTTAGTGATTTGGGCATGAGGACGACGGAACAAACATTGAATGAAAGCACGTGCACACCTTCTAGGCCCAGGTGAATGAATCCGCACAGAACAAACCACAAGGTCGCAACCGTGTCTGGTCGGGAGACCGGGCGTTTTCGACTGTAAACAAAGACAGAGGTGGGGAGGAGAATGCTCAAACAAGTCCAGGTGAACTTTGTGAGGATTTCCACGGTTGACACGCTTGGGGCGACATATCCAGGGATGACTACCCCCAAGGGATAGCAAGGATGCAAAGCAGTTCCGTTACTCATATTCAGTTTCTTGACAACTTGACGTATGGATGAAGGTCAACAAACGTGAAATAGCCTGCGGTTCATCCAGGATACCTGAAGAGTAGCTCCAAAACAAGGTGCTGGATTCGCAGTGTGGTGAGAGAATGGGAAAAGAAGGTGTTGGGTGACCACCAACTGCAAGCTATTAAATAATCAAATTGGTCGAACTGTACCCTAGGAGTTGGCTGATCCCCACTGTTCGTGGGGGATGTGATGAACTACAGGGCGGGTACCAGGGTGCCCGACCGCCCCGGGTTTCCGAATGCCCTCAGATACAACTTCATCAATACATATTCAATCAGCAGGCCTTCATTTCTTATTTGTGTTCATGAAAAATAATGCAATCTAGTTAAGATTATAGTCATGGTATCAGAATTGTATATGTAAAATATGGAATATAAGTATAAATATAATTAAGTAATGATGGGGTTGGCAGAAAGTCCGGAGGTCCGGGGCATTCGGGCACCGTGGTATGCACTCTACATAGGTAGTTAGAGGCTGAGGCGATTTATGTTGATGCATGGATGAATTAGAGAGTTCAGATTGAGTGTATGGTATGCGACCTCGCTCCATACTGGGCAGTCAGTCTTGTGGCCGGGATTTTCAGGATACTCGATAGAGCTCCAATATTGAGATTGGGATGAGTACTTATGTGCCGGTAGCAGGCTATGGCCCTCTTCGCTGGTGCCTAGGATGCAATACCACGTCACGCTACGCGTTTCTCGGGTAACTTTGCCGTGCCACCCTAATCTGCGGATGGGAGTAGAAAGCAAGAAATTCGCACCAGTCAACAGATGGTAGGCGAGTTTGGGAAACGGCAGTAAGCCGGTCTGTCTATTGCGGCTTGGCACATGCAGACCCTCAAGGCGCTAAGTCACCGGGCCCTAGGGCTATTATCGATCTCCCTTGACGCTAAGACCCGTGGGCGCCGATTAAGTAGTACCCGTGAGGTCACCGGGAGAGCAGCCGAAGATGTGCTTAAGTATTGAGCCGGAAATTAAGACCGCCATCTCTTTCGAGGTTGTGGTGCTCAGTCCGCGCGAGCTGATGGATTCCATCATCGGCGGCGCGTCAGTTGTAAAGTAGGGTTCAAGATCTGACAGAGACACACATCCGAAATCAGCCCAGGGATAATGCTGATGTTGACCAGATTAGACACGAACGGAGCCGTGGCATTATGATTTAAAGTACACTAATACTATGCCTCACGCTATTACCAAATTGTCCCTCTCCTTGGCCAGATTGAGGATGAACGCCTAGCCACTGAGACTATCTCTTTGGCTGTCCCTGGGCCCCCAGCAACGACGAGAGGCTCGCCTCCGCGTCCCGTTGGTTCTTCCCTGAGCCCAGATCGACGAAACCCGGGTCCTTTCCACCATGGAATCGCACCCACATGCGGCCGGCCTCGTCTTGAATCCTGCCCAACTCAGGGGCCGCGCGGCCGTTGTTTCTCACGAACGTGGCACTCCTATCGAGCGGTTCCCCCTCCCTCCCATTGTGCACCGGCCCTGGCGGGCCGTGCAGCCCAAAGAACATTAGAGGCAGCACGCTGCCTTTCCACACCGGCTGGTCCGGGTCGGTGTAATTTTTAACGATTATCCACAGGAGGAGCACAGCGCAGATGAGCACGAGGATGATGGGCAGGGAGACCCAGCGCTGGTCGAAGTACGTGCAGGTGCTGGTCTCGTACACCAGCCCCAGGGTCGAGGAGCGCCTCGGGGTGTCGCCGATCTTGACGTCCGGCCCGTTGCCCGTCATGCGCAGCTTGTTGGTGACGGTGGTGGCGAAGTCGTCGACGGCGCCCTCGAGGGACTCGAAGGTGGCGTTCATCTGGCCCCACAGCGGCGCGAGCCACCACGAGTCGCCGCAGTTGATGTGGCCCGCCTGGGAGTTGTCGTAGGAGCAGTCCGCCGAGAAGATGGAGCCCATCTGGCTGCTCAGCGCTGACGCGTAGGTGCCGCTCATCTTGTACAGGCAGGCGTTGGGCACGCTGGTGTTGCTGACGGTGTTGTCCAGTTGGTTTGTTAGCGTTATGTTTGCCCAGGTTCGGCCTGGGATGTGTGGCGCGGTCGACATGTTGTTCGGCATATACCAGGTGCTGGCGTTCATTACATGGGAGGCCAGAGTTGTGTTGGACGTGTCAGTGAAATAGTCGCCGTCGTCGAGGATGCAAGGGGAGCGCATTGCGGTATAGTTGTATGTGAAGGTGTACTCGGTTGTCTCCTGCTCGTTCTGAAGCGCTGGTTTGGTGCGAACAATCTCCTCGGTGTATTTGCCTCCTGTATAGCTTCCCCTGTATTCCTTCATACATGGGTAAAGCGTGCAGGATGCGGCAATATAGTCGCCGAGACCGTCGAAGTACTGATTACCAGACTGTGAGATCTTGTGTGGGCAGTCGTAGAAGCCCGAGTTCTTTCTCTTTGTGCAAGGAGAAGTCGTGGACAGCAGCATGCTGAAGTTGCTGATGGCGACACTGGATGCCGTGGCGAATTCCTCACTGAAGAGGTCGGATGCCCAGGTGAGGTTACTATAGCCAACCCACATGTACTGTCCGCCAGGACCGTAGTTGATGAAGGCCTCGTAATCTGGGATGGTCAGGTTGCTACCCTTGTCAGGCCCACTGACATACTGAGTGGTATCCAGACACGCGCTGCAAAGTCCAATGCTCGCATGGGTTGTACCGGTGCCGTAGTCCTCCCATGTACAATTCGAGCTGGCACAGGAGACCTCGACTTCGTTGTCCTTGCCATCGGGATTCGTCAATCCCTGGATCATAGCACCTTTCATGTCGGTCTCGACTTCGAACTGACCAGCTCCGATCCGATAGTAGGATGACCTTCCTGGGGCGTAATTTGCAGTTGGTATCTCGGCTCTCGCATTCGGCAGCAATGTTGGGCACGTGGTGGTCTTCAATGCCTGCTGAGTGAAGGGACCCACTGCCAGGCTTGCAATGGTGACCAGCGCAGCCCCGATACCCAGGAGGCCGGCAGAAGTCCATCCAAAGTTCCACATCACCACCGCCAACAACCGCAGGCTCCCAAGAACGGACCGTGAGGCGGAGTCGAAGTCTTGTAGGTGATGCAAGGGTCGTGTACGTTCTGTAAACCATGTCCACTTGATCTGACCAACAATCTCAGCCACGGCTGCTATCAAAGCTGCTCGCAGGAATGTGGACAGCAAGTTGATCGCAGTGCTGAGGCTGATGTCGAACGGCCACTCGGGCATGGTTTTCCTATCGTAGTACGCTAGGAGGATGATAATAGCGGCGATGAGGAGAACTGCGACCACGATGGTGAGGATCTCAAGAAACCAATGTCGAAGGACCTCGGAGAGATGACTGGGTGATCTTCCATTCTTTGGCCTGGGTGGAAGTTGGTTCGGAGGTTGGTGGTCTTCCTGAAGAGGCCAGGAGGGCGAAGCCGGGTCTGGTGATCTCACGGCTTCCACGGTTGGTGATGCTTTCATCGGCCATGCTCCGGTTTCCTTGTCTGTTGCCGTCATACCGTGGGACTTCAATTCATTATTCATTGTCGCGTGGGAGTTGTCGATGTCCAAGGAGTTCCGCGCGGTGGCTGCATTGGAAGAAAACTCCCCGGAGCGTGGCTGTGGTGAGTCGCCCGCCCGTGGCTGCTGCTGGAGCTCAATGCCCGGCAGTGCGGCCATGTTTACAGGCAGACAAGCGGCGTCTGCAAAGAGACGGCAAAGTCGACCAGTATGAGGTTCGAGCTCAAAAGGATGAAAAAGGTTACCCCCGGCTCGGCCATCTGAGCAAAATATCACAGCTCAAAAATACCCCGACCATGAGCCAGTCATCAGTCAGGAGAGAGAGCCCCAGGATTCAAAACCCGCTGCAGATCACCCTTGTCTGAAATAACCTCAAACATCGCGAACTCCTTCAGGCCAATCAGGATGGCTAGAATTCCGGGTCGCCCGCCCGAATTGGGTTGACACTATCCATTTCAGCCCTACATGACTCGGTGCATAATTTCAAGCATCTCTGAACACGAGCTGCTAAAAAAGAGGGCCCTCGGCGATCGATATCCGCGTTGAGGCCTCAGCTATAAACGATCCCTACTGCACATGTTTTCCTGGCTGATGATCATCGACACTTCACGTTGCCCTACGGACCACGTTCTGACGGTGTGATGCTTTGATGAGCGTCGACCCCACCACTCAGCTCTGGTTCTCAACAAAGATCGTCTTAAATGCGTCGAAACGGGACAGCTCGGAGTACACGATGACTAACGAGTCGCGTTGCCCCTAATTCAAATGCAATGTGTTGTCCTTCGCCCAGAAGACACGTCAGATGGAACCACATCCACCTCAGGCTCACAATTCCAACTCGACCGATTCCAACCGGGCCTGGACGACGTCCCGAATCTCCGTCTTGGGACGCAAGTACGGACGCACTTTTTGTCTCACCATCGTCCTCTGTTCGAATGCATAAGCCATTCCGATCAGCTTCTCCTCGGAAAAGCTCTCTCCTAGGAAGCTGATGCCGAAAGGCACGTTCGGCCCGAGCTGCACCAGGTTCCCGAACTCGTTCTTGACGATCGGCATGTCATCCGGATACCGACCCAGCGGCACAGTCACAGCTGGAGTACCTAACATGGCTGGCGGGTATGACGCGAAGTACGTGGGCAATACGATGGCATCAAGTGAGTGGTTCTTCATCGCGCCCAAGATCCCCATAGTCCCGGCCAACCGCAGACCGAGCGTGCGATTGAACCAAACGTCAGGGTGAGTATTGTTCCTGCCATCCTCGAGTGCGAGATCGAATACGACTGTGTCACGTGTCGGATAATCTTCGCGCTGATAATGATGAGTGAAATTCGAGATATCACTCAGTGATGACATGTTATTTGGGTTTTTGTTGAGGTGGGAGAGGTACCGGGGAATATCCGTGAGAAGGTCCGCACGTAGATCTCTTGACATGTACTTGTGCTCCACGAATTCTTTCCAGCCGGGGAGGAAAATACCATCCACGACCGTTGCACCAGTGGATCGAATTATATCCAGAGACTCGTTGAAGGCGGTTATCAGGGGTCCGCCGGCTTCTTCAGGCACTCCGACCTCATTCATGTCGATGACGCCGCGAGTGACACCAACACGCTTGCCGTGTAACGCGGAAAGCTGGCACGCCGAGACATAATCAGGAAACTCGTCGGTGTCAAATGGAATGGCCGAGGTATAGTTGTCCAAACTGTCTTTGCCCACAATAGCACTGAGCAGGAAAGCTGCGTCCTTCACTGTCCGCGCCAGTGGGCCCACAGTATCTTGGTGCTCGGAGATTGGTATCACAAGATGTCGCGAAGTAAGTCCCACAGTGGGCTTGACTGGACACATTGTCAATGATCATGTCTCACATTATGGGCCAGCGGGCACCGGCATACAAAATCACAGTGGGGCCTCGGTTTTTGCGCTTCAAAACATAAACGAAGATCGCTTTCGAGCGAGAACAATGTGGAATCACTTACTTCCGACGACGTTATTGACGCATGCTGGGCACTGTATTGAGCCTGAGGTTTCCGTCCCTAGTGTAGCCCATGCCAATCCGAGAGACGTTGCGACGCCACTCCCAGCGGAAGAGCCGCACGGGTCTTGGTCTGGATAATAAGCGCCGTGCGTCTGTCCGCCATGCGCCGACCACCCACTGCTGGTGTTCAGACTTCTCGCATCTGACCACTGGCTGAGATTTGATTTCCCTAAGATGATCGCCCCCGCTTTGCGCAGCTTTGCAGCAACTGTACTATCATACGGCACGGTTGCGCCGAGGAGGGCGTATGAGCCGGCTGTGTTGTTCATTTTATCGGACGTAGCAATGTTGTTCTTGATAAGAACAGGTATGCCGTGCAAGGGGCCAAAGACATGACCATCTCGGCGGGCTCCGTCTAGGGACGCGGCGATACTGAGGGCATCGGGGTTGATTTCTGTGACGGCGTGAAGGACGTCGTTTGTTTCCTTGATGCGGGCGATGTAGGCGTGAACAAGGTCCACACTAGTGAACGCGCCACTCTCGAGACCATCGGAAAGGTCTGTAAGAGCCGCGTCGATTAGCGGCGGGAAGAAAGGCGCGGGCCCCTGGTGTGTGGAGAGGGAAGGTTGCTCCAGTGCCGCGACGGCTGATACAGCCAGGAGGGCCAAGCCCGCGGTTAGCGGACCCAGAGACCAATTCATGGTCACCGTGTGACAGGAGTTACAACGCTGGTCTGTATCGCATAGTGGATCGTTGCAATGTTTTCTTGTTGATGTAGGTTGCGCTTCCGGGCGGAGGCGTCGTACGGCATGATGTTGGGCCGGTTCTAGTGCTTACTGTTCAACGTCTGCCACGCAGCCCAATGTAGACTGGATACAACGGTAGGATCCGCCCCCATGCACCACAGTGATTGGAGTGAAATCATGGTGGTGCTCTAGGCCCAGATCAGTAAGCGGGCACCACAGAACACAAGAGTTTCCAGTCTGATTGGCTTGTGCGTGTCATGGCTAAGATGTTGACCGCTACAGATGACTCTTTCGAATCTATTGAAATCTCAACAGGGCATTTTTCTTGCATGCCTGTTCCACGTGAGCTTACCACATCACGCCCCAGATCCTGTGTATACGAGATAGACGAGAGACATCATCACCTTGAAAGTTCTTGAGCACATGGCCTTGGACAGAGTCCAGAGGCCTGGCAGTGACACAAGGTAGCGGAAGAGTGTCAGGGAAGGTAGCGAAGCAAATCATAGAGTCGTCAAGGAAGCAATGCTAATATTCCGTACGAGATACTGGATGGCATCCGGACAGCAAGTAACTCCAGCGATACAAATCTCTTGTGATCAAAAGAAACAGGAATGACTTCCAAGTATTCTCGGGCTTTGCAACATATCAATTGCCAGCTGCCGCTCCTTTGGCCTGGGCAGCCTTGGCGGCTCCGTTACCCTGTTTCGCCTGAGCATCCTGATTAGCAGCAGCATTTCCTCCCTGGGCGGCCTGACCTTGAGCGCCCTTCTTAGCAGCATTCGCTCCTTGAGCCGCCTGAGCCTGTCCGCCCTGCTTGGCCGCAGCAGCAGCAGCTCCCTGTGCAGCCTGGCCCTGGCCACCTTGCTTCGCCGCGGCTGCCCCTCCTTTGGCTGCCTGGCCTTGTCCTCCCTTCTTCGCGGCGGTGGCAGCAGCCGCACCGCCTTGGGCAGCTTGGGCCTGTCCGCCTTGCTTAGCAGCGGCAGCATTGCCGCCGCCCCCAGTGACAGAGGCGACGTCAATACCGGCAGCGTTCAGGGTGTCGATGTCGGCTTGTTTGCCAGAGTCCACGATGGCCTGGACAGCCTTCTCAAAATCTGGACCAGAGTCGAGCGCACCAGCTATTGGTTGGTATGATCAGCAAGTTTGTTCCTGAATGGAAAGCCATGGCGGATCCGACGTACCATCGCCGTTATCGGCTAGCAATACAGCAGCGTCGACCTTGGCAGCGGCAGTGATGCCCTACATGATAGATCAGCCTCGGCGTCCGGACTTTTGCTATACACGGGGAGCAGGTTTCTGGGTCAACGCACGTCCGCGCCATTGTTGGCCTTCGCGTTCACATCGCTGGCTGCTGCTGCGCCGGCGGCAGCGGCTCCATTATTGCCTTGTGCCTTGGCTTGACCTTGGCCACCCTTGGCCGCCTGACCTTTCTGCTGTTGGGCCTGAGCCTGGTTTCCCTGCCCAGCTTTATTCTGGGGTAGTGCAACTGCGAAGGTTGCCAGGACAGTGACGAGAGCCAAGGACAGCTTCATATTTGTGGAAATTAGATGGGTAGGTGGTGTGTGAAACGAGGGACTCTTGAAGAAGTGGAACTTGTCACCGGGACAGATGAGCGCAGCTGGTTGAATGAGTGTTAGTTAGCCGGAGGAATGCGTGGGCTTCAATGTGTACTTGCCTCGTAATGAATGGAAGGAGATGGGATTGCAGCTGATGCCCCACGCGATGCTTGCGAGCGCTAAACGGAATCGTCTTATATTTCATCCCAGGCCGCCAGTCATGGTGAGAAAGTAGGTTAAGCCATTCCCGATTGGCTTTCCTCCGAACACACACGAGACGACAACTCATGTAAGGTTTGTCGCTATTTGCCCTCAAGGGGTTCGGCATCGTGGTGAAACCATCCTGCGAGTGTCCGATCGACAGGGGTTGAATTGCCAAGACGCCACGAAGTGGCTGCGCTTAGCATCTATGAGGCAAGGCTTAATTTTCTAAGGTGGTAGACTCGACCGAACAAGGTTAAGCCGAAGTCACTTAGGACAAAGCTTGGTTTGACAGTTGACACAGGCACCCGGGCACGGGACCGGACTTCATGCGAGGCGCTCACCGCGGGTGGTCGTGTCTGGACTTTCAGGCCAGGCGCCCCGATGACACTATACGCAAGGTTATATTGAATGCAGATATAATTTCGGCGCGCTCAAGGGTCGAAGGCTTCTTCACGCTGAACTCAAAGTCAGGCATTGCTCGAACAGCCGGCTATAGTTGTCAAGAAGACCCCCTAACCGAGCCTCCTTGCCAGGATGAAGTTGTTCTGTGTCAGGCCGGCGGGCTCGCCGAGATAGAATAGAACTGCTATAGTCCATGAGTGCCACATTGCAGTCCTTTAGACCTGTCGTCTCAAGATTCGGCCGCCTATTAGCCTAGTCCAGCAACCCTCGCTCAGCCTGTATACTAGTTTCACATCAGCCACAATGCTACCCGGTTTTCCTTCCAGTGGTACCCAGGCATTACCTTGCATTCACGCCGCGCTTTCAGCCGGTAGGGAATCCATTGATCAGCAACCAGTCCCCTTGGTCATTGGCCCAGTTGATGCTATACTCCCCATGTTCTGCTACGAAGGAGTTGTGTGCATGCTCCCTGCAATCGTAAACTCGTCATGCTGGACGTGGGGTGAGTTAGCAGCTGGCTAGAGCAGAACTTCCGCCCCTTTTGTGTACATCCCCAAGCCGGACCACGAAAGGTGAGTCCGTTCTCTTTCTATCAGCATTTACTGGAGATACGGTTGTGACGAACTCAGACTTCTTGACAATAGTCTATCTTTGGGGCAATGCCTTGCAAGGTGTCATCTCAGGAGTTCATCCCGACCCAGAGTTTCGAGTTGTCGACCAATCTCTGTAGCCGTGCCTATGTGGAAACTGCGTCTTTGCTCACCCTACAGTCATTGATTGCTGCCGGACTGCATTTTCTTTCTCGATTGTCAGCACATGGTTTATCTCCTTGATGTGCCCCCTCGCTTCAAACTCCCTCCGCTGGAACGATATATGTCTGAGCTTGGTTCGGAGGTTTGGCACGCGTGAGCATCCCAGAAGCACCGTGTTCAAGGATGTAGGACTATTGGCCGCAGCACGTCCCTCATGGGTAAGTCTTGGCTTATGTATTGTTGCAGAGCACAACGGCATTTCTAATGGCGGGTATCGAATCTAATTTTACGGGCGTATGAGAAGTCTATCCAATGGCATTCAACCACCTGAATAGTTGCAATCATGTTGTAGTGGTGGCAGGAAATGCTTTCGGGATTATTTATTTTTGCAAGCCGGTCTCAAGGAGTGCACTGCAATATCATGATCAGAGTTTCAGCATTGGCTGATTGTACTTGAGTACGACACGGTACGCGATGATTACAGGTTATATTCCGGATTATGTAGCAGATGGATTGGGATATCTAGAATTTACGTACAAATGAGCATTTAGCCCCTTTCACCCCATCACACCAAATGGGTGGACGTCAAAAAGGCTTTTCTGCACATTGTGCGTTGTGCCAATAAGAAGGGACACTGTGAGACATTCATGGGAGACTATGCTGATGTCATGCGGACAAAAGCAATGCACCGAATACAAAGACCCACGCCTGGCTGAGGCTTGTGATAGGGCCTCAATTAAACCCATGACCGAAAACCTCTTATTTTATACATTGTCTGTATGTGCAGCTGGTTGCGACCTGAAATATTTACACATCAAAGTCCTTGACGTCTCACCCGCCAACGAAAGTGGCGGGCGAGCATCACTTCCCCGCACCTTTCAAACCTCTAGAAGTCTAGAAGAAGTCTGCCAGGGCAGCCACGAACCCCTTGGCGACCAGTTTATGAATGGCCTGTCCCGGGTGGTAGTTGTCGTACCACACAGCAGACGTTCCGTCCGCGTTCGCGGCTGTGATGTCGCTGTCAAGGCCGAACGAGGTGGGGTCGTTGAAGACCTCCCAGAAGTAGGAGCTGGTGTTGAAGGTCTGAGCAGTAACACCGGTGTTGCTGGACTTGAAGGCGTCGAGCTTGGTGGCGAGCTTGGAGTTGAACGAGTCCAGGTTGGTGGTCAGAGCTTTCAGGGAGTCCTCAGACTGGTCGTTGAATGCTGGAGCCTTGTAGAAGGCTGCAGTAAAATAGTAATTAGTCAGAAGTCTTTTTCGGCGGAAACGTTATAGTCAATGAGAATCAGACTTACGAGGGACTGTGTTGAGAACAAAGTTTCTCACGCCATCCTTGTAAAGGTTCTGCATCAAATCGAAATACTTTGTCAGAGCCTCGTCGATGGGGCAGCTTTCATACTGAGCAGACTTCCAGAAGCATTGACCAATATCATTGACGCCGATCCAGACGGCAACAAGCATGTCCTCAGCTGTCCATGGGGCCTCGGTTGGAGCGGGGACCAAGTTGTCCTCGAATTGGCCAACCTGTGCAATCACGTCGGTGGTGACACCAGTGTTGATAATGTCGTTGGAAATATCAGCACCGTAAACGGCAAAGTCGTAAGTAAGTACCAGCGAGCTGTTGAGCTGCTCGGTCACCATGCCGACCCAGTTGAGACCGCCGGTGGTGGTTGAGCCGCCTGAACCCATTGGGTTCGAGGCAGTGGGGAAGCCACCTTCGATGTAGAAGCCGGTGGACGAGTATGAGTCGCCACTGAAATTTGAACCGTCGGTCAGAAAACGAGGTCATTTTGGATTGAAATGTTTTCACTCACAAGACGGCAAGGTACTTAGTGCCATCACCGGATGCTGACGCCGACGATGAAGCAGTAGCTGCAGGTGCGGCGGCGGCAGAGCTGGAAGCTGAGGCAGACACAGCCTGGACCGGGAGATCGCTGGCGACCGCGGCCGAGGTTGGCGTCGTCTCGGAGCCGGAGTCTCTTGGAACGCACGCAGCAGAGGCGGAAGACAAGGCCAGAGCTAGGGCAGCAATCTGTCTTGTAGAGAACATTTTCGAGACTTTTGTTTTGGTGAATGGGTAAAGAATGGATGGAATGGAAACCGGTTCCGTAGATGAATTCAAGAACTGAACGAACGAATGATTGACAGCCGCCGCTGCAATTGAAACTAAACAAGCTCTGGAGTAGAAACAAGAACACAGAAAGAAACGAAACAAAGTATTGGCCAGAAATTCCAGCATTTCAACAGGTGGAAAGGGGTTGCCGTCGGCAGGGGGGTAAAACGGTAGGCCATGTTCCGAAGAGCAGCTCGGAGAGGACCGCCGAGCAACGCGCGGCAAGAAATTAAAGGGGCCGCTGCTGGCCCCGCAAAGCCTTAACCTGCGGCCAGCGCAACGGCCACAATGACGCATTTCAGCATAAAGGGAATTCCGCTCCGAGCTAGACATCCGTGCTGACATGTCTGCATCCATAATTAAAGAATGCCCTTGTTATGCACGTGTTCGGGATGGCTGTCGCTTTTCGAGGTCGGATTAAGGTTTGAGGCTCAATGGCTCTGTGGAGATCCTCCACACTCGACGCAAACAGGGATTCCTTGAACATCAAACAGGGACGTAAGACGGTCTGGTATTTAGGGAAATTCAACAGGACGTGCAAGTAAGGTTCTTAGTTAACAGGGCCTTCCCAAACAATGCAGCTCTCTTTGATATAAACTATAGCTTGCGCATCGAAAGGAGGAGTGGTTGAAAAGCTCCGAGTGGCTTCAACTTAAAGGTGCCGAAGTGCCACCCTTATCGTCCAAGCCACATGGATTTCATGTCAAAAAGACGGGATATGATCCTCTTATCACATAAATTATGAGACCCGCTGGACCTTCAGTGGCTTACAGATGCAGGGCATTGTACCTTCGAGGAGACCCGTATGAGAGTTCTGACGCTGCTTTCGGTGTGAAAGACTCATCGGTCGTGAATCTTGACAAGGCCAGTCGCGATGGCTTGGCGGCCAGGTATGGAGTTTCCGAAAATACGAGACTTCTTACTAATGACTTCGTGCCGGTCACGGAGAAACAGACATATGATCTGCGCGATTCGGAGGCTATCAGAGCAGGACTTTGTCTGGGTCTCAAAGTCAACCTTAAAAAATTGTTGCTTGTAAAAGATGATTAGCGGAAACCTAGTTTAGAGCGGCTACCACAATCACTGTCGCAATCTTTCTTTTGTATTCTCCATTAATCCAGGCAAGGCCTGGTTTAGTATGTCACGTCTGCCTTCATGTAGATCTATCCCACCAGAACGACTGGGTAAGCTTGATGCTCCAGACACGGAACTTGCACGTCTATGGGTGTGCACATGTCCCCAATCTAGAGTAATTTAGAAAAGTCAGAGGCCCACGCGTCCCTCCTGGACCTCTGAGTTTTGCCACCTCGTGCGGTACACGGCTATCAAGCTGAACTTCAGGTAATTCACGTTAATCTCGACAGATTCGTAATTACGATTTAGACTAGTTGGTTCATGTTTCGCAGAAATATCACAAGCGAGACTCGCATTAACTGCTTAGAAATCATCGAGCCTTAGCCCCGCCCGTGGGATGTTGACACCCTGCCGGTAAATTTATCGGCATTTCGCACTCCATCAATTTGAAGTGAGGTTCCACTAATATTAGTCTTTGGAAGCCATTCAACTTTGTGTTTGGCGGGGCTGATGTCAAATGTCTCGTGCAACTTACGTTTGCGATGTCTCGCACTCCTAAGCTTTTCCGCGGCAGAGATCGAACTCTTACCGCCGGTAATCTCTTGACGTCAAAGCCACGTCAATCTGGCGAGCCTCGTTTCTAGAAAAGGATGATTCTCCTCACACGAGTCAGTCGATAGTCAATCAAGGCTCGTTCTATATCTCTGTCCTCCTTCCAGCTCTTCACACACCATCCTCGTGGGTTCGTGTTGCAAGTTCTCTCGACATCCTACCAGCATCCAGGACCCAATGCCATAGGATCATTAATATGTCCAAGTCTCATTCTTCCATCCAGTTGCCACCTATACCAGAGGGGAAGTTCCTTCCAAATGGCTTAAAGAATGACCCACCGTTGCCGCCAGACAATCCGACCATCGGATACAAATTCAACCATGTGATGCTACGAATCAGAGATCCTGCTCGATCCTTGCACTTCTACGTCGATCTTATGGGCATGCGTACGGTATTCACCATGAACACCGGCCCGTTCACCATTTACTATCTCGGATATCCGCAGACAGCTGCTCATCGTGCGGACCTTCCGGCATTCGGCCAGGACACCCTTTCTGAGCTGCCTCACACACTTGGTCTTTTTGAGTTGTATCACATTCATGGGTCGGAGAACGAGCCTGATGGTTACTACTCTACTGGGAATGAACCACCAAACCTGGGTCTTGGCCACCTAGGGTTTTCTGTCCCCGATGTCCCTGCGGCAGTAGATCGTCTGAAGAGCCACGGGGTCGAGGTGATCAAGGACTTGGGTATCGCAACGCGGGAAACTATCCCTCTGAGTCAGTGGGAATCGCAACGAGGCATCGGACTGGGCAATCTGCACCCAGTCTACCAGAACGTGTTCGAGCAGATTGCATTCGTTAAGGACCCGGTAAGTCTCACTCTAAAGTTGTATAGGTTATTTTTAAACGTACAACGGATGCCGTGGAAGGAGATTTTGAATTAACATTCTTGTTGCTAGGATGGGTACACTGTCGAACTTGTGCCCCAGACTCTACAAGGGGTTTAGTCGATACGAGTCGAGAAGATGATTTTCCCCTCCAGGGAAAATGTCCGTGAGAGAACATAGGATTCTGGTTTGCTGGGCCGTATGGGACAGCAAAGAAATGAAAAACTATGGGAACTGGGGCCTCAGACCATACGTTGGACAAGAGTTGCAACAACAACGCAGGTCACAAACAATTCTGATTTAACAAATCATGTTCGGTAATGTTTTGCTCCAATACGTGTAACATGCGTCAAGCGATGTCCAGGGCAGCAATTACCTCCTTACATTTTGTGAACGAAGATTTACCAGGTTCTGCAATGAACGTCCCCATCAGTCTCCATTTGCATGCTAAAATTCTCAATCCCAGCGCTCAGCGGCCTGATTCCTCCGCATTCGTGACATCCCCCATTTCAATGTCATCCATTTTGGTTGAAGCCATCGGGTCGATGGCCAAATTCGTAAAGCCTCGAGTGATCACCTTGCGCTCGAAACGACGATCATTTCAGGCAGCTCAATCCACATAACTCCAAAAGCAATGACAGACGTGGCAAAAAAGATCCACCCCATGAGGCCGCCCTGGTTCCCTTCGCCGGGATTGAACATGTACGGAACCACAATGTTCCATATCATGCTGTGAAAGTAGTTGAAAAAGAAACCTATTGCCAGCGTCTTGGCTCTGAGCCTGACGCTGGACACTTCCGCGGCAACTGCAAGAGCGGGCCCATAGCGGACGTATGGTAGCGATAACAGATATGGCAAAGTACTGGAGAAGTGACATCCTCCCCCATCTCGCCACGCAAGTTTATAACTGTGGGTGAGCATATTTCTTTATGCTGGTACTCATTCCTGGTCGTGACTTGGTTCACGATAGGAAGATAGGGAGTCCTTGGGGCTGGATGAAAGCTGGACATGCCAGTCACAGCAGCAGACCGCGCGAAATCGTCACAACTCCCCTTCTCTGCATGGGGACACGATTTGCTGAACAAAACAAAGTCTAGTGATATCTTTTCTTTTCCAGTATCTATGGTCTTCCTTTCTTGAAGATCTCTAAGAAGAACACAATAACCCAAAGTGCGGGATCAACGCGCTCACGAAATTTGCAGGTTGGTCTCATACACGAGATTCTTAGGACCCATGATATGCAAGGTGCCCGCCCTGAAGAACATGACATAGACACGGCCGTCATATGGATCGAAGCTCGAGTTGAACTGCCAGCCACGGAGACATGAATTCTTTTCAATTTAATATGACGTAATGAGCGAATGGTAGGGAAATAAAAAAAATAGAAGAGATGAAGGAGCCAGCCAAGCCAAGGAAATGAATAGCGGTGTCGGTACCCAGGCCAGACTTTGCAACGGGCCGCCACAAGAGCATCTAGCTCGTGAAAGCCCTCATAATTCCCAGGCCAGTCGGGCTTGAACCTCTCCGACTTTGGTCCACATTTTCCCATTCGCCATCCAACTGCCTGATAGACATCCCCGTCTGGATCATCCTCATAGTCCGTTCAGCAGAGTCCTTGACCAATTTCTCAGTCTCTTTGATCGCCTGCTCCAACGACAACGGCGCGTTCAATATACTCGTAAACGCCTCGATGCCCTCTTCGTACACGGTGTCAGCCCCATCGCCGATGGTCCCAGCCAGCGCGATGACCTGAGCACCGTAGTCACGCGCCCGGCGCGCAACTTCAACAGTCATCTTCCCCTTGGCGGACTGTGAGTCCAGGCTGCCCTCCGCGGTGAAGACAAAGTCCCACAGCTGGTCCAGGATGTCGTCGATGTGAAAGTAGTCGTTGATGGCTTCGGACCGGGCGTGGAGCTCAGCTCCTAGCAGCATCAGCCCTGCTCCTAGTCCACCAGAAGCACCACTGCCGGGGACGTGGGAGATATCGGAGGCGAGGATGGGTTCGAGAGCGGCTGCAAGTCTGTCCAGGGCATCTGAAAGGACCTCAACCTGGGCTTTGGTTGCGCCTTTCTGGGGCCCGTAGACTCGTGCCACGCCGTTAGGGCCACAGAGGATATTTTTGATGTTGCAGACCGCCTCGACTGTGACGCGATCGGCTGCTCCTGGACGAAGACGGGGGTGGATGTCTTCGAGGGAGATGCTGGCCAGCCTGGACAGGGCCGCTCCACCACTGGCAGCCGGAATTGGGTTTCCGTCTTCATCGAGGAGCTTGACACCGAGGGCCTGCAGCATACCTGCTCCACCATCTGAGGTACCAGAGTCACCACAACCGATGATGATTCTCGAGACGCCTTGGTCAAGGGCAGCCTTTATTAGCTCCCCCACGCCATAAGTCGTCGTTCGGGTTGGGTTCCGGTGGGCTTTTGGGACAAGCCGGAGTCCAGCGGCAGCCGCCATATCTAAAACGGCGATGTCCTTGGTCTCACCGGTGAGACCAAAGTGGCTTTGGACAGGCTCCCCAATGGGTCCCGTGATGGTAGTCTCAATGATATCACCACCTTGAGCAGCGATAAGGGCCTTGCAGAAACCTTCACCGCCGTCATGGAGTGGGAGCTTGATAACGGTGGCAGTGTCCTCAGTGATCACCCGACGGATGCCGTCCTCGATAGCGGCGGCTACATCTTCTGGCCCAAGGGCTTCTTTGAAGCCGGATGGTGCGATGAGGATGCGCAGGTCCAGGGGCCGAGGACTGCGGCTTCGTACCGGCGAGCGGCTGCCGCGAATACTGCTCCCTGGAGAAAGCCGATTTGGCGGGGGAGACAGGCTGGATGGAGGGGAGTTCCTCGGAGGTGTCCTGCGAAGATCGCTGGGCTTGCGAGGCCTGTTGCCGATGAGGAGGGGTGTCATTTTCAGACGTTGATAGAGATGTAGGAAACTGTAGACGAGTGGCAGAGAAAAGTTTACAGAGTGTTACAGTTGAGTGTTTCACTGCACTGTCTTGTATGCCCTGACCAAGAACACCCGGATGGTTACTCTGGGCGTTCTCATCACGAGATTTTGTACTCGCGTGCCTCACTTCCCTTTCGGGGTGGATTCCTATCGAATGTCACCGAGAATATGCTACAGCCCTATCTTGCAGCCGTGCCATACACAAATGCGCTGGCAGATGAGCTTGACGATGTAAGCTCAGCCTTGACAGTCCAAATTTAGCAGCAGGAAAAGCAACGGATCAATATTCACTGCCACCTTTCACCGAGATCTACAACGGCTTCGGGCTGTGAGACGGTGAGTCGCGTGACTTGCATGAGATCTATCTCCCGAGCGCAACATGTCCGTGGTCGAATTATCCCGATGGCACGACTTCCTGTGGTTCCTGTGCCGAGCCCAGTCCACCAACACGGCGACACTGCCGCCATTCGCACAAGCGGGTGTTGTCTCATTGATCAGCGCGTTTTCATCGCCTTCTGTTGCAGGCTGAAAGAAGGTGACACTGGGATGTGCCGCGCCTCACGCCCAATCTAGCAATTCCAGCATCTGTATGGCCGGAGCCTACTTCTGGCAGAGAGCATGGGTGTTAATTTGACGTCAATGCCAAGATTGTTAGCTTCACTTGATCATCCGGTTTCACAGGCACTAGACAAGTCGCCAGGTTGTGGCATAGCCACTCACCGGTGAGCTTGTCTTTACCAAGTTTGGAACGTCCATAGAGAAGCACGGTTGGGGTCGAAAATATGGGGCAAGATAAACCCAGCCAACGTTCTCGGCGGCTCTCGGGCCACTCTTGGATAACTTTATCAGCTTCCATGGTCGGGGGCCACATACCACAGCCTCGGGTTCGGTGGCTTGTGTGCAGATTCCTGCAGATAGTTGGGGGCAAGGCCCGAGTCCAACTACCGGTGGTGTGAGTTGTCCTCCGGACGGAAACAACTGTCACTGGCTGGCATCACCAGGACCCTGCGGCCTTGCAATGCATGGTGTCTCGACCTGCGCAAGTGCTGCAGAGTGTCACTTGGCCAAAATGCAGCCACTCTGGGCGAACCACGGCCACTCACCGCCAGCTGTTCGTATACCGAAATAATGCCCGTCCATCCACAGGGGCTAGCGGAAGCGATCTGTGGCGGGCTCTCTCAGCCCCCCGTGACTGTCTCTGCAGGATATGAGACTGTGCTTGGAAGTGTCGCCCCCATGTATCAATCCGTCTTCATTCAGAAGAAGGCTATAGCGGCCTTGGTGTTTGGATATAACCCTTGGTGACCCCACGATGCTTCCTTTTTGATACCAATCAGAATCAACATGAGAGATTGCATATGATCTGTGTATTGAACACAAGCCATCATGCCCCTTAAAAAACATCGTTACCAAAGAACCGACCCAGAGGAAGAGGGCCGCCTCCATCGATTGAGTCGGCTGCAGACTTTCTCTTTTGAGACCCGCACAAACAGCACGCCTATCATCAGGCTCGATAGTGTACTGCGATTAAACCATAACAACAATACGACGGAGTCACTTGACTCGCTAGAACGGCCATCTGAAGAAGAAGCAGCCGAAGAGGGCAACGATGGCAACTTGAAGCAAGACCCCAATCTGGTGAGTAGCCGTCCCGATGACATGTTTCGGTGGGCCCACAAGATCCAGGCGGGCAGCATTTCGACAAGCCGCTAACAACAGTCCCCGTCCAGGTTACCTGGGACGGCCCATACGATATCGAGAATCCTCTCAATTGGTCAGCGAGTCGGAAGTGGACAGCAACAATACTCGTGTCCTGCTTCACCTTTATCTCGCCCTTCTCGTCGACCATGGTCACGCCGGCCTTCGAAGACATAGGTGATCAATATGACATACCCGAGGGCTTCGCCAGGGCTTTGGTGATCTCCATATTCCTCCTCGGCTTCGCTCAGGGGCCATTCGTGCTTGCCCCTTTGTCAGAGCTGTTCGGGCGTGTCAAGGTCCTGCAGTGGGCCAACCTGATATACTTGGTCTTCAACACCGTCTGTCCCTTTGCAAAGACAATGGAACAACTTTACCTCTTCCGGTTCTTGAGTGGTATAGGAGGGAGTGCACCTCAAGCTGTGAGTTATGTCCACCTTCATTCAACCATAGCCCTTGCTGACCGCACCACTTACCACAGCTATGTAATGGTGTGCTGGCTGACTGCTGGCGCAAAGAAGAACGAGGCAAAGGACAAGCCATCTACGGCATGCTGACCTTCATCAGCCCGACGGTGGCGCCAATCATGGGTGCCTACGTGGTCGACAAGATCTACTGGGGCTGGATCTTCTGGATCACGTCCATATTTGACCTCCTTGTCCAGACAGCGGCGTACTTCTTCCTTCGTGAGACATATGCTCCCAAAATCCTAGGTGACAAAGCGAAGAAGCTGCGCAAGGTTACGGGAAACCCTGACCTCAGGACGGAGTACGACAACCCTGATCGAAGCTATGCCAGTATCGTCAGGAGGCGGCTCGTATTGCCGTTCATTATGCTGTTTGCACATCCCGCTATCCAGTTCCCAAGTCTATACAGGGCTTTTCTCTATGGCATCATGTACTTGGTGTAAGTGGCATACACCCTGCATTCAAGTCGAACAGCAAGAGTGTGGCTACAGACATTAACAACAACCAACACAGCCTCTCCACTTACGAACAAGTGTGGGACGGTATCTACGACATGGATAAGGGCCCAGCAAGTCTTAACTACTTGTCCTTGGGCGCCGGCTTCATCGTTGGACTACAAATTAGCCATCCGGTAATGGACAAGGTGAGTGGCTTCGTCACAATGTTCAGACTGAACTCAGACTAATGCACAACAGTTGTACGCGTACTACCAACGCCGCTACAATATCACCGACGGTCTCCCAGAATGGCGCATCCCACCCATGATCATAGGCGGCATCCTCGCGCCCGCAGGTCTCTTCCTATACGGATGGTCCGCCCAGAACCATCTCCACTGGGCAGTTCCCAACACCGGCTGTTTCCTCCTTGCCGTGGGCCTCATCATAGCCTTTCAGTCCGCGCAGGCATACGTAACGGACGCATATGACCATCGTTACGCTGCGTCCGCGGCTGCGGTGGGGGCATTCATGCGCACGATGGCCGGCTTCGGATTCCCCTTGTTCGCGCCACGGATGTACGAGGTTATGGAATTGGGATGGGGCAATACATTTCTGGGGCTCATGACGGTGCTGATCGGAATCGGCTCGCCTGCCGTGCTATGGTTCTACGGGGAGAAGCTGAGGAAGTGGAGCACCAAAGGCTTGTGATGGAGTGTATATCTCCTGAACTTGTTGATGCAAGAAGCATAACAAGTCAATAGACATATTTCCAGAACCCCCGGAGCGCCAAATCCGCTTTTTTCCTGACCTACATACATGCCTGACGATATTCTGCTTGATATGTCACCAAAATGCTGTGTCTCTGCCGGCCCTGCTTTGGAATCCGTTGGACTCTCACCTCACTGCCACATGATCTTCTCGACATCACGAACCACGAGATCTCAGTATGTGTATTTTTGTTAATATCAATCTTGTTATTATTTTCGAAGGGGAGGCCGCGCCTGATACCACCATACTGAACCGCCTCGCTCACGGTTTCGCGCCAGTAAAGTTTAGCGGCTATATATTCATCGGCATGTCTTTCTAGACGAGATTGGATCATGATGGATTCCACCAAGCACATCGTCCTCGTCAGGGTATTTCTGTCTTGCCCTTCCTTTCACCAGTCATACGATTACTGGTGTAAGTCAGCAGTTTGTATCATATCCCTCTTCTGACACTCCTGGCCAGTCAACGCACAAGTGGTCAGAGAAGCCAGGTGGCAACACAAACAGCTCAAAAACCGTACAAGTCTCCAGGATTCACCGTGAATTGACATACGGCTCCTCCGGGGGACCGTAGTCGATCTTGCGCTGCTGGATCCACTTCATAAGGTGACGGGACCCCTTGCCCCGGCTGCTACCCCGGCTCTTGACAAACTCCAGTCCGTTCTTGATCTCTTCAACGCTGATGTCTCTCGTGTGGACCATCGTGCCGTTTCTGGTGGGGAAATAGCACCCAAGCACCCTCTCCTCGTCATCGTACACGGGATTCCTAGGCTGCAGATTGAGGAGGTGCTCGGAGCCGCTCCAGAGATTCTCGAGGTGCAGCTCGGCTAGATTGAGCATGGACTGGAAATGCTTCAGAATCGGGTCCCAGGTTCCTCCGCTCACGTGTACCTCCCTCAGGTCGATATGTGTCAAGTCCGGATGGGTGCGCAAGAATAGCAAAAGGGAATTCGGTGTGGTCCAGATACCGCGAAGGGTGAGGCGCCGTAGCTTTGGCAGGTGCACAGTCTTTGAAATGTGGCTGAACAGTTTGCTATAGGCCCAGGGAGCGCCTTCCAGGGTGTTGTATAGGAAGAGGTCTAGAGCCTCGAGGTTTGGGGTTTGGCGAAGGAATAGGGCGACTCCAGGGAAGTTCTCGTCGGCCCTGGCCCGGGTCTCGCTTGTCGGTATCCGGACGGCGCGGAGATGCTTCATGGACCCGTCGCTGGAGAAGACGATATCATTTGTCGTCGGGACGACAGTCACAGTTGACAAGCCGAGGTTCAGACACCTGATACTGGCGCCGGTGTGTGTTAAAAAGTCGAGATTTGTGAGATCTGTGTTCAGATCAAGGAAATGCCGTGACTACATTCATAAATCAGCTCCAACTCCAGAAGTCCACGATAACCAAGAGCAAGTGGAGGTTCTGCTCACCTGGACCTTGCCAAAACAGTCATTGAAGACGGAAAATGTGGCGACGTCAACTTTGCTCGTGCTCATGGCAGAGGTAACAAGTTTGAGCACCCGGTGACAGTCCGCCCAAAGACAGTTCCAGTTCACAAAGCGACTACTACTTGTGGAATATGGATTGTCGAGGTCCGGCCGAAGCACACGGGTCGTCAGTCTTAGAACGTCGACTGAGCCGAGGTTCTCGAGAATACACGACAGGGACCCGACGATGTCGTCGCTGAACTGCCCCTGCTGCTCATGGCGGCTGCTCATTATCCTATACAGCTGGCCTATCTTGTCTAGGAGCTCCATATTCCGGTCGGAATTCCCAAGAGTAGCCCAAGGGCCGCGCAAAGGATCTCGCAGGCGCCGGATCCTCGTAAGCAGGCTACTCGGATCGTGGAAGACGGCCACCACGACGAGACGCTTGACGGCGGGTGCGAGTGCAGGGTGGATGGTTATCTCGCGCAGCCGCTGCAGGCTCGGGGGCGTGAGGTCTGTCTCCTGTTGTTCGTAGTATGCCAAGAAGGCCGGACTAAGGCATTTTGCGGCGTGCACCGGGGATGCGAGGCGGAGGTTCTTAATTGAGAGGAGACCCAGGTGAGCAAGGACCTGGTTGTAGAGCTCGTTGGGCAGTGCTCTCAACCGATCGCATGCATCGGCCATATTTGCAGAAGTTTCTCAAAAGAGAGTGGAGGAACAAAAGAATGAGTATCAGGATGTGGGCATAGGACTGATGTTCGGAGGTTCAACCGTCGTCGAGTGTCGGCCTCATTTGATGTCGTGACAGTGTGGGGTTGCCCGATGCCGAGGTCGAGATCACCTTGGACAAGGTGGATGGTTGGTCGCTGATTCGATGTCTGAATTTCAAACCTCTGCGACCAGTCATGAAGAACTTTACTGCTCTTTGAAGTGGTTCAAGGTGATGGCAAATCGATGGTTTGTTAGATGGCAAGACGGCGTTGGAACTTGAGGTGAAGCGGCGTACATCGATGGGTTGGCACGGTTGGTGGCACGTGTGCCTGGAGACATGTGTACCTTCCCTGGCTGTTGCTGACTTTGGGAGTCGCCGGTCCTTTGTCCGTTTGGCACCGTCTTGGTGCGGCGTGGCAGCTACTGTTTCGCAGTCCAGCTAGGCCGTTTTACGCCCACCAAACAAGCCAACTGTGGGATTGGCCATTCACTGTACATCTAGCAAAAATCATCTGTCTACCACTTGCTCGATACTTTGAGGCCCTACAGGTGGGTGTGGAGGTGACTGCTTTACGGTACTCTTGTTAGGGATTTCACCTTTCCACAACTGCATCACTAACAGTTGGGGAGGGGTCATAGACGCGAGTGGGCAACAACTTCAACTTCGACCTTGTCACCCACAGCAACGTCTCTCATTCCTTACACAAGCCACAATTTCAAACACATAAGCTGACAAAATTTCCGTTTTCAGTCTTTTGCTTTATACACTGCCGATTTGCGATTCAAAATCTCGCGCATGGCCTTTCAGCCCAACTGCCAGCCATAAAACACAACAAGAAGCTGGACATGTAAGTTGTGCACATCCTAAGGGCCTGGGGAATCCCCCACTCAAGCATAATCTTTGTTCCTCTGCCCAACATACAGAGCCAGCCCATAATCCTCAGTGGTGAAGGTGATCTTACTCCCGCTGGGAAAGAAGAAGTGGTCTCCCGGGACGGCCTTGGTCGTCTGGCCCGTCTCGTCACTTATGGTGAACTCGCCCTCGAGGATGATCTTCATCTCGTCGTACGTGTACAGGTACTCGAGCTCCTTGCCCTTGTCGAGGCGGAAGATGCCAGACGACATTGGCTTGTCCGGGTTGACCTTCTCTGAGCTGAAGATGTCCTGCAGGAACACGTTGGGTTCCGCCAGGAGCTTAGGCTTGAACTCCTTGGGCGCGTTCTTGTACACGGAAAAGGCGAGTGGCTTGCTGCTGTCCGCGGTAGCCATGATGCTCTTGGGTATGTAAAGTGATCTAACACAACGACATCGCCATCGACATCAGTCTTTGACCACCGGGTTGGGCAGATGGCCTGGCCATAACTTACACTGATGGGTGAAATGTGGAAGATTGGGTATGTAAACGGTGATGGGGAGTCGCTCCGTCCACATGCTCTCAAAGCAGCGTGTGGCTTTATTTAAGCTCCATCGACCTCCTCGCCTGGGACGACTGCATGCCAGAATCCCAAGCCAGGGTGGCCGTTCTCGCCCATAGCCTCTCACGGGATTCTGCGGAGAGATGAACTACCCATACGGCAGATGCCTGATGGACTTGCCAGGCTTATCTCGCAGTGAGCCGGCCTCCAATCTGTAGCGCTCTTGGTTCCATGTGGGGAAAGCTTGGGGGGAGTTCGTTTCCGAGAACGGCGATAGTGGCAGGCTCTCGGCGGTGTCACGGTGTTCAGGGCTGGGGAGCTGCCATGGACTGCCGACCTGGCATCTCTGGCGGTCGTGAGCTTATCCAAGACATGGCGATCAGCGCGTGCTGTGCGACGTCGTTGTACTGCTCGCCAGGATCCCAATCTCCACTCCGTTTCCAAACGAGGCCTGGCTCGCAGGTCCACGACATAGCAGGAAAAGCTCTGGTGAGGATCAGACCCTGGCAGCCACGGCCAGAGACCTAGGCAAGCTTCAATCACTACGCTTCAAGCTTGAGGCGGGTCAACTCCTCCATCACCAGAATTCCTATTCCAAAATGGTGATAGAGGTTCGTGAGTTGGCGCGTGTGGAGGGGTTGTGGAGGGGTTGTGCAGAGCCACTGTGTGTGGAAAATAAAACGTTACCCCCCCCCTGTCGTCTTGGTCAGCTATCCCCCCCCGCACCAAAATTTAGCTATGAAAGCGAAATACATACCAAGATTACTAAAGATACCCTTATTAATATTACCACGCACTTAATTTAATAAAAGAAAGGTTATTATAACCCCATTTTACATATATCTTTAAAATAATTAAAAGTAGCAAAATTAACTTAAGCTTATTATATTAAGAAATATATGCTTTATTAACTTTAATTTAAGATAATTATAGCTTACTTAAATTAATTAATAACTTATTTTAATAACCCTTAAAAAATAAAAGCTTAATTATTATAATTATATATTTATTTATAATATTAAATTATTTACTTTATTAATAAAGTATATATTAATTAATTAATAATATTATTATATATAAAAGAATTAATAATAAAGGTAAAAGCTATTATTATTATAAAATAAAAGTTAATAGCTTAATTAAAGCATTTTTAAGATAAGTAAATAATTACTTAACGTATTATTTAATATGCTGTTAAAAATATTAAAAAGATTACCCTTAAAGCTATTTTTAATAAAAATAATACTTTAAATAGCTTAAATAAAACTAAAGATATTTATATTAGCTAAGAAATATTAAATATATTTAAATTATTATTATTAATTAGCAATATTAAAGATAATAATATTAAGGAGCTAAGAAATTATTTTTTATTAAGAAAATTGTTAAAGAAAGTATTTTTAATATTATATATTAAAATTATTAATATAAAGGCTTTTTTAATGCTATTAATAAAGTAATAAAGCTTTAAATTTAATAATAATAAATATAAGGCTTTTAATATTAATTTATTATTTAACAAGCTTTTTTTTAAAATAAAGAATTAAGTTAAAGCTAAGCTTATTAATATAAAAAATATAATAATTAAATTATTATAAGTTTTATTTAAGATAAATTATTAATTATAAATAAAAATATTCTTAATTTAATTAAATATAATAAGAAGAAATAAAAAGCATTTTAAGGAAAAACTTTTTAATAATAAAATTATAAAAATACTTTTATTAAGCAAAAGTTCTTATTATTTTATAATTATATATACTTATAAAGTAATACTTTTAATAATATAAATAATGCTTTATAGCATTATAATATTAAAATAATTAAGTATTAAAATCTTTAAGCTTTCCTTATTAGCAAGGTTAATGCTTAACTTAATAAATAATTTATTAATAGCTAAGCGCTTAAAAAGTATTCTTTTAATAAAAAAGTTATTATTATCTTAAGGCCCTTAAAAAAAGTTAATTATTACTTATATAATAATTATAATAAATAATAATTAATTATTTATTTTTAAAGCTTATAAAAAGTTAATATAAATATAATAATGCTTTAAAGGTTCTTATTATAAAGTTAATTATTATTATTATAATAAAGAAAACTTTTTATAATAATAATGCTATATTAAGAAAAATAATATATATATAATTATTATTAATATTAATTTAAACTTATAAGTATAAATAATAATTAATAATAAGGCTATTATTTAAAGGTTTTTAAAAAAGCTTTTTATTAAGTAAATAAATATTATTAAAGTTAATAAAAGTAATAAGAAACTTAATAATAATAATATTAACCTTATATATAAATAAAAAAAACTTAAAAAGAGTAATAAATAAAAGAAAAGTAATATTAATATAATAATTAACTTATTAATTAATCTTTATACTTTTAGCTTTATATATAAATACTTAATAATGCTATTATTAACGCTATTAATACCTTTATTAATATTGTGGGAATAGTATGTATGGGCGTGGCATGCCCATGCAGTGGGTGCATACACGCAATGCACAGATTTGAAGGTGCATGGTTTAAACTAGTCTTATCAATAGCAGCTGCCAGCCGGCGCCAGCCGGCTGCCAGCTGGCGGTTACATGCCCCGCGCATAAACTACCATAGCTAGCTTATAGCCAGACTGGGAAGGCTACAGCTTCGCTGCAACCTACCCTCCATACCATAGCCGAATTGATTACCCATATAGTTAACTGCTATCGCCCTCATTCTCCATATGTACGGTACCCATCGATATTAATTAATTGTTAATCAGGATGATTGCGATAAATAATTAAATGAGGTGATAAACCTTTATCGCGATTAATTAAGCGGCAACCATTGGTAACGGAAACCGCCTTAATTAAGTCACAATATTTACGCTAAGCAGCCTATATTAGCATTATAAGGGCAAGCAACCATTAATAACAAGAACCTGCCTAACTAAGTGTTAATAGCTATGCTAAGATTAAAATTAATGGGAAGAAATTAATAATGCCTTAACTTTCTTATTGCAAAGATCCAACCTGCTAATCAATACATTCTTGGTAGTGCCTTGGATTTGTTAACTAAACGGCACGTTTCATCACGCAAATCGCTAGCAATGACAATAATTACGATAAGCCTTAGTTAAAAAGCCTTCCTTAACATACCCTTAAGCAATCACAACCTTCCCCAATCATTAAAAGCCCCCTCGCGATATCCTTAAGCCCTTTATAAGGCACCCTTAATTGCCAACGCCCTTGCTTGCGACGGGCACCTTTAAGAAGCCCTCAACCGACACCCTTAAGAAGCCCTCGATCGGCACCCTTAAGAAGCCCTCGCTTGGCACCCTCAAAGGAAGCCCTCGTTTGCAACCAACGCCCTCACCCTTAGGGCCTGTAACCCTCTAAAGACCCCCTAAGCACTTAATAAAACCAGAACTCTAGAGTACCAATAAACAACGTTTCTTTTGGGCGATTTACGCACTTAATTAGCACGCCTAATTAAATACTTTAAAGTATTAATTGACAAATAAGCAACTAATGTAACCGTCTCATCTGCTCAGTCAGCCCGAAACCGTCAGGGGAAAGAGTCAAGATTTATTGCTAATTCAGCCATATAAACGACTTAATCAAACCTTTAAGACATTCACCTTCCAACAACAATCAACGTCTAATTAATAAGCATAACCTTCCCTCTTCTTAACGCCCTCCCTCTTCCCAACGCCCTCCTTGCCAACGCCCTTTAACAAGATCTTAAGCACAAATTGCCCCAGAATTAGTATAAGTTAGTCTGCCAGGCAGTAATAACATTCAGGCGCCACTACCTGCGGGTAAATGGTTTAAGAGCTGGTCGTTAGCCTATAAGCACAGTAAAAGAACGTTTTCTTTCCCCTTCCCCTTTGCCTTATGATTAATTGTCACGAGATCTGCCCCAACGATAAAGACGGCAATAGCCTTAACGGCAGCAGCAATGCCTTATTACTATATAAAAGTGGCGCCTGCCACTAAGCAAAAGTGGCCTTGCCATTAAGCAAGAGTGGCCCCTGCCATTAAGCAAGAGTGGCCTTGCCACTAAGCAAGAGTGGCCCCTGTTACTAAGTAAAAGTAGCCTTGCCACTAAGCAAAAGTGGCGCCTTCCACTATGCAAGAGTGGCGCCTGCTATAGCCGTGAGAGTGGCGTTTAGCATCAGCCATTAAAAAGAAGCTGCCAGAGTGACAATTAATTAATCAAAGCACGGCATTTTAAACACTTTAGAACTCTAGAGTATTGGCAATTAGACGATCTGATTAAGCGATTTAAGCGATTCAAGCACTTAAAACGCTTGGGCACACTTGCATTTAAATACTCGCACTCAACCCACTAAAGCAACGGCCATAGGGCACTTAACCCCCTATAACCCCCTAAAGGACAAGATATTCACATTAATAATCAATCTAATTGGCTTGAAGTAAATGATCCACGGAGGAAAGCACGATTTTGAAGCGTATACATGCATATATATAAAAGACTGCTAGTATGGGAATAGTATGTATGGGCATGGCGTGCTCACGCAGTGAGTGCGCACACGCAATGCATAGATTTGGAGGTGCATGATTTAGACTAGTCTTATCAATAGCAGCTGCCAGCCGGCGCCAACCGGCTGCCAGCTGGCGGTTACGTGCCCCGCGCACAAATCACCATAGCTAGCCTATAGCTAGACTGGGAAGGCTGCAGCTTCGCTGCAACCTACCCTCCACACTATAGCCAAATCAATTACCCATATAATCAACTGCTATCGCCCTCGTTCTCCGTACATACAGTATCCATTGATAAATATACTTATTAAGGGGCTTTAAAAAGCTATTAACATTATTAACGTTAATAGCTTCTTACTTAAGCAGCTTTATATATTATTATTAATTACTTATGCTTTTATTATTATCGCTATAAATACTTAATAATTAAAAAGCTCTTAATAAAGACTTTATATTTAAGGCCTTATAAAAGCATTTTTATATATTAATAAAGAAAAAGTAATTAATAAAGTTATAAAAGGTTATAAAGTATAAAGGCATTAATTTCCAAGCTTTATATTTAAAGAAGGATATTTAATTTAATAAAAAAGGCCTAAATAATATTAAATTAATTAAAAGGCTTATAAAGCTATACTTAAAAGAAAGGAAGGACTTTTTTAAGCTTTTTAAAAGTAATAAAAAAGAGAAAAACTTATTATTGCTATTAGCATTAACATAAGATAAAAATTATAATTTTTTATAAGTAAAAAGCCCTTTAATATTAACTAATAATGCATTAATATTAAAAAGTAAATTTAAAGCGTTTTTTAATAAATTTTAAGTATTTAATTAATATTATTTATAAGAGAAAAAGTAATATAATTAATAAAATAATTAATAAAGTAATTATATATTAAAAAAAAGTATTTATTTAAGTATTTAAAAAGTTAATTAAGAAAATTAAATATATTCCTTATAATAAATTATTAAATATCCTTTTTTAATTATTTTATTAATATTTTTTTTATTAACTTATTTATTATTAAAAAACTTATTATAAATAACCTTATTATAATACTTTTTCCTTTTTATTAATATTGCTTTTTTTACCCTTCTTTTAATTATATAATATTTTTATTACTCTTTATTATTATTATTACTTTTAAATTTCTTCTTTAATATATATATATATAATGGAAATATTTCTTAATTACTTTTATATATTAATTAACTTTTAAAGCGCTTAAATATAAAAAACTTATAAATTTTTTATTATTATTATAATTATTTATCTTATATTAATATTAATAATAAATATACTTTTTTAAATTCTTAAAATATGCTTTAATTAAGTTAAAATTAAGGAAATATAATAATAAATATATTACTTAAATACTCCTTACCTTAATAACTATATAAATAGCATAATTATATTATTATAAAGCATTATTTATTATAAGAATTAATTAAGGGCTTAAATAAGTATTTATTTAAGGGAAAACTTTTTTAAAAAGCTATATTAAGAAGAACTCCTTTATTATATACTTTTTATATATTATAATGTTAAAAAGATTATTAATTATAATTATTAGCAATAAATAAAAGTAAACGCCTTGCTTAAGAAAACTTTTAACTTAAGAAGTATACTTTAATAATACTTAGCTTATTTTTTTTATATTATTATACTTATTAAGTTTTAATTTATTATAAAAAATAAATATTTTAATAATATGCTATAACTTAAAAATCTTAAAAAGATAATAACTTTAAAAATCCTTATTATATTGCTAAGTTAATATATATACTTATTTATTAATTTAATTATATACCTTAAAGGCCTTTATAATAATTAATATAATAATATTAATTTAATATACCTTTATAAAAAAGCATTATATCTTATTAAGGTATATATTTAACTTATTAAAAAGAAAATTTTTAAGCTTTTATATAATAATAATTAAATATTAATAATGCTTAAAAAGCTTATTATGCTAAAAAACGTTATATATTTTTAAAACTTATTGCTTTAATTTAATAATATTTAATAATGTTAATAAGGATATATTAAAAGCTATAATATTTATTATTATAACCCTTTTTTAATATTATTAAATTATTATTTTATTATAGCAAAATTTAGCTTACAGCTATTTATTTAGCAGCAATAAGTTTAAGCATAAATAAAATTGCAATATTTATAGTTATATAAAGGTTAGCCGTATTATTATAGCCTCTTTTTTGCTAAATTGGGTATGCGGTAATGGTGATGAGGTTATCCTTGGTAATCTTGGTGCGTATTCCGCTTTTATAGCCAAATTTTGGTGCGGGGGGGGACAGCTAACCAAGACGACAGGGGGGGGGGTAACGTTTTGTTTTCCACACACAGCAAGCTGGAGGTGCCAGTGGCCCAAGCTCCTCGCAGAGTCTCGTCACAGGGGAGCTCCGGCCCCACTTCGAGCTCCCCTGCCTGCTGAAGCTCTACCGGTGTGCAACTTCAACCTCATAAGCCCGACCAGACAGATCTGACTGACCTCACAGACAACTCGACATTCGCACGGCCGACCGACCTGATCGCGATAGCACAAGCCAGGCAGATTGTCACTATTCAGATGACGGTCCCGTTTGGTATTCCAAGCTTCGTGACTTCATCCACACCTCGCCCCGCCGTTGTCAAGTCCGCGATCCGACCATTGACCGACCGACCGAACGCCGCTTCCTCAGAATCGAGCATGACCGCCGAACAAATAATGTGCGATCGGTATAACGAAGCAGTGCTTGGGAATGGATCACGGACAAAATATTGAAGGTGAAGTTGGCCATTGCAACCGCGCACTCTGCTTTCGCAAATGGCTCCCGAGCAAGAAAGATCGTCAGATGGGCCCGGCGCTGCTCGAGACCACCCGTCTCTGATCCGAGGCACAGTAATTGAACATACAGAAACCCTACAAAATTCTCAACAAGAACACTGCAAGCCAGTCTTCCCGACAGCAGCTGCATTGGGTGACAATATCAGACTTCAACGGCACTTGGGACGAGTGGGAAATTCAACAAGGCGGTAAATTGGAAGCAGTATGCGCCTTCTCGTGGACGCACGTCCTGGTAGTTAACAAGTCCAAGTGGACAGTTGGCACTGCATATGCCAGAGACATCCGACCTTCCAAACCTCCAAAAATACGGGAACACGGGCAGAGATATCTCAACCTCTAGGCTCCTGCATGCTGTCGCTTCCACAAGGCACCAGCTGGTCTTTGATCCTTTGCGTTGAGTTCTGACGGTATTGAAACCGATGGGTGCCGGTCTCCTTTTTGCTGAGACCTCTTCCTGTTGAATTACTATATGTGAACCCCATCTCCTCGTGAAAAGTATGATCTAGGCTCCTTTCACAAGGGCAACGATGCGGTAAGTTGCCATGGTTCCTTTGGTTGCTCTTGTTTTAAGCTATTCTTTCCTTACCAACAAAAGAAACATGTACAAAACATGTACTCAACCTTGTCTTGCCTCTCATACTGAGTCACTGCTGTCAGCCGATTCGTTGCTAGCCTCTGAACCTGGCATCATAAGTTGCGGCGGACTCAGCATCCCTCAAAATCATGAAATTCTGGCTATCATGGCTCTGGTTTGGCCAAAGCCCAGCCCCAGCTTCCAATGGTACCATTCCAATGTCCTCACCGTGAGCCTCGGGCCGAGCAGAACTTTTGGAGCTTCCATGAAAGGGTCTTGGCCTGGGGCTACTAGGACCACCTCTTCCAAACCACATACTCCCGCTGCCATCCCCAGAGCCCTTTCGTTCCTTCTGAACGCTCTGTACTAGCCGGTTGAGAATTGCGAACTCCACCTTGAGCTTGATACCATAGACGAGCGGCTTGAACGAACCCTGGAGATTGAAGAACGACGCGAACTGTATTCCGAGTAGGGCGATGTCCAATAGAATGACGAGAAGGTTGCTGAATATCATATGGTACAGGACCAGATTATGCTTTCCAGCTCCGGGTGATGTGAGAATGGCACTGCTGTGGAGCATTTTCCTCGCTTGCCACATGTAGGCGGCGTTCATACTAGTCTCCTGGATGAAGAACACGGTCATCTCCAGCCGACTCCATATTGAGTAAGCTTTGGAGAGTGAGGGCTGCGATGTTTGCTAAGTGCGAGGTATCGCGATCAGAGGTCAACTCACAAAATTCATACTGAATGGAACATCAAGGTTGACATTGCTAGGACTCACCAAAAGGATGCCCATGATAACAGTTGGCACGGTACTAAGTATGACTGAAGTAACACACAGAATGATCATGAGCATTTTCAGCTTGCTGCTGTTGTGCACGACCAGATGCAGACGCGAATACAGCACCCAACTTTGTGGAACAACCATGATCACCCATGTGAGGTAGATGAAGGTAATTGTGGCCGTGTGATCCCTCCAAATGTTGAAGTCCGCAAGGACAATGAACAGTGGCTGGAGTATCACTCCCTTATTTGAACTGAGTATCAACAGGTCCCCAAGCTCTGGAACGCCTCGCCACGTGTTGGCGAAGTTGCTCAAGACTTGGAGGCACGACCACATGACGGCCATAACAATGCTGATCACTCACCAAGCACAAAGCGCACACGACCAGAAGTACAGGCCGCTCCATCTGGAGAATACCAAGAAGAGCTCCATGCTCACTTCGACACCGATATACATGGAGATGCCAGTGAAGGCAGCCATGACCATGTCCACTGAATTGTACGACTTGACCGAGACGGAATATGGGTTTCCGATCCCAGAGACGTTCGAGGTACAGCAAGAAGCTTAAGAACTTTATGACGGATCTCCATGGTATCATGAGAGAATTTACTGAAGGCAAAAGACCAGTTTATGTTCTTAATCTTTTGCATGTCATCTTTGTGGTTCCACCAGTCTGAGTGAGAGGGTGAAGCGGAGTGTCTTTCAGTTGGCGGAGGTTGCATGAGCTGACTGTCAGCCCGCACGCTCCTTGGCCAAGTTCTGGTGTTTGTGTTACTGAGACCCAACTCGGGCAATGATAATCTGCAAGAATTTGTCCAATGGCTGGGTATGAACGAAGAATGTGCCAAGGGCTGCATCTCTATTCGTTATAATTTATACGACTTGAATACATGTAGTGATAGGAGGCTGAGCCTCTTTCGTTGCAACACTGCATCACCACGGAGGTTGCTTCGTTTTGAAACACGGCCAGCTCAAATCCAAGAACAATCATACGTGTGCTTTGAAAGGTTTCTCGCATACCTCAGGGAGAGGCTTCGGGAAACAAGGACTAAAGTATCGCCCACTGTCTCCTGCAGAGCCTCGGAATCAATATCCCCCCAGTCTGGACTGAAGGCGTTCTCGGGTCGACCGCTCTCGTCGTCCCAGCAGCCTTGGAATTCTGTCCACAGGTGTGCGCATTATGTACCAATATAAACTATTTGTTTTCCGAATCATTGGGTCTGCTAATTCAAGTGGTGAGTCATCTATACATTTCCATTTCCCCTTTCCTTTTGCGATATAATTCCTGTTTTGCGGGCTACAACATCCTGATGATCACTAGTAGGCTTGTATTGTCAGAATTGGTCTCGTGTATCTTGTTACCTGACGGGCGTCGACATTTTTGGGCCGAGGATAAAATTCAGGCTACTTTTTGGCGAGCTTGCGGTAGGAATGGCGGAGGGCTGGTAGTCTAACATGTACATAGCCACCTGGTTAGTGACCAACAAGGAAAATAAACCATTTTCTCACTAGTGCCCACTAGTAAACACAAGACACGCCATGGTCCTAAACCGGCGGACACATATGGAAAGCTTAGCCGTCGCCGGCTCATCAGCGAACCAACTCATGGTCACCATGTGGTCGCCTCAGAACTTCTATATTAGCTATTTGTGCGTCGGGACGGAAACTTGGGGGAAAATGAGATCACTGCATCTACAAAAATGACGTGGTGTTCTTCCCTCCCTTTGCCTTCCACAAACCCGCCCATTCCCAAGTGTTCGCACACAACATCGTCCGGCACTTTTCAAAACTCGAGAACCTCGATAACAGCACCCTAAGACCATGGCTCCGTTAAATCTCACAGGGGATGTGATATCTCCCCTCATCCGGCATTTCAACAACAGCCCCGTCGCCCCCAACGTGCTCATCAACGCGCGAGACTCCACCTTCCCGGACTATTCCCAACCAAAAATAAATAAAGATAAAATCGCAGCAATAATAATTGGCGGAGTCATCCTCGCTATCATTTTTGTGTTCATCTTTTGCAGAACCTTCGAAAAGATCACCCAGCGCCCGGAGAGGCCGATGCCCCAAGGCCAAGTCTACGGCTACACCAATGCCAGCTCCCACGCGTTGGCCTCGCTGAGGCCTGACAGGAGCTACGAGAGGCCGAGTTTTCAGCATATTGAGAACAGTGGACTGGGCAACCGCCAGTCGGGAGGGGGTGCGGTGGCATATCCAGCGCCAGTTGTGACCCATGGTCGGGATAGACAAGATGAATCGCCGCCACCGCCATGTAAGTAGCTTCACGCAAATTTTCCTTTAAATCTCCTACTTGACACTGCCTTGTGCTTTGGACCGCCGAGGACGATGCTACCCAGGCCATCGGCGGATAGTCTCACGCAACATCAGTGCTTGTGTGATTTGCTTGTGTGATTCATTTATCTCCAGGTCTTCTGGCTAACACAACGTCTTGCAGATCCGGAGCCACCGAAATACAAGTTCTCACCGTATCTATAGGGAACGGACAGAGTTTTATGGAGGTGGGGCTGGCGGGGTTGAAAAGCTCAGGTTACAAACGCTTCAATCACTGCTCGCCAGTGTGCTTTCCATTCAACCTCGGTGCGTATGGTCGGACATGGAAGCCGTCATCAGAAGAGAGGCTTGAGGGCTGTTTGGAGAACCTCATGGGAGTGAGGAAGACTGGGAGGCAAGCAACCAGGAGGGAAAGTTTCGAATAAAGCCCTTGAACATTGAATTATTCTGTATCTAGGGTATCTAGGGGGCAATTCCTGAATCCATCAAGCAGTGGTAGTTGTCGATGTCGCCGAGTGTGAAGAGCTGCCATTAAAATTCATTAAGCATCCTCGTCCAGCCCAAAATTTCAAAAAATACACACAAGGTCACTGAGAATGTCTCAAAGCCCCAGCATGCCTTGCCAACACCAGTCGAGGGTCCAGGCCGATGGACAACTACTGACTGGCTTAGCCGTAGGAAGCTCAAAGCTCCGAGCTGTGGTCCAGCCTGTCCTGCTTGACCTGCTCGTCGCTGGTGACCATCAGGTACTCCCACCTCTTGCGCACCGTGGTGTAGCCGAAGGAGTACGAGCCGCCGTGGTCGATCATGTACTCGGCCACCTGCTTCCAGGGGACGTTGTCGCGGCTGATCTTGTCGACGTCCTTGGTGAATTTGATCACGGCCCGCTTGAGGAGCTTGTCCTGTGGAGTTGGGAATGAATGGTTAGTTCTCACATGCGTGACAAAGGGAGGAGGTGTGATCCATGTGCGGATGAAGAAAGATCGGGGAGTGTGAAGTTGGCGGATGAAAGTCAAAGACCGCCAAGCAAGATGGGGGGGAAACATTGAAATCACTCACATCAATCTCTTGGAACTCGGGCTTGCGCACCCTCGCCTCCTTGGGCTTGGTCAAGGTGCGGAAGCGGCCGCGCAGGGTCGACTCGGCCTCGGTGAAGCCGCCGTTCTTGCGAATCTCCTTGTATGTCATGCCGGCCAGCTTGGACTGCACCAGGTACTCGTCCTTCTCGGAGCGGGGTGGGGTTGCGGACTCCTCGGCGGCGCCCTTAGAGGGCGCGCTGGTGGCGGATGTGGACGACGACGCCTTGCCCTTGGTGGTCTTGTGATGGGCATCGAATCCGCCTTTGTGGCGGTGGTGGAGAGCAGTCTGGGACTGAGTCTGGGAGTGGGACTGGGCGGAAGCTTTGGTCTTCGCCTTTGATTTCTTCGAGCTTGGCGCCGAGAACTTATCACCGCTCGCCTCGCCTCCATGGCGGCGCTTTGGTCCATTGCTGCTGGAAGTGGCCTTTGAGTGAGGTGCCTTGTCTGGTAGTTGCTTCCGGCCGGCGCTGTTCAGCTTGGAACCAGTCCCACCCCTTGCCTGCACAGCAGAAGATGAAAGGGTCTTCACCTGGGGCAACGCGCCAGCCGATGTCACATCAGAGTCACTCTCCATCCGGAAGGGGTTGGGCAGTGACTCGGAAGAGGATGAGCTGGGGAGGCTAGGCACGTTCTTGAGGTTCAGCATCTTGGGAGAGACAGTCTCGGCCTCTGGGAAGACCGCCCCGGGGGTGATGCCGAAATTGTGCGCGGCTGAGCGGGACAGCAAGGCTTGGGGTATGGCACCAGGGTTGTGGTACAACGGCTCGTCGGGTGGGAAAGCGGAAGGGCTGTGGAAGTTCTCTTCCGTCACATCCATGTCCATCATGTCCTGGGGTCCAATGGAGGACGAAAAGCTGCCAAAGACTGTGTTTGGAGAACTTCCGTTCACTCGGTAGCTGGACGTAGAAGAGCTGTCGACGTTGGGTACGCCGCCCATCACCCAACCGAACTCGAAGGATGGGCCGACAGCCGGGTTGTCTGGAAGGTTTGGGAGGCCATGTGCCAGGGATTGGGGAAATCCATATGGTTGGATATACTCGTTGTTGAGTTCTGGGGCAGATGGCCATCTCTGTGGGCCCTGCACATTAATGGATGGGGAGAAGTTGTTGGAAACTTTGGTTGAGGTCGAAGTCAATGTGGTGTTCCATAGGCTCTCAACATTGGATTCTGTCTTTAAACCACCAGTTCTGGGGTTTACATTGGTCCGGGGGCGGCCATGAACATTGCCACGTTTGTTGCTGTTTGAAGATGCAGTTGAGACATGGTGCGTGCTCTGGCCGGGAGCCAATGTGAACTCGTCCAGAGCAGGGTGATAGCCATTGCCAGGCGGTCCGCGGAATGCTTCATTGGGGTCTTCCATCTGTGAGAGAGCCCGAGGTCAGTGTTCATTATTCTCCGAGACATGGAACAAAGGAGTGATGGGAAGGCAGAACAGGGGCGTCTCACGTTCTGAAACCACACCATGGATTGATCGAAATCGTTGGCTCGAAGGTGGTACTGCTGATGGTCGGTTCTTTGTCGACCGAGATTGCCTTGGAGGGTTTCGTTGCGACCAGGCGCCATGCTTTGGAGTCCGGCACGGAACGCAGCTTGTTTACCTGACAAGCCCTGGAGGCTTTGCAGATGCTGCTTAAGGAACAAGTTCGGGTTCGCGAGATCGAAGGCGAACGTGGGATCAGGCGATGGTCCCCATAAACCCTGGCCATTGTTGAAAACCGGCCCCATGGGACCTGGGCCTCTCATAAACATCTTGCCGACTTGACCATCCATCCTGGTGGCTCACAATTCTCGCTCTGGCGGGGTCGAAGTTGCTGGATGCCTCAGCTCGTCGCCGTCGCCGAGATTGCTTCCCAGATGACGTTGCGCGAGTGAATGTTCAGTATTTCTCACCGCTGATGCTGTGCGATGCAGAGTTATGTCGCGCTTGTGCGTTGTCTCTGCCTGAACAGATTGTCAAGCGTGTGATCTTGCCCCACTAACCACTGCCTTCTGATAGTGGGTAGGTTGAACGCCAGCAAAGAGATGGGATGATCGCTGTTGTCAAGGCCACAGCAGTGAAAGCTGCAGAATGGTGACGGGTTTCTGCTGCAAGGTAAGGCAAGCCGTTCTGAGAGAGAGGCGGTCTGAAGATCTGGTTCCGTATGCGGGTTCAAGGCAAGCTGCCGAGTAAGGCCGCCGAACTGTTGGGCAGAGCTTGTAGTTGCGGAGGGGTTACGTCTCCGTCTACAGCACAAGAGACGGTCACTGGGGGACTCTGCCTGGGCTGGAGTCAAAAAGATGGGACGGTAGATGCCTGTGTACAAGACCGTCTGTGAAGACCTTGAGCTCTGGCAAGTTCAATTTGGGTAAAGGACAGGAGAATCAATGATGAACGATGTGGTCGTATTCAGCTCATGGCATGTCATTTTACGGCTCAAGAAATGGCGAAAGAGCGAAATCATCCACGCTGAACTGCGATTTTATTTGAGCTTTGCTTCGGACTAGAAAATACCGCCATGTACATGCCAGAAGAAGTTTGGGCACACGACCTTGTTCCTTTTCGTAGCACACCACCCAGACGGTTCTTCCTGGCGTGGAAATAATAAGGTGTGTCCTGCAGGACACGAGATCCAATGGTTCCGAAAGTAAAGACCTACTCTGCCTCTTCTGATACCTCTGCCTCGATCCAAACTTGGGGTACACAAGCAGTGTTGTGTGCCCATCTTGCCTACAAGGGCCTTGTTGTGCGGGACAGAGAGGAGCTATGTCAGTTATCATGAAATGGTCTCACATATCAACATTGGCTCATTCTTATGGGTACCATCCCGTCAATAATCTGCTGTAAGAAGACTGGGCGTATCAGCCAGCAAGAACACTTGTACTCATTGGCTTCTGCCTTCGCCCACAACAGCATTCCGAATATTAACTGGTTGGAGAGCAATGACCGCGAACTCACTCCTGAACCTACATAGTAAGACGTTCTAAGAAGCTCGTGTTGAGTTTTTCGCCATGGGGTTTCAAGCACGTCAGAGCACCCTGCGTGGGAAGCATTGGCCGTGTATAGGTCCCGCAGGCCATGTCGCGTTGCATGCTGGTGACAGAGGGTGGACGCACAGCAGCCAGGACAGGCACTAGATGAGAGGTGTCAACAGCGACTGCAGAATCGCTCGGTACAAACCACATATATTCAAGATCCTGCACAACATTATCCCCATCCGATTGGGTACCTGTGGTGGTCGTTGGGGCTCCGGGCCACCTTACGCTACGACTCTCTGCAGGTTTGCTCATTTGACACCATCCCGGGCACCACACATACGACTAGGCCGCTTCGGATGAGTAGCGCACACCTGAAATCAATTTCCGGGAAATGTCACAATTCATGCTGTCATCTTCCAGAGGGAGGGCTGCCTCGAGTGCAATGAGATTCCAGCGAGGAAGACGTGGGAATGAACTGGTTCGGTGTGTTCCGGATGACCAAACCATCGGGTAACAGCAGCTGTTCGTTACCTGATCCCGTTAGCTGGACCAGGAAGAAATGGAGTCGCCCTGTGCTGCAAACGAAGTCATTCGGTGGCGACTGTAGAGCTGGGCCCTGATGTAGGTTGCCGTTGCCGTTTCCTGTGTAGCCTGAAGATCTGGAGACATTCTTGGTCAAGTGCGGGACGACTTTGACTACCCAAGTGACATCTCATGAGCCAATCCCAGTCGGGAGAATCCAGTCGTGCTGGATGGGGTAACTTTGCAGGCGATGATGGGTAGGCCTCTGTCCAGGAACCTGGTTAAGATCATTGATGATGCACAGAGGAGCAGTCCCTGGCAAGTTCAGGTGGTAATGCAAGTTGCAGCAGTCGCGTCCCACCTTCAGCAGCAATCCATCAATATTCGATGCATAACTGGCCAGTAAGAGGACACCCTCATACTTTCTGTCCACAGATGGCTGCCCGACCCCTGGCTCGATCAAACTGCAGACGACGCTAGACTAATGCACGAGGTACGGCCGCAGCGAAATCATCTTCCGCGCTTGACGACAACTGATGGTCAACTGTTCAATAACAGCACGAAGATGGTGAGACGTGGTGGGAATAATGGTCCATAGTACACGGAAGGAAAAGCAGGCAGATTTAGGAAAGAAATCGAACATCATGACATACACTGCAGTGGCGTCGGAGTTTATCCGACCCCTGAGATGATGTCCTGGCTCTGTCTGTAGTCCAGTCACAGTGGCAGAGTGGAGTGACCACACCAACCACCTGTACAGACGAACTTCATATCCAGGTAGGTATTTGCAGGAATACCTGATGTCTGAACTCATCAACGTTCTCTCACAACGGCTGATCCAAGCGCCACATAATCGTAATTGATCATCGATACCAGACAACGGTTCACATCAACCATGCATAGTCAATCTATTTTTCTTGTTATAAATGCCAGTGACATTCATACATGATACTAGCAGATATTTCCCCTCTGATTCCAGCTTGCACGGTCCCACTGTTGAAGAAACCTACCGTACTTAAGCGTCCCAGAGCTTTGCGTAAGTGTGCTGTTTACCTCTCCTGGATCAAGATTTTCGATCTGACTTCAAGTCTCGTCTCAATTGATTGGAAAACAGAGATTCGTACAGACTGATTCGGAAGGTACACAGATACCTCAACAGGGCCAAAGCTGCACCGTCTCGAACCTAATTTACACGCTTAATTTACATACCTAATCAGCCTTAAGCGTGTGACTTGATCTTAGGCCTGTAAATTAGCATAGGGTATGGATGTTAAGCAGGGGTGTTGAGTGTGGGTATTAGGTGTGGTTGTGGGTGTGGGTGATGAGTGTGGGTCTTAGGTGTGGGTGTGTGATTTGCTATTTGGTGCACTAGGGGTATTTTATATATCTGTGTACCCTCCGATTTGGTTTGTACGAATCTCCGTTTTCGTTGATTGCTTCTACTTCTTGCCAGTGAATGCTAAGAGATACTTATGAGGACTGTCACAGGGTATCATTGAACACTTCAAGGCTCCAAAAAGAGTCCAGATGATTTTGTCAACAGTGTATCCATACTACGTTGGACACAAGTCTTTCTCAATATGATTCCTACTTGGCATAACAGATGTTGTCACAACCTGCACAACTGGATGGAGACCTCCAAAGCAGAACTAAGCAAATAGGTGGTAGCTCTGTGAAAGCATCCGGTTGACAATGGCTCACAGTGACAGCTATAATTTCGTCAAGCAAGTCTCCAAAGAATGGGATCACCTGTGAGAGTCTTTGCTTGGGTGAGCACTGACATGAACATATGAATCTTTTATGAGCTAGATCTACTTCCTCGTTGCTGCCATGTCTATATGTATCGTGACACTTATGATGATTTGGTAGTAAAGACGACTTTCAATGGACTCTCGGATTCATTCGGTGGCCATGGGTGGAGACTTGATTCCTATAATGATGCCCCTGCAGACTAGACGTGAGGGTTGACGATATTAGGTAGCTCTGGCCCGGCGTGCTGGGCTGCTCCTGCCACTATCGCTGAATCACCGGACAGTAGCTTCCGGAACAGCATGCCTTCGATTGGGCTTTGAGGTCAGTTATTTATGCCTGCTCCTATCAGTTTGTTGACTGCCCCGTTTTGGCCGTTGCCCATCGTTTCAGGACGAGACCTCCATCATCGACCTGCCGTCCTCCATCGCATATTATACCATTGTCAAAATCTGCGTTCCATCGTGCAACAACTCTCATCGATGGTCAACTGTCGAAGATGGCCCGCTCCTTGAGAAGCAACAAAAAGAAGGGAGACTTGTCTCAGGTCCCGACCGAGGCCCCCGACGTAGCTGACGGTGCAGTCCCCGGCGCGACTGGTAAGCATCTCTCCTGTTCCAAGGTCCCATCACACCCGGTAGACACAACTCACACGTGAGACTGACTGTACAGCCTCTGACGCGCCCGTCTCTCCCTCAGGGACTGCCTCTGCCACAGAAATCACCCCAGAGGGCTTCCCCAAATGCCAATACTGTTTCCGGTCCCAAAGCCGTTGCGACGGCAATCGTCCCTGCGCCACCTGCCCCAGGAACCGGAGACGGTGCCACGATGTCACTCAGGAGACATTAAACGCATTTCCCGAACGCGCCAAGAGGGTGCTCCGCAAGTATGAGCTGCAGAAGTCGACCGCCAGGAACCGCACGAAGCGCCCGGCTGCTGCTGCCTCTGCCACAGATATCACCCCAGAGGGCTACCCCAGATGCGGGCCCTGTTTTACGAACCCATGCAAATGCGACGGCGAACGTCCCTGCGACAGCTGCTCCAAATTCAAGAGACGGTGCCGCGATGTCACTCAGCAGGAACTCGACGCGAATCCCAAGCGCGCCGAGCGGCAGCTCCGCGAGCATGAGCGGCAGAAGAAGCGCGCGGCTTCTATTGCTAGACAGGAGGACGAGCCGAGCGCGAAGAAGAAGCAGAAGGTCGCGAGCAGCCATTGTTCATCCTCAGATTGATGGAGAGATGGCTAGAAAGAGGGACCAAAAGCATTGTGGAATACCAGTAGACAGTTACGGCTTTGACGTAGAAAGAATTGTTTCCCACTGAGGCAAATTCCCGGATCATCTGCCATCGCAGCCAATTGTACCTGGGATGGCTGTTGAATTCGATCGGAGTGGCTCTCAAGGTCCTCTTGCCGTCCATTCTGCCGCCATAGACCTCGTTGTATTCAGTCCAGAGCTCTCTCGTCCGGAGATTACTTGCGACCCGAAGACTACTGCTTAAGTGGACCCGCTCGACTAAGCCGTTGCCACCTCCTGGTTTCTCAGCAACAGCACCCGTGGAGAGAACCCTGTCCCGCCGAAGTTTATTGCCCTTGCCGAAAGTGATCGTCAGTATCCGAGTGATCTTCAGCTTGTGCCATCATGCTTCCCGTTCTCCTATGTCCTCTCCCACGCCGCGTACGACGTTGGCCCCATATATCAAGATACCGCCCTTCCCGCGCCGAGGCTGGTGAGAGTCAGTACCTGCATTTCCTTGGCGGCTTTCTCGGCACCCGCGTATTCATCAAAGTGCGAGATCTGAGTCAACCTCCCCGGGTCCATCGCGCTTGCGCAGGCACGCTTTTGAAACAGTCGAGAGCTCTATCATCCGAACGCTACTCAGGTTGCCGTCTGCAAGATGGCAACTGATCGGCACGAGAATCATGCCTGGCCGGTGCTGTTGATGAACAAGCGCGGAGAAGGGACCGCACCTAGGAGCCTCCTTGTGAGGCATGACTTGGAGAAGGTCTGGCTGTCAAATACCGATCCTGCTTTCATCGTATTGCAAGGATCCACCATCTGGGCGCTCAACTCAGCCCGTGATATATCACATGCATGGGCGGCAATGCGAAGAAAGGCCTTGGGGTCCACGACTCGGAAAGGGACCAGAATGACGTCAAATCATGAGGCATTGCTTAGGAAGCAGATTCTGAGGATCTACAGAGTCTGTGTGAAACTCTGAAGTACTCTAGCAGGAGGGCACGCTGCAATATGACAAGCTTTGGGCACGGACGGATTTACTGCCTCTCTCTATGCTGACTGCATCAAAGGTCACCAGGATGGATAGTCCATTCACACTACTGGGCGGGATTTCTCGTAGATTCCCAAAGATCATAATATACAGTACATGCAATTAGAGCATTCAAAAGGACTGATGAAATCAAAATTAGGGTATATTGTGAACAAACTGTCTCAGACAGCATGCATTTCCGACTTGTTCAGCTCCACCACTTCGTACTCCTTGGTGACGGTAATCATTCCCTTCGTTGATGATGATGAGTTGGCAGGCTTCCACGTGCTTCTTCGGTGCGATGAGAATAATGACGGGAAGTTGGTCGATTTGAAGAACTCGGGCAGAATGGTTTGCAGCAGTGGCCTCAGCGCCGGGACGGAACCAGTAATGATGATGAACCCGGTCTCGACAACGGACCAGTTGTAGTATGAGACGGAGGCAACTAGAAAGCGCAGTCTTATTAGTGAGAGTTTCAAATGGGGGTGCCGCGCATAACTCACAGGTCACGTCGATGTCGTTCGCAAGACCTCGAAGAGAGATGACTCTCACAATACTGAAGGCGCAGGCGCTGTTATCAAGAAAGGTTAGATGGTCATTGTCGTCCCGTGATGTGACTCTGTAGGGAAACTTACATCAACCCGCTGAGGAACAACGCGCACAGACAGGCTTTCTGCGCTGCCGGCATCTTCAGTCTGAGGAAATAAGGGATGGGAGTGAGGCAGATCACAAAGTCTGTGACGACGTTCACGATTCCCAAGGTGAGAACAACCGGCTGAAGACCGTAGCACCTCCCTTGCTCCGTGCCTCCAAGCACCCAGCTAAACTGCACGGGCGAGCACTGGAAGATGACCAGGAAGGCCTGGCATGTGCAACAGAGAACGATGAGGCCGGCCGTGGCGAAGAGGAAGAGCCGGAGGTACTTCATCGGCTGCGGGAAGATGCGTAGGAGTGTGGCTATGACCGAGATCTTGGCGAGGACGATCGAAGGTGACAGTAGGATGAGGGCGAGGTAGTTTAATTTCTGGACCCGGGTGGCGACTGCGAATTGGTCGTCCTTCGTAGCACCTGGGAGGTCCCAGATGTGTTTCCCAAAGCCGACCGGCACCGCGGCGAGGTTCACAGCGCAGAAGGACAAGAACCACACGGCGGAGGCTATCATGAGATCTAACATGCGAGCAATGATTAATTCAAGGGACTGTCAAGTGTTGAGTCTCACTCCACTTACAGTCTTCGAGGTACAGCTTCCTCGCCATTGAACGCTTTGTGAAAGCCCTGAGTGACACAACAATAGCGACGAGGCATATGAACAGGATGTTCACGGTCAACACGGACCATGCCCGGCTGGTATGGTCGTTAGGGCTGGCGGCTCCCAAGGCCTCATCCCCTAAGGATTCGTGAACAAACATATTGGCAAAACGATGAACATCAAGCAGAAGCAGCGAATGCTTAAGCAGATGATCACCAAGTCTTTAATAACATAGTAGCTAAGAACAGCCAACACGAACAGCCCAGGGGGGCCCTACGGCTGACCCAGGCACCCGGGCAGGCTTATATTTGAAGGCCGAGGTGGTGGAGGAGGGGGGCGCACGCACGCACGGTTCGAACTCAAATGGCAACATCCGATGAGTGATTGACCATCCGGTCTTGGGGGCTGGTGGGCCTGCTGCAAGAGCGCTAGGACCCGCGTTCTCTCGCAAGGCATTTTGCCGCAGTGGCTGTATAATCACAAAAAGATAAGTGGAGAGTTCGAGCCCGAACAGAAACTGATAGCCCGTGCCCCCCAAGCTCCCAGTGCCACAGCCCACTCGCGGATGGAGGGGCCGGGTCTCAAAGTGGTGAGAAATGTCCGGCGCCGCCCACTGTGATGGATTGTTAACCTTATCGCCCGCCCACTTTATCTGGTGGTCGGTCACCCGGGCAGGAAATCATGCTCGCGTAATGTGCCGCTGCCCGGATTTCCCTGTTTGCTGGACCTGGGATCCTGACTCGGCGGCCGAGGTCAGCAGCGCAGATCAACACGGCGGCTGGGCGACCGCGCAGGGAAGAGGACACGGCGATCAGCCCATCGTTCACGGCCGACGTGGAGACCGCGTTCGAGCGAAGGGTGAATGAGGCAAGTCACGTACGCAGGTAGCAGGGTGCAGTAATTAATCGCTACGACACTATTGCCGCGGGGTCCCACAATGTGCCCAGGCGCAATGCCGCCAGCCTAAGTATGGGGAAAGGGGGGTCTGTGTCACAACTCATGTTTCGACGTTTAACGGCTGCACGTGTAGCCCACGTGGGCGAAACCTCCTGCTCGCCGGGCAGAGGTGACTCCGTTCTGCACTGCTCATTATTGAGACCCGTGGGCTGAGTGGGCGGGTTACCTTGGAGGAGGATGAGCCAATTGCGTTCGTTTTTGAGCTTTGCAGCTTGGTGGCACGCATGTGGGAAGGGCTGATGTCTTGATTGCTTTACTGCAATATACATTTCATTTAAATTTTGACTTTGGGAAGTATTCGGCGAGCCGTGGGCAGGGGCCATCCTTTCGGCTGAACCCCTGACCACTCCACACAAGCGCGTCTGTGCTGCAGAGTTGCTCCTTGATACAATAATGAGACGACTCTTCTACGCGTTCTCGGCGTGCTCGTCCCTAATCTTTGGATCGGTCGGCAAAACGCCGCCGTCGCTGCTTCCCTTCTCCTTCTCGCTGTCGATGGGCAGCTCCTCCATGCCGGCCTCCCTCCTGATTCTGGCCATCTCCTCTGCCGAGGGCGGGACCCACTTGGCCGACTTGCGCGGGTCGACGTGCTCCAGATACATGGTATCTATCTCTTCCAATGTTCTGCCCTGGCCTTCGATGACGAAGAAATACACCAGGATGCCACCGATGAGGTTGCAGCCGGCAAAGACATAGCCCAGCGCAAAGTCGATGTCCTTGGTGATGAACGGGGTGAAGAAGGCGAGGAGGAAGTTCCAGGTCCAGTTGCTCGCCGTCGCCAGGGCCATTCCCTTTGCGCGGTACTTGGATGGGTAGATCTCTGCGATGAGCGTCCAAACCATGGGTCCCCAGGTTGTCGCGTAGCCCAGGATGAACAGGCACGCCATGACGATGAGGGCAATGCCGGCCTCGGGGGTGTTGGCCGGCTCATTGACGTCGAGGACGAAGTGGCCTACCGAGGCAAACACCAGGAAGAAAACAAACATCCAAGCGGATCCGGCCATGAGACACTTGCGTCGGCCGTAGTGCTCAACGAGGTACAGACCGATGAACGTCACTCCGAAGTTGATTCCGTTGAGGATGAGCTGCGTGACGAAGGACGAGATCTGGACCGAGTTGAAAATAGTCTATCAAGCACCGTTAGTTCGGAGATCACATCGGCGACGCCATCCATCGCGCCGTAAGACGTAAAACATACCGTTCCGTAGTAGAAGAAATAGTTAGCGCCAGTAAGCTGCTGGAACATTTGCAACATGATTCCAAGCGCAATCCGGTAAGCTATCCTGGGAGCTTTAAACATGTCGACCATGCCAGCAATAGGACCCGTGCCCTTCTGCGACATCTCAGCGCGGAACTTGTGCTCCAGCTCCTCCATCTGCACAAAGATGGCATAATGGTTGTCAGGGGCGCCATAAACACGCGTCAAGGTCTCCTTGGCCTCGGCAGTGCGGCCCAGGCGGTAGACGTACCGCGGCGTCTCCTTGAAGCCCCAGATGCCCACGCCGAGGATGACGGTCCAGATCCAGCCCAGGCCCACGACGATGCGCCACGAGCCGGAGTTGTCCCGCTGGTGCGTGTACGTGCCGTAGTTGAAACACGCGGCGAGGAAGATGCCCAGCGTGATGAACAGCTGGTACGTGCACACGAGGGCTCCCCGGATCCAGGGCGGCGCCGTCTCGGCCTGGAACATGGGCACGAGCAGGCTCAGCGCGCCGACGCCGAAGCCCGCGACCAGCCGGCCGATCATGAACTGCTCCCACGAGGTGCTGGCCGCGACCTGGATCACGAAGCCGACGGCGACAATTATGCTCCAGAAACAGATTGACGGCCTGCGGCCGAACTTGTCCGCGAAGGGGGCGGCGACGAGGGCGCCGACCAGGGTACCGATCGATAGCAGGCCTACGATCAGGCCGGAGCGGACAGTGCTGAATGCGTACGTGCCGTCCCCCTGGGGCTCGCCAAATCGCTGTAGGAAGTCGGGCATTTCTTGGAAGCCCGAGATCTGACCAGTGTCGTATCTGTTTTGTCCTGTCAGCGACTGTGCGGGCACGACATTTTGTTTAGACTCGGGGGCTGGAGGAAAGAATGCATACCCAAAGATCAGACCGCCCATAGAAACGAGGAGGGCCATGCACAGAGTGCGACCTGAGACTCGCTTTAGGGGGGAGTAGTCGAGATGGGCAAGCTCTTGTCGAGCATCAGTGCTCGTTTCGGAGTTGGGGTTGACATGGTCGAAGGTGACCTTGCCGTTTAGGCTCAACATCTCGAGGACCGGGCTTCAAATGACGGATTCGGGGGGGCAGTTCATGTGTGGAAAGAGAGACCCGTCGGACACAAACAACAAAGACTGGAGGGGTTGAGACGAATGATATATAATGAGGTTGTCAAGCAAGCCGTAGGAAGGGGCGTGTGCACGTTTTTTATCACCGTGCAGTTGACAAAGGGCCGAATAAGGGCCAGTGTTGTGCAATGCAAGTGCGCGCACTAGTGACAGAATCTTTACTGCGGGGTAAGCAGATGCGGGGTCAAAGTTAATTATGTGAACCCCGCAGGTGCTACTGATAAGCGACGTGCATTCTTATCAGCAACGGCTCCACAATTGGAAAACGTTCCAGACAGGCCCTACCGTTTTCCCACCGTTACAGATTGATCCTCCTTGTCCAGGGACAAGAAACTAGGTACCCCAGCTGGGTATGTAATTGATTTCCAAGGACCCACTATAAAACCGGTTTTGTGACCCGCCCTGCTAGCATGACAAAAAGCAACCCCTTGCTTAATCCAGCGCGTCAGCTACATACTAGCACGAGTGACTAGCAGGGTGCTGTGCCTCCGTTTGCCCCCATTTCCTATCCAGTCCAGAAGCTGCCTTGGTCCAATCAGACGAGATACACTCTTGCGGCCAAGGTTTTCACTGGCTCGGAGGACACATAGCTCCGCTCCAGCCGCGGTACCGCGAAAATAGGCAGTAGGCTGTGCTGTGCGCAACCCCGCGTGTTGCAGCATCAGCGACCAGCCTACATCTGCGTGCCCACCTCTCACAAGACTGAGGCCTCCGCCTCAATGACCCACTATAAAGCAGGCAATGTTGCATCAGGCTGCGCCTTGTACAGAAAAAAATGAAACGCGATGTGCCTATCTCCACTATCTGTGGTATTGCGGAGGAGGATGCCGCTGGCAAACTATTTCTGTGAGCTTGTGTGTTGAGTGTGCAAAATCAGAGACGGACGGGTTGTGAGTCTGAAACCTATGCGTATGGATTGAATCAGGTAATCGACAACTTAGCAGTTCTATGGACACCAGCACCAACAGGCTCAAGCATACTAGTTCTTCAGAAGGCATTTGACCGTCCTTGTGCTCGCAATGTCGCACCCTGGGGCCCTGCACCCGGCTAACTTCCGCCCGCTTTCCAATATGCGCACGAGTCATTTCGAACAACTCATTTGCGTAACCCACTTCGCGCAAAGATTTGACGCAAATCGTCTCACCCACGCATGACCAACGGCTTCGTACCCCTGTATGCTATCAACTTATTGGCTTCGGCTGTAAGCAGCTTATCTCGCGTAAGATTTGCCGCGGCAGCTTTCCCGCGACAGCTTTCCCGCAATTGCCGCCTAAATTGTCCCGCGTCGGCGCCAGCTCGACGGGCCCACCCCCACGCAAACACACTATACCTACGCGCAAATACAGAGCTTACCGTCACTCAGCTATCGCTCAAGGTCTTGCTCTACCAGGCTATCAACAAAGGAACTGCATTGCACAACTAGGCGTCAGGAAGGACATAAGGTCTGTGCAACCAGCTAGGGAACGGAACTTCGCGCGACAGCAACTTCGCGCAACTTGGCATCAGGGAAGGGCGGTGTGCAAAGGGATATCGCGTAATTCGGCAGGGGAAGGGCGGTGTGCGTAGAAACTTTACGCAACTGGGCATCAGGGAGGGGTGATGTGCACATGGATATCGCGTAATTCGGCACGGGAAGGGCGGTGTGCGTAAAAACTTTACGCAACTGGGCATCAGGGAGGGGGCATCAGGTTTGCGCAATCTGGAAAACGGCGTGTGGCATGCGTTTTTCCGCATCCAAGGTATTTGCATGCATCGCACCATTCATGGATGCCTTTTGCCTAATGTGGTCATAGTACCTCATTCAATCTATGTTGGGTTATATATAGGAAGTATTCTCTTCTTTTTTCTTATCATCCTATACTGTCTTTATTCATCACCATATTCTAAATTCATCACCATATTCTTCATTCATCACCATATTCTAGATTCCTCGAAAATGAGTGATTCCGAAGACCGTCGCATCCTCGTAAACAGCAGCGAAGCTGAAGACGACAGCGGGAGCGAAGCCGACGACAGCGAGAGCCTAAAATCATACGTAGTGCATGGCTACCGAAGACAGCTCCTCGATTCCATCAAAGACCTTGAGAAGGCAGGATCTTTTGCGGCAAGCCGTACACACCACAGCTTTCCGAATCCCGGAATCCGAGTAGATGGAGAGATTATTGCACTGCCACTTTCCGATGAAGCGGCGAGAACCTGGCCAGTCGCAGTCTGAATGCACCCGTCGGCTTTGCGGGAACCGATGAGGCGGTGAGCAAGACGCTGGAGATCGGCGTGGACAGAATTGCCTTTATGAACCCAATATGGTCAGACTTCATCGAAGACGTCGTCAGTCATGTCGCTCAGGAGCTTGGGGTGCCATCACCCGCCGATGGCCACCAAGTACGTGCCGAGTTCTGCAGGCACCTTCTCCACCTACCAGGAGCCACTCTTCAGGCTCCCAAATAGTAAGTGAAAGGAAGGGCCGGCTCATGGCATTATAACAGATGGCTAACAGTCTAGGGCAGCGCTGAGGAGGTTCCAGGTATGTTTGGGACGCTTATTATATGCCTCCCTTCTAAACACACAGGCGGTAGCATATGCTTCCGGCATGAAAAGAGTCTATAGTGGTGTCTCCTGCAGAAGCTTCAGAGTTCAGTTGCTCCTACCTTGCTTGGTACGCAGACGTCACACCCGAGGTGAGCCTGGCCCATACAAACGAGGCGACATACATGCTTACGCGCGGAAAGATGCTGCCAGTCCAGACGGGATACTTGTGGGCGTTGCAGTACGTCCTGATCAATGATTTTGATGACTCTCCCCAATTGGCCAAGGAGCTGGCATACAAGACCGAGAATATGATGGAAAACCTCATCAGCTGGGACAGCTCTAAATTTCATCTGGGCTCACAAAATCTTGTTGCCTATGCATTCCAACATCAATACGAACCGGAAGATCTGAGCCTATCCTCCCTGGAAGGTCAAGATCACCGGCGCGTTCGCTTCCTTTCCGACTGTGTTGCGAGGTTTAAAGACAGATTCTACCTGTTCCTCGCCCAGTTCGAACTATACGAAACATTTACGAACGACGCGAGTCGGGAGGGATGGAGAGGAAGATATCTGTTAAACGTCTCCACGCTCGATGGCTGTAAGCTGTCGCCCCTCAACGTGCCCGTGCACAAGTCCGTTCTTCTGAACAGGATAGTCTACGGTGGGAGAAAGCCCGATACTATCAGCGGTGGACTATGTGACAATTATTACGATCAATATGGAAGCATTAAGCAATCCTACCCATCTAACTGCCGGCCCGAACGACTTCACAATGTCCTTCGCTTTGTTGTGGAAAAGAGTATCTCATCCTTCGATCTCAAACTCTGGTGCGATTACATCGCGAGCAGACCGCGCAAAACATTTCAACCTGAGTCACTCCATCCTGAAGTCTTCCTGGCCTTGTATTCCTGGGGTGAAGTCTACAGGAAGGGCTCAGATTCCCAACTGTTACAAAAGATTTCAAAACAGGTTCACGAAACCAAGAGGTCGTCATTGCCTCGTATCGTCTTTCCTCTGATAAGGGAAATGCTTCCACGGCTAGATACACGTTGCTCAGAAGCACAGCGTCACTTCGCGACGCTCGTCGAAGCATATGTCACTCGTTATAATCTGGAAGAGCCCCAAGAGCCGAGCACTTGGGCCCGCCCCGCAGAGATACGGAAGTGCTCACGGGACGAGTGCAATACGTGTGCACAGATGAACCTCTTCTTGGAAGATCCCCACGCTATGGAACAGGCATTCGATATATCTTCTTCGGAGGCGAAACATCTTGGATCCAAATTCATATTTTTAGAGCAGCATATGGTGGCTCATGGCTCGTTCGTCTTCAGAAAAACTCTACGGCGGTGGACCTTGGAGAAAAACACGAGGGTCTCAGATGTCGAAAGGGCCGAAAGAGAATTTCGGAATCTGCCCAAGGACACGCTGAGAAAAGCCCTCAGCAACCACCATGATACATTCGAATTGCTGCTAACGCTGAACCTGGTTGAGACCAACACTGCCACAGCGAAACAAGGGCGTGCCAATCGGACCGGGGACAAGATTGAGTCACTTTCACTACGGGGAAAACGAGCGGTAGACGAAAATCCCGATGACATCGGGTGTGCAACAGTTGCTAAGCGAGCGCGGTATGACAACGAAGAGACGTGAGCCCGGCAACGAGAAGAACAGAGAAGCAACTGGGGGAAGACAGGAGGTTTGCGGAATGGTATTTTTCTCTAGTCTTTTGTCGTTCCTTCTGCTTCACTATCTGGTTTCTTATATGTCAAAGTTGTATAAAATCCTTCTCTAGCATCTTGATCAAACCTGCCTTTGTGTCTAGGGATCCGATGAATGAATGCGGGAGCATTGTGGCTGCCAGTTTACGTATATCTGTGATGACTTGCCCAGTTTCCATCGGATGCGTCTTCCCGTCGCCATATATAAATATTGGGAGGCACGGGCTCATGAGCACTATCAAGGAAGTGATGTGGTTTCCTCGGGATAACATGTTCACAGCCATATTTTCCTCCTCGTCGGTACTAGACCGAGAAGCGCATCCACAACGAGAGCAACGCACGATGTGAATGTCAGTTGTCCTGTCATCCCCGTCCTGCCCCAAGCACTCGGTTGTCGATGAGCCGTTGGCCACAAATAGGATCGCCCTCTCGCATACAAAGCAGATCGCGTATGTATACTTCTTCCAATTTAGACGATAAAAATTGTCACAGTGGTCTCCCACATAGCCCCAGTAGAAGAAATCCCCGTGAGGGATGTCAATGGACCTTCTCGTAATAGATCTCATCACATACTCGCTGTTAAACTCGGACACGACCTCGCCCGCGTACTCAGGCACAAACCCTGTGTTGTTTTCGAGCATTTCTTCGCACATGACGGCCTCTGAGGGCATGATCGGGACCAAGGTGCTGCACTCGACATGAAATAGGGACCCAAGCCCCTGTTCAAAGCCTCTCATGCACGTTTTCCTGTACAACACTGACAGCGTATACTTGCTCGAGCAGTGGTCTGCCCCCGATATCGACTTGCAGAACCAACATATGACTGGGCGAATGGTAGCCCACGGCATGAATGCGCTGTCATATGGCAGGTCCTTGGGTCCGAACTTGGTCGCGCTGATGCGCCTGATCACCAATTGGGCCCGCCAGCAATTTACACAGACACAAATTATCGTGCGATCCTGCCGATCCGCACCCGCTATTGGGATCCGGACCTTATAGGACTGTAATGTAACCATGTTCGCGTAGTGTGGTTCTTAGATCAGTAAGAAGAGTTGATCAATGCCATGCTACGGGGGATCCCTCTGTATTTTATCTCGGACACCCTTGTTTGGGAAATTGAGAATATCTGGGTTAGGGTTTTGATGCAGGTTTGAATTAGGAACGTAAAACCTGGATTAAGGAGAGTCTGGGCCGCTTGGACGGGCCGTTTAATGGCCCCATGAACTATAAGTATCGAGTGATTCCAGTGCTTCCCAATCGCTGAAACCATATTCAAGACATTATCACCAGACACCTACTTCAAATAACTTACAGCACGCTCTTAACAGACTCAAATCTCAAACATGTCAGCTGCACCTTCCCAGGACCAAGCAGCCGAGCTGATCCGGTGCATCCGGTTTTGGCGCTACCGAAGCGATCTTGAAACTGGTCCATGTATGACAGAGCGAAACATCCTCACCTCAGAGGATATAGTTGGGATCAGAGATCCAGTTTTCCTGATGACAACTGAGGATATTTCAAGAGCTGTTCGCAGCCTGCTACGGCGCAATAGATCATGGTTTGATAGGGTTGAGCAACAGCTTCAATCCATGTTACAGCTGTGGCAAATCGTTATGCAACAGAAGAAGCGTTTTGACGACCTGAATGGATTGGCAGCAATTTCGCCCCATCGTGAGTTCCTAGAGGCTATACTTCTTACCGGCCGCTTCATTCCAGCCAGAGCGAGCCTGGTCCCCGAATCTCGTCCGCAGAAGAATGAGAAGCGCGAGGGCGGGCATAGTACCCCGTTTCTCGTTGTAGAGCCGCAGAAGAAGAAGTAGACGATGCACAGCGGCAATAGCGGCAATACTCAACGCACAGGACTGCTATTAGTAGACATTCATTTTGCACTGGGTCAAGGATTGGATCCCGCTGGCGGGAGGTATTGTTCTGGGGTAAACACATTCGTTCGGCTTAGGTGGCTATAAGACGGCCCATTCCAAGCGCTGTTTTCGGAAGATTCTAGCTAAATCTCAATCCACTCCTTTCTTCCTATACTTTGTATTCTGATTTAAATGTTATCTTCCCTTTTGTTTCCCTTTCCCTCGCACTGGGGGCCCTCTTTCTAGTAAGGCAGTATTTTGTGTTTCGTTAAGCTGGATGTTGAGCTGGACAGATGCAGCCAGAAGCGCGGTCAAGACGCCGCGTCGCTCCATTCGACCACAGCAGGCGCGTTGATGCGGGTCACGACTGGTGGGGACAGCGCGGGAGGCGTCATGGCGGTCACTAGTTGGAGAGCATGATCAGAGATTGGTGATTCAAGCGGAAGGAGTGGCGTTTTCGCTGGCGAGTGAAATATCACGGCGAAGCAGAGATGGAAACCCCCTGGTATCAGGATGCCTATCCTCCCAGGTTTGACGTAGGGTAGCCTTGGCCTAGTGATATTCTAAATTTAAATATATATCTGCAAAGAAGGCGAAGGTTGCTTGAGTGAGGACAGGTAGCTTCAGTCTGTTTTCAGGTAACATCACAACGGATCACGAAAATCATCTGGTAGGGTGCAATGGATCTGCCGGCTTGATAAAGGCTACATAAGCAGTGGCAGTCTGTTTGTGATTAGTGATGAGTTCCGGGGCCTGCTTGATGTTTGTGGTTGGTGTAAATTGACCGTTGTAGTTGGTAAATCGACTCCTCTGTAATGGTTCAGGTTGGGAGCTTAGCAAGAGTTTTTGGTCGCAGTGAGATCTACCAGATACTGCAACCCCTGTCTCCCCCGCCTAACAAATGCCAGAAGTGGCGCTAACGGCACCCGCATGACAGGGGAGCAGGGGTGGCCTATTCAAATGACCCCAGCACTTCCGAGACTTTGTTTACTCGGCCAACCGCATATGCTAGCTGTAAACATATCGCCCCAGAAACCCAACAAGACAACTTCGAGAAAAACAGAACAACTTCACAGCCATGTGGACGGGTGTGGAAGATCATGTCCCATTATCATTATCCTGCGACAGCCAGGACGCTCCTGCAGCCAGACAGAACCTCCTCATCGAAGCGTGGCTGCGGGACCTGATCTTGCCTGCTGCCCTGGCCCCGCCGCAACCGTTGCCAGCGGAGCGATCCGGCACAAAGAGAAAGAGACCACAGCATTCTCCTGTCCTCGGGGAGATGGATCGCAACGTGCGCAAGATGCCCCCCGCTGATTCAGCCATCGACATCGAGATGGGTGAAACGAGCGCGCCAAAGACACCCACCTCATCCCCCACAAAGCCAAAGATCGCGCCAGGCGACGGCAAGGGCCAAGACAAGACTAAGAGGAGGCAGAGGGAGGACAACGGTGTGTACTCGCATTGGGCATTAACAGACAAGCCCCTGCTAAGGAGAAGTCACAGCGGATGATAGAGAAGACGAAGCCCAATCCAGGGCACACGACGAACCCTCCGACGATGGCGAATCAAATACCCCCCGGCCCTCACACGAAGCACAGCGGCAGCGACTGCGAGCGCCAGGTGGACCGTCCCAACGCGACCAGCCGCAGGGCAGCCCGACGAGGCGGCTAACTCGCTCGCGGAGACAAGCACAATCCGATACTGAATCCACACGCGAGGACCCCCAACAAGCTCAGGCCATACACTACATAGGCGTCCTCCGGCAAGCGCCTCCGTTACCACCGCCCGAGTCCAGAGTGGTCTCTCGAACACCTTCCGAGTTCACGACCACATCAACTGCGACTGCCAGCACCGCGTCCACACAAGGGAGGCGGCGGGCTAAGAGCCCTGTCAAGAGCCTTGCCGACCTCCCCTATGCTGAGACACCAGTGTATGCGCAGTCGCTAACGGACGTCCAAGAGCTGCAGGACGATACAGCGAGGGAACTCTGCATCGGCTTGCGGCAGATTGCATCGGGCCGACGCGTGGTTCCCGGATGCCTCAGAGCGCATGTGGACGCCCAGATTGAGAGGCTCACTGGCCTTGAAGAGGACGAGCTGGAGGACAAGCACGTGGCAACGAATGGCGAGGACGACCACGATACCCTTCTCGCGGAGCTCAGTACCCTCTGCGGCATCGTGAAGCAAACCAAACGTGCTCTGCAGCCCGGCAGTAATTTCGCCGAGCCACACTGGAACGAGCGAATCCACTCCCGCATTCTCGAGGCCGCGTTAGAGCCGCAGGCAACGAAGGAGCCACATGTGGCGTTCTTCAATGTGACCGTGGCTAAGATTGCCACCGGGTGTATTCCTGCCGATGTGAAGGGAGTGGACCTCGAAGCAAAAATGGTGGACTACTGCATTGTGCTCTGTGATGAGGAGGTCCAGAACGCGACTAGGCACACGATCAGCGCACACCTACACCTACAGTCACAGCCCTCTTCACAGTTCGCCTCACCTCGGCCGGTGCGCTCTATCAACCAGACTGAATACACCCCGCTGCACTTATGTCCCATCTCGGTCAGTATCGAAACTAAGAGATCGGGCGGCTCTGAGGATCAGGCGCAGGTGCAGCTGTCGGTATGGGTCCTAGCGCAATTTCGCAGAATCCATCAGATCCTCGGACCTGACCGGTCTGGACCGGTTGACATCACGCTGCCCCTGTTGTATGTGGCCGGGGAGGAGTGGCGCGTCTTGTTTGCCTGGGAGGATAAGCACGGGATTAATCTTCGTCAGTACCCTCGCAGCATTGGGGATACGAGGACTCTCCTAGGCTGTTATAAGCTCATGACGGCGCTGAGATTGCTTGGAAAGTGGACTGGGGACAAGTTTCGTGCTTGGGTCTTAGAGAACCTTTGCGATAGCAGCTGATAATATACGAGCTTGCATGTGCCTGGTTCCAATGCTGCCGACATATCTGCATGTATACACAACACATATCTTGGGACGTTTACATTTCAAGATGGAGGCGGCTGCGTTGGTCCTCATATGTACCATACGCAACCGCCCTGGTTCAGCTGTGGCTAGCAGGTAGGTACAAAACGGGTATTGCAAGAGGAGAGTCTGTGGCATTTGTCAGAAGCTGGCATCTTGGAATTGATGCTTTTATGTAAAAAAGGCTTGGATTGCAAAACCTAACAATATGGACAGCTGGCTATGAAAAGTGTAGGGAAACGGACAACTCAGATGCGGCCCAAGCACATCTGCTTAATTTAAAAGCTTTTTTGTTACAATAAAAATTATATTAATATTATGGCTCGGGACTGATCTGAGCTCGGAGCCTACAGCAGGTGCCCAGTTGTGAAGGGCCCATAACCTTGTCGCGGGCCGACCCCTGAGTACCTAGGTACCTATGGAGCATGTGGCCTAGCGCTGCGCAGGCTCGCTTACGTAAGGCTCCGCGGCCGACGTCAGCATGCTTGTTTCTTCTTGTCCCGCCGTCAACAGTCACGACGGCTGTCCCATCATCACCCCGCCACACCTTGCTATCGCACCGGATATGTCCAGAATTACCAGAGAACAGCGTTCGCGGGGATGGAATATCAAGTTCTTTATCGGTAAGGATGCCTTTGCTGGCATCTACCAACGCGATCACCTCCTCACCATCGGCGACGTGGCTCGCGACCTCGAGCTGTGCGTCGTGTTCAAGGAGATGGGCGACAATGACGACGAATGGCGCCCTACGCTGCTACCACGCAGGCGGTCGAACGAAACAGTTGACGATACCCCACACGTACCCATCCTACTCGACAAGACCAACACGCAGCCGTTCCCCGATCCTTCCTCGTCCGGCATCACGAATTATAATTTCTTCTTCCACTCTACCCGGCACTGCAACATACCCGACGGGCAACCCCATGGCTTGGGAAGTCCCTGCTGCCACAAGCCCCCTCTGCCCATGCGGCGATACGATGCGCGGTACGCGCCTATCAACAAGCCTTCCAGTACCAGCTGCAAGCTCATTATGGCGCCAGTCCGGAGCGCCAAAAGCCTGAAGCGAAGAAGCAGCTCCTCGCCGTCGCTCTCGCGGAACCCAAGCGTGGCATCCTCTCAGAGCGCAGATGACCCCGACCCGAGCGTGGAGGACGGAGAGATCCCGGTCTCCGTGATACCAGCAGCGACTGGCCGATCGATCATCAGGTCCTTCCGACCTAGTGTGATCAGTGCGACATCCAGCTGCGCCATTAGCGGTACGGGCAGGTCCTGGATCGAAGCGCTGCCAGGCACAGGCCTTGAAGCAGCACATATTGTCCCACAAGTTCACTGGTCGGTATATCCGATCAGTGACGCGCCCAGGCTGGCCAACAGGGAGCTGAGTATCGAGGACCGACCAGAGCTCGAGATGGCGTGGAGGCGGACATGGATGTAAGACAAGCCCGGCCGTCGTGCTGTCACACTCTGCTAACATGTTGATCACAGGGCCTCGAACGGGCTGCCTTTGATGAGCCACCTGCACAAATGCTTTGAGGCGCGCCTCATCTCCATACATCCCCAGACGCACAAAATTCGAGCTTGGGTCGACTACAACGTGATCACCCCGTTCCACGGCCAACAAGCCCATCTGCCTGACCTTGACACGGACCCTGATGCTTTACAACACCACTATGATATGTGCTGCCTGGAGAATATGATCGCCGCGTGGATTCCCGATGCAGCCATGCCACTAGGTCGTGACGAACACCCCGTCGCACCACACCAAGCCGCGGGCGCTGCAGACGTGCAAGACGAACCCCCAGACACTCGCAGTGCCCGCGCGCACAACGCCCCGACCCCACAGACGTCTACTTCCGGAATATCTGCCTCTGGCTACACAGTCCATCCTCCGTCGCCGCCGTGTAGTAACACTGGTAGCTCCAAATGGATGTGCGGGGCCGAGCTAATCGATGATCCAAAGGAAGCTGCGGCGCTTCTCGCGAACGGCTGGCTTCTTCAGGAGGTCGCCGATTCAGATGAAGCCAGTGATGGCGAGGAGCGAGGTCGCTCACGGAAGAGACGGCGTTGCACATGGACAGATGAACCCGACGATGAAGATGACCAAGCACGGAAGAGACGCTATTTACCAGGAGCCGACGTCTCACCAGATAGCAGCCCAGTTGTTGGACAAGGGTTGTAATTGCCACATAAAGCTACAAAATAACATTGTGATACCCAGATGATATTGCCTCGTTCTGCCCATTGATGTTCCTCTGAAGAAAGAGATGATTTATGCCGAGGGGTTTGTCGCTCTAGAATGAAATGTTGAAGGGTCTAGAAGGAAACCTTGACAGGAGAGGTCCATGCAGAGGTACTTGCCTTATGCCAAGTGGACCTGCCACAGCTCTTGCCCCAGCACCTTCAACGTTTCAGCTAATCTCCAACTCCGGGATTTTTTTCTCCACCACACCAAGATTTATTATATAATTTAAGATATTTATATTTCAAAATGGAGGCGGCTGTGTTGATTCTTATATATATACAGACAACCCGAATATGCTAAACACACAAAAGGCCTGAATAAACAGACAACCTAAATACACAGAAGACCTGAGCACACAACATCAGGCTGCAATTGGATCTGCAGAACTATATTCTGAGACTGAACTGCCAGCCCTTGTTGAATCCGAATCCACTGCCCTTGCAGCAAATAAGCTCCGCTGATTAGCACGGTCAATCAGCTCGTCACGCTGTTTCCGTGCCCACTCAATCCCGTTGCGAAAGGCAGTGGCCCCTCTCTGGAAGTCCTCTGCTGACTCATTAATAAACCATGAACCGATGCCGGTTATTGCATATGCGAGACTGGAAGGCATTGGTCGTCGCATCTCGTTGAGAAGGTCAACTTCCGGTGGACTGTGGTTATAGCTGTGAACTGCAAACATGCGGAGTACGCCGTCGTTAAAAGTACACGTTAGAGTGCGCGCTTTCCGTCCGCCCCCTCGCGCGGCTTCTCCCTGCGAGTGAGGGTCGGTCCACGCAGAGAGAGCGTCCATACCACGTGCAGCAAGTGCGCCGTCATATACAGCCTGAATCTTGGCTATTTCAGGGTTCCCTGCCGGCCCCTTGATATGGACGATGAAGTTGGGGCAGAGGATATTCTGTGCAGTTGTGGGCAAGATCAGTTTGTTGAGGCTTGGGTCTCTGCGGACCGACTGGGCCAGCTGTTCCGGGCGCGACCCATACGCTCGGTCGGGGTTGCCCGGCACTGCGTTGTCCATCGTGAGTTGGAGAAGATTGCTCAGCAGGACAGGGCCCTTCTTGATGTGTGACGAGCTCAGCGCTAGCTGTGTGCCTTCGACAACCTCGAGTGTCCGTCCGCGTGCTTCTTCTGCATCAGCAAGAGAATAAGCTTTCGTGAATTGTTCGAAGTGGTCCGTCGTGAAGCATTCGGGCTCTAGCGAGGCACGGCTTGGGGCGCGAAGTGCTTGTCGAATCTCATCGATATTATCAGGGGCAGGCGGCTTCTCTCCAGACTCGAGATAATGGCCAACTGGCCAGATTTTGCAGTCCACCAGGTGTTGCTTGAACGCAGCATTGTATGGCCCAGTGCTCTTTGTATTGTTGGTGCGGTCCTGTGTTGTTGTCCTCAACAGACTGCCTAAACTTCCCATGCTCCGGCCACGAACACGTTTCCCACTCTTCTGAACCCTCCCTCGATCGCTCTGTGGCATGGCACCGCGGAGGTCTGAAAGGTCAGGACCACCTTGCCTTGCGAATCGTTCGAGGTCGAGGTCTGGCCTGTCGCAGTGGTCGGTATCGACGCTGTTTTGGCGTATGGGGCTTTGCGGCCTGTAGGGCGCGCTCATAAGCCGAGATCGTCGTTGTAGCCGCTCACGCCGGTTGAACTCCCACAAGGCTCCCGATACCAAAGGAACACGGGATAATTTGTCCCAGAACGCGGGGGGCTGGTGATGATGCTTAGGAATCTTCTGCGGCGGCTGGGGCGTCGAGTACGGAGGTGAGGGCAGCTTGTCATGCTCTGCAGAGCCCCGTCGGCGCTTCTTCGAGCGTGTCTGGGCCCCCGTGGTCCGAAGGTCGCGACGAGCAGTTGTAGGGAGAGGCATGGCTTCGGAAGTTGTAGATGTGAACGTTGTGGGAGTGAACAGGTCCCGCTCGTGAACAGCACGGCTCGGATAGCCTGCCCAACCAGCGCAGGCGGCCAGCGGGAGGCGGCCAGCGCTAGCAACTTGGCACAGACTGGACAAACATACCTGCGCCTCGGGGGTGTTGACGTCTACTTATAAGGACTTTGATCCCTGTACCCCACGCGAATACAGGGGCTTGTATCCACCCGGGATATAGAAATGCAACTAGGCCCCACCCAGACCCGCTGACGACCCGCGGCCAGTTCTCCAAACAATCATGTGCTTTCGCTGCGCATCACAACGCGTTCGTCATTCACCCCAAGATGGCCCTCGGCCGCCAGCGCAAGACCCGGAGCAGTTCGTCCCCCGTTGAGAACTCCTGTCCTAACTACTCAGAAACCCATCCGCTTTTTGCATCCTGGTTATAACGCCCCCAACAATGTGCTTTTCAGACTGGCGCGCGTTGACGCGGGCCATCATCTCGCCGCCGGCACGAGCGATCGGCCCACTCTAGGTGTATGCCATGCGACGGCCCTCGTTGCTTGTCAAGTTGTCGCTAATAATGCTTGGCTGGGGCGCCTTGCTCTTGATAAAGAGGGACAGATGCTGGTGACCGCCCCGCTTGACGATGTTCTGGTGCTAGACGAATATTACTTTGTTGTAGACGGTGATTCCCCGACAGCAGGGCTGCATCTGGGCCCAGACCAGAGATCTGAAGCAGGTCGGTGAGGGTGTTGGTCCACCATTACTAATCTCTCTGAATAGGTTCGCCGATTTATCCTATTGTGCCTTCTTTTCGCGACTGGCCGTTTCCGCACGACCATGTACCCGCCTTCTGGCCTTCGCTTCCAGCCGGACACGCTTCTGATACCTGTATCCTTACCGACTCCTCCTATTCAAAAACCGAAGCACATCTCGTGCCCAGAGAAGAAGGCGATTGGTTCAAATACAATTCGATGGGTCAATACGGACTTGACAGAAAAGACACGGAAGACTCAGCAAATCTAGCCGTGCTCCGGGCTGACGTACACACATGGCTGGATGCTCGAGGCTGGGCCATTGTGCCCAAATCAAATCGATACGTCGCACACGTCCTTGACCCAGCGCAAGCCCCCGAATTCTTCTGCTGGTACCACAATGTTGAACTCCGTCTCTCCGGCGGTAGACAGGCCACAGAATATTTCTTTGCTCGCTTCGCATGGACAGTAATCCAGCTTGTGAAGCCGTTCATCATGTCACTATCACCGAGGGTTGTCGTTCACGTCCAGACAGATCCCGAGAAGGCAGTGAACTGGGTAGTGGAAAATATGCAGCCTGCTCAGCTCGATGATCTCTATGGTGGTGGTGGTTCTAGAAGCGCCAGCCCCAACAAGAGAAAGAGGACGCAGAGCAGCACTCGCAACAACAGTGTCCACAACGATGTCGGCCTCAGTCGTGACACTGAGATTAACATGCTATACCAGCGGATCACAGAGGACCACGAAGCCCATGTACCTCAAAAGAGACGGAGGGACTTGGGCATGTACAACTCGGAGCAATGGGAACGCCGGGGAAGACCACGCAAGCGCCGCAGTTGGGGCACCGAGAACCCAGCTGCGACTGATCATGAGGACAGCGCAAGCCCCATATCTACGGATGCGTTCCTGGGCCACGACTCGTTTACGACCGCCTCTCCTGTTGAACAGCAAGAGGATCCGGAGCTCAGCATGAAGAAGACTGAACCGTCCCCTGATGACTCCTGCACAACCGTGGGTGTTGATGGCCAGCTTTAAAAATAATCTGCAGCTCGGCAAAGAGAAGCAAATCACAGTGCAACAACGCTTCTTTCGCAATTTCTCGCTTAATTACACGTACTTAACAAACAATAAGAAAATGCCCTACTTCCAGAGCACGTTAATCACCCATATAAAGAAAATTTTACCGCTATTCCAAGGCGTCATTAATAACGAGAGAAAAGCCGGCTTTCAATGGCTTCTCAAGCAAGTTCACAACCTCCTCAGGCAATGCAACGTCATTTGCTGATCACTTGGGAGCGCCAAGACTGCGCTAGTAAAATATGCGATCCTCCTCCGGCATGACGAATTCCACCCTCCCCGGGCGGACGAAAACGATAGTTGTGCCATAGACGGTTAGCGGGCCTACCTTAAATCTTGGCACTTTTCAACTCCAAGATCGCTCTAGAAAACGCATCTCGCTCATTTTAAGGAACATAAAGAATACCGGGTTGGGCCTTAAGTGGTGCTTAGGCAAGGCCTACCGGCCACTCGCTGCGCTTGACCCTTCGCCCCAGCCGGCCCTTCCTTAATTTAATTGCCAGCCTGGGAGAGCAAATTCAATTTAACTTAAGATGTCAAGATTTAAAGTGGGCCCGCTAACCGTCTATGGCATAACTATCGTTTTCGTCCGCCCGGGGAGGGTGGAATTCGTCGTCCCGATCCTCCTCGGTCGGCATACCTGGCCGTCACTGCTTGGCAGCTTGGCAGCTTGGCATGTCACCGCGGCAGCCTGTCGAGTCTGTGCAGTCCAGCGGACCCAACAAACTATGCAGAGTCATTGGTTTACCTGGGTACTGTGCACAGACAGCAGCTGACACAAGGCCTTCCCTCTTCCTTTCCGGCACCACTGCGCGCCCCTTTGATGCACCATCTCACGTCTTCGCTTCGAATCTCATGACAGCTCCCTCTCACCTTTCTGCACTCCTACCACCACCACCACCACCACCGCCGCCAACAGTCTCGTATACTGCATTGCACAAACCGCAGTGTACGCGGCTCTGCTGTGCCCCTTCGCCACGCTACAGAACAGACTCTGCGGTTACGACTCTACGGTTTTGATCTGGGCATTGGGAAGCAAGAGGTTAAACTTCTTGCATGCAACAGAGACCAGGATAAGCAGGCTATACATTCCCTTTTAACCTTTCGCTTCTTTTAAATTAATGCAAATATATATAAATAAACAAGGAATGGAGAGTGGAGGCTACTCCCTTTGCCTCTTAAAGCATGTTAAAGCCTAAGCGGGTAAGCTAATCTTATATAATTGCATGCTAACCATATAAGGGACTTTTTCCTCTTTCCTTCCTTACCCTAAATTTATTTATTTAATATTAATATATTTAATATACCTTATTAATATACATACTCTTAAAGCTATGGCAGTAATGGCATTTATCCCTATACCGTAAAGCCGTAACCTATAAGGCATCCTAGGTTGCTTTCTTAACACTAACCTACCATCCTTGCACACATTGCCTATCAACTTGCAAACCTTCTTCAACCCCATTTAAAAACTAGCCCTATTTTAATTACGCATTATAATTAATGCTTCGCAGGATCCCTTCTTTCTAAACATTTCGCCTAACAAAATCAGCACCTTTTCTCTTTAATAAGGCTTGCCCACATATCTTTACTTCCGCATTACTTATATTACCCTTATTACGCCATAAGAGCCTTTATTGCGGCCTATTATAAATATAAATAAAGAACTATTCCAGGCATTATGCTTTTTTGCATAGCAGAATGCTATAAAAATGTCGCTGCTTAATGATAGCTATAAACTATCGCAACTCTTAACCCTATGCAAGGCTATTAATTAAGGAGGCTTGCAATTAAAACTAAGGCAAATAAATTTATAATCATTATATTAAAGCAAGGGTAAATAAATAATAAAGGCTAATAAGGAGTTATATCTTTTAGCCTGCTTATTCTTAATAATTACGCCGTTAAATGGCCTACTCCCAATAGCAAATCCCTCCTTCATAACATATAATAATAAGTTAGCCCCACCCTAATACTTAAATCTAGCGTCCCCCTTACTATTATTACCGCTATCCTTTATGCCTTTGCTAAAGAAAAGACAAAGGTAAATGCGCATACCCTCCTTATTATCAAACTTATCCCCGGACTTCCGCATATAAAAACATCTTAACTTAGTTTATGGTAAGCGTAAGAAGATAATATATAAGCTAATTTAATGCATTATAAAAAAGGAGAAAACCATTAAAGACTTAATAAATAAGATAAAAGCAAAAGAGGAGGCTATAAATAATAAAATTATTAACTTATTAGCGTTAATTGTGAACATAAAGAAGAAAGAGGCAGCATTGCGCGAGGCTAGTAATGTATAGTTACCAAAGGATAACCGGGAATAACCAAAGCTTATGGCCTTGCAAGCTCCTATTATCTCTGTATCCCCCTTAGCCAGCCCCAGGTTAACTAAGTTTATATCCTTAAATATCTTAAACCGTGTTTAAGCCTATATCGCCACGCAGTTTAACCATTTGCATAATGAGATTGCTTGCAAGTACGCTACCAGCAAATCCATGGAATAGCAGGTTAGCAACAAGGTAAACTACATACTAAACAAGCATATTAAGGAGCACCAAATGTTTAATGCCATTTATAAGGCTATTAATAAGGTAATGATGGAGGTAAGGGCATGGGTTTTGGCTGCTTAGGAATAGAGTTGCCAAAAATATTATTACATATAGTATATAGGACATGACTTTAAATAAATCAATGTTATTAAGTACCTGATACTCTCTTCCAAGGTATAAACATCATCTCGCGAGAGAAGTGACTAGTTAGCATGACCAGACGAGGATGGCCGGGGGAGCACCTGGATTCTAGCCACCTAGATCAACGCCGCCAGCGCCTATATGCGTGGCTAAAGCCCATCGTTGGATCTTATAAGCAAAGTTATTTAGTTCAAATATACTTAAGCAGCAAGTTTAACGCTAATACAGAGATGGAAGGCCATAAGATATTCTATGCATTGTATAAAAGTTTGCACAATTACTCTAGGCTGTCGGACCACCTAAGGCAATAAGTGATAGGCAGCCCCTAAGAGGCTAGGGCTAGTTTAGGTTTGATCTGTTTGGTGAGCGGGGAATGTCCGCAGGATGCTACTTACGTGTTTAAGCTTAATATCTTATAGTTGTATTAATGGCCTTTACTCCTCCGTCTTTAGTAAAAGATATTCATAAGGCCGTTTTAGATAATGGATTCTTTGTTACCTATGATTCAAGTCTCGGGGAACGTATTAAGCAGTTGAACGACGAAGCTGTTCATCTCGCATTAGCTGGCGGATTGCAGTTCTATCAGGAGACTATTCTTAGGAACCCAGTTAGTTCAAAGTTCGGTCATCCTAAAATCAAGCCCTCCTACTCTAAGGCTTCCCAAGAGATAGTGGAGCCCAATATGACGCGATGGCACATCACCCTTAAGGTTAATCCTGCCTCCAAACTCCTTTATACTTACAGGGCGATCCAAATGCCATTTCGCTGCAGTATGAAGGATATGTGCCAGTTGGCAGAAGAGACTACGGCGGTAAAAAAGGTCCACCAGTGCATAACATGCAAAGATCACATTGTCTATCATGATTGTTGGATGTTTGCGGAATGGGATCACATTCACAGTAACTTTGAAGAAGTGGACCTCATCCAGGAAGAATTCGTAGCTCAGGGGTCTGGAAGTCATGATATGTTCCCTCCTGAGAGGCGCAGAAATGACGTAACATTGGTGTCTGGAGATGCTGTGAGCAGAGATACGGTTCTGTCTGATCAAAGGGCGTGCAAAGAGGCACAGACTCACAAGAGGGCCAGGGGGCCGCAAAGCCTCTCGTCTGGGAGGAGCTTGAGTCAGGGCCTTGAAAAGATAGCTCGTTATGAGATGGCGAGCTATGAGACAAGTGAAAGGGAAGTGGGTGGTGGGGGTAAAGCCGAGGGACACAATCAAGGTGACGAGGGAACTAGGGCTGGCGGCGATACGGACTTAGTGAGCGAGGGGGGATCCTTAGATGAGAGACTCACGTTCATGTGGGAGGACATTTGCAATCCACTGCCTCGGAGGCGGAGAAATTAGCACAACTGTCTTCCTCCGTCATTCCACATGACATGGAAGACCCGGAGTTGTTCACCTACATAGGCCCAGCAGGCCACTCCCTAGCGCCTAGAGCATAACCGCAGAGATTTATAAAAGACTTACTGTCTGTACTAGGAATGATAAGTCATGATCAAAAGGAAACGTGGCCAGCTGATGGAACCCATAGTGTCACCTAGACGTAAGAAAGCCATATGCAGGTCGAAGCAGTGCATTACATATCAACTCCTGCACTTAAGTCAGGGTCTGCACATTCGGCCCACCCCCTGATTCGGCCCACTAAAACGGTCCTCCTTGCCACACCACCCCTTTAATTAAAGTTACTTTAAATTATCGTTATTACTTATAATGATGCATTTCTTTATATTTATAATATTTTTAAAAGCGTTTATTTTTGCTAAGTTATTCTTAATTATGCTAATATTAATTTATACCCTATATATATGCTTAATTTTAATAAATATAAAGTTTAAGCTTATTTTAATTTTTCTTTTCTTTTAAAATATTATAGCCATTAATTTATCTTTAAGGATTTAATTTTTTTATAAAAGCATTATTAATTATTAATCTTTCTTATTATATTTTTTTTAAATCTTTTTAAAGAGTAATTATTAAGTTATAATTAAATATTTTTATAAGTTATAATTAGCAAAAGTAACTTATATTTCTTAAAATGCTTTAAAAATTAAAAAAATCTTTTTTATAGCTTAATAAATATTAAAGTAATTAATTTAAGTTTTTTAATTTTTATAATGTTATTAAAAATAAGTATAAATATTATTTTATTAAAGTTTTTAAGCATAATTATATTTATTAATAATTTAGCTAACGTAGTTTACCAGATAGTGGCCAATATTAAATAGTAGCCGATTTTTTCAACTTTAACCAACTTTCATTAACCTTAGCACCCGCTTAATATAAAAGAATTAATTAAATTTAATATTAATTAATGCTAATTGCTTTTAATTACTTATTTCTAATTAATTTTATTAATTTAAAGGAATTAGCGTAATTATAATATAATTAGGAGTTATTAAGGTTTATATGAAATGGCTCTTTTTTAATATTAATTGCGTTTTAATTTTTCGCGTTAATTTCGCTTCAATCCACTTACTTAAACCTTTAATGCATTATAAATTAATATTATATTATATATCCTTTATTAAAAAAAAATAAAATCCTTTTAGCCGTTTAAGCAATTAATAAATTTAAAAAACCTTATTAAAAACCCTTAAGTATTCCTTAAGTAATATAAATCTTTTATATTTTAAAATAAACTTTACGCCGTAAGATAAAGTAATAATTATTTTATAAGGAATTATGCATTAATAAATATAAACTTAATTAAATTAAAAAGTAAATGCTTATTTAATATATTATTAAGCAAAATGCTTAAGGGTTTTTTTTACAACTTTTTAGGGTAAAAAATATAGCCAACTTTTTATTAACATTGCATAATGCTAAACTTATTAATAAGCACTAAGCTTAACGCTTTATAAACTTATAACCCAGCCTTAAAACTAAGTTTAATTATCTTTATAATTATTAAAGGGCCCTTTGTAAAGATCCAAAGATTATTAGAAATTAATTCAAGCTGCTTTGTAACATAATAATTAAATATTAAATCCTTAATAATAACCTTTATAACTTTAACGAAATTAACTTTATAATAAATATAATTACCTTAGCAATAATTATTATATGCATTAATAAATATAAAAAAGTTAAATTAATTTAGCTTAAAAACTAAAAATAAGTAATAATTATTAAATATATTAATATAAGTAGGTTATAAATCCTATTATTCATAATTATTTAAAGCGCTTATTACCTTGCTAGCTAAGCAATAAAGTTAAATTTTCCAAATAATTAAATTATTAAGCCTACTTTTAATAAATAAATAAATAATAAAATTAATTTAAAATGGATTTAGCACTTTAATAAATATATTAAGCTAAAGAAAAATGCTAATTATTAAATATTAATTATAAATAATTATAAAAGCTATATATTAACTAAATTTAACTAATACTGCAAGAATAATAAGATTATTATTATTAGCATATTATTGCATTTATTTTACTTACTTTAGCCATTAAACATTGCATTATATTTATCTTTAAAATATGCATATAGCAATAAAATTAATCTTTTTATTTAGGCCTTTATTAATTATATTACTAAGTTTAAGTTCTTTTTATGTTTAAGGCAGCCCATAATAAGACTTTTATAAAGGATAATATTAAGTTTGTATTTAAAGAAGCTGGAATTTTTCCTTAGGACCTTAACTTTATAATTTCCAAGCTTAATATTTACCTATAAATATTAATATAATCCCTTCTTATTTCTTTATAAAAATAAAAGTTTTAAACTTTATTAAATGCTTAATAAATTATTTAGCAATTAAGTTTTATTAAGGGTAAAATTTCCGCCTATTAAGAGAGCTTCCTTATATTAATTATAAATGCTATTAATTAAATAATAAAGAATATAAGTAATAATATATAAGCTTATTATTTTAAAAAATTAAGTTTATACTCTTAAGGAAGTTAATATAGCACTTATAAAATATTAAAGGGCTAAAAGAACTTAAGTATAGCTTAAAGAAGCACTTATTATTAAGGAATCTTAAGCTTTTATTTAAAAGAAATAAAAAGGGAAGCGGCTAGCTAGTAAAATAAGTAGTAATGCTAAGGAGTTAATTCACGGCGAATTAATTAAAAAATAGTATGGTAATTATAGCGAGATTAGGCATAATGTAAGAACTTATAAAAAAGATAAAAAAGAGTTTAATTAATTAAATTTTAATTATATTATAATAAATCTAGCTTAATTAGCATTAATTAATATAAATATATTTATTTTTATAGTTTACGGCGAATTATATTTTTAATAATAAAGTTAGCATTATTTAATGCAAAGTGCATATTTTTCATTAAAAGTTAGCCTATTTAAATTAATATTATAATCATGCCAACCCCTTTAAATTAATAAAATTAATTAAAAATAAGCAATTAAAAGTAGTTAGCATTAATTAATATTAAATTTAATTAATTCTTTTATATTAAGCGGGTGCTAAGGTTAACGAAAGTTGGTTAAAGTTGAAAAAATTAGCTATTATTTAATATTAGCCACTACTTAGTAAACCACGTTATATTAATTAGCTATAAATTAATTTCTTGCTATTTAAAAAGTATATGCTTTTTTTTAAATGCTATAAATTTTGCCTTTTAATAATAATAAAGGAATAATTGCTTTTTAATATAAGTATTATTAATATAAAGGTTTAAAAGATTTGCTTTTTTTTTATATATTACCTTAAGGCTAAAGAATACCTTTAAATTAAGAGGTTATAATATATATAAGGTATATAATAATAAATAAAGGTAATAAATTTTATATAAAAAATATTTTTATATAAACTTTAAAGTATAATAGCTTTTATACTTATTTATTATTAATAAATGCTATTTTTTAAGGGCATTTAGCTTTATTTAAGAAATAAAGATTTTTTATAGCTATTTAAGTGTTATAATATTATTTATTTAGCTATTTAATATTATTATAAACTCTTAATTTTTATAACCTTTAAGGATTTTAAATTATTATTATTAAATTAATTTTTCCTTAAAGATAATAAAGAAAGGGTATAATTTGCTTATTATAAAAATATATTTAAGGAAAGAAGTTTATATATATAATTTATGGCTTTTTTAAGTAATAATCTTTTTTCCTTTAAGTTTTAAAATAATGCTATTCTTCCTTTTATCCTTAATTATACCCTCCTTATTAATATTATAATAATTTTTTAAGTAAATATTTATAATTGTTAATAGCTAAAGAAAGTTAAATTATTTCTTAATTATACTTATTTTTACTTTATTTACTTAGCTTAAAGTTATTTAATAACTTTATATACTTTAAATTTTAAAATTTTTAATAAGAAAAGCTTTTAATTAATGCTTATTAAAGAGTAATTAATATTTTTAAAAAGCAATTATTTAAGCTATAAAAAACCTTATTTTAAAATATATTATTAATAACTTTAATATTACTTAATTAATTACTTAATTAAATAAATATATTTTTTAAGTTTATAATAACCTTATTTAAGATTTTAAGGCATTTAAATAGCTTTAAGCATTATAATAATAATTATAAAGTATAGTTTTTAAGATATCTTAATATAAAAAGGCTTTTTAAATATTAGCGCTAGCTTAAATTACCTTAAGTGCTGCATTTATATTTTCTTTTATATATGGCTTTATAATTAATGGATGATAATGTATTGAAAATTTAAAGAGAAGAGAAAATTTCATTATAAAGAAAACGCATGATATGTAATGGGGTGGACTTAACGTGCATGTGGGTGTGGAGTGGGTTGAATTAGGGGGTGGGCCGAATGTGCAGACCCTGACTTAACATCTTAATATTAACACTCAATATTCAAACTTAATACTCTAATTTAATCCTTGCAATAAGTTCTCACATACAATATTCAAACTCAATATCTAAATTCAATATCCACATTTAATATTTACAGCTAACATCTACAGTTAATATCTACATAAAAATTAAGAACAGATATTCCTTATGGGAATCCTATTGTACCATTGCTGGTAAACGTTATCCTAAATCTGTGAAAAGAGCTAGCTCTCAATTACTAACTGATTTTCTGCACCTATCCCCCATTACCAACCCTATGCACACGCTTTATTTGATCATATCTTGATGACTCTTGTCAGGTCTTTTCAAAGATAATGCTGAAATTATTTTTCCGCTTGCTTCACCCACTTAGGCAGGCTGGAACCTTCCGCCCCGCTTTTTGCAGCCTCACCCATTCCCCTCACCAGCTGCGCCTCACCTATGTACCTGTCCTATGGAGACCATGTACCTTCCGTGCATGGAACCGTTCGGGCCTCAGGCATCCACCGTCTATCATCATCATTACTGGCCGCCTCTTAAACATATCCAACCTGCCCTTGTCCCAACCATATGACTGTTCCTAGACAACGCCCAATAAAGCTCTGAGAACTTAAAGCTCTGAGAATCTGAAGCCTAATTAGTCTCTTCACTTAGCAGTCACTTGAGATATTGGCACTTGATTATTAACACTCAGTCCTTTATAGTCATTCGTCAGCATCAGAATTTTCTTCTGCCTCCTCTATCCCAAGACTGAAAGGCCGATTATAATTCAGTCTCTGAATGTGGTCCAGGGCTATGACAATGTGCTCCAAAGATAAATGAGGGAACTTGTTCGTTGTGGCGTTAATTGCATCCTCATCAGCATCAACGCCGCCATCCGGGTCACCAAAATAATTGATATAAAACCATGCTGCCCGTGTAAGGGCGACGGTGTCTGCAAGTATGTTAGTACTAAATGCATCAATCTCAGCCGTCTTTGCATACATGCTTGCTGGTCCTGTCCATCCTGCGCTGGACACTTGACGTTGAGGTATCCCTCTTCCCCCAGACGTGGCGGAGGGGGTGGAGGTGGCGAGGGGGGGTCCTTCCGATTCAGTATGGACGTGAGCTTGTTTATCTGGGCAAGCTCGTCGAATGCGTTTTGAAAATTTCCAGTAGTCTCAACCACAGCGCCAATCTCAGCTGACATGCGGTTGATATCTGCCTTCATGTCGGACTTGAGCTCGGCCTTGATCTCAGACTTGAGCTCAGCCTTCATCTCAGACTTGAGCTCGGCCTTCATCTCAGACTTGAGCTCAGCCTTTAGACCCTTGAGAGCCTCGCGGAGTTGTTCCTTGATCTCGGTCTCCAGTTCCTCCTTCGCCTTCTTCTTTACGTCCACATCATCCCTCGCCAGCAAGACTTCTTGTCTTATCGCCTCTCTTACATCGTCTCTCGTCATCTCTAATGCCCTGGAAGATACCTTAGGTGCCCCATCTGCACCTCGCTTGGTTGGGACAAATTTCTTTCCGATAAAGAGCTCGCGCACTGGTGACATCAAGCCCCTTCCTCCACTACCGGAACCGCTGGTGACTGAGTTGGGCCGGCTTCCGTTAACAGAGGCAGCCGTTGGAGGAGGCTGTTCAACAGCCGCATTCTGTGTCAACACCTGTGTATATCCGGTCTGTAACGACTGTGATGTGTTCGGGCTGTGTGCTAAGTAGGGCGACAGTTGTGGCCGGGAGCCATCTGACGATACTGAACTGCCGGCCCCCTTAGCCTGCTGTTGCAGTCTACCGAACAGACTTCGAAGGAGACCACTCTGATGTGCGTCCTCATCCGCCGCGCCGTGTCTCAAAGGGGTGCAAGGGAGAACATTGGTCAGGTCGACAAAGTCCATATCAATGACATCCGGATCAGGATCCCGGCGGAAGACCCTTAACTGCTCATTAGCAAGAATAGCCTGGATATCCGCCCCAGGAAGGACAAGCCGCCGTATCTGCCAGTTGGTCAACCGTAGTTGATCGATCCTTGGCTCCTCGAGTATCCTCGCCTGGGAGGCATCTTCTGCGGTGTTCGCAATAGCCTCCCCGAGGATAACTTGCGTGCGAAGAGTATCAAATATCACGACAGGAGCTGACAGCTTGCACAAGGTTGAGTGTTTAAGGAGCCCGTGGAAAAAAACGGCCTGTCGCTTAACAATAAGGTCCACAAGGTGGCTGCGGCTCCCAGCAATCCGACACAAGTCATTCGAGACAGCGCTGAAGGCTATAAAAGGCGGCAAATTTGACAGCCTCTGAGTTGCATCCGGATCCGGTACCCGAGCCTTCAAACCAGCATCCTCAATGTCGAGTAATATGTAAGCATCCGCTGCTGTCTCCGCTGTACTCAGGCCCGGAATGCAAGATCTGGAAAGACTCATAAGTCTGCAGAGGCTTTGCAAGAATAGCGACCGGATAATGAGCTGCTCCTCGTACGTCGTCACCGTGTCCATCCGGCTGGCCCAATGCTCACACCACATAGCAATCGTCGGACGTTTTGTAGCAAGCTGGCTGATCAACCAGCTTTCCATCTCCTCCTTTGATTCCGCGCTGGGGTCAAGGCACTTAGTCAGCTCGGCCTGTGAACCATCCGCCTCGTCTTTGTCAGTACTCTCGTGATCCGAAGAGTCTTCCTCTAGCATGAGGTGGCTGAAGCGAGGCGTTAGGTATGGCCGCATATCTTTCCTTGCAAGAGCAAAAGCATGCCCAAGGAGCTGATCGTAGTCGGCCATGAGTTGTAGCTCAGAGGTTCGTGCCTCTTCGGGTCGGAAGCAAGTCAAGAGATTGTCCCCATTGATGCCATCCCAGAAGCCTCCCCGCACAAGTAAGGACCCACGAGGCTTCATCATCATCCACTCGATGCCCAGACAACCAATGCGATCTCGAAACCGTGTATCGGGATGTGAGATGACCAGCAGGGCTATGAGACCAGCGGGTGAGTGCAATGCTGGGGCCCTCCACACTTTGCGTTTACCGCCTTCGGCTTCGGCAACCTTGAGAGCCTCCCTCCAGTTTGTACCCTTTTTCATCCACCTCTCCAGATCAGAAAAAGCACCATCCGCATCCCGTGTAATTTTGTGCCGAGAGGTAGAGAACTCCCCAATATGGCAGAGCAGATGTTGCATTAGATCGCTTCCATGAATGTGGGAAAGGTTGCCCACGAGTCCTTGTGGCAGGAAGTCTCGTAAAAACAGATATGCCTTGGCGAGCATCCGTCCCTGGGTTTCATCTTGGCCTTGTTCGATTATAGCCCATGCGAGTTTCAGGAACCAGTCCCTATGTGAGTGAATCCTGATGAAGTTCTTGCTCAGGGCGCGCGTGAGAAGTGAGTCCCCTACTAGGGGCAACCAAGCCGTGTTTTCTTCATCAGCCATGTTGAGCAGTGAGTGGTGAGGCACAGAATCAAGGAGACCTCCCAGCATACTATACCTCCTCTATCAATTTTCTCAGTCATTCTGTACACGTGCAGACAAACAGTTGCCGTGATGTGCCACGAGTGTCTAGGCCTGATCTGTGTTAGCGGGCGGCACAGCGCAGCCAGATGTGACTCCTCATGTAACACACCACCGTGGAGATACGCCCCAGCAAGCTCTTGTCGAACAAGCTGCCAGCCACGGCCATTCACGAAGTAGCCGTCGGCCAGCCAATCTGACCCAGCAACAGTCTGAGTCGCTCAATCTACACCCTTCCATAGTCCGTCTGACAAAGCAACTGCATGGACTACCCATACGCTCAGAGGAGTACCGCGAGGTCCGGGCCCGCATCAAGTCAAGGTTATTTACTGCCGCTAAGACAGACCTACGGAAGCAGTGGACAGCGGAGCAGGCAGTGGATGATATCCAACGCCAGATCCGCGGCCAGGTATTTGCTCCTCTCAACCCCAGCCAGGCCCGATCCCCCCGTCCCACAAGGCCAGCACAGGAGGTTCTGGTCAACGCCCTCTGCACGCCACTGGTAGGGACGCATCTCTCAGTACAGCTCCAAAGGCGGGCGAACGCAATTGACGCGATCATATCGTATTGTGGCGTGGAAGAGCCGTTATCCACTAAGGTACTGGAGGCGAGAGTACCGCCACCACCACCAGAATTGCGACACCGAGCCGTTGGAAACCAGAAATCAATGGATCAGACATCAGGAGACCAGATCTACCAGGTGTCTAAAGAGTTAAAGGCATCTGTGTTTGTGCGCCAACCCGGCGAAAGATTCCGACGATGTTTTCTCTGTGTTGCAAAGGCCCTCACCTTACCACCGAATGACGCCCAGATCAGTGTACTCTGTCGTACTTATTATAATGCGGGAGGGGTGACCAGACACTTCAGGAGTTTTCACTTGGCAAACTTGGGTGAAACGGAAAAGACTGTCTGTCCGATATGCCCGGATGTGAAGATGAAGAGCAAGCAGCACCTTCAGAATCATGCTGATCTCGTGCATGGTATCAGAACACATTTTAGGTTTTTCTAATGGTTGGTCTTATGAGGAGTGGAGAATGGGGGTACAATGTGTATCAAGAGGTAACATTCAAGGCTAGATAATAGTGTTTTGTTGTTGTACAATGTCGACCTTGCCTTTCTACTTCGTTGTAACCGGCAGTTATTGTCGTGCCTTATTTGCTTAATGAGAGGGAGGAAGTGTTCTCATGGAAGCCCCTTTTCAAAAAATGACGCCGTTGAGATTAAACACGCAGCAAGCCAGGCAGGATGGGTATGTAGTCTATCTAGATTTGGTTAGTCCCGCCTCGGCTTCAGGCCGGGTTCGTGGAAGCGCATGCACGTCATCCATGTCATAGCGTTGCCGAGCAACCGACCGAGCAAAGAATACAGAAGATCACATCTCGGTCTCCTCAACTCCAAACTCTCCATCAACTTTGATAATCAGAGAATACATCCTCACCTTAGACACCCATGCACACAGAAGCCATTATAGGCTGGCTCAAGGACCTGCATGTGGCCTTCCACCACTGCGCCGACACCTTAACATGCTCTCAGCCCGCAACACAACAGAAATCGAGATCTTCTTATTCCACCCGAAAGCCAACCCCGCGAAAACGACGCCGAATTTTGGGAGAGATCTGTCCAAACCAGATATACGGTATGGATGCAAACTCGAAGCAGACAGAATTTGAAGGCAGTCACAGCAGACAGGATTCAGATTCCGACATGGCTTTGCCGCCTTCGGATCGCAATCGAGAGGACACGGGCTTTTGGGAAGCTGAAAACCCGGTCACAAATGCGTCTCTCCACCGCCGGAGGAGTCCACGAAAGCTACAATCAGCTCCTCAACACGAAAATCCTCTAGACTTCGCTTCAGACGAATTCTCTAGCATTCACATCCGTGAAGATACAACAGAGGATACCCCTGACGACACATTTGCGACGCCCCGTGCATCACGAACGCGTGTACCCCGACGAGAACGTCCTGGGGGTTCGCCCCGGGCCAAGAATTTCGTGCGAAGCCTTCAAAATGATACGGGTCCGATGCCCTGTCTGCCTCCATCTTCGACGTCGAGCAGATCAAGCAGATCATCAGCCCGATCCTCAAGCCCCATCAAGCGTGGCCTCGACCTGCAAATGCTGTCCAAGCCCGTGTTCTGGAAACATTGCACGATGGAGAAAATGCGCACTCAGCTCAAAGACTACCCCGATACCGTCGACATGATCCGCCGGGCGCGTGCTATCACGGAATACGGAGAGGGCTACCTTCCGGTGGAGCTCAGGGGGGAACTACAGAAGGAGCTGGACCTCGACCCGGAGCGGGACACATGCTTCGGCAAAGAGCGCCCGGAAGCTGGACTTTCCGCGACCATCCGTCGAGAGGCTGCGTTCATCTGCCGCGCTGCATCCTCGTCAGCGCCGACAGAGCCGCAGCTGCGGCAGGTAGCCTGCCGACTATCCCTTACCAGCGAGCTGAGATCTTTGAGGGAGATTGTCGACGCGACGAACGACTTCAAACAAACGCCACGATCTGAGGCGGCGTGGAACTCACGCGTTCACGAGGCAATCCTGCAACTCGCAGTGAAGTCGCACAAAACAAGCAGTGATGAACGTCAGGACAAGGGAATGGGAGAGGATCAATCCTGGCTTTGCTGGGCCGCGGTCGAAAACATCTCGCGCGCTAACATAGCGAAGGCGTTTCTTCCTCTAGCCTCCAGCACAACCGTCATCTCTTCATCAAACCTGCCCAACCCATCCAACGCCACAGCCGTCACCAATGCGGAAGACGACGACTTCCAAGTTGCAGCAAGTAAGATGATCGACTTCGCCATCGTCCTACGGCCGCCACCGTCGGTTGACATGAGGAACCCACAAAATAAGTCACTGCTGAATGCAATATACCAGTTTGTGAATTCTTTGCCGAAGGGAGCCAACTTCTTCAACCAGACCGCCTATGAGCCTCTCATCTTTAGCCCGAGCGGCGTGTTTGTGGAGACCAAGGTTGATAGCCGGCGCTACTCTGAGGCCCAGAATCAGCTCGGCATATGGGTTGCTTCGTGGTATGGAAGGGTCCGGGCAATGCAGCAGCATAATATCCCAAGGCCATGTATCCCCGTACTTCTAGTTATAGCAGATGTGTGGGAGCTTTGGTTTGCGGTCGATGGGGAGGAACAGATTGAGCTTCTTGGGCCAGTTACTTGCGCGTCTACATCAACACTCGACCAGGCCTATCGGCTCTTTTCCGTGCTAAGGCTTCTGGCGGAATGGGTGGGCCATGGTCAATTCCATCGGTGGGTTGAACAAGTAGTATGTCAAGACACATAGGCAGCAAGCGATAAGCTGCACACTCCTTTTCTTCCTGCGATAAGTGAGCTTCTCGTCTTGACCGTTTCCAACGCCGACATCTTCAGAGCACGTAATACTAATAGCTGGGACACCGGGGTCATAAACCATGGCGTTTCGATTAATGCCTCAGGCACCAGTCCGCGTCTCGCTGCCGGGAAGGTACAAGTGCTGCGGCGCCACAGGTACAAGGACCTGTGGCGTGGAAGGGTGCCGTGGGTCCCGGAAGCCTTGGCGTAGGCGGCTGCGTTAGGAAGCTGCAGGCCAAGCATTAAAACATATGTGTATATTAGCAGCCGGGGCAAGCTCCAACCGTCGTATGTCATAACTGTGAGACGCTCTATGGGCAGAGCTAATTTTCCCACCCGAGGCCTCATCGGAGGATAAACCGTCAGAAGATCCACCCCCAGAAGATCCAACGGCAGAAGATTCACCGTCAGAAGCCTCGCTGTCAGAAGATCCACCATCAGAAGATCCATCGTCAGAAGACCCAACATCCATCAACGGGAAGGAAATCACATCTTGATAAACATCATTCCGGCAAGGAGTAACAAACGGAGGACTATTGACAAAGCCGGGGACCAAAGCAGGCCGGGGGGAGGGCGAGCTGGGACTTCCCGGCTGCACAGGAACAGGCAAAGAATAAGTCGGAAGAGGGACAGAGCCGACAACAGGCTTCACATGTCTAGGTGATGTCAATGTTTCCTGGAACAGGGGCGTTGAAGGTGCCTCGGGGACCAAATGTGTCGTGCTGTGTATATCTTTAAGAAGCCGGTGATTGCGGGCTATGTTTTCTTGGCGTCTCTTCTCGAAAGACGCACCACCAGCTGTGGGCATCCCGCCATGAGACTGAAGTAGAGCATTGCTCTCGATAGAGCGAGTATGAGTATCGAAATGGCCGACAAGCATAGTGCTAGTGCGATCAAGTACGCCTAAATGAGCAGTCATGCTACCCGTGAGTGATGTATTATCACAGGCGTCTCCATGGGTTGGGGCGGTGGGTGATAGTAAGGCCTGGAAAGGTCGTGGAGGTGCACTACCACCAGATTTGGTAGTGGTTGCCGGCAGGACGCCCTGGACGTGTGGAAATTCCTGGCTGATAGCACTGGTAGGAACTGGTGTGGGAGTGAACGGCTGTTGGGGGTTGAATTGCTCGACGACGCCGACACTCCCCGTCGAGGCGGTCGTGATAGAGGTGGGTAGCTGTTGATTGAGGACCTGGGCTGCCTTTTTAGCCTTGGCCTTTTTCCAACGGCTCTCTGCAGCCCGCGTGGCCTGCTCACTGCGGGGGTTTGGTCTCCCGGCGCCGGTATCGTCCGTTGCCATACCCATCGCAACACCATGGGCCTCATCGCTCGTGGAGGGCTCTCATGCCTTTCGGACTGGATCGCGGAGGGTGTCGGCGTAGGTTCTTGTCTGGCAGGCCGCGAGACCCGCTCTTTCCGTAGGCCCTCTGTCAGACCTTGCGAAGTCTGGGCCATGCGACTCGCGGGAGTAGTGCTTGACAACGGATCCGGCAACGTTCGTAAATAAATTAATAATTAGTTAATATAAAAAATATAATATAGCTAAAGCCCCAGGCCGCTTAAGCTAACCCTGAAATGCTTAGCAAATAGCGAAGTAATTTCAGTCGTAATCCGAGATATACAATTTTTTATTAGCATTTACAGCCATTTTTCTTGTACTGGGTGAACGTATGCAAAGAGCTGGGTGGGCGGTACCTGGAAGCTGCGTGGGCGGACCTTGGCTCCTTCCACCATCAAAACATCAAAACTGTGACCCTGCGTAATCCAGCATCTGCGCTACCGTACCCACCAACAGTATGGTCCCTCCCATAGAAAGAAATCCAACTACTTTGCCGAGTTTTGCTCCGTCACCGCCGCTCAGTGCCTCCGATCCCGACCACACCGGCGACAAGCTGCTTGCGATCTCGAAGGGGCACCACCACTCACCCGAACAACCCACATCCCATCTTGCCAACACGCCAGGAGGCAACCAACTGCTCCTGTTCCTCCTTCACCTCTGCTACCTCTGCCCGCGCTAGCGCGCCCGTGCCGTCTACGATCTCCAGCTCCGTCTCAGACAAGCAGAAGTACCCACTCGCTCAATGCCAAGTGACTCGAATGATGCCAACTAGTAGCTGGTAAGAACACATTTACACACAGCTTTGATGCACGATGCACTCTACATAGGGAAAACCTCATAACCAATCGTTTCAAGTTGTTTTTAAACCTGTGATGTGCAAGTACATAATCTATATAGGTTTCATCCACGTCTACACTCGCCTTGCTGCTTCGCTAACTTAGGCTTTTTCCCCTTTCAACCATTATCCCCATATCAGAACTTTGCTCCAAGGGATTCCCCGGCGCCATCGGAGTCAGGATCAGGATCAGGATCAGGATCGGCATCCGCATCCGCATCCGCATCGGAGTCGGAGTGGGCCTCGGCCTCGGCATAGGAATCAATGTCAAAGTCGAGAGCAGGGCCAGAATTCGGTGGTGGAGTCGCCGCGGAACTCGAGGTTGTAATCTCATCAGGCCGGTAATGCAGCACACTAGGTTCCGGTAGGGTTATGTATTGGATTTGATAACTGCCCCCAACTCCGAGGCGGACAATAAGACAGCAGTGAGGCATTTCTACCAGCCGTACGTCCGCGTGTATCATAGACCAACAGGTATTGTAAGGAGCCACGAGGTGCACTGTGAGAAGAAACTCCGGAAATTCGAAAGCACGGACAAACCGTGGCTCAGAAGAGCTGCAGTGCGAAGTCCAGATGCCAGCAAAGCCTTGTGAGTTGGTCGTGGCTCTCAAGGTCGATCGATTCGGCGGACGGATTGTGACAGTAGCGTTCGCAACCGGAAGGCCTTCGTCGTTGAAAACGCAACATATAAATGGTGCCATACTGAACGGTATAGACCAAGGAGCCTGCCGCGATGTGCGAGCCGGGACTCGTCTCCCTTTTGAACCTTGGATGTCCCGGTGGCACAGCGAATGGTTCGGTATTCAAGCGCGGGTCCACGCCGTCCCTATTTTAGGACGTCCGGAAATAGATCGGCGTGCACTTCCGGGTCAACCACAACCCACCCGGGCGGCACAGCATATGTAGACGGCCAGTTTCTATTGCTAGGTGCTGGGAGCTAAACTCGGCGCCGGGCGGCGCAGCGGCCGGTCACTCTCTCTTCCTTATTTTAGGCTTCCGCACACAGAACGCGGTGCTTGGCATATGCAGTTGGACGCTCGCAGTGGGCCCAACGCTCTGCACGGTACATGACGCCGGCCTGGACCGGCGGAGTGGGTGGATTAAACCCGCCCGAGAACATCACAAAGGAAGATCCAAATTTAGCATGCATCTGATTGAGAACGCCTGACTACCTAGCTAGCTATGGTTCACCAAAGTCCTCGACATGAAAATCACTTCCGACATAACTCCCTATCAGCAGCCTGTTCACCGACTTGTTCAAGATCGCCCATCCGGGATGGGTGATAGATCTCCGGCAGTGGGTAAGTGAGTTGCTAAGATGCGTTAGATGGTGCAGCATAAGGAAATTATCTTAATACTAACGATCTCACTCAGTGGTGGTGGCCACTTCGGGTTATTGTCATTGGAAGAATAAACATAAAACTTGCTGCTCTTGTAGACAACGAGGAATACCTCAGCGCTACAGAGCTTGTGCAATTCATGTGCTTTTTTGAGTAATGTACGGCGGCGTTTCCTAGCTGTGTTTTGTTGGGATTTGACCGCTTTGAATGCTTGAGAGTCTCTCATTGTCGTGAAAATGTGTTCAGAAGGCCTGCAGCGTTAAAGTGGGGAAGGGAGATGAGCGAGCAAAGTGAATTGGAGGAAGTGTGATTAAACACGAGCCATCCACAAGACTTGTTGATATGGGCGCTTTTCTGCCGCTGACTAAGAAGCACACACCGCCCAGCTTCAACAAAATGGCTGCAACACTGATGGCAGTGGCATTAATGAATTATATACCTACAACAACAGTTTTTTCCTGATGGCCTGGAATCTGGTCTGGAGCAGAGGTCCTGAGATATTTTTGCCGTGGTCGGGATCAGCGGCCGTAGGTCTAGGAAGGATTCGGTGCCGGCTCAAGCCAGGGAGGGGGGTTGCGGCACAGCCATAGTACACTGTGTTCCAGAGACGATCCTCCATGGAAGCTGGATAGTAACGCAATATATAGAGCTGACGATGTTTGGTATTGCCATTCATTTGGGGCGCCCAACACTTATGCTTACTTTGAAAATGGACAACATTTCTCTGCCCCAGGACGATCTATCATTCACGGAATGGCTTTCTGCCACCAACTACCAAGAGCCAGATGCCTTGCCAAGTGATTTTGATTTCATGAACACGGAGAACATCAACTTCACCTGGCCCCAAGAAACTTCAAGCATCATTCCAACTGAGGACAATACTTTGGTGTAAGTCATTACGCGCATATATCAAGGTTGACTCTAATTTGTATTCCAGGTTGCTACAGAATATTTCTGATAGATTGAACCGGTTAGAAGCTGTAGTCATTCGGGTGGAGCAGTCCACCCAGCAGGCATGTGAGAATATCAGGGGCGTGTCTTCTCAGGTTTACCAAGTGCACGACCTGGTTACGGGTGTAAGGCAAGGGTTGGCAAATTTCACGAAAACATTAGCCGAGCTTCTCCGTCCTGTATGGGCACACTTGGTTGGGGACACAGACGGACCAGAAATAGAGAATCTCCTAGTTTAGAAGTGCTCTTGTGTTTAGCTTTATCCACCCCAGAATGGCTGCCTGACATAATTTTGACTTCGCCTCAGACGTGCATAAGTGGCTTGCTGTTTTCCGCGGGCGCAGGGTGAGACCTGAATGGCGAAGTTGTTGGTGATTATTTTTAAACAGCCCCACAACGACTGACCAGGGATGTCGCTACTACATATAAGCCTCTTTGCCATCTTTAACTGCCTGAATGCTTTTCCACCTTCAACCCAACACCACTGTAAGATATTCCCTACTCGACTCAATAACACCCGAAGTGACGATGGCACCTTTTACTTTCGGGGTTGTTAACGGCGCTGGCCAACCTGTACCCGGCGTTCAAATTATCTTTCATCAATTTCAACCCGACCAATCCCTCAGACGATTCCTAGCCACAACTCGTATGGATGGCTATGTGACTTCCTGGCTCAAGAAGGATAGCAAGTCAGAGAGGGGGCTTACATTTGTTGACGAAAAGCCACTCCGAGGATTTTTAAGCATTAGTATCATAAATGCCCCTCCACGATCACCCGCGCGCCGAATACACATCAACATTGACCTGATCGGGGGAAAGAATCACTGTATCCTTCTTCGGCTAGACAGCCAAACTGAATATACAGTTCAGAAAGATTCATTCTTCCCCCCCCGCAAGCCAAATCTCCTCAAATACAACCCATTTCGTTGGTCGGCAGAGGAGGACAGGAAGCTCTTAGCTTTGAGGTCAGAGGGATGGGCGTCTAAGGAAATCAATGATCAAGGCCTGATACCGGGCAGATCAAGGCACGCCTTGACTTCAAGGTACAAGGTTCTCGTACGGCGTCTGAAAGGGGAACTCAGGAACTGTGCAAAGCAGCAGAAGCGGGAATGTGAGGCACGCAAAACTCAACAGCGACGTGTTATCTAGAAATTGGACAATATGGTGTGCATCAAGGATCGTCCTGTACCTTCAGGAGATTTCGTCTTCTTCTTGCTCCTCCTCATCCTTTCCTCTCTTCTGCTCTAGAATATGTTCTAGAGGGAACGGATTTTCTTTATCCAACTCTCCGCTAAACAGAGGTCTATCCGACTCTTGATGCCACTGTGGTGCAAGGCCATGAATTGCTGGTACTCCAATCCCTTTACTATTTGATCTCATTGCCTATAAAGTGGAATTAGCATATATGAATATGCCTACAAGATAAAATAGCACATACCTTTGGCCTTGGTCTTGATTCTTTGCCTGGATTATGTGGTTTAACCTCATGATAAATCTTAGTGTGCGGCTGATGCCGCTTCAGCTTGTTTTCCATAGTTCCTTTTTGTTCTGGGGTATCTTGTAATTGGTTTCCTGGTGCAGTGAAATGACTTCTTCGAGGTTCATAAATACCAGCCTGCATGTGTTAGTTTCAGTATTTTATACTTATATTTCATAGCGCATTTAGACCTTTTCTAGATATTCTTGCCTTTGTTCCTGACTTATCAAGTCTGATGGCTTAGCAGGGGATTCTTTCTTTCTCTGAGCCTGGCCTGGTTGAGGAAGAGCACTTCTTCGAGGTTCATAATCGGCGCTCTATGTCCATTAGCCTAGTGTGCTTTGTATCTTGAGTGAAATCCAACCTTTTGTAGACCTCCTTCTTGCCTATTAGTCATTGGTGGAGGAGCACTGCTTTTCGACTTGTAAACTGAGACCTCTGGTTGCTTTTGTGCTTGTTCTGGTTTTATGGGAGGAACAGCTAAAGCACTTCTTCGACATTCATTATCCTATACATGTTAGTATTTCAAACTTCTCAGGAATACTAAGATGAGTTCGAACCTTCGGTAATTGTGGTTGCTTTTCTTGTTGTTGCTTACTCAATGAGCCTGGTTGAATAAAACCGCGTCGTTTTGCTGCATCCCTCTGTTGTTTTTTGTCATTGACATCTGGCGTATTGGTACCATATGACTTCTTGCCGCTACCATCTTGGCTTATGGGAACATCCCGTAAGTTCTTTCCGTCATTATTCACTGATTGAACAGGGAAGTTCTTTTGCTTCTCTTTGTCGCCATCGTCTGGGCTGATAGGACCATGCTGTTGGTTCTTGTCATAACCAGGCCAAATAGGGACATTTTTTAAATCCAAGTTCTTTTCATCAAATTTTTGTTTGACAAAAACATCCTGTACCTTCCTGTCATTATCCCTTATTTCCGATTTAATCGGGTTGCTTAGCTGCTGTAATGGTTGAAGAAGCTTTAACGTGCCGTCCTGCAGTTCTGGTTTGATATTATTATCAACTTGTATTTTAGTATCATCTGACTTTAGTTTGATAGGGCTGATTGACTGTTGTAATAATTTCGGCAGCTTTTGTATGTGTTCTGCTTTGATGCTATCATCCATCTGCATTTCAGTATCCTCTGACTCTGGTTTGATATGGCTGATTGACTGCTGTGATAGTTTAGAGAGCTTTGATATGCTGTCTTGTTCTTCTGCTTTGATGCTATTATCCATCTGCACTGGTTTGATAATGCTGATGGATTGTTGTGATAGTTTAGGAAGCTTTGGTGAGTCGTCCTGTTGTTCGGGTTTGATGCTACTGTCCACCTGCATTTCTGTATCCTTTAGTTCTGCTTTTATAGTATTCTGGGGATTCTGATTCGGCTCCTGCAGTAGTTCTTTCCATGGTTGACTGTCTATTTGCATTTCCACTGAAACGTCACCCTCCACTACGAACAGACCATCGGATCTTGCTGCCGTCTCACTGAGAATGTCGAAATCTGGCGGTATTGACGCAAATCCATCTTCATTATCCATATCTATATCAAGAAGGTCAACGTGATCCTTGACATGATCTTTAGAGTCATCCGTGGAGTTATAATTATCATATACATGACGGCTGCCCAAGCTTCCAAAGAAGACATAGAAAATACTCCGCAGGATATAGAGAGGAGTTGGTAGTGAACGACAGTCAGGTCCGCATGCTCCGTGCACATTCTTGTAGAACGCCTCACTCTGAAGCTGTAAATATGTGCTTGTGTATGGCTTTCCACCTCTCCAGACGCCACCGCGGGAAAAGGTCTGGAAGCTTGATTTCTGCATTGTTTTCTGCCGTCCATGAATGAGCGCCCGCTGCTGAACCTTGGGGGTGTTGAAACCAAGTCGGCATGCCTTTTCTTGGAATTGACTGACAATGTACTCGTCAACGGCACCCTGATAACGTTCTCCCCGTGCCTCCTGGATCGGTGACTCGTTTGTAAGGCTTGCAAACCTCCGCAATGCAGCCAGAAAGAGCTGCCTGTATGCAAGACCAAAGCCTTGCTCGCTGCACGTGTCCATTTTCCTATCGACACATTGCCACTGATTTTCGGCGATCTCTTCCTCTTGCTGCGCTCCTGGATTATAAGATCGTTCATAATACCCTTTCAGTACTGTGAGCAATGTTTCTTCTTCCGGATTTATTTCCGGGGCAATCCAGGACTTAATTGGCTTGATGGCAAGGCCGAGGTACCTTGCATCTTTATGCAAGGTCTCGATGCTGGGTATAAAGGATGTAATGTTCAGCAACCGTGATCTCATCGCATTTCTCGCAGAAACATTTGTCACCTGCGGAAATAATGTCATGTTTGCAAACATTTTGCTGATTTGAGTGCCATCCTGGCTGCCAGGTATCAGGTATTGTAAGGTTTTGACAGAGTCGGCATCCACGAGCTCAGCAAGGTCAGCCCTGAAATCCGTGATTCGAGTCCATATCTGATGGATATAAGTCGTATAGTTGATTAAAAGCTCATCAGAGTATAGAGCAATGTCTTTGTGAATATTCCCGAGTTGCAACCCAGCCCAGAGACCTGGCCACTGCAGAAGGGTCTCCAAGGCGCTTGTGAGTTTGTGACGACGCAGAAGCCCTCGCAGGTTAGTCTCTTTACATTTGCTTAGTCTCTTGATCCAATCTTTCTCCTCCGAGAGGTCAAGACCCGGGTTCAGTCTAATCTTCCGAAATATCTCTCCGTCTGTGTATGGGACCTCGAAAGAGAACGATTCACACCTCCGTCGGAAGAGGTACCCGAACTGCGCTTCGCTGCCTTCTAAGATACGATTAGGACATACAAGTATAACACAAGTGCAAAGTTTTACCCACTGATTTCATCGGGACAGTATAGTCTAATTGTCCATTCAAAACCATCACCCCAAAGACGCCGCGCAGCCGCTACACGGTGCCGACCGTCTTTACAGTTCAGCTTAATATCCGGAGGCAGTCGGTGTGTTAACTGAGGACTTTTAAGTTGCTCTGAGCTAACTTGTAATACAGTCAAAACTTTCTTGCGTGTTTCCTTGTCAATTTCCACGAGAATCTGATTTTCGACAACATGAGGACTGCACAAATTTGTTGATTTAAACACGCGTGCTTTCTGATCAAGATTGAATTGCCTCGCAAGCCGTGGTACGTCTTTCTGTGGGAAGACTAGGCAGGTGATCGGCGCCCGGACTATTCCGACCAGCCATGGCTCAATAGATGTATTCATATTCATGTTGAAATGTGAGTTTGACACAGAGATGCGGGAGATATGCAATCATTTAGTCAAATTATAGCCATCGGACGTTGTCCACTCCATCAAGCTACTTTAATCCTTATTTAAGATCAAAAGCCAAAATCCTAATTCCTTAAGACAGATATTGGCATAGATCAGGATTAGAAGAAGTCAGCAGCGAGCGGATAAACTGATTTACGCTGGTGCCCCGCAAATCCCATCTTTATCCTAGCTGTGCAATCCTCGGTTTCGCTTGACTGCTGGTGGAGGGAAGTAGAGGACGGCAAACAGGTAGTGTCGGATGAGGTGTTTCCTAATGATATGGCTGGTTTTTTCATAACCGAGGGAAAACAGGAGGGAGGAGATAAAGGCGGCGGATTGGAAGCAAGTGAGGATGCGGCTATCTGGTTTTGTGGGTCAGGGCTACATGAAGCCTTCGGCCCGCCCCTGTCGGCAACGGTGTCGAAGTTGTCTGGGCCGTACTGTCGTTTGGCTTCAAAGTTGTTGACAGCTGCTGAAAAACGATTGTCGGATTGGTATGAGTAAACTGCCCCGTTGAATTCAACAAGGATGGCAATGTGGGCCCCCGTAAGACGATGAAGTGTGTTTGCCTTCTTCATGATTCCGTTCCGCCGATTGACAAACCCCTTTTTAGCATCCTTGAAACCTCGCCTTTTCTCCATGATGATTTCGATGAGAACAGAATTGGCTTTCGGAAAAGTGAAGTACCATGTGTTTAAATATTAAATAAGGAGCTGGGGTGGGCCAGAAGTATGGCCCGTGGGCTGATTGGTCTGTAATCTGGCCGGGTCCCGTTTCAGCATCGGCCTGACCCGGCCTTGACCTTAACCCCAATATGCTTGCTATAAATAAAGACACTCAGATTAAAGAATAAAGAAATAAATATTATAGATTAAGGTTCATATACATAGAAATAATTTAGTATATCTATATAATTACAGCTTAATACCATTGAGTAACTTTGCCTTTTCCTCATATTATCTCCATAGCCTTTATCATGGAAGTTCTTTACATTTATCTTCTTACCACTGGAGTAATACTTACTTTATTACTACTCTACCGTTTTATATACTTACTTTTATTCATTCTTCATCCTTTAAAATGTTTTTTCTTACAATACTTGATATTACCTTTGTTGTTAAAAGCTTGTAAATGGGTACGAGTAACTAGATTTGAGGCTCTTATGGTTTTACTTTATTTGTCCTTGAATGTTGTATTTCTTGCCCTTGGTGCTAACAATCTGCCCGAGCTGGCATCTACAATGGCTCTTATAAACCTGCTCCCAGCCTTCCTTGGACAGTGGACCAACCCATTAGCAGAATTCCTTGGAATATCACAAACAGTCTACTATCTCATCCATCGATGGACCGGGCGAATCGCTATAGTTCATAGTTGCATTCATACATTCTTTATACTCAAGCAGTATCAGAACTTTAGTCCTGAAAAACTGATCTCTGGTTACGCTGTAAGTTAACACCTTTTCTTTTAATTCTATGGCTAACAAAGAAGACTGCTTCAACCTTGTTAATCATCCTTGTCATGACTCTGTATTGCTTCCGGGGCTACATAAGTCGGGCTCTTCCTGGCCTCCATCTGTGTCTTGGGCTTCTATGCCTGGGCACCCTCCTCTGGCATGTGATACCCGGCTCGAATATGCAAGACATGATACTATCTATAACTGCGGTAGCACTCTGGGGTCTCGGAGCAGCCTATCGAATTGTACGGGTTGCCTTCCTCAGTACTAGAGCAGTTGTCAAGTCGACTCAGAGAACCGATGATGTTGTCCAACTCAAACTCCGAACCGTGCAACCCGTGTCAATTGCACCCGGTTCTTACTTCCACGTTTTTCTGCCTGTCTCACGCTCTAGCAAGGACCATTTGCAATTCATCAAATACAACTTCCTTCAGAGCTATCCCTTGGCAGCCTCCTGGCACCCAACTGAACAGAATACATCAGGACTATCAGACCTAGTGTTGCTGATAGACATTAGCAAGATGCCCCGTTTCCATCAGATCAAAAAGAATCAAACTTTGCTCCTCGATGGACCGTATCAACAAGGTCTAGATCTTGAGAATTATGACGTATTAATTCTTACAGCAGAGGGAAGGGGGATCTTAAAGGTTCTGCCAATAATGAGGAACCTAATGGCACGAAGAGTGTTTGACAAAACAAGTTCAGAGATGAAGAGTTTATTCCGAGATCGAACTCGGCGAGCAGATTTATTTTGGTGGTTAGATCATGATGTTCAGGATAAATGGGTTCAGGAACAATTAGAGTCTCTCCAGTCTCTTGACCCAGAGAACGCAAGTATACCCTCTTCCGAGGTCTTGGCAATTCACACTGACCTGATTAGAAATTTCTCATAGTCTGGCTGCTTTATCCTGGCCCTCAAAGTACCACAAGTACACCACCTTTTAAGGTAAATACACATTGGGTATGTGTTCACAACTGCGCTGGTTCGAATAAGGAGGAAACAATACAAAGATTTCACGAAGCCGTGACATTAGAAGCTCTTGCTCCTGGAAGACGAACGGTTGTCAGTAAGTTTTATACAGGCTGTGTACTCCACAATTAAGAAAAAGTTACTAAACCGTCTGTAGCCTGTGGCAGTGCAGAGTTTATTGACACTCAGCGGGCCTTTATCATCGAAAAGAACTCGGATCATCTTGATATTAACTTTATCGTATTGGAGGAGATGAAACCCTTAGGCTCTCCTTCAAATACAAGAGACATAGAGATGCAGGCAAGGCAAGGTATATCTGCGACGACAGGCTCTTCTGGTAGCAGACAACGCGATGTTATACCTAGAACTCCCAGGCGCTTTTGGCGCAGGAGCTGATAGAGGATGGATCTAGCTGCCTGTGCTGCTGCATCCTTCATCTTGGCCGCAGCTCGCGGAGCTGAGACGACCGATGCTTTGAGAAAGAATCCCTTGCGGCGTCTTTGTTCGTATGGGAGCGATAGGTGGAAACGTGTATGTTGTAGGCTGATGCGCAAGTGAACTGCCTACGGCAGGCAACACAGATTTCCATGTAGGCAATATTTATAGATTATTAACAATTGCTTCACACCACAAGGCTAAAACAGTGTCATTTAAGCCGGAAAAAGGTAGCCTTAGCCGCTTTACAATGTGGATATGGGCAGGGAAACTTTCCCTCCTCCTTATGCACGTCATTGTTGTCATCGTGGTCCTCGCCACCCTCGCTACCCTCGCCACCCTTAGGCCCGTCGTTACTTGGTGAGCCCAGATGTAACTATCCAAACCTGCCAGCAGCTTAAAGCGCTCGCTGTAAAAGTAGCAATAATTCCCATATGCCTCTGCCGAGTTATTGTCACGGGTCCGTGGCAGCAACAAAAAACTACTCTGGATCTTGCTCGCTAGGGTGATTATCTCGCCCTGGAATGTATGTTAGCAAAAGCATTTTGGCGCTTGAGAGGACTTACCCGAAACCATTCTATGTGACTGCGCAACTCCGCTGGTGAGTTGAACTCTGCGAGATGGCCGCCACAACGGGCCGGCGCTCTAGCCTTCACTGTCATGGCAGGGCCCAGCGGCAGTCACGGACCCTTTGCCGCGTTGGGTGCTTAAGGCTTGGCGGAACAAGGGGAGCGGACGAGGTGAACCTTGGCGAGCTTGGACACAGAGAGGCACGGGAGAGGGTCCTCCCGAATGGAGGGCTCCCTTGTACCGTAGTGATCCCTCAACTCGGTGAACAAGTGGGAATGTACGTACTCAAGCCCGGTTGGGGGAAGCACGGCAGGTGGTTTGCCGCGTAAGAAGTTGAAACTTACTAGCAGATGGGCACTGTCTTCTGGCGTTCGTATTTTACGATGGATGGCTGCATATGGGAAAAAGCAAACGGGATTAAGCACCTTTATTTCCGTCAGCGCCCATGCCATGCCTGCCATGTCCTCCACGCCTGGTAGGTGGTTGGCCTAGCCGGCACCAGCTGGTCCCGATATCCCCCCGCCTCCAGCCTCCGTACCTTCGCTTCTCTCCTCGGTTACTTACTTCGCTATCGTGCCTGATCCTCAGCACTTTACTTCTATAGTGGCATCGTCTCCCGCAACTCGCCGCCTCCCTCTCCTCCTAAGCGACACTGGCGCATCAGCTGCATTGCACTCCGCAGTACGCAACCGAGCACGCTCATCACCTGCACCCAAAGCCAAGCTACAGGCGGCTGAAGAGACTGGGTCTCGGCTTAAGAGGGGTTGACTTGATCTCAGCCTCCACATATCGAGCTGTTCTCTTCTCAACTCCTCCCTAGACCGTGTATGCTTGTTCTCGTCTGTGCGGCTGCACAAGGCTGTATGTTTTTCCCAAGGACGATCGTATCCACAAATCTATTGGTACCTTCGAGTCATGGAAAATGCCTCGAACTCTGCTGAAGGGTCGGTAGCAGAATGGGATCAAAGACTACTTGAGAGTATGGGTCATGAACATGCCATCGTTCCACCGCGTCATCAAGCCAATGGCATCATCAGTCCGGCAATACAGACAAACGACAGCCAGGTCGAGCTACTTCCTCCGACTTCACCGACCGGCCCTGCATGCGCAGCTCCTTGTCTTCCCAGTGGTCCCCATTCAGATACTATGCCACTTTATATCTCTCTCAGATTGAATGGAATGCAGGCAAACTTGTGCCAGCAACCGCACTTGTGCGACGAGGCTCTTGTACTGGGATCTGAGTTTCTAGACCAGGTCACAACAGTGCGTGATTTGAGGCTGGCACTGAAGAAACCACGTCCACGAAAATCAATGCTGAGCTTCCTCCGCTTTGTCTTTGGGTCCAGCCCTCCCCTCGATCAGCTTGCTCTAGACCGCAAGCTCAAGCTTCGCAAGATGGACTCGATCAGTCTAGTTCTCTGCTCGGTCACTTATACGGAGAAAACGGTCCTCGGTTTCTCAGAAGGGCGTTTTCGAGTCCTCCATTCCAGCTGCTGCGAGTTTCTGGGCGGCCCTGGAAATGTTGCTGCCACCTTACCAATCGACATTGTCGATTTTGCTGTTAAGTTGAAGTTGGTTCCTGAAGACTACAAAGCATATGCTATATTCCTCAGAGGTGGGTCTTGAACTATCCCGCAATATGGCTTCCTGCTCACTATCAATTTCCAGGCTTAGAAGAATATCAGCGGGCTCGCAAGGCTACACCTCCGTTACTCCCACCACGAATCTTTACACCCGCGGAACGACCGTCCAACTTTGGCACCTCAGTAACCTGGCCACAAGAGCACGTGGCTGCTATACTGTGCGTAAAAGGTCAAAGCTATCGTTTCACAAACTAATTATGTAGTCGAAGGCCCCTGAACACGTCGTCTTTAGTCCTACTTGGCCAGCTTGCACGGCTCTATAAGGAAACCGGACGAGACATACCATTCCCGGACGATGTCACTGAAGCTTTTTCTGCAGCTTCGAAATCCGCCCCGCTGAATGATAGGATACAAATCTTAGACATTGCTGCTGAGATGCTTACGGATTCGGCACCACCCTCGGCCAGGGCCACGATTGTACACCAGCGCAGTGTGACTCTCCGTCTTCTCGGCAATTCCCTCCAGGCTGAGTGCGAGATCCTCTCATTTCTTGAAAAGGCATCTGATGTACCAGAACTTCTCCTGAAGTCATTGAAGTTATCACTGGCCGAGAGCCGCGTTTACCAATTCAGGCATCACGAGGCCCATGATATTGCTCGCAGTATTGAAGTGGGTGGAGATATGAGCGAGTTCCAATTGCTGTGGGATCACATCTACTGTGTAGGTCGGATTATGAGGGGCCAAGGTGAATTTGAAAGCGCCAAGGTCTGTTTCGAACGGTGTTGTGCATCCACCCAGGGAGTTCGGCCATTTAAGGTGGTTCTTACTCAATGTGCTCTCGCAGATATATACTGTGAGCTAGATCACCTCTCCGGAGATCCCCAGCACTTCCACCTGCTGCAGGCCAAGTCTGTGCTTGAGCCTGCTCTCAAGTCTGTTGGGCAAACGGACTCCAAGAGTCGCCGGCGCCTTCTCTTATCTTTGTCCGAGGTATATATTAGACAACACCGGGTACACGAGGCGACAACCATCCTGAAAGAGCTCAAAACCCTTTTCGACGGGCTGAAATATCCTGATATTATCGACCGACTCGGGCACGTGCGAATGCATATGACACTAGCTCGCTCATGTCCCTCAAGTCAGTCCATGACATATTGGAGGGACGCCCTGCGCCTGAACAAGGCTTACAACCCAGATGAGGAGGAGGTTTTTACCTGTGCTGTGATTTATCTGAATTTGAGCTGGCTGAGGTACTCCGAAGGGCAATCGGAGCTGGGACAGGAGATGCACGCCCGGGCAGGCGAGATTCTGCAGAGGAGAACGCCACAATACCTAATGCCTGGAATTGGCACATATGTGTATGAAGACACTTTGTCTAAACTGCAAACTAAGACGCTATAGGAGGGCCATGATCTGTACAACCTCACAATACTACCTAGGTAGACCTTTGGTTCGCTCTTTGGGGGCATACTGTGACTTTGATTGGAATCTGTGGTCCGCTGTCGCCGTGGACCCCGCCCATATTTCAATGTTAGCGGAGTCTCAACATTAGTAATCCCAGTTTGAAGTTCGTCGAAATCCTGCTAAGCATGGTTCGCGTGGTCCGCCAGGATACCGCCAGCAGGTTTAACAGTCATCCTGGGGATCATGTATAAGAACAAAAGTATCACCTGGACTGTTGTATTCGTCGGCCCATGAGTCTCTTCTAGTTTTGTCTGCAGATTCAAGACGCTCTCTTTTTATTCATCGCTCTTCCAAATTGATGACCCACCGACATTAAACACTCACCTGAATTGACATGGATCCCATGGAGATTGTCGCGTCTGTGGACCAGAGAAAAGTCATCGAGATGCGCAACACACTCAGTGCGCTCAATGAAGATCTTGAAGCAGCAAAGCAGGAGTCTCGAGAGGCCTGGTCGAAGATCGATACACTTGAGATGGAGCTCGAGATGAAGGAAGCAACACTGGAAAGTTTCCGACAGGAAAATGAAAGGTTTGCCGCAGAGCTCGAAGCGACGCAGTACAGTCTCAATTCCGTCAGGCAGGAATATTGTGATCTGTTCCAGTCCAATCGAGATCTACTCTGTAGATCTCTAGTGGCAGAGGCGAGAGTTGAAGGCCGTGACAGCATATTCGAAATGTTTCTGAAGCCATCGAAAGTGCGCCCGGAGGGAAAGTTATTCCCGAAAATGCGACCCAGATGACTCTTGCCTGGCACCAGCAGCTAGTCGCCGCCACTTAGCTCTAACCAGCACTTGGGCACAAAAGTCCAGAAACTCAGCGGCGATTTGAAACGCCTTAAGGCAGAGGCCAATTCAATGAGAGCTACGAAAGAGACTCAGGAGAAGAGTATGGCGGACCGACTAGCCCAGCTGGAGTGACCAACGGCCAGGAACACAGGGCCAGCGCAGCCTCGCCCAGACCCGCGGAAAGCTGGATGCGGCCGAGCCTAAGTCAGCAAGCTTGATGAGCAGCCACGACTTGCTGAAGAAGCAGCTGGTGGAGATCAACGATGCGCTGCGGAAGAAAGGCAACGCGGACCGACGGGCAAAGGCGGCAACCAAACCCCAACGCAGCCCGGCTGCTGCGAAGCAAGCGAAGGAGCCCTCGCCACTCCAACAGAAGCTACAGGAGAAAGAGGCGGAGATACGGGAGCAACACTCCCTCGTGGAAAGCCTGAGGGGAACCATCAGAACGAATGAAGAGCATCAGAAACAGGCCCCTGTCTTCCAAGGAGGAGCTCGAGAACGCCAAACATTCCCTGAACTTTTACAAGGATAAGAATGCCAAAAGCGATGAGAGGATATCGGCCATGAAACATCGCATACTATCCCTAGAGGCCACAGAAGGAGAGTGGGAACGGATTCTCGGCCAGCAGAACGTTGAACTAAAATCGTACCGTGGGGTCTGATTTATGGAGCCATTGGTGAACGCCTGACAGAGTCGTTGGACTGCAGTTGCACGTGGAAGGTTATGCTGGTCCACATGGACGGCAAGGACGGTTTGCTTGACAAGCAACGCCAGTGAGCTGAGTAGCTGCTGAGAACCGCGGCTTGCCCGTAGTGGTAGGGCAGTGTCTGAGGGAGCCACCACCGAAACGGGCTTGTCGAGGATGAGACGGAGGCAGGTAGTAGGGCCGTGTAACACGGGAGAGACGCCGGCCGGGAGTTGATGCGCTGGATCCTGAATAAGCAAGACGATATTGCTTGGGCGAATCAACCCATAAAGAAATTCACTGCTGGCCTCATCCACTGTCTAGCCCCTGAGCTGTAATAAAACTCGTATCTTGAAGGACGCGGTTTCTTGCTCCTCGTTGAAGTGAAGGCCGAGCTGGACAGATAGGGGTTCCGGTCCTGCTAGGTAGAAGGGCGACCGAGGCGTAGACAGGAGGTCGCTCCACTCAAACACGGCCGGGACATTGCGCATGCGAAGTGCCATGTTCGTAGGCGAGAATTGGGGATGGGGGATGAGAGCGACTGCAGCACGGATATCTGGACAAATCCGGTGTTAGCTCAGCTCATGGCTCAGGAAGGGGTGAGCATGTCCGCCCGAGGACGAGCGCGCTGAAAGAGTAACCCCTGTTGTCAGGATGCCCACCCGCCCAGGCTTTAGGTATGGCGATGGGGACAGCCTCGGCCCCAGAAATGGTTGTCGTGATGCAGTTTCGATGGTGGATATTGTGAACCCGCGTGACGAACTGTGGCAACCGAGGAATACAAGTTTCAGCAGCCCAAAGCCCAGGAGCATCTGAACCTATTATGGACGCGGCCGCCGAGGTACAAGGCGGCTCTTGATCATATCCGCCAGCAGACACCAGTGCAGTACGAGGTATCCCACGTACACGATCAAGAGAGCCAGTTCCTTTTCCAAGTCACGTGCCCGCGGACGACCACGGTGTCTAGAAAACGAAACTCATCCCCCTGTCGTTTCTTTAACCCCCCCCCCCCCAAAAAAAAGCCCCCGCCCACATTGACTTGACAACTTTGCCAAATTGACACAGCACGAACACGAGCGGTTGAAACAAAGAGATTCTCAAGAACGATGAGTGATAATAGAATCCAAAACCCAGAAGAGGATAAATGGGGCAAGAAGAAGGGGGCGAATTGGGGCCTGAAAAGGGCAAAAGTAATGAAAGATGATGAGACTGGGACTTGAACCCAGGAGGATTCATCAATCAAGTTACTAATTCTGCCATTTGAGCCAGCCGGGTTCATAACCTCTTAGAATCCAAAAATGCTAGTTGGTGGCAGAGTAGAGGATATATAAGAATTCTTACACAGGCCTCGTGCCAAACGATGTGCTTGGCCTCGCAATAGTTCAAAGGTGTCTATGAATACTCAATCCCCTACGCAGTCAATTCCTGTCTCAGGGGAACATGGTAATCAGCGGCTCGTATGCTTCAGAAGTTGCTCTTCATTTTGCGGCAGATCCAATTCGAGTTTCTCCCTCATCTTGAAAGTGAGATCCCGACATCTGTTATAACTCTCCCAAAATCTATCCTCTGTCTTTGTAGGCTTGTCGCTTGGCTTGGTAGATGAGAAGGTAGAATCTTGTGGGCTGGGCTTATTGGGTGGATGGTCGTTGTAAAGCTTGATAGGGCGATGTTGGGTGGGTCTGGGCCAGTGAAGCATGGATTCTCCTTCTGATCATCAATGTTAGTCTGGTCCAAAGGTGAGGTTGTATCCTATCACTTACGTCTTTTGCGCTTGGTCTCCCAAACTTGTACAAGTTTCCTCCATGAGTCATCTGACTGACGCAGACTCTTCAGCTTTTCAGGTAATAGTTCCGCAATACGTTCGCGCACTCGGTCAGGAAGCTCCTTCACTGCCCAAGCAAGCCGATGTTCTCTCATCTGCGCTGTTTTCCAGACATCTGAGACGAGGTCGCCGTGCTTGGAGAGAAGATGGTCCAAGGCAGACTTAGACCTATTGCGTTCGATGGACTTCTGGATCTTGATACCCTTTTTGCATTTGTGTATGATCCAGTTGACGTAGCACCTCGCTCGTCCTGTGTCCTCCATGGCCAGTACTCGTGGGGTTGGCAGATGGGTGGGAATTGCAAGGTGGATGGAAAGGACATGCACCCGACAGAATCGACGGGTATTTGAAGTGGTTGCCGCACCACGGAGCCGAAAAAACACCGCTGCTCCCGCGAGCGAGGGCATGTTTGTCTCACCAACAGTGTGGGCCAGAGTAACCCGAAAGGTGTACAGTGTGCAGGTGAAGAACTACACGGATTGGCATGATCGCCGGAGGTCCAAATATCGTTTGCATCCTTGAATGATGGTGCAGTGGAGTAAATCACAAACTTGGTCCATGGAGGTCAGCCCACCCCGGAAAAGACCTGGGTCAGTGGAGTTAGGAGACAACGAGCCAAGGCAGACACGGAATCATTCGGAGGCACGGTCAGTGGGCTGGTCGTGGTTGGTGTCAGGCGAAATTCTCAGCTTCACATACTACCCTGTCTCGGGTTGTTACACCCATAACTACGGATTGGCCAATGTCTCTGGGTATCTTGAGGCCGGAGTGACCTACATGGCCGTTTTGTGATTTCGATGCGACCAACTAGATCGCGGGCTTGAAGGCTTACTATCACCACCCCCCAAGTTTGGGTATAGAAATCTACATTCCATGCAAGAGGGGTGGGAGGAGCAATGATTTTGTCATGATCTGTCAACTGAGATGTATGATAACCCATGTCGATAACGGCCACCATTCTGGAAAATCTAACTATAAAAAGATGCTCTTTCCCATGGCACAGAACCCAGATGCTTTGCAGCGCCATTCAAACACGCTTCATTCTATTCACACTACTGTTTCTCATTTCCCCGCCTGCTGTCCTCATTCGCCCACCTAGAGTCAAAGGTGTTCGAACATGGCCCAAACACAGCAACTCGACCTCCCGACTGAGGACCAGTGGCTAAAGTTGTTGGAGCTTTCAAGCTATTACTATCCAATTCACCGTCTGCAGAAGGAGGATGTGGTGGAGCAAGTTGTATCCTTTCTCCTTATACCTTCCAGAGTCACATTGGATCACACTGGCAATTGCTCGGTTCATGTACGGGTCCCAGCGGAATACCTGTGGCTTGATTCTAAAACACAAAGAGCAGCACGATTGTGGGTTGAGGGGGCTGATATCAAAGGCAAAGTGATTGCTTATCCGCTGAAATCTTGGGAAGGTCAGAAGGAACACACCAATTTCATCTTCGACGATTACAACATCATCGGGAACCCTGGCAGTTACAAGTTTCGATTCTTGTTAATCGCAGCATTTTGCGGAGGCTGGCATCCAGTGTTAGACCAGAAGTCTCAAGATTTTGACCTCTCATATGGCCCATGCCGTTTTGGTAAGTATACCTAGGTACACAACGTGATTCAAAAACCACCACTGACACGTTGATAAGATCTGGCTCAGTACGGTTCTACAAATGAGCTATTTTGGACATCTCACAGCCAGGGCCTGACGATTTGCGTTGCACCTGAGGAGGACAGAGAAACGCAAAAGGCCTGGGGACTTCCTACCAAGCCTAATACGCAAGCGACAGCATAGTACCTGGGTCAATGAATCTTCTAGACAGCTCCCTATGGTTTTTGGGCTCTCATCCCTCCGTGGTTTCATGCACGAAGGGTTTCCCTCGGTGACTTTCTCTCACAATCTGTCTTGAGGCCGACCGTCCGGTGTGCCTTTCTCTGACATGGCCAGTCTTGGGCATGTCGACATAAGCGCTGGCGACATGTCTGCAATGCAGGAATATTCCATGCTTTTGTCGGAGTATCGATTCGAATTTCTCAATGGTCCAGTTCTGATCACCACACATCCATCCTTCGCCAGTGAAAACATATTTCTCAGTCTTGATCCTTATCCAGAAGCCTGCGTGAACGAGTTGGACGGCGACCCTGTAGCTCAGGCGGCGAGGACCGTGATGCCATCCTGTCGATCCGTACTGAAGTGGTGGTCGGATGGTTCCTGGAGAGTTGTCAGTATCGAGGATGGCTTTTTGCGAATGGGGATATCAGCCTCACGTTGTTCTTTTGTCAGTCTCGAGAATGGGTTTTTGTGAATGAGGTTCAGATGAGCTTCACGTTCTTTTCCTGCCATGGCGCGTGTAAGAACCATCGTTTTCGGTCGTCAGCTACGCCTCGAATGTATATGCCGTCCAAATTCCAAAGACCCGCGATGACTCACGGAACAACCGAGGAAACAAAGCATGGAATCGAGTAAGTTGTTTTCATCAACTTGACACGTCTTGATATTCCGGGATTGTACTTTTTGGGGCCGTGATGGCCGCGCTTGGGCCATATTGGTTGCCTACCTAGGCCCTCCCACGCGCGTGTGGGCGCGCCGCGTGATGTTGCAGGCGGAGTACTGCCTTGCTGGCCAGCAGCTATCGAGTTTCGTATTGGGATTCCCCACATGTCTGAGCATCCAGCGATGCTCATTTCCGTCAGTCGCGCACTGATTGACGGGGCTGCGTACGTCGACCTGCGCGTCAGCTCTGCGTACTACGGAGTAGTTCTGTGCTCTGCCCGCTGTGGGGCTGAGAGCCCTCGGTGGAACTTTCGGACAGATCTCGCGCCTGAACGCAGCCAAGATCCGCCCACCCTTCTCTTTGCGTACGCCAACCTAGTACAAAAAAATGGCTGCAAACGCTAACAAAAACATTGTACATCTCGGATCTTGACTAAGGTTATCCCGCCATTTTCCAAGGTTTGCAGCTCTTTGCGTCCTCTGCACCCTCTGCACCCTCTGCGCGAATAGCAGCCCTTTGCGCGAATAGCAAAAAGCAGCATTCTGCGTAAATAGCAGCCTTCTGCGGTGATCACGGCGGGGATGAGGCGATTGGCGGGGTAATCTTAGTCAGAATCCGAGGTATACCTGCATTATAGTGGTGAATGCACCTATTTTCTTGTACTGAGTGGGCGGTACCTGGAAGCTGGGTGGGCGGACCTTGGCTGCCCTGAACGTCGCGAGTGGCAGGTCGTGCAGGCCCCACATCAGGAAACGGCGGGGTGGATACCCATGTCAGTTTTGCCGTTCCGTTTGTGGCGTGTCCCCAAACAGGGCCGATCCACGCCTGCGTCAGTAGGGGGCTATGCTCAGGCACTTTAGCCGCCGCTGGCGTGGTGTATGGCGCGTCCCCTGCTTGGTACTCGCGTCTCCGCGCTGTTAAGTCTGCGCAAATTTTCTCTCCTCCCAACCGCATTCCAAGTCACGTCCTTGACTGAGTATGGCCGCCCAGCGGCTGCCACCAACCGATGAGCTCATCACTGCTCTCATGAAATCACTTGTGGAGCCCTGCCCTGTGACAGACAAAGCCCCAAGAGGATTCGATAACAAATTCGAACGAGCTTGTGCCAGTATTCAGCGTAACGTCTTCCTAGACGCAGGGGTTCAGGCATTTTTTGCATATGTTCGAGCCGAGCCTGGGGTTCAGACGGCCGTTGAACGGCTACCACATACGGCGGCTGAAGTCGTAGCACGTCGCCTTTGCAGCGTCAAGCCCCATCCATCTGTGGAAGCCCTCATTCATCACATTTTCCACGACGCCCATCGTGGCAAAAAACGCTGCAGTGAGTGTCAACACCAACCCAGATCGATCGATTGAGTCCACTGACGGCTTTTAGAGATACTCCGGGAATCGAACTACCCTGGCCCGGACGAGCCGGCGACCGCTTCGGCGTCCAGCCCCCAGGGCAGCGCAGATGCAGGCCAACCACACGACCCCGGCGAGCAACCCATGAACAATCGCGTACAACAGAGAACCTCGCCTGGGAGCACTGCCTCGGTCCACATGCAGGACGCCGGCGAACCAGCACCCATCAACAATCACGGAGAACAAAGTACCTCCTCTGGTAGCGCACCTTCGGTCCAAATGCAGGACCCCAGCGAGCCACAACCAGCGAGCAACTATGGACGGTGGGGTAACCTCGGACGCCAGCTTCCCCCGATCACCAATGTTCATCCCAACTCCAGCTTACCGCCACTAGCAGCCAATGCGGGTCCAGGCATGAGTCTGCCCCCTTTGATGGGCAGCATACAGAGGGATACCCGACAACCGACCTCCCCACGCCACTCCCAGGACATGACAGAGCTACCTGCGGCCACAGCGGCAACCGAGATGGATGTGGACCAACATTCGTTGGTCTTCCCTGATGCGAAGAACGTTCCCTTCCTTCTCCCTCATGACACCTGTGCAGCAGTGGTCAAGAAAGGTGCAGGAGCAGCCATTCGGGTGGTCTTCGGAGATACAGTTTCGCATCTAGAGATCGATCTCTATGCGAACAGAATAATACACTTGGCCAGAGATCTATTCGAGGCTCGTTTGGAAACGGAGGACGACAGGTTTTGTGCCAGAGTCAGTGGTGACTCGGTCGCATTTTTCGAAGGGTACACGCTTGTTGGGGCAGACCGTCCATATGCCGAACGCTTTCTTGGTGGGGTCTTTGATCTCATCAAAGAGGATTCCCTATACATCCAGGGGAAGGCGGAACGTAATTGCCGCCTCATCTCTCTGCACATCAAAGGCAACACCAAAGATTCAGGCTGTCTGAAGGTCGAAGGCACCACACATACAATATCGCTCATAGCTAGACGGTTCTGGCCGGACTTTTCACTTCCAACCTCTTGATAACTCGGTATCACTCAATGCATGTGAAGCCGCATCTCCTCAAGGGCGACTTCCTCGCGCCGTACCCGTGGGGCTTGAACAGCACACCACCCTTTCGGACGTAAAACTGTTGCAACTTACTGACAAAGATGACGTGAAGGGTGTCGCCCATTGCCTTCCAATATTCCAAGAACCGCAAAATTTGGGGCTCTTTTATTGCAGCGTGCCGATCGCGAGTGAAGAGATCAAGGTTCAGGAGACTCGTCGCCGCATTTCATTTGCAGACCAACTCTACAGCACTCTCTGCATTGTCCCTCCCTTGGTGGGTCTCATTTCTTCTGCAACCAAATTGAACCCTTCTTGGATACACTTGCCAACCTAGCTGAAGCAGCAGTTGCCCAGGTGATGGGATCCGCCTGGGTGTCTGATCGCGTGGCATCTTGTAGTATGCGTACGGCGTTGCGTGACTTCCTTGGCCCTTTGGAAGTCAGAAGGATTTATCCGGTCTTCAAAGCCGGGCAGCCGGAACTCCAGGTCGTCGGCGCAAGCGTCGCGACGACACACCAGATTGACCACAGGGGCGTTTGGGGTACAAGAGGCGGTTTGGAAGCGATTGCCGCAAGAATCGAGAGTGGGTAAGGTTGGCTCCACTTTCCAGCAATAGGTTGCTGCTTCTTACCTGCCCAGGTGATTTGTGGAGAAAGCAACCCATCTAGACTCATGTATTGTGATCAGATCAAGAACGAAACCAGCTAGACTCATGCCACACAATAGTGAAAGCGGTGAAACGAGGGTTGCCTCGAAAATCGCGAAAACCCAGCCGGTCAGGTGAAGATTCGTTGGCCATGGATGCATGACAGGGATCAGCCGGGGTGTGCGTAGGACATGCGCTGGCTACCGTTGGTGATCACAAATGACAAATGTGATTCGCTGCGACGAGCAGTATCCTTGCTCCGCAAAAGAATTTGTTTGTCAAGATGCGCCAAACGGGATCACGCGGTGACGGGGCGCACGCCAACCTTGTTATGGAGAACTGCAGGCGGCGCCGCTCTTGACGACACTTGCTGACCGGTGTGGAGTAACTGAGCCAGGCTTTTGCGGGAGGACTTTTTGCGCACAGTCCGGGTGGGACATCCACTAGCTTTTACGCAAAGTCTCCACAAGTCTTTGTTCAGCTGGGTCGACAGCTTGCGCTCCACACTTTCTGCGAGAAACGTTGGCACGGCGGGCGCCTTGGCCCCCAAGTTTGCTTGCTTCCTGGCCACCCTGGCGCTCTGCCAGCGAACAAACCGGTCGAATCCCGGCCCACAGAGGATTCGGCCCCTAATGATGCGGGCCTGTCGCGCTGGTGACGTGGTGAAGCACATCGGGGCCGCAAAGCCAAAATTGGAGTACGACCAGTTTGCGTACGCGGGACGCGCCCACGAGTCAAGCGACTGGGTCAGACATGGGCACGATGCAAGCTGATGGTGTCGGCGCGCGTCTCTGGGGCCGCGAGCATTTGTACACAGTACAATCCGCATGGCATGTACTACCTGTCTTTCTGCCGCAATTTGGTCGACCAGTAGGATGATGAGCCGGGCAAATGCCCTGGTGTAGGCAGTCGTAGTGTCAGTCCGACGGAGAATAACCCGTGCAACACATTCATCTCAGGCTCTGGGCATGCATGCTGGGGTTGCTCAGTTGGTCACCTTCAAAGATGCTGGACTGGCACCGATGCCCCCAAGCCGGCAGGCTGTGCTGGAGAAATCAGAAGCGGTGTGACGCTGAATTTTAACCATCCCATCTCAGGCTAGTAACGACTGCCAATCATTGGCGCTTGGAATGTGAACTTGGACGGCAAGGCAGGGGTGTTAATTGTCATGTTGCAGACCACCACACAGGTTGATCTTCAGAATCAAATAGGCAGCAGCAGCAGCAGCAGCAGCAGCAAACTGGGGAGCATTCAGGCAGGAACTTGAGCAGGAAGACAAGAAACAACAATGCAGAAACGCGGCGAAGAACGGGCCGAAATAGCCAGAGGATGCAGATATAACTGACTTCGTGGCTATATAAGTCTTCGCGCGTTGCAATACCAGTCTATCACCTGTCAGCAAACAATCTCCCCTATTTCAGCAGCGGTTCCATCACATGACAAGGGCATCATCCAGAATCCTCATTCTCTCTCTTATGGCTTCATCAGACGATCTCCCCTCTTCGGACACTGATTCTACGACTACCATTGAATATCAAATTGAAAAAGAGCTCGAGATCAGGAGAGAACTACAGGAGACGATATCTCTCGAAGAGTTGATCTCATTACAGTCCTGTAATGACGTTCTCGACAGGAACCAGAACATATTCTTCAAGCCTATAAAAGAAAAGTTTGCTGTGCGAAATGAAGGTGGAGGAGCAAGGGGGCAAGGCCGTGATTTGATGCGCCTACTTACCCCCAAAGGAAGTTTTGGGGTATCATTTTCAGTTCCAATTGACGTATGTTGTATCAAACTTGAAGAAGAACACAAGATTCGAAGCCATGGGAGCATCCGTCTCAGGCTAGCTAGGGAAAATGGTTCAGACAAAACAACTTTGAAGAACTTGAACGATGAGATGCTGTCTGTCAAGAGGGTGGAGACTGGCAAGCAGGCTGAGGCAGACATCGGCCCGAATGGCAAGGTGGACTTATCACCTGGATGCTGGGAGCTTTCTATCATGAAGGAAAACAAAATGTCCGGTGAAAGGGACAAGGTATCTGTTCAGATGTATACTGGTAGATGGTTTGATGCCTTCTTGAGTCGTCTTAGGGAAGGACATGAGGCTGCATTTGATTCAGGTAGTTGATGCTCTTGTGAGTTGGGGCAAACGAAATGCTTGGACTTAGTACAGATCAACATGTGCTGTAATGAATGGCTTTGGTTTTCCTTGATCATACGTCCCGCCATTACATGTCTGCCTCTATCTAGGTGCCACCATAGGTGCCCGCCTGCTCGTGTCACTCACTCATCCTGATTTGCAAACCATACATTCTTGGAAGTGGCCTCGTGCTTACCTCACCTACCGGTAATTTCAGCACATTTAGCTGAGGATTAGTGTCCTGGTTAAGGCTGCGATGATGGTCAGAAGCAATGCTTAAGTATACTATTTGAACAAGCCCCAGCCATCCGCCACAAAATACAAACCTCCAGAAAACAGGCGAGTATCTCTACAGCGGTTGGCTGCCAAAGCTTGAAGCCCTTAACGTGCCATTAGGTGAGAGGTGTGGTTTGTGCCTGTAGCCTTGACAATAGCGTGGGCGCTAAGGCTGGGTCTTCGCTGAATGCATGATATAACAGGCCCACTCATCGTCTCTCAAGTGGTGGTGAGTATCAACTTTGCACTGGGAGTTCGCGAGTTCGAAGACTAAACAAATCGTGATTTACTTAGTAGTCAAGCCTTCTAGTTGATGTACCTTGAATGCTTTCATATACAGAGAATTCCAATCTGCCAATCCAGCCCTGCCATGATAACGACTATGCTTCCAAGCCCTGAGCACTCTACGTTCCACCATGGCCATGCTACTGCCTCCGACCCTGTCTGATTAGTGACTATGCCTGGTAGGTCTAGACAGGTATGTCCTATCGGCGGCGTCTTGAGCGCGGATATCCTTTTATCTGAATTTCCAATTGGCGCCTAACCCAGCAGCATGCGGAGCGGGGTAGTAGGGGGGTTGGGCTGGGGGTCATCTAACAGTTCCTAGCAAGCCGGAATTTTGATGTGTGGTGCGCCCGGGAAGCTGTTGGGATTAGGCGCTGCCCAAGTCAATCAACCACTCTTGCTTGTCTTGTTTTGACCTGGTAGTTGCTCAGCAGTCTGCCCCCGTCTGCTTTCCTTGGAGTTGCTGCCATCACCAGACGCGCCTTGCCCTTATGGTCAAGCTCATAGAAGGCCCGTGGATCCGGGATGTAGCGTGACGCAGGTTTCTTTGCATTGCAAGTATGCGCATGGGCCTGGCGTCGTTTGGCGGGAGGGTCATGCTGTCCTCCGCCTTGTCGAGGATCGGTGTCGGTGGCATTGTGCACGATTCTGTGCCCTGCTTCCATGTCCCCCTCCCTTTTGTTTGTGTCCGGAGATGCCAAACAGGACTGACGCCGCCGCCCTCTTCCCACATTGGCGGGCTGAGGAGTGCACGCGTTGTCGCGTTGTTCAGAGGAATCGTTGCTGTTGGCTCCACGGGCTGCGGTTCTCAGTGGGGCGGGGGAAGCAGTCGGAGTAACAGTCGTGGTAGGCGGCAGCTCACCCGAGCTGGGGCGCTGGGGCACTGGGAGCTGGTTTCCCCGAGCTCGCCTGACATGGCTCGAGCTCGGCCTCCGAGGTGATGTGGACGAGGGCGTCCTCCCTGGCTCAACCGCGTGCTCTTCAAAGCGTGCCTTTTTCGAAGGACGCACCCCATCTTTGTCTTCTTCTTCGTCAGCGCCAAGGCTGCCAGCTGCGGGTGTAGTGGATGATCTCTTTCGCTTTCGGTAAGTGGTTGTTGCGTTGGCAATGCCTGATGTTTGCCTCTCCCTTGTTGTCGGAGGGCCGGAAAGCGCCTTCGATGGGACATCGGTGGACAGGCAGCTGACTCCGTTGAAGGTGTTCGAGCTCGAGGTTGACGATGCCTCGGATCGGGTCGTCAAGGACTCGTCGTGAAGGTTGCTGGCAGAGACTGCGGTGTTGGACGACGGAGTAGAATCGCGGAGAAAGCCAGCGAAAAATCGGGCAAAGGCGTCGAGCGACTTGGAACGGTAGATATGCATAGCATGGCCCCAGTGTCTGGTTGCCTCTATCTGGTTCGGATTGCAGGCGAGATCTTCGAATGTTCGCATCATCATGTCGATTAGTTCTTTCCGCCTCGCCTCCAGCCGATCTTTAAGCATATCGAAGAATTCTGTGCGGTCATCGGTAATTGATGCAATGTGTGATGTTTCAAGACGGAAGGCATCGCGGTCAAGGATAGGGATGACCATCATGTTGAACCGTCTTGGGAGAGTCGTAAATACGTCGTCAAGGTCCATCTCGAACTTCTCGGCTTCCCAGCGGTGGTCAGGATGCTCGCAAAAGTAGTCGGTGGGTGGCGGCCGGAAGATCCCCAGGTCGTCCATATCGTGCATGAAAATAGAAGTCGGTGCTTGTGTCCTTGGGGTGGCGTACAGATTGGTCTGAAGAGAGATGCTCACAGTCCTCGAAAAGGCATGAACGGGTAGCTGAGCTTTGGTGTCTGAGGTAACCGGAAGTTTGCCAGCGGCGGTTTTGCAACTGTGGCTCCTCGTCCCACTTCGGTGCCCCGATACCTAGGCAGCTACTAGGCGCCTGGGACTGCGCCCCCTGTCCCTGCAATCGCGGGACCGGCCTGCCAGTGTACTGTACCCTGTACAGTAACCGCCAGCTCCCCGTCACACCGTCTACATCTGATCACACCTAAGTCCCCTGCCTCGCCTGCGTTCGAGCGTCGCAGTGGGGCGCGAATTGTGCACGCAGAGAGTGTGCAGCTAGGTCTGAAGGTGAAGACCGATGAGAGCAGAGCGGGGCGTTTAAAGACGATGTCCACACGGTATCCCGCCGAGAGAGCACCTGGCACTCTCTCAAGCTATTCTTTCCCTGTCAATCCTTATAAGTACCCTCACCCCTATACGTCTCCTGACCGCTGATAATCATTTTAGGACCGTGTTTCTATGCCATACTTCCTTCCTCTATATCCTCCTCTTGCAACTGGATTCTCTTCGCCGATGTCTACCTCAATGCGCGCCCGTACGTCATGCAAGAGGCCAGACGCTCTCAACCCGATAAATACGCAAGGGGGTGGGTATGAGACTACCTCTTCTCCTACTCAGCTAAAGCGAGGTGTCGTTCCAAGCAACTACAAAGAGGACAGGGAAGACAACGTTTCGTTCAGCGAGTCGCATTTTGCTCAGCTACAAGAGCAAGAAATCACCAACAACTACCTACCCCCAGGCAATGGCAAAGAAAATACGGAGGACAATGTTTCCTCCAGCAACTCGCGCGACAGAGAGGAGAATGTCTCCTCCAGCGAATCGCGACACAGGGAGGAGAACGTCTCTGTTACCGATTCGCTTCACGCTTATTTGCAAGAGCAAGAAATCATCAACAACTACCTACCCCCAGGCAATGGCAAAGAGGATAGGGATGAGACCCTCTCCTTCGGCGAGTCACCTGACCCTACCAAAAAGGAGGATGTCCAAGAGGTCACCCAGTCCCACATTTCCGCCCAGAAAATCGCGGGGATTCACAGCCTACAACAGGAGCGGCTACCGGAGCTGAGGGTGCTCTTCCAGCAGCCTGATGATCATGATGTGTGCATCAAAGTCACTGCTGCGGAACCCTCTGAGGTTTGGCTGGACGATCAGAGTATGGGATTCGGACCCCGCGATCGGGTGGTCGGTGCAACTCAGGGCATTCTCGGAGCAAGGTGCGTCTTGGAAGCCCGTCGCATCAAGGCCACCATGTTCTTCGTTCCGTTGAAGGATGACATGGTCCTTTACAATGAAACGAATCGTACACTTTCCCTTGAAAGCGTGCCCAAAGGCTTCGATGTACGCGATATACCGCCAAAAGAATATGAATTTGCCTACCCCGGATTTTGGCGACTCTATGATAACGAAACCTCCGTCGAGTTCCTACTCCGACCGTGCCGCTACCGCCTCCTTCTGACAGAGAATTTCAGCAAAAGAACGGCCAGGGAACTTTTGTCGCCCCCTGAAAGGGAAATGCTTTCAACTCGGGCTGCTACGACAAGAGCTACTGAAGCCCCTGCGGCTCGCGGCCAGAAGACAATGGTCCGAAGGTGCTTGGCCAATGTCGATCTTTTGAACAGAACCGGGCTCGCCAAAGACCAGACTCTTAACGTGGTGAACGGAGTCACAGGCCAGAGGGAATACTCTATTACGCTCATCAACCGGTACAGAAAGATTTCAAACCAAGTGGATGTTTTCAAGGCGATCTGGGCCCGGGAGGGTTCCGAGCCGATGGCAGTCGCTGTCAAGGTTCACAAGATAACCTCCGCTCGGCCATATGATGCCGCCGCCGCTATTAAGGGCTGGGAGCGAGAACTCGAGGCACACAAGGATCTTCACCATGTCAGTTCCCCCCGGATTTGAAGCCGATTCCAGGTCGACTCAGCTAACGAGAACCGGTAGCCGTGTATCGCCAAGCTCATCTCTTTCGATTCTCGCCTGCTCGCTCTGATCGTAGAAGACCAAGCTCTGCACGATCTTTCTGCCCCTTACTGGTGCCTCCGCGACGGGTCGTCTGCGCTATGGTTCGGAGGCGACATCGACGATGCCTGCCGCATCGCTGCGGACGTCTCCAGCGCATTGGAGTACCTCGACGAGCAAGGCATCGTCCACAACGACATCAAACCGGCAAATATCATTTACGGCGGAGCAAGTGCTGAAGTTGGGGCCAGGGCTGGTGCCCTCCTCATTGACTTTGGTCTTTCAAGAGTGATGAAGGACCAAAATGAGGATTTGGGTGGTGGATCACCATGTTACATGGCGCCTGAGTGGATGAGTGGACGCAGGGATCCGCCAGCGGATGTCTACTCCTTGGGTGTTGTCATGCTCTATCTCCTGCGTTCATTTCCTCTCCCGAAAAAGGAGAACGATTGGAACCTCCTGGAGGCCCGGAGGAAGGAACCCGGCGCAGTGGAAGCTATGAAAAATTGGCTCGCTCACGTTAGAGAGACAAGCGACGGTCTCCAACGCCCTGTGAGGAGTGAGAAGGAGACTAGACTCCGGCGACTCGTGGTCAAGATGCTGCAGCCCAAAAGTGACCGGATCTCCGTGCGTGACCTAGTTAAGGAGACTTGTGAGTGGAGGGTTTGATTTTAGGACCCTGCGGCTGGGTGGAATGGAACTCGGTCAGCTTTCTAGATTCCCACCGAATGGATGTTATTAGTGATCTCCCTGATGGGCTTCAGCACTGTGCCGCATGTGAGAGACCTGTGAGACCCCTCACTTCCCCACATACAACAACAGATTTCACACTTGCCCCTGTGCCGCCAAGGAGTGCGCAAGTGTGGGCCAGTGCGCAGGCGTTGCGCAATAGGCGGTCCGCTGGAAGCGGTGTGTGCAGCTGCAGCAAGAAGTGGGGCGCGCGATGACACGGCTTACTTGGAAGACCAAGGCAGGGGCCTGAAAGTGGGCTGATGTTCACAGTCTTTGCGCAAGGGGTGGTCTGGGCTGGTGGCGGTGTGCGCAGCTGCGGTGAGAGTGGGGTGCGCAATGATACGGATTACTTGGAAGAGCAAGGGAGGGCCTGCAAGTAGGCTGATGTGCGGCACAATTTGGTGGTTGCCTGAGCCCAGGGACTTGCAGATGACCTGTACTGTTATGCAGATAATAGAGGCATGATGTGGCTCCCCGGATTCCACTTCCCTATTGAGCTGCCTATAGTGGAGCACCGTGAGAAGCAGGGCGTATAGCGACTGGCTTCGAATATTCCGTTCTATTTTGGGGGTTGCTCGTTTTCTCCTGTTTGATATATAGCAGGCTGAGTTTTCTGTTCTCTCCAACTTTCTTGTCGTTACTCTCAATGTTTTCTTCTAAGATAACTGAAATCTCACTCCTCAGTCTGTTTTGATGCATCAGGTTGCATAGAAGAGAACCAAACGCAGAACGACGTTTAATATGGTGACAACATGTTTTCAGAAAACACTTGAAGCCAAGCGGGAGGCGAATACTAAATGCTTACTTTACTCGCTCCCACCAGAACTCCTCCTTACCATTTGTCAATTGCTTGGGCTGTCCCTCGAAAAGAAAATCATCCACCTCTTCCTTCGTCGCCAGCCCGCGCTGTGTGCAAGGACCCACCGCCGCCGGTGCAGCTGGGGCCGCAACTTCCCTGAAAGAGTCTGGAGATATACCAGCCCTGGTGTGACAATGGTCTGGCACCTGATGCAAGCCTCTGGGTATCTCCGGAACTTCGTCCGACCCGTGTACATGGCCCACACCGTACATCTCATTTGTGTACACCAGCTCTTTGCCTACCACCAAAGTCCGTTCTGTAATAGCGAGCTTGAACGACTCCGTCATTTGACCAGAATTTACGTCGACGATCTGTCCACCTCGCTAGCGCCTCTGGTGAAGTATGGCTTCTACCAGATGAGAATCGAGGTCGACATCCAAGAGAGAGGGCGTATTTCCTCGCGCGTGCGAAAATCCGAGGGCAATCTATTCCGTCTGATTCAACTGAGCGGTGAATTCCGGGTGGACTCATTGCTCCAACGTGTCAAGGACCTTTGGCTGGATCTGAGAGGAGATATCCGCCTGATCCCAGACCCGCGGTATTTTGCGGCACACCCGGATCTAAGCGACCTAATGATTGAGTTGGAGGAACTAAGGCTGCGGTCGCATGGAGGGCTCTACGTCCTTTTGCTGCCGAGGCGGAACGTTAAGAACGAAATCACGGGTATCCACGAAATAGCGGTTGATAATCTGGCTCATCATTGTTGGAGGAAGGGTGTTCGGCTGGGACGGATCCAAAAAGTCTTATATCGGAAAGAGTTTAAAAGTAACCGCCACATGCACTTCGACGTTATCCCGACCAAGGAGTTTATAGCGAGTGGGTGTGATTTATGGGAAGTCGGGATTGGAGTAAGGTGGTTAAATAGGTCTGCCAAGGAGCCAGTTTGGCTAAGGATATTCCCGGCAGTTGGAGCAGATGTAGAGGAAGATGGGTTTGAGTGGAGAGACAGTGGCGGGGCGGAGGATAGGGATTGGAAGCCCACCAGTATAGATCAAGGGGCAGGTAGCGAGGGACGTGAGAGCGAGGACAGTGATGCTGATGATGTCGTTGATTGGAAACGAGAGAAATTGAGAAGACACGCCCGGGAAGTGGACATAAACGTCTGGGAGGCCAAGGCGCATGAGTGGTACAACGGGTTCGATGAGGATGCTGCCTGGAAGGGTGAGGCCGAGGAGGATGCTGCGTGGAAGAGCTTGCAAAACATGGTGGCCAACGGTGGAGAGTATAAAGAAAATGAGAGTAACCTGGTAACCTCTCGAGCGGTTTTAGAGGCTGAGAGCAGAATCTGGCTACCCACACTCCTGAGGAAAAGTTATGGGGGCGTAGGACTGGAAGTGTCGACCTTGTAATTATTCATAGACATTTCTGTATTACACAGCTTGCCTTGAATCGATCTGCTGTGAGGGAGTTGGCTTTACATGCGCGGATGGACTACGCTCGACCAGCGGAGGTGAGGGAGCGCTCAGAGAGGTGCCAACATGCCTCTATTGCTAGCTTCAATTTGCTGCCGCTGGCTAAGGTTTTCAGAATTACCGTCCGTCCCAGGGAGAGAATAATTGGTGTAACCACGGGCCAGCTGTTTATCACGTGCTATCTAGGTTCAATGTCACATCTTCACCGTGTTCCATTTAGGGACGAAAACATGAGCTTTGGGGCGAAAGATGCATCTATGTATAATTCAATCCAACACGATAGGGTTCTGGAAGCTTGAACCGGTAACACGAGTCTCTAAGTCCTTTACCCAGGCGTCACATTCCCACCTGACCCAATAGTGTAGCAAATCTCGCCACTCTGATAGCGGCTCTGTCAGGTTTACATATACAACCATGCCTCCATTGGCCCGTACGGTCCTGGCGAATTGCTTAGCGACCCTCTTTGAACCGTCAGTTTTCAGACTGGTGCCTAGGATCAAGAGTAAGTCCGGCCCCGCGGATTGGTCCTCGCTGATCAATTTACCGATGACCTCGCCATGTGGGTGATCTTGTTGCCCAATCCGGATGAAATCCGGCAGAAGCAAGCCCACTCGTAAGCGGCGCTTCCCTGCCCACTCTCTCCTGCTGGACCTGTGCGTGCAGTGTGGACAAGGCAGATCTTCGCCTGCTGAGATTCTAGTCACATAATTCTCTGTCGGGGCGGTACTGGAGCATATGCTGCAACGGAGTAGCTCAAGGGAGCCATGGAGTTGAACGCAGTCGACACTGGCCGCATCCAAGTCTGTCTCGAGACCTGCCTTGTTCTCGAGCATATCGATGTTTTGGGTATAACATCGAAGAAGTTTGCCGCTATTACGCAGTTCAGTAATCGCGTCGTGTGTTTTGGTTGGCTGACTGGATTTCGCCAGCTGGCGCAACGCCAATGCCTGTTTCTGGACTTCCAGTCTTGATCTTTCGTCGCGGAACGCCGCCTCAGTAAAGATACCGCCTTTTGCGTACAATCCACCAGGGGATCGGTAGTCCTGGAGCCTAATCAGCAAGTCTTCGAGTGTAACGTGACCAAGCATAAATACCGGGATACCCGCCGAGGTACTGATACCAGCGCCTGCTATTAGAACAACTCTTTGCGCATGAGCAAGGGCGTGGGCGATTTCGTCCAGGGCACAGCCCGAATGAGGGCCAGTGGGCTCCAGGCCTCCCTTTGAGCGCCGTTTTGACGGGGACAGAGACATGATGTTGAAGATGTGAGTGTAGATCGGGCCACTTTATGAGGTGTGCCAACTTTAGAAAGCTGAGTGAAGGAGACGCGAAGAAACCTGGTGATGGAGGGCATGGAGCCAACGAGGGATTCGATCTCGTACTTATATCCCGAATTCCCTGATCCACCATGAAGAGCCGTCTTTGATTGGGCCTCATCAAGCTGATGTGATGTCGTCGCGGTCCAGAGCCTTGCGATCATGGCGCAACAGTGTGTGCCGTTTTGCGCTTAAAGTTTTGCTTCGCGCTGACGTCAGACTCACTGACAACCTCTGTGCCCAGTACGTGGTCAGAAATCGCGGCTCATGTGATTTAAGAACCAATCGTACAAGCATTCTCTAAAAGACAACACCAAGGAGTGGGAAAATCAAGGGCTATAACACACAGGCTCTATCTAGGCGTTCCATATAAGGCAGAGGACTGCTGCTTTTGGCATCTCTCACCTCGAAGTGGCCACCTTTGTGGGAACTACGTGATAGTGACACGGAATATTGGCGAGACTTCGCCGTGCACACGCGAGCAGGGCCATTTCGGCGCAACGTTTCAACTGTCTCATCAAAAAAGCGAAATTCCGCTTCAGCCTTTGTCCAACAGACAACCCTCGGGCCACAAGTCCTCCTAGTCTTTCTCTCCGAGACCCTCTCATCATCTCCCCACGTCCATATACCTCCTCAACTTGGTCAGATTGGAAGCCCGCCAAGGAGGAAAGCTGTAGCATGTAGGTCTAACCTGGATACCTTGGGGCTAATCGTTCCGTAAAACTCAGCGACAGCACACCCCTTGACCCAGCAAAGAGGCGTAAGTGTAGAGGCTTAGTTGTTGGTGTTGGATAAAATGCAAGGCCGAGAATTGAGGTTCCATAGATGGGTTCTCCAGCTGTGGAAAACCTTGCTCGAACTTTAGAAAGCAAAACACATATATTCATTGCTGGCTAATCATCCCACCAAACAAACAGTCCTTTACTTCCATGGCCTTTGTGGGGCTGAGAGATACAAATAAATTTGCACACTCGTCCTGACCTGATGGTACACCCATTGAGACAAAGCTTGTGTATACCTTCCCCATGTCTCGTTCTGATTCAAATAGTGGATTAGAACCGATTGCAGATGCTAAATACTCCCCAAAAGTATCCTCAATGGACTGTATATGGCCGGGTAGTAAGGAGTTTTCGGCTGGAATCCTCGCGGACCCTTCACAGAGGTACCACAGCCCATTCTCATTTTCCAAAATGGGCCCCACAAAGCACCTTAGCCATGTGTTTGATCTTGTCTGGCACCACCTCAATGACTAAGGAGTGAACATCCTGGGCAGATTCCGTGGCAGCCGCGGCTAATTGAATGTATTGGTATCCACTGACTGCTGTTGCCAGCAATCCAGAGAAGTAGTCTTCATAGCTGCTAATAGAAGCAGCGGCGAGGACTACCATAGATTCGTCGTTGATGCTGCCGGGCTGGTGTAGCTGTGGGGCTGGGATTGTATGGTTCGAGGGTTGGTCTAGTGGCTCGTTCAAAGGGCACGACGGCGACATTTCTGGATCCGACGATTTTGGTTCAGCATTCTGTGGATGAAAAAGTGTTTCCGAGGCTTGAGCTTCCGGTGACTCGTTGGAAGACGGCGATGTCAGAGAAGCCGGTGTATCGTGGGACACATTGGTTTTTTGCAACTTGGTGTCACCCCGTGCCTCATTTGGGGGTATTTTTGCCTTCTTCGCCGCCGAAACCAAACACACCCCACAGCGCCTTCGGAGACTGCTGACCGCCTGGTTGAGTCTCCCCAGCAGTCTCTTGTCTCTCGAGATCTCGAGCGTGACCTGCTTTCCGCATGCTTCTTGGTCGTGAACAGGCAGCTTCACGAGGAAATCAATCACCTCATTTCTCTCCGCCATCTTGGCAAAGCGGGCTACCTTTCCTGCCTTCTCGATGTAACGCCATGAAGACGCTAAATTCAGTCTGGTAATGATATACGCCGCCAAAGCCGCGGTGCCGCCAACGCGGAAGAAACTTTGTGCTGTCGGGTCGACGAATGTCGCAGATTTTTTTGGAAGCTTGTTGTGTCTCAGCCGGCTGGAGTAGAGAAATAAAGATAGTTGTTCCGAACTTAGACTCATCATGTCAAAGAGGTTGCAGCAGTATTTGAGTTGGCCAGAGTAACAGAGTTGTTGCGACGGGCCAAGCGCCTTTTATCATTCTCGCCGTCTCGCAACCAGGGTCCTTGCTCTGAAGTGATCGTCACCTTCTCACGAATGACCATCCTAACCTCGGCCATCAAACATGATGACCGTGGGCTCGAAGAGGACGAAACGAGAAGTTTTCCGTGTCTCATGCTGGACCATTCAATTCCTCTACACCGCCCTCTTTGCGTGAAAACACAGTGCCTGCGTGCAGGACCACTTGGTGGCCACGTCTCTGAGTCCCTTGTCCCTATGATGAGCTACTTTTGTGTTTTCCACGGACTTCCGCGCCTTCCGCCCGGTTGGTGTCCTCAACACCCTCCACCTGGCCTGATCCCACAAAGAGCTGCCCACCCCTGCAAGCTGTAATGACCCATGCTTTCCGGGTCACTCTGTAAGGACGTGGAGCATCAACGCCAGGCAGACGCCAGGCCGAAAGCTCCGTCTGCCAGGGTTGTTTGTCCCGGCTTGCAAGGTTGCGTTTGCCGGGATTTGCGCGACGCAGTGGATGCTTCTCGTTTACGCAGTTTATGACTCAGTGACGTTCATCACGCGCAACTTGGAGTGGAGTTTCAGCCTGTCGGTGCTATTTATCTCCATTTTGAGTGGGATCATCCTGCGGAGTCCCATGCGTAAGACCGATATGAGCCTAGTGTGACGCAAGAAGTCGTCTCGCGCAATCAACGTGCCACCGCTGTCGTGTCGTGCTGACCAGCGGCGCGGTAACGAAACGGGAACAGAACACACCACCTTGTTGCGCCTAGCATGACTCGTTGTGCTCGTCTTTTGGTTAGCAACGCCCCTTTCAGCATGTATGCAGTAAGGTGGAGGTTTAGCCAACTACTGTCCTGGCGAGATTCTCAGCCAACCCTCTAACTGGTTACCATTTGAGGTGTCTCGCATTGTCAGCCAAATTTGAGATGACCACACGCATCCCTGGTACACTCAGATATTCCGTGGATGACCCAGACAACTTTTGAAATTGAGACTACCTCTGACGCGTAGAAGAGAAGAGACTGGCACAGCTTCTGCTCTGCCGTTCTTTGAACTTCGTGCCACTGAGAAGGGACGGTTGCACTCTGGATATCAAGCACAGCTTCGACATCATTTTCCTAATAGAGAAAGCACATCTGCACCACTTTGCTTCAGATCCTTTACCGTCTTGTGAACTGTGTGTGCTGCAACCTGAACTGGACAAAGCAAGGGATCATGTAAAGCCCGGGGTCATCGACCACCCTCGCTCGGATAAATGACCATTGTGGGAATGTCCCTGTCTCTCTTCACAGCAGGTCAGGATTCATAGGATCATGTGTGTTTCACTGGCCTGCAAGTTGACAATGTTGTCAGCAGGGACTGGCTGATCTATGCAAGCAAAAATATAAAAGCCTTAACATCTCCCACCAGCATCATGCTCCCCTTTTAGAAGCCATATCCTCCTGAGCTTTCAACTCCTCTCTTGCACCTAAACTTCGCAAACGACCAGATTCATGTCCACTAGAACCCCCCTATCGATCATGGTATCGTATGGCAGAGGGGCATATGATACCGCAGGCGTTCCGAAACCGCCGCCCCAGCCAAAGCCTCGCTAAAGCTGTGGTAAGTCATCCATTCAACACATATCAGGAATGCATCCCGTTGTATTAACTTACCTACCAGGCATACCAACACTATCATCAGATTTGTATTGCAACTTGAAATCGGGGTTTAGCCAGAGGCAAAGCGTTTAGTATCGTCCATGTTGGAATCTGAGGAGAGCCAGATAGACGGAGGTGACAGAAAATGTAGTAGAATAGACCACACAAAACATATGTGATCAGTATTTGCATCGTCGCTTTTACCAAAGGGCTGTCCAACTTGTCTTTAATTGTGGATACACTGCTACCATCATCACTAGTACCACCCATCGTAGCACACATCATCGGAATGAGCAGAGGAGCTGCGCCCCCCATAATGCGCAGAGGCCAGGCGAGCCACGGGGAGATACCGTTACTGTGTCTCCTGCGGCTTTGGGCTTGTCCACTCTCAAGGCACATCCCTCACTATTTCCCAGTGGGAGTGCAAGGGGTGGTTCATCCAGGACAATGCCCTTACAAATTATTGGGCTTACTTCGGTGCGATTGAGGCCCTTGCTTTGGCCACGACTGATTTAGATAAAAAGTTTGATCATAAAGCCTGTTTTTTGTAGCTCTTCCAGACACCTCCAATCCAGATCACTCTGCGGGTCGCGCGAAAATGGAATGCCAGTCTCACACTGACACTGTCGATTCCATTTGTGCAAGCACCGATGTATCTGGCCCGCAACCTGAACTTCTCGACGCGCCCCGTGCAGCACGTCAGCAGCTTTCCCCTGCTAAAATCTCATTCTCAGCTTCGCTCCTAGCTGTAACATCGGCCTCAGCTCTGATATCTGACCAGGAGTATCGTCATTGCCGCGTCTACCGCAAGCAATGTGCACCTCGGCATTATCCCTGAGTAACATGCTTACAGCAACCCAGTTTTGGTCTTGGTCTGATCCGCCACACATTTGAGCCTTGAGACTGCCTCTCCCCAGTCGTGTCAACCGCGCCAATGCTGGGCATGCTGTTACACTGTGCATATCTCCCACTCAAGCTGCACAGGATCTCCACATGGAGATAGGTGAAAGCCATGAATGGGCTGAAGAGCAACTTGTGCGTGATATTTCGCAGACGAACCCAATGGAGGACAGCTCTGAGAAGGCTTTGGTAGGCTGGATACTTTTGCGCGGTGCGCGGATATTACGCGGATGTAGTGTATCACATTTACCCGCCACAGTCTTCCATGGGGTTTCTCAAAGAGGCATCGCCCCCACCTCCCCAACCCTGCGTCTAGTTGTGTGTTGGACCTGCATGTGCCAGGACGAAGCCAACCCTGATTTTCATTTCCTGTCTCAGGGATAAGTGCAATAGCAAACTCAATGCAGTGTGGTGGGTCCTCTTCCTGTTGCCTTCATGAAGCACGGAACTAGGGACATTCAGTGATTGCTCCCAGCGCATCAGCACGTCAGCGCCTTGCCGTTCATTTCGCATTGCCCTGACAGAATGGTGTTCTTGATCGTACACGCAGACTCATGGATCTCAATGATGTTTCCTTCAAATAGCATGTGTCGTTTGGCCGGCCATCTTACATGTTGCTAACACGTCCACGATGAATCGTCCTCCAACCAGGCAGCCCTTGGCAGAGGAGCCCAGTGCAACGCTGACCCATGACTGAAATGTCAAGTGCATGGCTAAGAGTCTTGGCAAATCCTACGCAAACTTTGCGTAAAGTTAACGCGACGCATCAGAACTCGTCTTGCACAGATGATTCACAGCCTATCAAAGTTCAACGAAGGATGACGCGTACGGTGGAGATGCGCGCAGAGGCACATGTAACGGTATGCCTGGCATTGGCGCTCTTGACACGACATCGTGGGTTGCACTGCCTGCCCACAGTGGAGTACATCTCGCCCAAGTGAAACCTCAGCCTATCAGTATTCTTCGCAAAGTCTCCATGCAGTTGGAAGTGCTTCGCATCCATGGGCACTGTGCAGAGGAATTGACTCATGTCCCTGGCGCGTTTGACACCTTGCGTAGGCGGTGGGCACCTGCAGACACACTTGCGCAAATCACTGCCTACGCACACTCCGCTTATCACTTCCTGCAGCGGGACGTAGACCTGAATCCCATCCTCCCAGTGGGTATTGACTGTAGCCGCTTCCGGTTCCCCCCTGCATCATTCCCAAAATTTGGAATGGCCTGCTCATCCCTGCATTGGCACTCCGAGTGAAGCCGAATCGGTGCTTCGCAAGGGAACAGAGAAATTCAGGCTGCAGCTGAATGCGGCTCCGCTCTACTTCTTCACTGGTGCATTCCCAGATGTTCTGTTGATCTGCAAAGAGCTCATCAGGGGGCCCTGTACATGGCTAAGTTGGTAAAATCTCCACAGAGCCCATCGTGATGGGCCAATCCATGAAGGTGGAGAGATGTCGTGAGGCGACAAGGGGCGACCATTGAGAGGCGTCGGGGAGCTTCCGGTCAGAAGATCATCCTCTGAGCCCTGATGAGTCGATGATGTATTGTCCGTGGTGATACCGGTCCACCATCAAGCCTGGCCGAGATAATACTTGGGAGAGCCATGCGTTCTCTTCCAGGAATCCATCACGCTAACCTACTGCGTAATCTGTTATGGGGATTGAATGGTCGACCAGCTCTAGACAAACTCATTGATAGGCTCTGATGAACTTATGGATACCCTTTCTTAAATTGAGATCAGACGTTCGTCTGTCTGGAATCCGACTCGAGGACTTAGTCGGCTTGTTTTGTTTTGAGCTTGCGGAGAGCAATGTGGAGGTAGCAAGAAGGTGCACATGACTATTCAAAACCAGGAGCAATTACATGCTATGTTTTGAGTGTATTTACTGGTCACAGATATAAGCAATCAGGACAGTGGTGGTTAGGATAGCCACCTGGCCAAATGTTGGTTGGACGTCCGTGAGAGCTGACCTCGGCAACCTGGTCCTGGACTCATGTCAGCTGGGATTCCACAAGTGGGGAGGTGTGGTGGCGTGACATTATTGTGAGCCTGAAATGTGAGGTTACCCGTGGTACAAAGGAACCCGGGATGTCCTGAAAAGGAACCTGTAGCCCAATGTCGCTTCATCTATTCTTCACAATCGCATCTAACATCATCTACTTGGTAATCTCCAGTCCTTATCAATGGCGTCTATTGAAAGCAATTCTGGGCTTGACCTTCTCTTAGAAACATCTAAATGTAAGTGTAACATTGAAGATCATAGGCCTTGAGCTGATCTAATCAACCAGTAACCACATGCATCAATTGGCGCATTCAGGAGTGGAATAGACATTTCGGAAAAGCTGTCTTCCTAGCTGAAGCATCTTGTCTTCTGCTGAGCGTTGAAGACGCTATGAGTGTCGCCAAAGATGCTCTCCAAGAACACATACGATCTCAAGACGCTCGCGACTGGAAAGATACCCTGAACCATCCCAATGTATCAAGTTTCCCAGTGATCAAAAGCAAAGACATAGTAGGAAGCCACCAGGGTTGGGAAATCTTTGACTTGGAGATACGTGGTGACGAATTGTTTGTCTCAGCCAAAGTCACTACTCAAGTCACATGGGAAGATGTCTCGAAGGACGAGAGTCTTGTTAGCAAATTGTCATCATACTTGATGGGCATCATACATGGGTATGAAGAGCAGACACCTGGCAGGCAATTGTGTTAATGTATGTGAGTGGGTTCGGAAGGCTATCTGTTTTATCCGTCCTTGCCTGACACATACTTGAAATGGAATCATCTGTGCTCAGGGATGGGTTTAAGCTGCATACCCTCCCTCAACCCATGTGGTTCTGTACATGAGGAGTATCCTTGGTGTATTTGTCAATGGAAGTTGTGACTCGGCAACGGATGGGTTCCTTGTGTGCTAGTGTTCTCCGTATCCTGGCACTTAATATGTGCCAACTTCAGTGGAGGTCATCAGCAACCCATCCGCTTCCTGTCCGCTGCGAAGCTCCCTGCGCACATCCACGCGAAGCCCAAGTACTGATGGTCGCTCCCGGTGGAGGCTGGAGGCGATGAAGATTCATGAACGAGCAGTAAGGATCGACTGCCACGGTGACGAATAATGGCGTGCAAAACGTGCTATCAGCGAAGTCATGATCTATGTGAAAAGGCTTATAGATAAATCCAGATACCTGTAAGGAAGCGCATTGCTTGAAAAGGCATCTTCAACTCGGTGAGTTTCTAGGTAATATGGGGCATCCAAAGCATCCATGACCCAGTTGAGGTTGACATAAGCAACTGGGCAGTTCTAACAAGCATGTTATAGCAAGGGGAAACCTTAAGCTACAATACCCTAATAGTTAAGGGTGTTTAAGCGTTTACCACTGTATGAAGGGACTGGATACATACTGCTTAAGAGGCATATGTGTACAGATTAAAAATGAGACCACGACCACCTAATAGTTAAGTTACCTTATAATTTTCCTCAAGGCTGCAGAAACCTTCATTTTATATATAATAAATCAGTGTGATATATTGTATTCTCAGTCTATTCTATAAGTAATAAAATTCTAAAGAGTGTAACTATTATGCCTTAGCTGTAAAAGCCCATACGCGTAAACCGGACCCCTACAAATATGCAAACTGCTTTTTAACCCTCCTCCTTGGAATGGGTACCTTTGTATCCTGCAGGTAGGTAATCATTTTGTCCTTGAAGTGATCCTTGTATGTAATACAAGACAAAGACTTAGATACCATTCCCAACCTACCCGTTCTCTTATGTTGGAAAATGGACCAGGTTGGTGGGCACGTATCCCCATCATAGGTCCATACTGGCATACCGTCCTCCTCTATAATTCTATCAGAGGGGATGCCGCTAGGTGGCAACATATAGCCTGTGCCGATGTACTGAAGCTGTGCAAGGTCGTCAAAGCCTGCTATCTTTTAGTACAGAATATCTTGCACATGTGTAGCTGGCTAGGTCTTACCTAAAGTACGAAGCTCGCGGTCCTTCGACATAATAACGACACGACTTCTTTCATTGTTGCCATATGCCGTCTGAAATTGCAAGTACTTCTTCTCGTACTGACCCGTGACAGGTGCAAACCCAAATTTGAACTTACCATCCTCAGTTGGCAATGCAAAGCCGAAACACTTGCCATTCATTGGTGTAAACAATATGTTTCCCTTTACAGATTCGCCCAACCCAGTAAATGGGTCCCGAAAGAAGTAGATCTCATCTGGTTCGCCCTTAGAGCCGAAATCTTCAACTTCCAAATTTTTGTTGTTGTCCAGGGTCAAGTTTGAGAATAGTTCCAGGGCATCATCCAGTAAATCAGGGTATTCTAGCTTGACTTTGCTATCAGGTATAGCCTGTTGTGCATCGGGGTCCGTTTTGACTTTGGGAGAGGGTTTGGCTGCCTCGGCCGCTTCCTTTGCTTTATTTGCTTCCCGCATGGCAAGATTTGCGAGGTGATATGCCTGGCCGTTGGCCTTCGTACCATCTTCAGCGGCAGTTTTCGCATATTGGGCGGCCTGTTGCGCATCTTCGGCATTTTTCGCATCTCTAGCCTTCTTCGCATCTTCGGCGGCCTTTTTTGCCTCTCTAGCGGCCTTTTTTGCTTTTTCAGCAGCCTTTTTCGCATCTTCAGCGGCCGTGTTCATATCTTTAGCCTTCTTCGTATATTCGTCATTCTTCATATCTTTAGCAATCTTGTCTATGTCTTTGGCACTGTTCATCGCCGATTTAGCATGGTGACCCGCCAGCATAGCAGCGGTCTCTGCTTCGTGGGCGGCCTTCTCTGCTTCGTGGGCGGCCTTCTCTGCTTCGTCGGCGGCCTTCTCTGCTTTGTCGGCGGCCTTCTCTGCTTTGTCGGCGGCCTCCGTATCTTCGACATCCTTACTCGCACCCTTATTGTTCTCATTCCTCCCCAAATCTCCATTGGCTTTCTTCCAATAACTGCTGATTTGGTTTCCGGCGTTCAAAGCACCGGAGGCACTTTTCCAATTTTTAGGAATATCCTCTTCATCATCGCTTAAGACATTTGGCTCGTCTTGCCAGATTGCCTGACACATCTCTAAATGCTCTTGATTAATCTTGATGTCCGTTCTGTTGTTCTCACTACACCATTTCTGCAACCTTAGTAGTTGCCGAGCAAATTGCTCAGCATCTTCCTTGGTTTCAGGAGTGCGAACCATCTCAAACGTAGATATTTAATCTAGTGTAACTTGGAGAAAAGAATAGGAATCAGAGAGAAGATTATGCTTTTTGCCTTAAACGATATAGTAGCTAGACTTTTATTAAGATGTATAGAGGAATGTTCTTTAGTATTTATATATTTGCTTGCCTTGCATGACTAGTCATATTTAAAGGAAGTAGATATTTTCTTAATCCTTAATTTACATTTCTACTTTGAGTCACGGCCTAGTTACCGGCCAGCCGGGCTTTTAGTATATGGCCGCTTATAGTGGCCAGCCAATGCACACCATGCACTATTTGTACTTAGTTTCGCCACTCCAATGTCGGTTGCTCTGGGCAAATATTTCTCAACCTTTGCTGCCTAACCCCTCTATCAATCCTACCAATTCCAACCCCACACCTCGACCAGTCGACCACCTCGACCGGTCTACACACACCTCGACCAGTCGACCACCTCGACCAGTCGACCACCTCGACCAGTCGACCACCTCGACCAGTCGACCACCTCGACCAGTCGACCACCTCGACCAGTCGACCACCTCGACCAGTCGACCACCTCGACCGGTCTACACACACCTCGACCAGTCTGCACACACCTCGACCAGTCGACCACCTCGACCAGTCGACCACCTCGACCAGTCGACCACCTCGACCAGTCGACCACCTCGACCAGTCGACCACCTCGACCAGTCGACCACCTCGACCAGTCAACCAGTATGAATTTCCCAAATATTCTTTGCTACGTTCCATATAAACTGCATAACCAAGACCCACAAATATTTATCTATCTGCTGGATGAAAGCAGCGGCAAGATTCACCAGCAAACCCTGGTTTCTCTTGATACAACCGTTGGTGGTTGGGCTACACTACCATTGCAGCGTGCCATATTGAATATTCCGGAGAAGCGCTTACTCCAAGGCAAGCTGGCAGAACTGGATGGCATCTTCCTCAAAGGCCTCCGACGCAAAGACAAAAATGTCGTGAATGCCATCCTGTGCTTTACACGCGGCACGAGGATGCCTGTGATCGACAAAAATGATCCCAGATGGGTGACAACGGAGGAAAAAGCCTGCCTGAACTGCCAAGAACTAGGCAATCCTTTTGATGGTTGTGTCGTGCTCCGCGGCCATCCAGGATTCAACAATACGTGCTCGAATTGTCTCCTTCAGGACTTGCGAGACACCTGTGACCACAGACTGTCATGCACGACGGAAGGCCATGAACCTTATGTCCCTCCTCTGAAAAGTCTATTGATACAAGCTCAAGGCTGTGGCACAGTACAGAGTCCCATCGATCTAACCGAAGAAAGTTACACCCCACCACTGACAAGGAGCAAGCGGGCTGGTAAAATCTGAGTATGAGGTCATTCTTGCTTACGTGCTATTTTCCAGCAATTCGAGGTCGATCGGTCTCTCCGCTGTGCCCTGTAACGCCAAGATCGCTCTTCGTTCCCTTGAACCCTGTGGTCGAGGAGTGGGTCTCTGTTCTCTCCGTCCTGGTCTCCTCGGCCCCGGCCGCCTCGACCTCTGCTCCGGCCCCCTTGATCTGTGCCCTCTCTGCTGTCCCTCCGCCCTCTGCCCTCTCTGCTCCGTCTGCCCTCTCTGCTCCGTCTGCCCTCTCTGCTGTCCCTCCGCCATCTGCTCTCTCTGTCCCCTTCGCCTTAGTTTCCTGGATGAAGCTCGCGTTTGGTCTCCGCCACTCTGTGTCAATTGCTGTCGTGGGACGTAGTCGTAATCTGGCTCTACATTATATCGTGTTGCGAGCTCACAGTCCCGTCGTTGAGAGAAAACACAGTTCGCGCAACGATTGTTGTACTCATTCCGAAGTGCAACACACTTGTCGAAAACACCACCGCCTCCCTTACAATGACTGCACGGCTCAGACGATTCAGACCCGCGGCTTTGGCATAGCAGAGCTTGCGTAGCCACCCTCTCCGCCCTCTCCCACGACTCAATGAATGGCTTCATGATGGGCCAACGGCCAACCACTGGGCGCTTGGCGGGTAACCAGTACAGTCTCCGGTCGCTTCGGGCGTGGATATGAGATGGAACACAATCATTGGTAGTAGAGGTGATATCGACTGCTACAGTCATTTGCAGACTGCCGTTGGGCTGCCTAATGAATCGGGTAAGTATCTTTGTCCAGTCGCGGGTTGTTTCAAAATCTTTCTATATTTTCATTAGTTAAACTCGGGGGAAATGGATTCATATGACCAACAAACAAGCGAATCTGAGAATCCATAATGTAGTTTTAGAGATCTGATGATATCGATGGTGTGATCCAGGATGCGGCAACGCGGGTGAGGCTTGTGTGTGAGCAAATGGCCAGAACGTGAGACTGTGTGAGTAGCAGGCACATCTGGGCATGTCAGGCGACGACGGCACGGGGATTTATATGTTGTCACATCGTTGCGATTGTCGCCGCCGTGTCGGCTGGCATCGGCGCCTCGGCATTTGCCTGGATCGTACGTCCCCTCGTCGTCGGGAGGCCTCTACGGACCAGTCCATGGAAATGAACGGAACTCCGTCAACCTACTTGCAGGTTGGATCCACAGATGATGGATGGGCATGAAAAACAAAATGACTAATGTGTTCCATGATAACCGGTTTTCTGCGTTATGTATCGTCACATTGCCCCTGAAAGCCAACAGAGGACAATCAGCCCCTGACCCTATCTGCTTGTTGGCCGGGCATGTCTGTGCCAGCTCAATCTCAACCCACCCACGCAAGAGACCCATGAAATCGAGTGCACCAAGGAACGACTCTATATGAGTGACATGAAGTGGGTTCAGCCAACAATCAATGTGGAGGGAGCCCCATGAGGGAGTATGGGGGGTTACTCGGTGAAAGACACCAGTACCGCCGTCTCATGATTCCAAGGCGGTCATGCGGCCGGCGTTCGTGGGTGCGGAAGTTGACCGACATTTATCTCCGGGATCGCTTCAGAATAGGCCAAGAAGATGAAGCGTATGTTTGTGGGTGAGCTGTGCGGTGAGCACTCATGATGGTTCTGGGAGTAGGCCCGTTCTTCCAAGGGTTGGGTTCGCGTGGAGCACACAAGATCATAGCCCTCAGGCCTTGGTCGCAATTCGCAGGGGAGTCCATGGGCTCCCCAAGACGCAATAAGACTGGATTTCCTCCGTGGATCCAAATCAACCAGAGGTCAAGCCTAGGGCCAATTGCGTGGGTTAGGCCAACACTATCTGCACAGGGAGGACTTGACTCCCGGATGGTATCATGCTTGCGGAATCCAGGCTACTGCCCTCCGCCTACGGCCAAACTGCGAAATCCCGCCACTAGTATGTTTTACGAATGAACTTGCAGATCGCTCGTCGGTGGCAGACCTCTACACTGAGTTGACTGCAGTTTGGTCGTTTCTTGACGAGGGTGTAGATGGGACTTGATCTATTCATACTCGCTGCAACACGTTGCTAATAGTCCACTATGAGAGCAGCGTCCTGGAAGGGATGCTCTGGAACCTCTAAACGGATGTCACCCCCTTGACGTAAGACGTTTGCCAGGCTTCCACCCAATACACGAGCCGCGGTGTCTAGATGACATCGTTCAAGGCTGACTGGCTCCTGGGGTCCCCAATAGATCCCGATCCCGTCCCTGTATATACACCGGCGTCCCGCCATTGCGAAGATACTGACCTGGAACAGATCCCGCGCCAAGCATTCCAAGTATTCAGCTCGGATTCTAAACAAGATCCTCCTCTCTCCACTAAAAAAGATTCCATGGCCACTTCGATACTTTGTCGTGATATTGAGGCGCTCCGAGATATGCTGGCGAATCCATGCCATACGTGCGGCTGCGGGGTGGACAGACTCGAGATCCTGCAGGCCCGGACTGGCTCCCTCAGTTGATATAGTCCTCGAGTCTGTCTTCCTCAGGGTGGGGTTCAAAAAGGGGGTCGACTCGGTCTGCTGGCTCGGGGGATCGTTTGGGGGATCGCTTGTTACAGTGGTGACGCCAGAACTTGCTTCTTCTGCTTCGCTAGATGTGACAGAAGTGTCTGCTCTTATTAGTTTTGGTTTGTTGTTCCTCGATCCTGCAGGTGTGTCTGCTGTTTGTTCAGCTTCAGGCCGTATCGGAAGGACTCAGTTGCTTACCTTCCCATTGACGGTCGATACCTTTATCCGACAGACCCTTCGCGGTAGATGAGGCTATTTTCATCCTGTCAGCCGCCCGCATGTTGCTCAGGGCTTTGAAGACAGGACCGATTCTCCTGTTGGCATGCCTCTTTGCTAGAATGAGCAGTGCAAAAGCCGTTGAACTGCCATGCCTAAGGAAAAGTCGGTCCACTTCCACCCTACTCTTCATTGCTGTCAACTCTTCGAGCGAGTAGAGGTGATGGTAGCGCTTGAATACATCTATCAATAAACCTAACAGCTTTATCTCAAGCTTGAAAGACTTGGGCTCCATTGTAGAGGGTAAGAAAACCGTTTGCTCAGCCTGCTGCTGATCAAGAGAATCTTGGGGTTGGGAAAGGCTTATGTGTTCTTGACAGACCAGAAATCAGATGACTCAATGACAGGTACTCGGCACCTTCTCGGGTATTCCACATGATCCACCCCTGGATGAATTCACCAACAAGCAGCTGGGGCATCCTCCGAGTTTGCCGGATGCAGGCCTTGTCGCACCCAACAGATCAGGTGCGACGTCGGACACCCCACAAGTACTCACGACCAGTGCTGGTTCTTGAGAACACAGTGTTTCCCCAGTCCACCGCAGCTAAACTTAGACCAGCTGGATCTATTCCTTCAAAGAGTAAATCTATTATTAATTCTTGCCTCTCCTCGTGCGAAGGCTGGGATCCTACGGCCCCACCATCATCTTTGTTGATTTTTAGAGCCAACTTGACCTCCTTGGAAGGAACCTCTTTCAGCTGAATTCGCTGTGCTCTATTCTCTCTCCTGTTTGGTTTTGTTCGACACTGCCTACTGTCCCTTCTACCCATTTCATATGACATATAAGCTCCCTTAGCTCGACTGGTTGCAAAAGAGCCAGAGGGAATAAGGAAGCAGTAGTTTGCTTATCATGCTGAATAAATGGCCTAGAGAATGCGATGTGTGCGTGTTTCTTCCAGTCCAAGTCTTGGCTTTCTGCAGTAATATACCACTTTGTGTAAATTCACTGCACAGGTTTTCGTGACTGTGTAGGGTCTAAGCTGAGAATGTAATATTTTCTCGTATTAAATACAAATTGCAAACTTGTGTTAGATGTTCATACATACGCACTCCATGGTGCCCCCTTTTGCCCTCACTAACATTCCCTCCCCAGCAACCCTCCCCCCTTCCACCTTAAGACGACATTTCTCTTCAAACTACGAAAGTTCAAAAAGACTGACTCTTTGCAGAATATGCTCAGTTTGAACCTCCTCGTGCATCTCGAACTCCCTAATAAGAAAACTCAGAAGGAACGCGATCGCAGACACACAAGTGAAGAAAAGGTAAAGACCACTCAGGCCGTACACATATGCATCGAGAACCTGATCCTTGAGACCGCTGTGGGCAGGGAGCTTTGCCAATTCCACCAGGAATGCCTCGCTGTGCAGTGCGATATCAGTGCTGAGGCCCTGCGATCTAAGCTTGATGCTCATGATGTTCTGGAAGATGGTTCCACCTATCCCCACGCCAAGGGTCACCCCGAACTGTCGCAAAAAGGCATACATTGCAGCGGCATGGCCCTCCCTACCACTCATGCACATGGCTTGGGTAGCAAAGTTCTGGGCGTTCAGCACAGCGCCATGACCGAAGCCCAAAGCGATGAGAATGAAGACCCACGCGGCAATAGGCGTCGCACGGTCGAAGATCATGGTGAGGCCGGATGACGCCGTGACAAGGACCCAGCCAAGCCAGATCGGCCAGCGGTAGCGACCTGTCTTTGTGACGACTGCACCAGTTGCAATCGAGCTCGGGACTAATGTGATCATCACAGGTAGGATAGCTACACCCGTGATGACACCTCCATAACCCTTGACGGACTGGAAGTAGAATGGTATGTAGTAGAGTTGCCCATATATCTAGAGGAGCGAGTCAGCATTTGTCACTCCCAGAGAACTTGGTGAACATACCACTAAACCTTGGATCAGACCACAAGTATACGTGGCGATAGAACTGACGTTCAAGAACAGACTCTGACGAAGAAATGGCCGTTTGGCATACTTCGCTTCATAGAAGAAGGTCCCAGCCAATCCAAGGGCTCCAAGACAGAGGGGAACAAGCGTCTGGGGGCTCGTCCAACTGAATTGGCTTCCACCCCATGACACAGCCACGAGAAATGATGTCGCGGACGAAATGAAGAGAGCGCCACCTGGCCAGTCTACTCTCTGCATCTTTTGTGAGGCAGTCGCCGGAGGAGCCCTGAACTTGAGCAGCCATAAGACCAGGGCAGTTCCCACGAAGCAGAACGGGAACATGATGTAGAAAACCCATCTCCAGCTCGTATTCTGAGCAATCAATCCGCCGGCAACGGGACCGAGGCAATTGCCTAAAGCCCATGCTCCAAGCCTTATAGATGTCAGTCAAGTGGTCTCCGAAAGAGCAAGCCTGTTTACCTACACTGAACCATACCACTTGGGACGCCAACGAAGAGGCACCATGTCGGTGAAGATGATCAAGCTGAGGACCAGAATTCCGCCACCACCTATGCCCTGCAAGCTCCTGCCAGCAAGCAAGACGGCGATGGATCTTGCGAGGCAGCACAATAATGTACCACCCGTGAAGAAGGCAAGCGATGCCAGCAGCACAACTGGTCGCCCAAAGATGTTGCTGAGCTCAGCAGTGAAGGGCATGGTCACGGCGTTTGACAGAAGGTAGGAAGTGCCTATCCAGAATGCGGTGGTCGTGTCTAGACCTAGATCAAGCACAATTGCCTAGACAGATCATCAGTATAAAAGTGGTAACGCTGAGGGCCGTGAACTTACATTCAATGAAGTCACAATTATACAAGCATCCAAGGCCACCATGAAAGATATTATGGAGAGGGCGAACATGATGAGCATCTGGTGCTTGTTAGGGCTCCAGTGCGATGTGGTTTTCTGCTTCACAGCACCATTCGTGAAGCGGATGAGGCCGCCGATATCCTGGCAGACCTCACTAGACACGCCGTGAGTCTTGTCAACTGGGCCATCTCCCTGCGAGGAAACATTATCCTCAGGGGTTTGGGTTTCCAGAGATCCAGTACTGGACTGAAGGTAGTGATGGGCCATAACGGACAAGTTGGGGTGTTCAATGAGGATGTTAGGTGCTACAGATCTGCTCGCAGGTGGAATAAAGTATATCGGGCCACAACCAGCTCATGGATGTGTATTTATCTTGTATGAAACGTTCAAATTGGGATCGTACTCAAGCGCCGCTGCCGGAGATCCCGTCACACTTTGCATCAACCAACACAATGATCACGATCCTACGGCCTTAGTTCGGTTGCATATCTACCCTGGGCCCACAACACCCAGTGTGGACCATGAGGGATTAAATTTGGCTTCTGTTGGTTCTCTACCTTTCCAGGGCCAAGGCTGAGAAGATGGGGCAGAGGTGAGGCCAACAACCTGTAACCGGAGGGAGGAAAAGGGAGGGGGCGCAAGATCGTTGGTCTAATCTCGGTCCTTGATTCTAAATCCAGCTATGGGTCACACCTCGACAAGAGCAGCACAGAAGGTCATACTTGTCCACCAAGTCGCAAATTTGACCCCATCGCTCAAGATTTTCCAAGCGCAACCTAGCGTTTTCAGCCAGAATTAGATTCAGGTCGTCAACCATCCTGTTCCGAGCAGAAACAACTCCCCTCCCCTCTCTCAGCTCCTGTAACTCAGTGGCCATGGATTTGTAGGCATGTGCAAGAGAGAGGTGTTTCTCCGACAGAGAGTCAAGTTTCTTTAACAGGGTGTCAATGAGAGGGTTCCCGGTGCACCATATTGCCAAATCATGCTTGAGAGAGTCGATGTCCCGCTATCAACGGTCAGCGTGTGGGTTGGACGTGTTTCATGCTGACCTACCAGTATGTGAATAGATGAAGGGTCTAAGAGGCTGGCACCTAGTTGTTCATCCGGTGAATGCCGTTGAGGATGCCATCGGCTCGAGACGGCAAGTTCCTGCATGCGATGCAGAAACTTGCGTCCTGGGGATTTCGTGTGATCTTTTTCCGACATTGGAAAAGCAGGAAGGAGGCTCTGTTTCCCGAGGCGTTCTTGTTGGGAACTGGTGCACAGTCACGAACAGACCTAGGGTGGTATTTTATTTTGGATGCCTGAACACACAAGAGAACCAACACGCAACACTCTGGCCAATCAGAACCTATACCATTCCCTCGGGACGAGGTCAAGGAGTCATGCATAGGTAGGTGGCCGGCATGACGAATTCCACCCTCCCCGGGGGGACGAAAACGATAGTTATGCCATAGGCAGTTAGCGGACCCACCTTTAAATCTTGGCCTCCTCAACTCCAACATCACTTTAGAAAACGCATCTCGCTCATTTTAAGGAACACAAAGAGTACCGGGTTGGGCCTTAAATAGTGCTTGGGCAAGGCCTACCGGCCACTCGCTACGCTCAACCCTTCGCCCCAGCCGGCCCTTTCTTAATTTAATTTCCAGCCTGGGAGAGTGAATTCAATTCGACTGAGATGTCAAGTTTTTAGGTGGAGCCGCTTTTCCGTTTTCGGCATAACTATCGTTTTCGTCGGCCCAGGGAGGGTGGAATTCGTCGTCCCGGTAGGTGGCTTTTGATGTGGAGTATACTAGCAGTGCCCAAAACAAAAGGAAGATTCCCGTTGGACCGCTTGTTGGCTCAATAGTGTGCTGCATGGACTTGACTCGCGCCGTCCCCACATGTTCACAAGCCTACGTATACCCACACTACGCGGCTCTGCGCGATTCTGTTCCGCCAACCGGGGTGTCATGCAATCTCACTCATCCGCTTCTCGCCACGGTGACAAGAGGCTGGGCTGGGATGGCTGGGAACGGCGTGCTCCAGGCCGAATGGAGCCCCGCGGAGTCTGGGGAGTGGATCCGGGGGCCAACCGACTCATTGCCGTTCCATCCGCATCACAGCCAAGGGGATGGGCATTGTGATCGACCTGCGAGTGTTCCCGGGAGGCTCTTGCTCCCTCGAAAAGAGCACTTGAGGTCTCTGTGCTTGGCTGCCGAATCAAGAAGGGGGGCGTGGAAAGCTCTGCAGAGGTCTCCCAGCTTACAGCGTCCTTCCTCTCACGAATCTTACTGGATGTGACTTTGTGTTGAATCGGCTAATTACTGGCAGTGGTAACCCCAGAGCAAAGCATTGGTGTGCTTGTGAGTTGTAAGTTGGTGCAATCCTATTCTTGTAGCTGGGGAGTGCCCATCCCAAGCTGCACCGACACTGGCGTTCTCAAATAGAATCCCTGGAGCTATTTATATCGCGGATTCTTCTTGTTACTGGAGACCGTTATCTCCCATGATAAAAGGAGACAGAGTCACAGCCTTTATGTGCTACTTCATTTAGATTGATTCTCTCAACCCAAACCAACAGAAGCCTAGCCAATCTCCCAGCCATCATGTCCACAGGATTACATACGCTTCCTCCACTCCGCCCGTCTCATGAATCCTATCGCACTGAAGATGCAGCAGCATTTTTCAGAGAGACCGCAGCTCAGTGGTACAGAGCCTACCTCAATGAGGTTCATCATCGCCCTATTGAGACTGGACGCGTGATTCAAGATTTGAACGTTCGACTGAATCGGCTGGAAAACATTCTCTTCTGTATCCTGAAGGAGATAGTAAGAATCATTTGGATCTATTATTATGCAAAGATTACTAACGAGATATAGGGGCACCTGCGCGGCACAACGGAAACGGATGTCAGGCCGGGGCCCAGTGAGCAGGAGGAGGAGTATGACCCTGATAACTGTACTGTATTTGAAGATATAGATGAGGAGGTCTTGTCAGATTGAGATGGGTCCGGTGGTGCTGGCCGGCCTGAAATTATCTACCGCCTTATTTAAGGAATTAAAATGCTTGTTCTTCGCCACATTTTCCGCAACCATTTACCTGTGAACTGGAATATATAGGTATCGTGTGATTTCCAAGAGAATCTTGTGCCACGAAACATGTCCCATTTCCAACTTCCATGCTCCTTACAATTCTATACCAACACCATGTCATCCAGTAGTGTGCCACCAGCCAAGGCCATTTGTGCCACCGAGGCGACCATTCTGCAGCTCGCTTATTATTGGCGTCAGCGTCATGGCCCAAGTGAAAATCCATTCGAGACTGCTATCCAGTCCATGCTCAAGTCTGGGAACGTTATTACTAGTGACACCATTCCACCGTATCATAGCAACTTTGGGGTAGCGCATGCTATTACTGACTTCTTGGGCCGTGATATTCATTCCTTCAATCAAGTTAGACGTCAGCTACAGGCCATGATAGAAATATGGGATTTTATTACGGAACAGAAAAAGTCATATGATGGCCTGAAATGGCTGCCGATGTTAGGTAATTGGCAGCTGATGGAAGATTTCCTCCTGTGCGGTCGGGTGATTTCAACAAGAGCAAGCATAATCCCGGAACCAGAGGTCTTGTCGACTATTGATCTCGACGACAAAGAATTGGTTCCCTCGCTTAGACGACCTTTCCTACCCAAATCGGCAACGTCGATGGATTTGATGGATATTGACTCCGTCGTGGATCACGATCCTGGATTAGTGACTCACCAGGTACAAACCACACAAAAAGTGGGAGGTGTCCAAGGCAGTGTAGGATCCCGCGGAAACCGCAAGCGGAAATTCAGCGAAGTGGAGCTGGGCGACTGCCCTGAGCGCCCTGAACGCAGGGTGACAGGGCGAAAGCAGGCAAAGGCACGGGGCGAGGTCGGAGAAACGTCGTGATTAGCCCTGGGCCCCACTGGCAGTGTTTTGCAGTCTCGTTTTGAATGTCAACATAGTAACTTCTGATTTGTTCCTTCCAACACGCTCATGCATGTGTGTAGCATAAGAGAGTCCATGTACTCAAGCAGGTTGAGCCTTCAGGTCCTGCAGTCACTAGAGACCACGAGAAGAGCGCGCTCATCAAAATTGAGACCAGAGGCTTGAATTGGATGAGATTCTCCAAATGCTTGAACATTTGCTGATACAAGGGATATATTACAAAAGACCTTCAACCCAATGAGACATCTCCTTCAAGCCTATTATTTCCAGTCAATAGTGATAGGAATCTCCCCTGTCGCGGATAGACCCCCAGCATTCCTGTATGTGCATTCCTCCACGGCTACTTCGCTGTATTCGGAATTTGCGGGAGTGATTCCTCTGAATGGTGCCTGTCTTATCGTTAGATCATGTTCAACGAACGCTCTTGGAAACCAACGGGGCCTTTACAATGCGGTCGATGGTGCCATTAAGCCTGACGTTCTCATGGAGAACCTCACGAGCCGCCTTGTCGACAGCGGATAGCTGTACTTGCACATGGTGGAGGTCAGATTGAGCTTCAGCGTGTGCATCCTGCCATGTCTTGCAGTCGGCCTGAGACTCCCTCAGCATGGACTTGGTTGATTGATGAAGTACAATCTCCCGATGAAGAAGTCTTTCCAGGTCGACAGCGGACAGCTGTACTTGCACATTGTGGAGGTCAGATTGAGCGTCAGCGTATACATGCTGCCACGTCTTGCAGTAGGCCTGAGATTCCCTCAGCATGGACTGGGTTGATTGATGAAGTACAATCTCCCGAAAAAGGAGTCTTTCCAGGACGTTGATCCGGGTGGCAATGAGTGTCTCAGGCACGGTTGTTGGATAAGGGGAAGACGCGGCAGAAGAAGCGGACATTGTAGATAAAGTAATGGCAGATTGTGGAAGACTGAAAGACAGAGAGGGCTGGATGCGCCAGATCTAGAGAAGGGTCCTTTGAAGATGATGCTGGATGCTGGGGCGAGCTGCAAGTAGATGAGCTGCGGTCGCACATATTTATCACAAAATGCAACCCATATCTCTGCAATACGGAGTCATGGCCGAAGAGTCCCGATATGCTCAACCAACGCCCGAGGCCTGTCCCGGCGTATCGGCGCAGAGCCCGCAGAGCCCGCAGAGCCCGCAACGCCCGCCCGCGGAGCCGCGGTTGGTAAGAGGCGCAACTGACGATGCAGGGTATATTTCTGGTGATGGGGTGGAGCGGATCCTAATCTAATAAACGCCCCAACTCATGCGTCTCAGTCCACCAACCTGCATGGCAAAGAAGACCCGTGATTCACAATCTCCCAAAAACAAAGCAAGCGTGCAACAGGAAATGGCCTAGTTCAACGCGATGCAGAACGCATCACACTTCTAGGGTAGCCGTTGACCCACGACACTGACTCGTGACCGAGACACACTCCAACGACCAACGAAATGGTATCGTGATCACCAGTGTTGCAAAGGCCTCACCAACACTACGCGCTCTAATTTTATCAGCTGCAAGAGGAACAACCAATGTTGTGGACCCGTCATGCAGTGCTACCCTTTGCATGGGCAGAAATAAACCATGTACGTTCATCACAGCTAACAATACGAGGGCTTGGACAAACCACCGCAATCCTATGAACACAAGCACACAAGATGCTGGTAGGTTCTAAGAAGAAGACCTAGCATAAAGTGCATAAAATTGTGTGATTGCAGTCATGATCCTGGACACAGACCTGAACCCACTACCCATGGTCATGTTGGCGTTGGGGTGCTGAGGCGCAGAAGAGCCCTCGAACCTGCCCAGGTGGGCATCATCCTCCACTCATTCCTCCAAGTCTTTCATCAAGTCGATCAAGATTTTCTGACAAGGTTTCAAAGCCGCCCCAGGCCGACTCCCAATTATAGCATCAACAGCGTGATCCATCCCGGGCGCGCCGGTGGTCTGTACTCGTTGGCTGCATTGTCCAAGTTGCGGGCTCCGTATCTGATCCCTCGCGGAACTCTCGGTGGCCATCGTCAAGTTCGCTGCTGTATCTTGCCGTGTTGGCCCAGCCGATGATGCCAGATGCAGATTCCTCAATTGCCTTTTCAAGTCGTTGTCAAGGACGACACAGCATTGTAAATCTAGGAACCCTTCTTAAATCCCGCACACTGTTCGTCAAGCTCGGTTCCTAGAGCGTAAGCCCTTCAAAGTCCTGTGGAAGCGCTCACGCGGGCATCTGGCCTATCACTGGCAGGGCCTACCGTAGTATCACACAAGTTCCCGGTCACTGGGTAATTCCAGGTCTTCAATACTTCATGGACGTTCCTTGGATATAGTCGCCGTCGCTGTCTCTGTACCAGGAGAAGAGTCCTTCGAAAGTTTTGAGACCTTGCGGTTCTGCAATACGTCAGCGTCACCGTATCTAGGCATGAATCAAAGCACTTCACAAACCGCTCTTCCAGATCAAGACCGCGGCTGGGTATGCCCTGGGCCCCAGAACCACCAGTTGCCCGGTGTTGGCTCAAAAAGCCTTCCCTCCAGCGTCCCCGCCTGCTGTCTTCGCCTCGATGTGAATAAGACTGCACCACAGACAAGCCTCTCCATCTCAAGGCACCAGCCGGGGACACCCAAGCCGTTCGACGCAGGAGGCAGCCCATCCGCGCTCGGTCTTGAGAAACATCATGAGTTGCTTCCTCCGACGCAGATCCGAAGTCATGTGGAAATCAAGGACAGCAGGCTGTGCCACCCGTCTGACCCACCGCAGTGACGCTGAGGCTGAATATTTAAGGGGCATGACGGCCTCTCGGATCTCTGTTTGAGCATCTTCCCTTTTTCATTTCTCTCCACCGGATCTCAGAAAGCCGCAGAGCCACAGCTATGGGCATACTCTACGCTTCAACCTTCACAGAAGCGCCTCTCTATGATGCGGATGCTGTCAGTATCATGGACAGTTCCCAGCCAGCCACGACTCCCTCAATCATCCACGTGGACAACGTGGATGGTGATGACCATCCTCCTTGCCGCTCAAGCGACGCAGAATTCGACCTGGCGTCAGTTGAATATGGCCTCTGGCTGCCGGACCGACACGACCGCTTCTTGTCAGAGGTGATCGCTATGAGTCACGATGAGCTCCTGGCTCTCGCTTTAGCGGAGATGACCCCTGAGAAGGGCACGGAGGCGAATCCAATTGACCTCACCGAAGACATTGCGAAGCTCATACCAGACGGTCTGGGAAGCCTCTCGTGCGCCACGCTTGATAGCGGCAACTCTTGTCACTGCTCAAACCTCCCCACCACGGCTGGAAAACAGCAGGCCCAACTATACCGACCGCCGTCGACCGACTCACTATTTTCGCCACCGAGCCTGCGAGCCTCGCCTGGTTCTCCAATCCCACAGGGGAAAAAACGCAAGGCTTGCTCAGTCAATTTTTCCAGGACGTCAAAACGCGCCAAGGCAAAACAGTCGAGCGCCATGCGGCCACACGCTGCGTCTGCTCGCCCATCAGCTCGTTATTTGCACGAAGAGAAGGTGTTCTTGCGATTGGAGAAGATTTTCGTGACTTTCGGAACGCAAAGAGACGAGTGTCACTGGAAGAAGAGGCTGGCGTCATGGTCATCGGGTTCTGATAACTTTGCGGACATCCGTTGGATGTTCGAGGAACACAGCGACGCTGTGTCGGTTCAAGTTCGACCCGATGGTGTCGGGCACCTGGTGGAATTGGCATGGGAAGGCGAGGGCCAATGTTTTATCGGCAAAACTTTGGACGAAAAGTGGATCGAGGTATCAAGTGAAGTGATGTTGGCTATGCACGACAACCCTCTTGACGGCCAGTTTGTGGGGAGCCGTTGGGATTGGAGGCGGTCTGGGAAGTGTGCTCGAAATGGAGATTAGCAGGGGCAGTCATGTTTCAAGCCTGATCAATCATGACTCTCAGACATTGTGGGTGGATTGGTAGTTGGGAAAGACTATGGTACAGTGAAGTGGTACTTTGGACTCCAGGAAGTGAGGAGGGGGAGGAGGAGGTGGGTTCTTGTGCATTTTATTCCTTGAATTAGCATAGCAATGCCAACAAGAGGTGTGTCATTCCTTATTTCTTAATTCTGGTGTGGCAATGGGCCGGTTTTTGTGGCCTTATTCAGTGCCCTATAATAAGCACACTTCTCCCTTAATACTCTTCTTCACATTCCATATTCATTAATGTGTTTATCTTTGATGAATTGGAAAAAGAAAGACGAAATATATAGAAGGGCATCAAACGTGCCAAAACTAAACCTAAAATGGATTCTCCTACTCCTACGGTTGTTGCAAGCCCGACTGAATCATGGTCCTCAGGCTGCAGCACTAGCTCAACTTTGATCTCCAATCAAGACAGGCGAACGGAGCATTTCTTGCTTGCAGAAGCTATTCTCAATGACGACCTCTCCCAGGTGCAGTTCCTAATTGCTGCAGGGGCGTCAGTAAGGAGGGAGAACATATGGGTCCTCTACGATGCATGCCTATTGGGAACTCGCATGCTTGGATTACTCCTTCCAAGCCACATATTAGAGTTTGGCCGCCCTCTAAGTGAGTACGGCGGAGACTCCATTTTCCATTTCGTCCTGCGCACTCCAGCTCGACGTTTTAGCGGGGGGAAAATAAATGTCGTGCAGGCACTGCTCCGCAATGGGGTCAATCCGCTTGTTCCTGATCGTCTTGGAGACACTGCGTTACACTATCTAGCCGGCTGCGACGAAGAAGAATCTTATGTCTTGTTGGAATTTTTACTGGAAGACAGTATCGCGGCAGAACAATACGAGTACATTTGCCGAATGGGGTTGAACCAACAGAACTATTTTGGAGACACCCCACTGATTGTGGCAGCGTTGTACAATCAGCCTCGCTCGGTCAATGTACTATTAACACACGGTGCTGATCAAGAGATTAAGGGGGAATTTGATATGACGGCATTGGATTTTGCAACCATCAGAGGATACACAGATATAGCTGAGCTCCTCTTACAGTGGGGAAGTTAGTAAGAGCAATTAAATCATAGAAAATGTAAATAAGTCTTATTATCAGTTATAACATTTATTTTTACTATTTATAAACATATTATTATGTAATTAAAATAATAATATTATTAAATCTAGCTGTTGCAGCTAACTTTCTAAATGCGGGATACAACATAAGCAATTCACAGTTCATGAATCAATCCAGCTACTGGCCCCTAATGTACTCTGCGCTCAGGGCAAGTACTGAGTTGGGGTTTCAAGTACCTTAATGTTTATGTCCAGACCCCGTCGATGCACAGCCATCAGTGCAACCAGACTTGCAGCTCTGAGTAGCCCGGGTCCAACGTCTTAAAGTCATACACATGGACCCACCTAGTCATCATATTCAATGCCAGCCGCAACTCTGATACGGCCTCAATGGCCCGTTTGCTAAAGAGCAGGGCTCAACGCAAAAACGGGCCGATAAGGTCAACAATGCAATCATCCGGCGAAGGCACTACTGGATCGAGTACTGCCAGCAAGCCCACGTCGAAGCCAGCAAAGCCCAACTCCGCCAACACATTTGCGAAACGCCAGTACCATGAGCCCGGTATGGGTCCCAAACGATGGAGGGATGATACTAATGGCATTAATCTTAAAAGAGATCCCGGCCATAAGCAAGGTTCCCACCATAAAGACCTTAAGTGCTGCTCGATTTGTGGAAGCTGCCTAAACAATAAGCCATTCCACCAGTGCCTTAGCTGCCAGCAAGATTCTCAGTACTGCATGATGTGCTCTGCTACCGCATCGTCTCAGCACCCAGGACACCGCTTCAAATTAGTGATACCCTGGCGTAACCAATCCACCCCTAATCTGCGTATGCCCAGTAATCAATCGCACGGGTGGCAGACGTGCATATGCAGCTAGACCGCAAACAATGAAATCATCCTGGTAGACAGACAATGTGTGACCACTCCAACCCCAATGTGGCCGGAGCACGGATGCAAGGCTTGACGAGCCTGATGTGGGGTGTGGGTGGGACGAAACTGCAGTTCGCGTTGGTTCCAAGTGACGGAAGAACTCAACAGTGCTTGCTCAGCTGCGGCATCCGGCATGGAAATGTTGATTCAATGAGACTGACGATCATGCAAGCCTCTGCCTCTTCGTCCCTGGGGCGCCGTCTACATACGCCTCATTATGCTCCCCGGCAATATCCAAGCCTTCATTAGCTTCCGTGGATGGGACTGCCGGGCCTGCATCAACATCCGTTGATACACATCTTCTTTTCTTGAGAGAACGGCCACGATCTTGTTCTCTGTCATGCCCATGGACGGTCTGGAGCAGCCAGCCTTGCCGTACCATGTCCTCGGCCCTGGCTGGGTCTTTGATCACAACAGCGCCGAGGCGCCAGTATGTGCGCCTATCTGTAGGCTCACATTGTGCGTCGGGGTCGTCATTCCCACTCTGCTCCCCCTCGTCACTACTTTCTTCCTCGTCGTCGCTCAAATCGATAGGCTGAAGAAGCCATCCCTGTTTTGTCAGCGCCTCGGCCTGGGCCCCGTTGTTGATGACCTCGGTCCCACACCACCACAGCTGCTGTTCCCCCGCACGCTGCCTACGCCTTCGGCTGAGTGCACGCCGTACTATCTTTGACGACACGTCCTCTTCACTCATTAGCTCGAGAAGCCAGCCCTTCCGCATCAGAGCCTCTGCGTCGGCCGCGTTGTCGATCACCTCGTTCCCCAGCCACCACAATGCACACTTTTCCGGGCCTGGTTCACTAGACGGGGGGGAAGGCGGGTGTTCGCGAGCATTTTCTGTCTTGTATGTAGGGTGATAAGATTCTGGTTCTAGGTCGCAGATCGGGCTCAGGGTCTGCAGATCGGACTGTAGGTTCCGCTCCTCAGGGCTTGCTGGCCGGGGCGGGCGCTGCGGGTTTGAGAATGGAGCTGGCGCTTGCGGGGTTGTTTGCTGTAGGTTCTGTCCGCTGTCGATGCTGCCGCCGAGAGGTATGCGTGGCACAGGTGTCAAGACCAGCGTCTTCGGGTCAGGTTCCTGAACTAGCCAACACGACCGCATATTTTCCAGGCAACACATGTCCCAGTGATGCCGCAAGGCCTTCGAGTCGATATTTGCCGGTAGATGTGCCAGCTGGCCGTGATACTGGGTCAGAATATCGTAGTCGGCGAAGGCTCGTATGCGCCGTGTTTCGGGGTGAATGGAGATGATTCGATCGTCAAAGCACTTGTGAAGGTGGCTGAGCATAGGCAACCCGTTCGAGAATCTTTTATACGTCAGCGGCGCGTTGGGTACTTGATGATATAAAGCATAGCACTTACGTCCACGTCCGCTGCCACACTTGCTTCATTTCTATGGGATTATTGATATCTGCCACCCTCATCTCATCGTCAAAAGGGTAAGTATGCCAGTGGAGATGCGGAACCACATGAGCGGCCTCGACACCTGGGCCGGCTACGCCGCCGGGTAGCCAAGACTTACCCATCCCACTAAAGGCACATATATACCCATTCGCGAGGACGTTTGACCGGAATGCATTGATACGGGGACGCGCTTCTTCGAAAGAGATGATAGACGCCGGTACCTCATCGTCTGCGGTAGTCGCCCTCCCAGGCGACGCACTGGTCGTATTCGATATCGAGGCAGTTGCAGAGGAGCTATTGCGTCGCTTTGTGCCAGCGATCTTTCGCAGCGGGACAGTCGGGATTCGAGGGTCTGTAAACTTTTTGCCGATGTCGAGGTACCGTGGGTCGTAACGTTGTCTGGGTAGATCGGCGCGGCGAATGCACGAGTCTGAAGCCTGTCATGTCAGTCTTGCGAAGCGCGAAGGAGGTGGGAGATGATGCCCTACCTCCGAGGGAATGTGTGCTTTCCCCGGCACACTGGGTGTGCTGGTGGAAGACGAAGTCGTACTGTTGCGCGTCCTTCGATCTTGGGGTTGGGAATAGAGTCTGGTCTTGCTGATCTAGGACGAGCAGTACTTGGTTGGGGCCAGTAGCCGCGTCGCGCAGGAGCAGCGCCGGCTGCCACGATTCGGCATCGGGGCGATTGAAGACGAGACAGAGGTGAATCTCCCGCGCGACGTCGGCAATGTGTAGCATGTCATTGCGCTGATAAATTCCGGCGACAGCATCCGTACCAACCATGAACCGCACGTTCCAACTCTGCATGCGCTGGTCTTTGGTCAGCATCGTGGGTGTGCTTGGAGATCACGAACGCAGTGCACTGGAGGAAGCCCAGTGGACTGGTCGCAGGCCTAGGCGGGATCTGAGCCTTGTCACTGTGGCATGGTGCCCCGTCATGATTACATAAGCACCAGAACGGGCTGGATAAAATCTACACTCTGTAACTCCGGAAACACTTGTTGAAAGTCAATGAGTGGTGCGTTTGATACTGGAGTATCTGATACATTGTCAAGGGCCAATTTAGCAATAGTAAGCTGGCCTGCTCAACTAGTTGCGACCGCTTGAACACTGTCGGCGACGCAGTCGCCGCCTTTGTCCCCGACGCCAGCCCTGGTCTCTGACGAAAAGTCCTGACAATATTTCTGTAGACCAGCCTCGAGACTATCTCCAAGATTTTCAAGGCTCAGCATGTGTAGCAAGCCTGCTGGGCCAAGGCTGACAAGCCCCGAGTAGAGTTTCAGCGCACGACTCTCACACCTCAGTCTGCCCAAGTTTTCTCGGTGTCTGATGGACGCCTGAACTGCATTCTCGCGTGATGTCTGCAGGCTTGATATTGTGCTCTGCTGAAATCGGTCTCGCAGGTATGTCAACTCCCGCACCCTGGAAGCAGCGGTTGCCTCATTTCGGGCCGCCACCGCCGCTGCCTCCTCTCGTGTCTTCAGAATTGCTTCTTCATGCTCGTCGTCGGAACTCAGCAGGGCTCGAAGTGATGTGACAGTCTCCTGGGCCTTCAGACTAACCTTTTTTGCGGACAATAACTGAGCTTCTGCGCTCCGAACTCTTGAATCAAGACTGCCTGCGGTAGCCTCAAGATCGTCTAGTTGGCGCGTTTCATCGATTACCTGCTCGTTGGCTGACTTGAGCGCTGCAGCCTCTGATGCTCTCAAAGATCGCACCTCTATGGCAACGGACGCAGTGACACTTTGTAGTTCGGCAAGTACTTCCAGTATCGGCGCCTCAAGCTGTTGAATTCTTGTGTCCGGCCCCACAGCAGCAATCTTCTGTAGGACCTGAATGCCGCTACTATCATCTTCCGGAGCACCGACCTCAGCTAGAGAGCGCTGACGCTTGGCCGGCCGTCTTCCATCCTCAACTCGGGAGCTCGTGGTATCTTTTGATGCAAGTTGGTGATGATCCTGTTGAGGTGCTGCAGGGCGGCCTCTCTTTCGCAGTGTACCGGTCAAAGGCCGTGGGTCTTCATCTTGTGTGTCGCTCCCGCAGCCATCATCACTTAATAGTATGGGAGAAGGTCTGAATACTCTTCGGGATCGAGTGGAAGGTGGTCGATTGTTGTTCGAGGAAAACGGATGATTGCCCACTCCACCGCTTCGAGATGACTGCAGGTCTGAGTTTGAGGAGTTTTTAGGGGTAGTAGGAATGTCGAGGGACCGAGCAGTCTTGGGGTTGATCGCTTTCTGCCTTTGGGGACCTCGGTCTGTAGTACTATCTTCTGGCCATACTGAACTATCGGTATTATCAGGATCATGAATCACATCCGTGCTTTGGGGAAATCGAAGGGGGATGTCTGGCTTATGTCGCCAGTCCCTGGTTTCAGGCAGTAGTTCCGCGGATTCAGGAGATCGAGGGGCGATGGCTGGGGCGATGGCTTTCTCACGCCGAGCCAGGAGCTCAGACGGTGGGTATGCCAACGAGAAGGCTTCTTTGGCATGAACAACGTCAACTGCTTGAAGGTGAACAGCTGAGCGCTTAGGCCGCTCCTTGTGACGCGATCTGCGGTTCAACATGTGGCTAGTGAGGGAATCTCGGAGTTGTATTATATCAATGCTATCATCGACAACAGGAGAGCGAAGCACAGCAAGAGCAGAGAGTGCCTCAAGTAGTTGGAAACTCCATGGTGGTGGGTTATACCTCTCCTCCATAATCTCCCATGGCCAGCAATTTGTTTGTCTTCGAATTCTCTCAGCAGCTTTCAGCTTCCGCTTGTCCCTGAGTGTGGAAATCATGTCGTGCTATCACCGGTACGCGTGGTTGTTGCGGGACAATCGAGGGAGGGGGATGAGTGGATCAAAGAAAAACAGAACCACTCTTGGACACATCCGCACTCAAGGCCAATAACAGCAGGACCCGGCGCGCCGCCAAGATCAACCTGCAGATCCATCAGCCCAGAATAATAAGTATAAACACACCCCCAGCCGTCATGCCATTAAGTCTGCTTGATATCAGCGGGGTTTCCTGCAGGCACGGGGCTGGCTAGTAGACAAAAGATCTCATTTCAGAGCAGACAACGCTTATTAGCTTGACATTATCACCTACCATGTCGAGACCGCACGAAATGGCTTCTAAATCTAATGACCTGGTCACAGCGTAAGTTACACCACGTGTCTAGCAGTACTAACAGGGAGCCTGGCAGCACCCTCGCTATAAATCTAGGAAACAAGGCCTCCAAGCTATGTCTGTCCTGGCATGACGAAGATGGCAGAGTGCGACTACATCGCATCCCCTTCTCAGGCCCCCTGGGCCATCCAAATAGACCGGAACCCCACATTCAATCCGCATTTGATTTCTCTGCGTATGCTGGCTTGGATGAGCATGGCGAAATCGTGGTGGGCGGGGCCGCCCTGGACCTGGACAGCGGCTTTCCCATTAAGACTGCCGTGCTATACCGTGCGGTTGGCAGGAAGAGCGCTATAGCAAAGGCACCTGGCAGCTCAGATCTCCTTGCTGTGATCCACGCCGGCATTATAACAAAAGCAGGCATAGACAGCATTCTACGTTAGCACCTGGAGTTTCTCCGTTCTGCAGCCCTTAAGTCTGCAGCAGATCACGGTGTGATGATTACCAGGATAGGTTTATCATATACATGCTATATCTGTCCTCGTAAAGAGCACAACTATTTTAACCTGGTTATGGACTACTATCTTCAAATTATACGGTCCGTATTTGGGGGAAACCTGCAATACGAGCTGTGTAGTGAAGGGCAAGGCACTGGTTGCTATATTTGTCTGCCCTGTATTAATCCTCTGCTTAGCTTAAGACGAAGGTTGATTCGAGATTTGTTCCCTGATGTGGTATTTGCCAGGTCCGTGGTCTTGGTTGCAACTTTTATATGAGGAACTTTGCTAATACCCTCCAGAACATCTAGATGCTCTGGGTAGCTCTTAATGCTGCCGGAAACATAGAGAAGAGCAATTCAATTACCATACCGAGGCTGCATACAGGTCAGTCTTCCAAGATACATATCTTACTCCAAACATCTATTTATAGCTAATATGATTTTCATATCTATAGGTGCGCAGGGTGGCAGCGACTCGGTGAACAGTGCGATCAAGATAATTGTTAGGAGAAAGCTCCGCGCTATCGACCAGGATTAGCTCCGTCCTGGCGATATTGCTGCTTATGTGCAGGACTTTGAGCGACAGAAATACCGTCTGAATTATGTTGATGGGACAGATGACCAGCTTAACATCATGCTGCAGACCAAGGAGCCATCACGCACACCCCCCATACCTATAAGCGTTGCTGAAGTCAAGCGGTGTTTCCAGGAATCTTTCGGTGTATGGCAAAGGATTATCCGAATCACAAACGAGTGTGTACTTGAGCTCGGTGGTGACTTAATAGTCCTCTATTGTGGAGGCAGTCCCTGCAACCCTGGGAATCGAAGCATTATCAACACCGACATGACTAGGCTTCAATCTAGAGCACAGGCAAAAGGACGGACGATGCGTTGGAAATTCCTAGCAGAAGTAGAACTACACTGCTGGTAAGGACTATGTTGCTTCGACCAGAGTATCGAACAGAGTCAACTAGTGCTATGCTCACATTAATCAGGTCAACCGCCCAGTTAGCAGGCACTGCACTTGCTATTGAGAGCATGCCTTATCCTTTGGAGATCCTGGATGGGTTAGGCATAGGCCTATAGCAACAGGGAACCGCGAATGGCCGCCACCGGTCGTTGCTCGGGGAGGGTATAGCTGAGATTATGGTCTTCAAGGTAAGTAATTACAATGGATGATTCATAATGGTAATGAACAAGGCAGACTCAATCAGCAGACTTGACTGATTGCATTTAATTCACTCAGGGATGCCAGCGGCCCCAGCCAAGTACTATATAAGATTCCAAAGAATACGGATGCACGCCGAAGACTTCGCTTCACACTTGTCTGCGACCCGAGGTATTATAATCAAATCACTAGGCAAGCGAACCATACTGGACCTATGATCTGGGGTGGACTGTCTGTGCGGACCAGCTGCCAAGTGGTAATGTGCGCTTCAGCATAGGCAGCCAGTTTATCAACCATCTTACAACCAGCACAGTAAATGCTAAGGATGCAACCACGCAAGAATTAAATTTAGTAGTAAGCTATTGCAAAGTTATAACCAGGGGAGAAGAAGTCTGGAGAATACAGGACCCTCTTAACAAGAAATGGCATCTTATACTCAGGACAGATCCAGCAAGCAAATACCTCATCATATATAAGGCCCGACAGCTGCCTTTCTAGTATAGCAGCTGTGCTAAGGAGATTCATGGGATCGCTCGGGTGTGTGAGGACTGCGAAGAGTATAGCGTCTGCCGTATATGTTTCATGAGGGACAGCCACCAACTGAGTGGTCATGTGATCCGCAGCGTGGTAGTAGATATCTAGTGCCGAGTCTGACGGAATCAAAAAAGCAGTACTTATGGATGAGGGATAGTACTGCTAACTAGGGAGCAGTATATGCAGGGATGGTGGCTTAGCAGCTTGTCAGTGTAGTTTAAAAAATGGGAAGTGCCAGGGTAGGTTACCCTTTTAAGTAATCACAGCAGCTGGAATATACTTTTATTAACTTTTTATATTTAGTTTTTAAATATTATAAATATTAATGGAATTATTAACATAACATTTAAATTTAATAATTAACTTAATATTAATAAAATGATTTTAAATACTTTCAATAATTATATACTTAAAGCACTGTCACGGCAGGGTAGTTACTTGATAAGGCAATTAAGCTCGCTTAGGTGTGGGGCTCAGTGCTTGGCACTTATGTGGCTGCATTGTACAGCTATGTACTTCTCCGCATCTTGACAGTGCGAGAGACTGGTTTCCCGCAGCATGATGAGACTTCTGAACACTGGTTTCCAATTCCCCACAAACTATTACCCGTTTGCGTAGAGTGAGCCGGCAAGTCCTCATCTCCTACTAAACACCATTGTAGAAATCATCAATATGTCAGATACAATCTTCGTCGAGAGCCGAAGCTACGATCCTTCATCATATGCTCAGCACCTTCGTTCTCGTCAGCGATACCGACGAACACGTAAACCTGCTACAACAGCTGCAACAACATCTCGAGCGGCATCACTCCAAGCAGCGTCACCTCGAGCCACAGACGCGACACCAACGCCTACACCGGACATTTCGTTGTCCTCAAGCCAACCACGAACCCAAGAAACGACACATGAATCGCAGCTACAAACGCCCGCATCACCAGCTTCTATTGAACAACATGCGCGACCCCAAGAACAGCCCGCGACGGCGACGGCAGGCAGACCGGCATCGAGACTGGAGCCTATAAAAGCAAACTCCGCGCGTATCCGCAACCCAGGTGCCGGTACAATACGAAGATCACCAGATCACTCGTCTCAGTACGCAACCCGACACCCATCTCGACAACCGATACGAGAGCCTTCGCCTTTGAGACAAGAGCAGACACCAGCATCCTCTTCTATCTACAACGTCCCCCAGGACACTCGGACTGTACCGACGTGCGAACCAGATCACCCAGTTCCTAGCTGCGAGATAAGCTGTACACCTCGAAAACTGGGGGATGGCGACCAGAGCAAAACAAATAACAGGAGACGACGTGAAGCGATGCGCGATCGGGGCACCTCCGGCAGCGGAAAGAAGTGTGGCTTTTGCGCCAAGGAAATATCCGCTCAACATCAGTGTCGCAGCTGTGACTTCAGCCTCTGCTCGCACTGCCTCGTCAATGCTTCGATCGTCCACCCCGGCCACACCTTTGATGACTTTGCGGTCATGGTCCAAGCATCATCTGCCCTCTGCGATGCCTGCAATTCGGAGCTGGGAGACGAGCGATACGAGTGCCGATTGTGTCCTGATACATATCTCTGCCCGCTGTGCCGGTACATCCACCCTGCACATCACACTTTAACCAAGGTGTCGGCCCAGAGAACGTTTATGTGTGATACGTGTACTCAAGACCTTCCAGGTGTGCGATTCGAGTGTCAGGACTGTCCCGATACCAATTTCTGCACAACCTGCCGGTACAGCCACCCTGCTCAACACGCCTTGATTAGGAGACCCGAGCTTGCATACGAGAACGGCCGCATCATCCAGGAGATCCTTGAGGGCAGCGAGATTGATGATAGTGATGCCAACGACTGTCATGAAGGAGGTCTAGTATCTTATGATGCTGCAGCCGTACTCCAGGACCGTCCGGTGCCCACGGATGCTGATCTAGTGCCGCGACGGCAACAGCAAAGACAAGAGCAAGGCATTCGCCCTCAGGTCAAAATCACGCTCGCCATAGAAGGCCAAGTCAAAGCCGAGGAGATCGCGAAAGGGCTTATGCAGACTGCACAGCAACTATTACGCCACAAGCAGGGCCAGGGCACGATCGAGGGTACTTGGACAAATGCCGTCTCCGGGCGGGCTCTGGACTGGAGGGATGGGCCGAGTAGAGATGGCATAGGGGCTGGGGAAAGGAGTGGCGACGGCGATCATGCCAGCAACGTCGAGTCTTCAAATCCGCTGAATGACTTCGAGCTTCCTGATGCCAGCTCTAGTGACGAGTCAGAGCTGTCCATTGAGCCAACACCCGTCTCATCACGCCGTCGCTGGCTCCCAGATGACAGGAAGCAGTTGCGGAAGATGAAAAAGCAAGGCTGGAGTAACACCCGGATCGCCGGAGCGCTGGGTCGGAGCCCAGGTGCCATCTCGCAACAATGGAACAAAGAGAAGGAGCGCCGGGCAGTAAGGGACATTATCTCGTTATGATTAATTACTTGAGATTGAAGTATCAAGTAATTGATCTCCAATGTGACTAAAACTAGAATAATTACTCGGTCATGTCCAGACAGAAGGGCTTATTGTACGCCTGGATATGTACATGTTCGAGGGCTGTGATGATATGTTCCTCCGGGGCATGGGGAAAGCGGGTTTTGGTCGCTTCTAGGGCGTCTTCATCAGGAGACACACCTTCCTCCCGAAAATCAAACAACTGAATGTAAAACCATCCTGCACGGAGGAGTGATGCCTCATATGACCTCTGCTCCCACGCCGCTGGTGCCGGGCACTTCAGGCTCAGGTAGCCGTCCTGGCCTACCTGTGGCCTTGCTTGCCTCACAAGCGCAGCCTGAGTCTCTCGTAGACTGCCCAGGCTGGTCTCAACAGCGCTTAGTCTCTCTTGGACATGGACAATGTTGGAAACCTGATCCTGGAGCGACTGCACGCCGGCCCGGAACTCTGTTCTTAGCTGTTCAGCAATTGTCTTGATCTCGCCCCATGCCTCGTTGCCAGCGTGGAGGTCATCACGTAGTTGTGTATTGTCCCGTGTTATCTGTGTCCTCAAAAGTTGTATATCCTGTAGGAGAGGCTCAGCGATAACGTTAAAGTGGCCCTGGATTTTATCATTTAGTGACGCGTTGTTACCAATGACCTCTGTTCTGAGCAACTGCAGGTCCTCATGTACCGGCCTGATGTTGGTTATGATTGCACTCCGGCAGCCTTGGACATCCTCCCGCAGCTGTGTGCTGTCGCGGGTCATTGCTGTCCTTAGCCCCTGGGTCTCTGTCTGGACCGTCTCGGCCAAAGTCTCAATTCCACTCCCTAACTTGTCGAGCAGGTCCTTCGATACGCTTTCCACCTTGCGAGCTTTAGCATCCCTCGCATCAGGGCTGCTTGGGCGTTTCTTCAGATTGGACACACAACTGGACTTCCGACCTGCAAACAGGTTCCGATTCGAGGTGTGCGGGCCAGCCTTGGATGTGCTGTCGAGCCCGCTTGGTGGAGGTGGAGAAACGTGCGAGGGTAATGTTGAGCTTGGTGGCGTTGGTATACTGATAGAAGAGACACGTGGCTGTGGCTGTGGCAGATTGCCGAAGAGCTTGCGTAGGACCGCTGCCGTCTCCGGGCTGCCACTGGCGTCGCCTACGGCTTGAGGCGTGACTGCGCGGGTGGTAGGAGCCGTGCTACCGGCAAGCCTCGCGGAGTATACGCCGAACTGCGCCTCGGTGAGCACCTCGTGCACGTCCGCGCCGGGCACCAGAAGTGCCTGTAGCTGCCAATTGGTAAGTTGAAGCGCGGCGATGCTGGCTGTATCGAGAAGTTCATCCCGCAGTTTCTCGGGTTCCTTAGTATTGCCACTCGCGCATGGGAAATCCTGGATGAGTATCTGCGCACGTCGTATGCACAGAGATAGTACGTCCTTCCTGACCCTGAAGAATGTAGGGTGTATGAAGGTCTCGTGGAAGAACTTAGCAAGTCGTGAGGAAATTTGATTAATGATATCGATGCCCCGAGGACCAAGGTTGGATTCACGTGCTAGGCTAGCCAGACGTTGATAAGCATGTGTAGCAGTAGTGTAGAGGGGGTGCTGGAGCACGCCACGGCCCTCCTCGCCAAGCTGCTGTGGCGGATGAAGCTCCATATCTTCGATATCAAGGACCATGTATGCCTCTGCTGTCGTCTTGTCCGAAGCCCAGAGGCTCTCTAGTCTGCTGAGACTCTGGAGGAAGAGGGAGCGAATGAGAAGCTGTACCTCATAGTGCGTGGCACCGCTCATCTTCCGGGCCCATGCTTCGCACCAGATCAAAAGTACGTCGCTGTCCAAGGTCCCGTTCAGCCGGTCGCTCAGCCACGCTTGGAGATCCTTTAGCTCCTTCGGTGTCGGGCAAAGGTGTCGGCGCAGGTCGTCCCGGGCCGGATCCGGGCTCTCATGAGCCTCTGAACTCGTCGTGCTGCTGGTGGTGCCGCCGTCTTTTTGACCACTTGTGCTGCCGTCCGGGCAGTCCTTGTCGACGTGGCTTGCGCTAGCCTCTCGGGAGTCATCTTCGATCAGATCAAATACGCCGTCAGTCTGAGGCGCAGTGATGTCCTCTTCGGGGTCGGAAGGCTCCCCTTCCACATTGACACCCTGCGCCCAAGGTCCGAGCTGTTGCAGGAACGGCCGCATGTCTTTCCTCCACTTGATAAAGTCTTGTCCGAACAGCGCCGTATAGTCCATGAAGTGGGGGACCTCCGTGTTGACGAGGTTTTCCTCGGGGAGAAAGACTTCGTGCAAATTGGTCGCATTTATGCCCTTCCAGTAGCCTTCCTGAACATCCAGAGTCTCCTGCGCATAATCCAGCATCCAACCAATCTGTAACTGCTCGACACGCTCCTTGAATTTCATGTCAGGGTGTGCTATCGTGAGGAGGGCGAGTATGCCTGCCGGCGATAGCAGAAATGGAGCCTTCCAGGGATGCCTCTGCCTGCCTCTGTCTTCGCCAGTCTCGGCCGTCTCTTGGGCGGATGACATAGCCGCCCGCCAGTCCTCACCACGCTGCATCCACGCCTCAAGCTGGTCGAAGTTGATGTGCGCATCCCGCGTTAGCTTGTGCCGTGATAGCGAGGACTCGTTGACGTGGCAGAGCAGATAGCTCATGACTTCTCCCCCCCGGATGTGTGTGAACCGCCCAGTCAGGCCCTGCGGGTGAAAGTCACGCAGGAACAGATAGAGCTTTCCGAACATCTTCCCCTGGACCTTGTCTTTGTGGTTGGAGACAGCCAGCGCAAGAGCCATAAACCAATCGTGGTCCTTACGGGCCTTCATGATTCGTTTGTCTAAGGCCCTGGGCAGAATCGACTCGCCGCGGAGCAGGGGCAGCCACTCGGTCTGCACTGGTGAGCCTTGTGAATCCATTATACGTGAGGAGCTGGAATGCAAATCAGTCATGTATTGACATGGGCTCATATCCTGCCACGCTGCAGGTGTGGGCAGTGGTAGGTGCTGGGAAGGGTTAGCCACCTGCATGTGTGCTTGCTTCGAGTAAGGGTTTAATACTCCACCAACTGTACACCCGCGGGAGATCTTCCCCGCTCGCTACTTGACAATTGACGTGACCGAGTCGGCCGCTTCTCTTACAAGCGCAGGGCGGTCCTGGGAACCGTAGGACCATGGTCGCGGGCGTTGTATGCTGGTCGCAAGATCCGTCCAAATGAACTGGGGAGCCGGCCTGCACAACGCGCTCGCCAAGTCTAGTGCAGGGTCGTGATGCACTTGGAGCTTGGCTGCTCGGGTCCTTCTATCTGTCTCAAACGAAGTGCAGCCCCCCCTGTCGCTTTGGTCAGCTATCCCCCCCCCCGTACCAAAATTTGGCTGTGAACGCGGAATACATACCAAGATTCTCATAAATAACCTTATCAACGTTACTACGCACCTAATTCGGCAAAAGAAAGGTTATCATAATCTTATTTTATATATATCTTTAAAATAATTAAAAGTAGCAAAATTAACTTAAGTTTATTATATAAGAAAGTATATGCTTTATTAGCCTTAGCTTAAGGTAATTATAACTTACTTAAATTAACAAGGGATTTATTTTAATAACCCTTAAAAAGCAAAAGCTTAATTATTATAATTATATATTTATTTATAATATTAAGTTATTTACTTTATTAATAAAATATATATTAATTAATTAATAATAATATTATATATAAAAAAGCTAATAATAAAAGTAAAAATAGCTATTATTATTATAAAATAAATAAATAATTATTTAATATATTATTTAATATATTTTTAAAAATATTAAGAAAATTACCTTTAAAGCTATCTTTAATAAAAATAATGCTTTAAATAACTTAAATAAAGTTAAAAATATTTATATTAGCTAAGAAATATTAAGTATATTTAAATTATTATTATTAATTAATAATATTAAAGGTAGCAATATTAAAAAGTTAAGAAGCTATTCCTTATTAAGAAAGTTATTAAGGAAAGCATTTTTAATATTATATATAAAAGTTATTAATATATAAGCTTTTCTTATATTATTAATAAAGCAATAAAGCTTTAAGTTTAATAATAATAAATATAAGGTTTTTAATATTAATTTATTATTTAAAAATCTTTTCTTTAAAATAAAGAATTAAGTTAAAGTTAAGCTTATTAATATAAAAGGTATAATAATTAAGCTATTATAAATTTTATTTAAGGTAAGTTATTAATTATAAATAAAAATATTTTTAATTTAATTAAGTATAATAAAAAGAATTAAAAGATATTTAAAGGGAAAACTTTTTAATAATAAAATTATAAAAATACTTTTATTAATAATAATAATATTTTATTCACGTAAAGCTACAATATATATATATATATATATATATAAAGCTTGCTAATTTAGCATGCAATCTCTTTATAAATTTACCTATATTAAAAAAACCATGCCCTAAAGCTAAATAAAAACCAATACGCCTCTTAATTCCTTTAATTAAGAGCTCCTCCCTTAACCTTTCCTAAGATCTATAAAGCCTTTTTTCACTTCTTTCTCTTAATAATCCTCTTTTTTAATCCTAATCTTAATAAAGGCCGCTTTTTATAAGCAAATCCCTTGCAATTACTTAATAAGGAGTTATTACTTCCTTATTAAAAGCCATAGCTGCTTTAATATAAGATTATAAAGCTACCTTTATTAATGCAAAGCTTTTAATAAAGCTAATTAAGGCTTATAATAAAGCTTATTTATTAATTAATTTAAAAGCCCCTTATAAGAAGGCCTTATTATAAGGCATATTTTAAAGCACCGCTAGCCTAAGGTTTTAAGGGCTTAGGGCTTTCTTTAAGTGCCTATTTTTATTAACTTTAATAAGGTTTTTAAGGCCTTAAGCATAAGCCCCTTTTTTAGCTAAGGGGATTATAAGTAGGTAAGCCGTAATTTACTATAACGTAATTAAGGGAAAAATTCCTAAAAAAGGTCTTAATAGCCACGACAAGGTTTAAACCTATGCTCTTTATAAAGAAAAGCTAAATACATAATTAATGCACTACGCAGCCATACTTTTATTAAATAAAGATTCTTATTATCTTATAATTATATATATTTATAAATTAATACTTTTAATAATATAAATAATACTTTATAATATTATAATATAATTAAGTATTAAAATTTTAAAGCTTTTTTTATTAATAAGATTAATGCTTAGCTTAATAAATAATTTATTAATAAGATTAATGCTTAGCTTAATAAATAATTTATTAATAAGATTAATGCTTAGCTTAATAAATAATTTATTAATAAAATTAATGCTTAATTTAATAAATAATTTATTAATAATTAAGTGCTTAAAAAGTATTTCTTTAATAAAAAAGTTATTATTACCTTAAAGCTTTTTAAAAGGGTTAATTTAAGCTAATAAATATAAGTAATAATTAATAATAAAGCTGTTATTTAAAAGCCTTTAAAAAAGCTTTTTATTAAGTAAATAAATATTATTAAAATTAATAAAAATAATAAGAAACTTAATAATAATAATAACATTAACCTTATATATAAGCAAAAAAGCTTAAAAAAGCAATAAATAAAGAGAAAGTAATATTAATATAATACTTAACTTATTAATTAATTTTTATATCTTTAGCTTTATATATAAATACTTAATAATGCTATTATTAACGTTATTAAGGGGCTTTAAAGAGCTATTAATATTATTAACATTAATAGCTTTTTACTTAAGCAACCTTATATGCTATTATTAATTATTTATGCTTTTATTATTACCGTTATAAATACTTAATAATTAAAAGGCCCTTAATAAAAACTTATTTAAAGCCTTAAAAAATATTTTTTTATATTAATAAAAAAAAGGTAATTAATAAAGTTATAAAAAATAATAAAGCATAAAAGCATTAATTTTTAAGCCTTATGTTTAAAGAAAAACATTTAATTTAATAAATATTATAGTTTGGGCTTTGCCCATTGTAATTAATTAATAGGCTTTGGCCTTATAAGAATAGGCTTTAATGCAAGTATAAACAGGAAGCAAACCTTCTCCTTTATACTTTAAATATAAACTTTATTTAAATACCTTATAATAAATAACCTAAGGCTAGCCTATAATATATATTTAAAATCCTTTTATATTATAAACTTATAATATTATTATATAAAACTTAATATAGCAAAACTTAAAAAAAATAATAATAACTTACTAAGCTCTTTCTTATCTTAAGAAACTTTTATCTTAAGAATACTTAGCAACTTAATTAATAAAGATAAGGATTAAGTTTATAATAAATAAGAAAGCAATTAATGCTAAAAAGGCTTAATTCTTTTATATATTTAATTAATTAAAAACTTTTTATAATTAATTTTTACCTTATATTAATTTTATAAAAACGTTTAAAGAGTAGTTAAAAAGCTTTTTAAAAAAGGTTTGCCTTGCACTTAGGAACCCTTTTAAGCAAAGATATATTAAGCTTAGCTTAATCGCGTTATAATAATATTATAAAAAGGAAATAATAAAATTTCTTACTTAATTTAATTAATTAGCTTATATAATAAAGGCTTAAAATTAATTAAATAAATATAAAATATTATTAATAGCTAATGGCTTAATCTTTATAGCAAGAGCTTAACTTAATTATAAGAAATGGCTAAATATATTTAAGGCTTTTTGCTTTACCTTACGGCAATATAAGGGCGTTTTTAGCATTATAGCAAGGAAGGATAATACTTAACTTTAAAATAATAAAGTAATAAATATTAATATTATAACAATCTTAATAAGCAAAGTTAAGTATTTTATATATAGCTAACTTAGCTATTATAAGCATAATTACCTTAATTATTATAAAAGAATAAGGGTGTAACTTTTATTAATTAAAGTTAATAAAAAAAAGGAATTTATTTAAAGGGGCGTAAAATTTTTTTTTTATAAGGTAAAACTTAAAAGCGTTGCTAATTTAGCGCTAGCTTAAGCTTAAAGCGGGTTAGCTATATATTAATTAATTTAACGCTATAAAAATACTTAAAATTTAAGAAATTCTTATTAATAAAATAAATTGCTTATAATTAAGCATTAATTAATTATAAATTATATAATAAATTTATAATCCTAAGGTTTTAAATAAAAAAGCTTATATAAAAAGCTTGCATTAAAGGATTATAAAAATACCATTAATTTAATTATTAACTTATGCTTAAATAATTATCTTTTATTAGCTTATTTTAGCTAATATATTAAATTATAAGGGTTAAGATATATTAATTATAAATAATAAGCTAGGCTTTTAATATAATTAAAAGACGCTAAGGTGTAATTAAATGGCTAAATAAAAAGCAATAGTTAATTTACAATTAAATTATAATATCCTTTATTTTTTATTATATAGCTGCCCTTTAAGGCTTGCTATAAGAACTTAAAGAAAGAGGATATATTATGGTTTGGGCTTTGCCCATTGTGATTAATTAATAGGCTTTGGCCTTATAAGAATAAGCTTTAATGTGGATGCAAATGGGGAGCAAACCTTTTCCTTTGCACTTTAAATATAAACCCCATTTAAATACCTTACAATAAATAACCCAAGGCTAGCCTATAATAATAAAAAGAGCTTAAATAATGTTAAATTAATTAAAAAGCTTATAAAACTATATTTAAAGAGAAAAAAGAACTTTTTTAAGCTTTTTAAAAATAAAAAAAAAGGAGTTATTACCATTATTAATGTTAATATAAGATAAAAATTATAATTTTTAATAAATAAAAAGCCCCTTAATATTAATTAATAATATATTAATATTAAAAAGTAACTTTAAGGTATTTTTAAATAAATTTAAAATATTTAATTAATATTATTTACAGAAAAAATATAATTAATAAAATAATTAATAAAGTAATTATATATAAAAAAAGTATTTATTTAAGTATTAAAAGAGTTTATTAAGAAAATTAAATATATTTTATAATGGGCTTAGGCTATTGCCCAAGCCTTATATAGTGTAGCTAGATAATTCAAGGGAGCTTGGATTATTACATACCTTTTGGCTTAGTTAAAAGGTTGCTGCTTTTGCAGCTTATAGGAGAAGGCGCTAGCCAGCCTGCAGCCCCTCTAGGGCCAAGCCCATAATATATTTCTTATAATAAATTATTAGCTATCCCTTATTAATTATTTTAATAATACTTTTTTTATTAACTTATTTATTATTAAAAAACTTACTATAAATAACCTTATTATAACACTTTTTCCTTTTTATTAACATTAATATAATTTATTAAGTAGTGGCTAATATTAAATAATGGCCGATTTTTTTAACTTTAACTAACTTTCATTAACCTTAACACCCACTTAATGCAAAAGAATTAATTAAATTTAGCATTAATTAATGTTAATTACTTTTAATTACTTATTTTTAATTAATTTTATTAATTTAAAAGGGTTAATATAATTATAATATAATTAAGAGTTATTAAGATTTATATAAAATAGCTCCTTCTTAATATTAATTGCATTTTAATTTTTCGTATTAATCTTGCTTTAATTTATTTACTTAAACTTTTAATACATTATAAATTAACATTATATTATATATCTTTTATTAAAAAAAATAAAATCCTTTTAACCATTCAAGTAATTAATAAATTTAAAAAATCTTATTAAAAACCCTTAAATATTCCTTAAGTAATATAAATCTTTTATATTTTAAAATAAACTTTATGTTATAAGATAAAGCAATAATTATTTTATAAGAAATTATGCATTAATAAGTATAAATTTAATTAAATTAAAAAATAAATGCTTATTTAATATATTATTAAGTAAAATGCTTAAGGATTCCCTTTATAATTTTTTAAGATAAAAAATATAGCTAACCTTTTGCTAATATTATATAATATTAAACTTATTAATAAATATTAAGCTTAATGCTTTATAAACTTATAACTTAGCCTTAAAACTAAGTTTAATTATCCTTATAATTATTAAAGGGCTTTTTATAAAGATTTAAAAATTATTAAGAATTAATTTAAGTTACTTTATAATATAATGGCTAAATATTAAATCCTTAATAATAACCTTTATAACTTTAATAAAATTAACTTTATAATAAATATAATTACCTTAATAATAATAATTATATATATTAATAAATATAAAAAAGCTAAATTAATTTAGCTTAAAAATTAAAAATAAGCAATAATTATTAAATGCATTAATATAAATAAGTTATAAATTTTATTATTTATAATTATTTAAGGCGCTTATTACCTTACTAACTAAGTAATAAAGTTAAGTTTTTTAAATAATTAAGTTATTAAGCTTACTTTTAATAAATAAATAAATAATAAAATTAATTTAAAATAAATTTAGCATTTTAATAAGCATATTAAGTTAAAAAAAGATATTAATTATTAAATATTAATTATAAATAATTATAAGAATTATATATTAACTAAGTTTAATTAATATTATAAAAAATAATAAAATTATTATTATTAGCATATTGCTATATTTATCTTACTTACTTTAGCTATTAAATATTGCATTATATTTATTTTTAAAGCATATATATAATAATAAAATTAACCTTTTTATTTAAGCTTTTATTAATTATATTATTAAGTTTAAGTTTTTTCTTATATTTAAGGTAGTTTATAATAAGATTTTTATAAAGAATAATATTAAGTTTATATTTAAAGAAGCTAAAATTTCTTTTTAAAACCTTAATTTTATAATTTTTAAGCTTAATATTTACTTATAAACATTAATATAATTTCTCCTTATTTCTTTATAAAAATAAAAGTCTTAAACTTTATTAAATGCTTAATAAATTATTTAGCAATTAAGTTTTATTAAAAGCAGGATTTCCACTTATTAAGGAAGCTTCCCTATATTAATTATAAATATTATTAACTAAATAATAAAGAGTATATAAGTAATAATATATAAGCTTATTATCTTAAAGGATTAAGTTTATATTCTTAAGAAAGCTAATATAGCACTTATAAAATGCTAAAGAGCTAAAAAAACCTAAGTGCAGCTTAAAGAAGCACTTATTATTAAGGAATCTTAAGCTTTTATTTAAAAAAAATAAAAGGAAAAGCAGCTAGCTAATAAAATAAGTAATGACGCTAAGGAGTTGGTTCGCGGCAAATTAATTAAAAGACGATATAATAATTATAATAAAATTAAGCATAATATAAGAACTTATAAAAAAGATAAAAAAGGGTTTAATTAATTAAATTTTAACTATATTATAGCAAATCTAGCTTAATTAGCATTAATTAATGCAAATATATTTATTTTCGCGATTTACAGCAAACTGCATTTTTAATAGTAAAGTTAGCATTATTTAATGCAAAGTATATGTTTCTCATTAAAAGTTAACCTATTTAAATTAGCATTATAATCACGCCAACCCCTTTAAATTAATAAAATTAATTAAAAATAAGCAATTAAAAGCAGTTAGCACTAATTAATGCTAAATTTAATTAATTCTTTTACATTAAGCGGGTATTAGGGTTAACAAAAGTTGGTTAAAGTTGAAAAAATTGGCTACTATTTAATATTAGCCACTACTTAGTAAACTACGTTATTTCTTTTACTTTTCTTTTATTTATATAATATCTTTATTATTCTTTATTATTATTATTACTTTTAAATCTTTTTTTAATATATATATATAATGAAAATATTCCTTAATTACCTTTATATATTAATTAACCTTTAAAGCACTTAAATATAAAAAACTTATAAACTTTTTATTATTATTATAATTATTTATTTTATATTAATATTAATAATAAATTTATTTCTTTAAATCCTTAAAATATACCTTAATTAAGTTAAAATTAAGGGAATATAATAATAAATATATTAGCTAAACACCCCTTATCAACCTTAAAGCTTAGCTGCAACGAAGGGCGGATGCGATTAAGGCGCTTGCGGCGTATTGCTTGGTTGAAGAGCCCCTGATCACGAACATCATGCAGGCGAGAGAGCAGGGCCCGCCCGATGAGCTGCGCCTGCCCAACCATCAGGAACAAGTCAGAGTAATAAGGAACTCAGTCATCATAAACAAACGTGGTCAGAGGCTTGTAAGGTGTTTCGTCTGCGTCGGAAAGGCGTTGACATTGGCGCCAAATGACCCAAACATCCGGAAGTATTGTCATGCGTATATAACGCCAAATGAATGTACGCGACACTTCACCAATACACACCTTGCGCCGCTGCTTAAGACACCCAACGCGCCTATTAAGTGCAATATTTGCTCAGGGGTAACACTCAAGAACTTAATGCATTTTCAAAACCACTGCGAGACCGTTCACGGGATCCGGACGGCGGCTCTTACGAAGGAGAAGGGCTCATAGATACACACATATACACAAAGATGCAGCGTAATATGTCCCTAGCAAGTTGGTGTGGAGTGAATAGTTTAATGCTAGCTATTATTGTTACCAATATTCATGTTGTAGGTCATGGCAGTCGTGATAGTGGTCCTTGAATTACCCATAGCCCACAGATATGAGAAGCAACAAACATGGCCGTAACACGAGCCTGGTATCTTAATCAAAACAAAAACCAATAAAAAAGATGCCTTGTATGAACGACCCAGAGTACTAGGCCGTCATTTTTACTGGCTGCCCTGTCATCACATTGTGTAGCTCTCTCTAGCCTTCGGCCTGAGCACACCCTCCGCTCTGATCACATCCAAACCACTGTTCCAAAAATGCGTGGAATTCTGACTGGATCCAGCCTTGGATCAGTTTCAGACAGGCATGAATACTGTAAATAGCATCCAGCTTATCCGTCGAGCCTATGAATTCTGGACCAAAGAAGACCTAAGCATGGTTAGTCTCAAGTTGATTTAATATGATACAGGTTCAGGATGACTGACGATATGATCTCCTCTGTCGACTGCAAAGTACAAGCTCCATGCATGGTCAACAATGGTAATGAGTGGCAATGAGACCATTCGGCCGCGGTCTCTTGTGTCCTGCCCGAGGGTGGTGCGCCAGAGTGCATCCATCCTACGGTACCACGCTGCGGTCCAGACGCCCAGCTGGACGATAGGATCTGTGTTGCTGGGGGTGATCTTTGTCTCGATAGCACATGCGATCGGGTTCTCACGCAGCGGGCCGTAGGTGCTCTGGTTTACGCTGCCGAACTGCCGCGCATAGGTGATAGCATGTTGGAGGCGAGACGAAGGCGTGGGGACGAGGACAAGCACGAGATCGACCTTCTTAGAGCCCTTGTTGCGCAATCCTCCTCGTGTCTCGGCCATCCCACTATTGCTGCTTGAGGTCCCAGACTGGCTGGCAGAGCAGGCCAATATAGAGTTCCCATCATTCTGTGACCCGGAACCACGTTCCCCTAGCACGCTGATACGAGGGACAGAGTCAGCCGTAATCATAGCGGAAGAGACCAGCTCTGCTTCAACCTTAGGCGCCTGTGTGATATCTGTGTGATCTCTGCTGGGTTCATCTGGAGTGAGTGCAAGCTCTAACAAGGGCAGATGCACCTTGGCGTTCCACGCATCTTCGTATCTAGAAAGACTCTTGGATTTAAGAGCGTCGGATTGCAGGGACCGCAGCTTCTCGAACTCGACTTCGGCTTTTTGTTGGGCACCAGTATCGTCGCGACTTGTCCGAAACCAATGTGCCTGCATGTCGTCACCATAATACTCCTCAACCTTGTGCCGTACCTCAGCGGGAATGAATGCTTTGTGATGGAACGCGGCGGAGCGGATCGAGGTATAGAGGGAGAGGATGTCGGCTGGTAGCTGTTCTTTCACATCTCGACTGTTGGGGGTGGCTTTCACAAAGATTGGGACCTCGAGGAACTGAAGGTCGACCAATCTTTGAATGGCAATGGGTCTCGAGACCTGAATGCCGTGTTGGAGAGGGTCGGCCGCGGGTGGACGTTGATGGAGAGCGAGGATTTGGCTCTCTGTGTCAGGCTGTTGGTGTCGGTGTTGCCGCGGCGTCGTTTGTTCGGGTGATGTCTCCTCTTGCTCCTCTTGCCCCTCGTATTGCCACGCGTCTTGGCCTGGACTTAGTCGTCTGCGTTTTGCGAAGTGCTCATCGTCGATGGTCGTGGAAGGTGGCGTTGTCGTTGACATCGCGACTCTCTTCCGCACGCGATCCGGTCGGGGCTTGATAGTCGGCGTGCACGAGGGTGAAGGAGGAAGTAGAGCAAGCCAGGAGGCGATGCGTGCCTCCCGGGAGATTGAGGGCCAGGGCTCAAAGCATTTGGACATGACAGCACTACATGGCGATGATATCGTCTGTGAATGAATGGCAGATCGCGGGTACTGTGTAAACACGAAGGGGGTTGACGTAGGCTCCCGTCCCGTCGACAGTGCGTGCAACGGAATTTGTCACCGCGAAGCCAGTGCTAATAAACTGATTTCGGAGTGCTTAGAAACTGGTTTCCGGCTCGTCATTAACAGGACAGTGTCTCTCATTCCCTTCCTCACCAGGAAACCTGTGCGTCACACATGGTGGGAAGCCCTCCGTGCGGGAAGCCTGGGGAGCATGTCCTAAATGAGTAAGGAGGCGGCAGCCATGCCGTGTGCTATGTGTGGACTGTGAGGAGGTACACAGGCTGAACCAGGAAAGACTTGCAGGGGCGCGTGTGGAGACAGTGCACGGAGCACAATTTACCTCAGAGGGTAAAGCACTGAGCAAGGGGGGAATTACTAAATGAGGCAATGCTGGGACATTTCTTATATACTTAATATAATAATGATATTTTAAATAAAAAACATACAATATTATATCTTATCATTTAAATAATATCATTTTATTTCTATTCTACAGTGTAGCAGCGGGGGCGCCGTCTTAACTTCCATCTAAAATTGATCCGATAAATACCATGTATCTGGCGGGCAAATGGGTGTAAAGAGCCATCGCATACCATGACTTGAGGAATCGGGGACCGTTCCATTGTAGTTGCAATACTTCAGAAGTACCCAATACATATTGAGAGTCCAAGCCTCACCTGCCAGATCCTCCGCTGTGAGATAAGTCTTTACCTTCCGCTTGTGGGTTCTTGCTCGGACATTCTCTGCCTTATAAGTGTCCGTATAATATATTGCCAACGTAGTTGCATCTTCATTAAAGACCTTATGTATGTGTTGCACATTTGTGTACTCCAATCCTCTTGCTTGACGGCAGGTGGGTTCAATGATCCCAGATATGTTGATAGTGATCTTAGGCTCTTGAAAGTGGAGTTCAGCTAGTTCCCGGTCGTATTCATGGTACTCTTGAAGGCCATCTAAGAAGACCTGCTCGTATTCACATCGTGAGTTGCTAAAGTGGTATTGAAGATCCCCGGAGTAATCCATAGGAAGCAGGACCAGGTAAATCTCTGGCTCATCATTGTTGTTCAAAAAGGCATCTGCCTTTGGTCCAACAAGAACCGGATTGGCTCCAACCCAAACCGCTGTCTCGAGCCAGTCAAAGTTCTTGAATATCTTCCTCCATGCCTGGCTGTGTCGGACGGCTTGGTCCGGTAGAATGAAACCGGCCTCCATAGCATTTAAACGGCTTTGGGGGCTCAGATATTTGACGACATTGTCAACAAGCTCCTGTGGCATCTTCTCCATTTTGGCGATACAAATATACTAGAAGCTGGAGCAAGAAATCAATCGTGAATGGAGGTTGAGCTGATCTTCCCAAAATAACTAGGATTTAAAGAAGCGACTGTAAGCACTGTCAGAATAGAGGTTTGCAATCCAGTCTTATGAAAGCAAAAGCAGACTTTAGTCAGCATGGAAACTGCCCCATCTGAGGCCGCTGTATACACCTACTCCACAAAAGAATTGACTCCAAAAATAGACAGTGGCCCATTCTTGCAACCATCTTGGCAGCAAGGAAGAGCAGTCGAATCTAAGTTCCTTATTCCTGATTCCAAGGTGTAGAAGTTCTAGAAAATGATTGCTGTGGGCATCCTAACGACGAAGGTCTCTTTCCCCCGCTTTATTTCTTGGCGAACATTCCTGCCTGTTCTGTGTTTTGTCCTTCTGTGGCCTGCCTCTGTACTCGCCCAGTGCCATATCACCTCAAACAGAGGACCAGGAGCGCAAAGGGGTAGCTGTCATTGGGAATGGTGCTATCAGTCCTATCGATACTTGAGTAAGATACGCTATTACAAGATCTGTTGTGGCTCAACTAAGGAAACCTGTACATCGTGAAGACAATTCTACCCACCTTGCTCGCTTCTTCCTCTTTGATTTCCGGGTCAGTTCCGTCAAGGCTTCCTCAGCACTCGGTCGGGTATGAGGGTCTGGTTCCAGCATCCGTACCCAGATGTCATGGAGACAGCTCGTGATTTTCCCCTCAGAACAGATTTGTCCTAGATTCCTGACAACGGCGCCGGTATCCTCGCCATTCAATGAAGGCTTCCCAAAAGCACAGAGCCAAGAGAATGCTAGACTCCACACATCTGCCTTCTTGGGGCATGTCGTCTTCTCCGCGCCCCCGCATATCTCAGGGGCCAACCACGCCAATGACTTGAGCTTCGGAAAACGATGACCAAGGCTACAGATCGCCGCCGTGAGATCTCGTTCTCGAGTCAACCGATTTCTTGCCCAGCCGACTATCAACAAGTGACGCGGCCGGATTGCACCATGGAAGCCTTTCTTGCTGGCATGAATGTCGCGCAGCCCAAGGCCGTCACGTGCCCATATGACTCTGATGATGTGGATGGCCAAGCTGAGGGAGTCGTGGCTGGTCCGGAGGTCAGGCCCCCCGAGGTTGGAGGCAAGGACATTTTTGTTGACGCTGCAGAAGAGGACGAGGAAGCAACCCTAGGCGTTGCTGGCCATGACGACATGGAAACCATCGATATTGACAGCGTGGTCGACTTGAACAATGATGCCCAACAGGCCGTTACACTACGTTCGCACATAAGGACGTCGGCGACACGGCAGACTTACGTCCAGGTTCCATACGAGGATTATCTGCGAATGACCAAGGCCGAGCAAGCTTTGAAGACCATGGTCGGCATTGCCAAAGAGTTTTCTGGCACCCAGAGAGGCATCTCAGGAAGCAGCACGCGGGGTACCATAGCCAGGGGAATGTTGCCAAGGCCACGAAGGCGAGTCCCTGTCGATTTAGCTACCTCGATGCTGAAGATTCCGCCGCACTGCATGCCGAAGAATCTGAGCTCGAATCCTTTGGTGAGGACGGGGAGGGGTCTGATGAGCCTGACACGAGCAAGGTCGCTCTCAGGAGCAGTAAAACACCCCAGGAGGGTGGTCAAAAGCGTCGTCCATGGACCCTTACCGAGCGGCGAAGGCTGCAGAGGATGAAAGACAAGGGCTGGGACGATGAGCGGATAGGGCTTGCGCTTGACAGAAGCAGTAGCGCGGTATCTCAACAGTGGCGGAAACAGAAATGAGATCCCCAGTATTCCAGCCATCAATGATATCTGGCATCTGTTGTACCGATGCTAATCTGTTAGACCCTGGACCTGAAGCTGTATCAATTATACGTGTAATGTGTAATGAGCCCTCAATCATCCTCTTCGAGACCGAGAAACCACTGTTTCATCGAGTCATAATAAGTCCCCACAACCCAGCGCTTCATAGCCTCTAAAGACCGAAGGAGGTTGTAGATTGACGTAATCCTGTCTGTGGAGCCAAGGCTCAATGGCCCGTATACGTCGATCGACGTTCCTCGATCACAAGCGAAGAAAACATTCCACTGGTGTCCCCGAACCTGCACCAAGGGCATGGACACCAGGCATGGCTTAGGACCAGCACGGACGAGCCGTTCGCGAAGATCGTACATCCGTTTATGCCAGGCGGCCGCCCATATACCTAGCTGTGCAAAGGAGTCTCCCACACCAGCCTACTATGACGTCAGCCGTAGTCCCAGAGAAGAGGGCCGGGCATGCTTACCTCTGTTTTCATCTCGAAGGAAATAGCGATTGGGCTTTCCTTTAGTGGTTCGTACGTCGTCTGGTTGATATGCCGTCGCCAGCCGTCGTCAATGGTCCAGGAAATTGTCTTCCGCAGTTGTGCCTCGTCCGGGATGTCTAGGGCAACCACGAAGTCAACCTTAGCGCTGTGACTTCGCACCTGAGACATACTCCAGTCACTCGGAGGGTATATACACGACTCCTGGGACGTATCGGAGAGGAGTTCGGTGTCTAGTGAAACAGAACAAGCGGGCTCTAGGGGAGCATTAGGGTCGCCCCGCCGGAGGGGGATTGAATTGCCCGCGATAGTAGCAGACATGACGGGCTCGACTCTAGCCCGTGGCTCAGTCGCCTCGTTGTGCTGAGGAATGCGCCAGTCAAAGACCAATTCCAAGAGCGGTGAGTGGACGTGGATATACCACGCAGCCTCATGCCGCTTATAAGTTTGCGCCTGTGACGCCTTATCGAGAATAGAGGTCAGTGTGTTGAAGACCTCAATGGCTCGAGCTCCTTCCTCCGGGTCAGGTTCACGGAGACACCAACTCGGCACAGGTATGAGTTCGGCCATCGCACCAGACACCTCGTGCGGGATGTTTTGTCCATTTTCCATCAACAAAATTTCTTGATACAACCATTTGATATCTGGAGGGAGTTGTGCGAGCGCGTCGGCCATCTTGCGAGGGAGTTCGTACACTTGCACTGGCTTCTGCAGCTGGTCTAGAACGGACCTCGAGTCGGGCTTGGACTTTTTAGGGCTGGGCGTCCTCGGTGTCCTCTGCTTCTTGGGTGGGGGTGCCATCCGTTGGCTTGATTGTCGGAGAGGGTTCAGCTGTGTGGGAGTCTCCTCGTTGTCTGGGAAGGTGTGAAATGTCAGCACGAAGGCGTGCCCATACGCGACGGCCTAATGTCCATACCTGTGTCTCCAAGCCCCGTATTGCCCCTCTTTCGTCGTGCTTCAATCTGCGTCTGTGGCGTCTTTGGATCCTCGGGCTGGGTGGCCATTGCGTCGGGACCGGCGTCGGCGGCGTCAGTAAGAGGGGGCGTGTCAGGGGCGTCGTACGGGTAGAGGAAATCTTCGTGGGCTTCCGCGCCGAACGATTGCGCGCGCGCACGCTTGAGCAGCCGGCTCGGTTGGGATTCGGTGGGAAGCACACCGTCGTCATCAATGTCAGGCTCTGGAGGGTCCCCCAAGTCGTCCGGTGTGTCGTCCACGGACGCAAGCCAGGTTGCAACTCGGCGGCGCTTGCGATCTTGCGTAATCTGCATTAGAGGCCCGGACATTTTAGCCGTAGCTGGTTACATGATGGAAGGATTGACTTTTCGCTGCAGTGGTTATGTGGTGTTGTTGACATGAGTAGTTGAGAGGCTGTTGCGCTAGCAACCATGGGGCAGGCAGGCCCGGGTACCTCTAAAGTCTGGGAGATACAAGGGGTTGATGACTAAGTTCAGCCTGGATGAACACCAGCTCCACCTACCATATAGGGAAAATAGCCACCCGCCCCATAACGTTAAAATTATAATTATTTATAATAATTTTATTTAATTATTATGTAAGGGCTAAGAACTAAAGGATAGTTAAAAAGCTAAGCAGACAGCAGACAGATCAATAGACAGTTGATTTAAAAAACACAGTGTGGCCGAAGCCGAGCCGCTGTAAGTAGGCGGTTTTGTGGGAACAAGAAATGGGGCCCGGGGGGGGGGGGGGGAAACGACTGGCTTGAGCATGTGCAAGTGTCCAGGCTCGTCGTAATGTAGCGTATGTACATGCATCTGATTCATTGCCTCGGCTGGGCGAGCATTTTGGGCTGCACACGTCAAGTAGGATCCAATGGTTCAACCGGTTCAACTTACCTCCATTCTGATGTGGAAGTTTGGGAGGCGGGGTGAGGCTAATACTCTGCAGTGGATGGTGGTCTAAACCGACTTATCGTAGGCCAGCCACTGCAGGGGACCGGGGCACATGCAGGTATTTGGACAATATGTGAGTAGAGGAGACAACCAGGGCTCACCCCGTTAACCTGCCCAATCAATCTACGCCCCGATAACGACAAGGCTTGACACACCCGGGTGCTATCCGATTCGTTACCTGATAGCCACATCTTTCAATGACATTGGACACAGCGTGTAATTGAACAAAAGCACAAAAGTCATAGCAGGTACCTAGATACCTGGGTCTCCTGACAGCACGCTTTTCATCCAAATGCTGCCGGAGCGGCAGAATGAAGGAATCAACCCTTGGGGTACATGATTTGGAATCTGCCTTCCGTTGTTGGCGTCGTATCATATGCTCCCAATTTGTCGCACATGGTTGGAGATTGGAACAACTGCCTGCGAGCCCATCGGTTGCCTTGTAACCAGGTGCCAACACCACTGGAGCAGAGCTCCACCTACCACACTCCTCCCAGATGTCCTCTCACTTGAAAACGGTTATCTCTTTCGATGGTCAGGAACCACGAGTGTTCTTATCTGTGCACCATGCTGCCACTTGGTACACTCGGTAATTACATATTATATAACGTAGCTGCATCCACAAATTAGAAGACTGCGAAACCTGAGGACGAGAACTTGCATACCTCATCGTGTTCGCACGTTGCCCCAGGGACAATGAAGGAAGTGGTGGACGCGGACGAAGCGGATGATAAAACAAGGCGGGTAAGGCAGACACTCAATTGATATATTCCATGGCTCATAGCTTCCAGGGTCAGCATGTTCCTCACTGACCGGTCAGGGCGCTGGGAGACGATTTCACACCCTAGTATCTATTTTAGGACTCCAATCGTACACACGAGAGGAGCTGCTCAGGTGGCCGCCACAGATGAAAGTGGTGCTGGCCAATGCCGTCCATGGAAGGTACTTCCAGCAGGCACAATGCATGTACACATACTAGTCCAAATATCGCAAATAACTCATGGCGATGTTGCTTGGCTTGCAGGTAGAAGCAACAGGGTTGATTTGCAAGGGCTGTATGGAAAGTATTCGGCAAACCTGGCCGAGACCATCAGTGCCGTATCCGGAACCCCTCAAAGCCCAGTTGGTGAGAGATGTCACTTGGGCAGCAAATTCTGGGCATTGCCAACCTTTCTGCGGTTGGGTAATAAAACTACGTCCAGATCATCCTGTTGCTGCCTGTACCAGTGTGGCCACCTGATATCCTGGTGAACCCGCTTCCTTCTTCTCCCTTCCATCCCGAAATGGCTAACGAGTCAACAAGACTGCTGTCGGATTCAAGGTCAAGGGTGCCTAAAACGCACAGAGCCGACTCCACCCCTGATCTTGTCTCCGCAGCCTCGTGTGTTGTGCTCAAACTTTTCTCTTACTGGCTCAGGCACCGGCTCTCCTTCCATCAACCAAGCCAAAACTCCTTCATCCTCATTCTTGTCTTGTCCGAGGTCACCAATCGCGCGGTGCCAGTCTTTTGGTGCGAGATCAACTTATCCTTCGAGGCAGTAGTATTCAACAAGGCCCACGCTGTTTTCAACGACCCTGAGCGATCAAACGATGCTAAACAAGCAGCAGTCAAGGCGAACCGTAAAGCCTCGTCCATTCCCGATGTCCTGCAGGCATTTTTTGAACTCTCTATCGATCAGTCTATCACAAGCTTTACAGTGTTTTCAAAAGCAGGTTGCAGTCGTCTAATGGCAGTTGGAGCTTCTGTGGCGATGTTGTGTTTCCCTTTTCTCCTTCAGCTAAGGTCAAAAGGGCTTGTTTCTGAAGTGTCAGCATGTCGGCGTCAGAAAGAGACTCAACTGTAAGTAAATGGGCTCTTACACCATGGAGGTAGCTAATAATGGAAAGATGTACAGTAAATCCGCAAACGGCCTTCTCACGCTATGCCAACCTCTTGCGTGCACAAGTTCAATTCGACTTCCTACGTCGTTCCGTCGTTGTCATCACTTTCGGCATGCTCCTCTTCATCGCGAAACCCAGCGACCCGATGTGCTTCGGGATTGTCCTTCCCTTGATCCTCCACCCAGACGAAAAGTTCGTCAAGCTGTGGAAGGGGCTAGCCGATGCTGAGCCCTCTTGGGACCTCCTACAAACCCAGGACCATCATTCCGACAACGAGACTGCACACGGCTCAACACTTTGCCCTCCCCCCAGAGTATCACGACGGACAAGGCTATCTGACTTATATGGTAACTGGATGGAGGGCGCTAGATACAAGCTTAAGATTATGACAGAACCTGAAGGCATATTACGTCGGGATGATTCTGCTGCAAGCGATCCAGAGAGAGGGAAACTGTCCAGTGTCGTGGTTCACGGAAGTGGCTCCCATGGGATTGAGTAGGGATTAGAACATCTTTGGGACGTTGGATACAGTTTGAAGAGTATCATTGCATGAGATATCTAAATGGACAGAGCGCTCATTGAAACCATCTCAAGTTGTCTAAGCCAATGCTCTCGCCATTATTTCCCTTCGTGCATTCTTCCTGTACAGGTCCACAGCCCTCGCAGAAGCTTCATCACAGTTGCTCAAAGATGGCTGCGGGAAAATATGGGCGCCTAGAACGCATCAGAAAATGTCATTATCAACAGGAGAGTCCACCACCACATACTCTCTTCTTCGTCTCCTTTACAAGTGAACAGAAATGGTTTTGTTGGGTCGGCATCGCCGCTCCTGCAGGTGCTTTTGATAGTGATGATTCGTCTGACAAAGGACTTGCCATCCCCGAGGGCCTGATTCGACACCGGGAAAGGGCCACAAGATGACTTGCTTGACACACTGCAGCAGACACGGCTCGGTAGGAAGAGATGACAACTTGCAGTTACACAGCGGACACAGCACTTGAGCTCGTTCGAGAAACAAGGCTTGGTGTTACACAGCAGACCAGGCAAGCTAAAAAGAAGTCTTGATTGTTCTGGAAGTGAACATCTTTTCGAATCACGCTTGGAATCTGTGTATTTCCATTGAACCTCAACCTGGGAAACTTCCTTCACTATTCAGTGTGTTGGCCCGGCCTATTTGCTCCCACATCAATGGAACACTGCAGCAAGACTGGTGCTCGGTCACACTGCAGTTCACAGGAAAGGGGAGGGGGGAGGCGGGTTTCCTCTCTGGTTGCACCGCTTTTCAACCCTTGTCATGTTTGACCTACAGGGGAGTAGGTTAGCTTCATGCAGGCAATTCTGTGGCTGAGGGACTCATGGGTGGGTGTACCCAGGTGTGACGACCCAGAGGTAGTTGTTTTTGCTACATCCAAAAGTCCACTCCAGGCTTTCAAGAAACACCAGAAATTCAGGTCTTGGCGACAGAGACTTCACTTGCCCAATGCCCGTCTCGCGGAGTCGATTTCATCTGAAACTTTGTCACAGTTCTGTTCAATAGCATTGACTTGTTCCTTGATTTTTTTGGCTTCCTTTCCATGCTCTGAAAGAAGTTTCTTAGCCCTAGAGTCGATGTTAGCGACGAGTGGCTCTTGAGATATCTGCGTCACTCACGTTTCGTTGGTGCTCTTGACTGTTGTTACGATGTCGGCTATTTCATCCCATGACATCCTTTTGGCTACTTCTGCTCGGTCCGAGGTGTCCATGTTTCCAGGTAGTGAACGATGTAAGTTGGTGACTTTCAGGGGCAGTCTTGAGAATGGACCTTTTGACAGGATACGATCTCAAAATGACATTGAACCTTCGTGTCCAACCCACATCCAACTCAGAATCCAGTAAAGATTCCAAGCAAGCAAGTTTTAAAGACTCTGCCTGGGCATTACGAAACCTCCGTGTAATTTTAACAAGTGATACGAGGGGTCCTAATTCGTGATCTACACGACCAGCGTTAGCTTGCATCTTTCTTAACAGCCCCAGGTGAGGCCAGGAGTTGTTCGCTCCTTCAGGATGGCAGAAGTTCGGAGAGAAAGTGGCAGCGGTCAGAATGCCCGCTGGTCTCCTGTTTCGGAATCTCTTCCGGTACATTCACCGGTACATTGGTTTAATCTTCCTCTCTGTTCAGGAGACACACTCCGGGGAACTTTCCGGCTTCCACTTGTGTCATGGTGCAGGTGTACCGGCAGGGACCCCTTTTCTGGTTAGAAGCTGTAGCGAATTTATTTAGGCCAAAGCAATCACAATGACTTGGCCGAGTCCCCCACCACCGCACTCACCCCTGATAGGTACATCTGTAGGTCTCGGTGCAAGAGCATCTGTGGAAAGTCTAAGCGGATGTGAGCGAGACCAGGGGCACCGCCATCAGTGTCTCAGTGCCTCGGTCAGCACCAGTCCCCTTCAAGGTAACATTACAGCTCGTTGATCGAGATGCCTGCAGCATCGGCAGTTTCCCTTGCATGCTCGTGGTAATGTCCTGTGGTGATTTGCTTGATGTTCCGACTCGGTATGCTGAAGTGTACTTCACCTTGGCCGTTGTTTGCCCCATGCTGCCCGGAGAATGAGCCAATGCAGCGTCTTCAGTTGGCACCACGTAGCATGTTGCCATCTCTGCACTCGCATACTGCATTAGTGGGATAATTGCTATGTTCACACCCGCTGCCATCGTTCATGGCATTGGTGATGCAACACGGCATGGGCTGTTTTGGCGCCCTTCCTGCATTTGTGTCCCACGTCTACACCGGCTTTCTGTCAACACTGGGGACCGCAAACCTCATAGCAACCGGGCGGCCCCGACCAAGTCATATTCTGTCGGTTGCGGAGGTAATGTGGAGCCAGTATGGCTGTGTCACGGCTGTTGGCACTGCTCGAGCGGGCAGAGATTGTTATTCCAAAATCTATTCTAGGCGTAGTCTCCATACAAGATACTCATGAGCGAAAGGGCTGAGGTCGTGAGCTCTAGGTATCCCTGTGACGCACGCTGGCCCAACACGGGATCAACAATGATGATTCTGTAGCCTGGAATTCCATGACTGGAAAGCTCGCCGCCGGAACGATACCTACTGGCATGATGACCTGTTCTTTTTACCCACCATGGACAGCGTTTCAACCAGGTAGCTCCAGGCAACAGAGATGATGCCGGCGCTGGCTTGTGGCGATTGCTTGACCGCCCACTCCCCCTCTCCCACCCACTCTATTCCACCGTACTGGGACGAAGTAGACCTTTCACGTCGCCACTGTCCATTACAAAAACAAATCCCCTTCAAGATGGACCTTGGAGCTCCTGCTTTCCGGCAGACCCAGTTCCACTGCGCTGGGATGAAGCAGACCTTGAACGTCTGCGACGCGGCTTGTTCACTAGGAGCAGAAACTCATGCCCATCAGACAAATCTCCAAGGGGCCAGTTTCCATCTCCCTGAAACTCTAAAAGTGCCTCCAGGGGTTCAGCGTGATCAACATAAAAGTTGGAATCAACTCCGCATATCATCCCGCTGGTATCTTGAGCGTCAAACAGGCGCCCACACACCTTCGCATCTTTGACATAGCTGACTGGTGAGGCTGACATCACACCAACGGCATGGGTTGCAGCAAAGTCCAAAGGTATCTCAGCAAAGCGAAGTTCTTTCTTGTTAGCACAGACTCTTGAAAGGGTAGTTCTAGTGGTGCATACCTCCAACCGCCTTCACAAGGGCTTTGCATGCGGCTGGATGAGAACTCATGATGCCGAGTATATCGTCGTCGTTATCAATAAGGGTTGAGAGCAGCGAAGAAGCAAGCCGACGCTCTCGGTAATCACTGTGAACTACCAGCTGGGTAATCCAACAGACCTGTTGGCCCTCGTATTCCCAGCGACAGGCGAAGGCGTTGCCTGCGAGGACTCCCTCAACGGTAACCATAATGTAGGTGCTTCGTGACCCCTCAGGTAGACACTGTGCTCGGAGGCGGTCAGCACTCATCCTCACTCGGCTCCCTACATGTGTATTGTTGATGGTTAGCTGGGCATGCACAGATTAGGAGGGAAAGACCTGCCTGGCTTGCCAGGACCCTTGTAGCCCCATATGCCGTAATTGTCACTGAAGAGCTTTGCTGCGTCCTCGAGCATGGCTGCCGTGACTTTTTCGCCTTCGTAGGTAGTGATAACTTTTGCCATCGTCTTTGTGGATTTGCCTCTCCGCCTTCGTCGAGGAAAGTCTGCTTCGAATGTATGAATGTCAACACGATCAGAAAATCGGAGAGCAGGAGGAGGAGGCGCCATGTCTGCTGCAGGGGGAGAGAGGAGTTTTGATGTTGGTCTCCAGCTTGTCTGCGAAGGTTGGCACCGACAGTACCAAGGTAAGTATTGGTCCGTCTCCTAAATGTGGGGCAGGCACCATGATTGACGCTACTGCCTGTATGCAAGTGCTTCTGCATTGGTATTGGTCTGTTCCCTAAATGTGGGGCAGGCACCATGATGGACGCTACCGGGGGTACGGCTCTCGACCGTGCATCACCCAGCCCGCCTACCCACCTTTACTATCTGGCAAAAGCAGTCACAAGAGGGCACATGTTTCCTCGTTTCCTTCCTTGTGCCTGAAGTTCCTTTCGACGGACGCACGCCAAAAGCACGGTATGAACGTGGATATTGGATCAGACTGCGTCGTCTACAAACCTACATGCTGCCATACCCCTCCAAACACCTTCCAATACGAGGAAAAGCAGGTCCAGACCTGGTTTCCTCAAAGCGCTGCCGATCACCCGTGGCTAGAACCACCCGATATCAATTTGGGTTCACTACCTGATGCGATGTGAATTTGGCCCTGGCTTGTCCACAACTACGGCTGCCCAGGGCTGTCTTCACTGAAACCCATCATGCGATATCATCCACGCTACTGTGCCATGCTTATCTCACGCGTCTCACCTGCTAAGGGGAATTTAAAAAGAATGGTACATCTGTGGCCGAGTATGTAGTGGCCCAGCGAGATATCCGCCACAGCCTCACTTCCCAAGCAAAGTGCATTTTCGGGTTTGTTAGCGCCATGTGTGAATACAATAAAGTAAGCCTTGACCTTGAGGAGCCCTTTTCAGCCCCACGACATGCAAGACTCCACGAACTAACAGATATATCTAGATAGAGTTCGCATGTGGTCATTGGCATGGTCAGGCTGCCGTCTGGTGTCCCACATATACCCGGACCCACCGCCGCTGCCCACCACAGTTCACCCACTACGAGTACCGAACCTGGGAGGACTGCTCCCAGTGTAAGCAGCCCACGTCTAATACGCCGTGGGAATTCATGATCGACCGCCGCAACCAGCCCGCCCGCGCCGACCGCGTATGATGAAGACCATCAGTCTTCACAGCAGCAGTCTTGTTATCACGCGTCGGCGGACAACTAGTCCTCGACAAGAAAGCAACGAGCTTGTCAATCGCTGGAGGAAACCTCATCCGCTTCGTGGCCAAGTCATAGCTGTTTCTGTTCTGTCAGTCTGTTTATGAAAGAAGTGTAGCCTGCAAATAGCTCACATAACACTTGGATTACAACGTTATCAATCACTGCCCGTTGCACGTCGCCCCTTGAAATTCCTCTTGGGACCACCTCTCTACACTTGAGGGTACTGAACAGAAAGATTTGAGCTTGAAGGGGAACGCTTTGTACACACAAATTTAGCAACGAAAGTTTCAATATGAAGCCGGTCCATGTAATCACACAAGAGAAACAATGTTCTCCATGGTCAAATTTTGCAGCACGTACTTACTAATTGCCAAAAGATCGTTGAAATACCTAATGGCGTCATGCGGCATCGCCGGTAAGTGCCATGCTGCCAGAGATGGAGATTCAAAACTTTGGGCGACCAGTGCTGGCTGCCGTAACACAACACTTTTGCCATCACACTTCGTAGATGTGAATCCGCTAACCTCGCCGCTACCAACATAGCTTCTATCTAGGGATTCAAAACATACCGTCTTCTAAGTCATCCTTCCGGCTATCGAGTTCCCCCCTAACGGTATCAGTGAACTCATCTAAGGGTGAGTTGCTTCACAAGATCACATTGATCCTACTAGAAAGAATTGTGTACAAGGAATGCATGTAGATAATTTCAAAGCTTGCGTAAGGCCCACGATGCTTTAAAGCAAGCAGATGTTCAGAAGGGATAAATATAAAAGTGAAGGCGATCAATTGTCTCGCCTTGCATATCCGCAAGTTGGCTCTCACTGGCAAGCCTGCATGCCCCCGGCCTTGGGTGCAGGATCCCGATCCCGAGTTCTCCACCTCCGTCCCAGCTCCATGGGAACTGGCTGGCTGGCTGGCCTGGACGTGTGGTGTCTGAACTGTTGTGAGCCGTTTTTAGCCGCTTGTTTGAGGCCCAACTAATTATGGTGACTCGCAGATTCTGGGCGACCTGTGCCACTTTACAAAGTGGGTGTGAAAGCCAGATATAAAAGCTGGACATCCACAAAGTCTGGCAGCTCCTGTTGAGCGTGATTTTTCTCCCTCTTTCTGAGCACAACTGGCGCTAGCTTTTCCGCAACTTGAAAATTGGAAGATACCTAAGTCCGTACCTATTATTTACCTGAAAAGGCTGAAGAAGGAAAAGAAGCCTTGATAACAATGAAGGCATATAACTTAGTGATAATCATTAACCGCGAGGGAAACAGGATTAAAAAATTATCAGAAATACTTCCTTTACTCAGATGAGAGCTAGGCATCCGAGGGTGATAGATTCTCCAGGATTTATACTGGACTGCCTGGCTTACAGCCACGCGCAGAAACCAGGGTTTGAATTGCTCAGGCCATTCTTGATGATACGCCTGTATTCTGGGAAGTTTCCCAGATACTTGCTCTGGATCTCCATCTCCACCTCAACTTCCAGGAGATAAGAAGAACCACACACCTCCATACCCAGAATCTTTCGTATGTCAACAGGCCATGGACAAGCATCAATCCAGCAGAATCTTTCATAAGGAAAGAGACTATCAGATACAATAATGTCTTTCCCAGACAGAAACTTGCTCACCAAGTCAGGCGCAACGCGCCTAGCAGACCAAACCGTACACAGTATGCTACGGGAATGGAGTAGGAAAAAAGGACGAGAGATTTCATCGAAATCAAGCTCTACTGTCCACAGTAGGTCCGGAGAATCTAAGAAAGTCAGCGTCAATGATGGGAGTATCACGCCTGGTGTCCAACTTACCAGGTAGCTGCCGTCCATCAAGGTTGGGAGTGCAAGGCGCTGTCGAATGAGACCACGAGCAGTCTGCCTCGATGTCTTCCATGCAAGGATCAGGGCTCAGTGAAGGAGTCAGGATGTCACATGCATCAAGAAGAGCGCGAGGAGGTGCCGTCAAATCGGACGACCAACAGTCTCCCTCGATGCCTCCGGTATCCGGATCAGGATCTGGTGACGAGGTTGGAAGGCGAGCAGAGTGAGGTTTGAATATATCTGAAGAATCGGTGGAGGGGCATCCGAGAGGATTAATCGTTGAATCAAGGCTAAGAAATGCACAGTCAGGGACCTCCCCGACATGCTCAGAAACGGGGCCTTCGAACAGGTCGAACAGGTAAATCTCAGCAGAGATGTAGTAGGGTTCAAGAGCAGGTTGAGCCATGGTGTTGAAGCTGTTGATTTCGATGTCGAGAATATCTAGGGGTACGTACGGATTTCGGTGCCTAGTGGCACGCATTTAAGATGTTGGCTGCCGCAGAGCCAGAAACCGTGCAGACCCCAATTTTTCTGCATGCTCTCAAAGCTGGTGTGCCAGAAGCTGTGACAATCTCCATTCTTCTGCAGGCGAGAGGAGGGTCCTAGATTAGAAATTGGCTGGGCGGCTGGGAGGCCCGGCCCATGCCCACTTATGCTCGGATGTACCAGGGGTATGTGTGGTCAATTAAATACTGGCTGGCAATATGTGGCAGCCAGGAAATGATACCCCACCAATTGAAATCCAGCTGTAGCCGCCACCTCCGCGGGTGCGTGTGGTCAGTGAACAATTGACTGCCAATGTGTGGCAGCCAGGAGCGGAGCATGAATTAAAACTTGGCTGAGAATTTTGCCAGCATAGAAGTTGGCTGCAGCCCCCACCTCGGTACACATGCAGGTTGAGCACAACGAGTCATGCGAGCTCGGGCTATGATCATTGGGACGGTCACCGTTCCGTTACATACCGGCATGACCAAGGATAGAAGCTGGCGCCAATGTTCTCGGCCACTCATCATCCCATGCGAACAGATATGTGTTAAGATAGCAGACTTCGGTCGTGCCACGCGCTCCGATCCACGATACTGTGGCAGCCATCTCTATATGTCATAGTCCCGAGCGGTCGTGTCGAATTATAAATACTAGTCTGCCTTGCAGTTGCTATTTCAAGGACCCATGGCTCACAACGGCTCACAACGAAAGGGGTCACAACGAAAGGGGTCACAACGAAAGGGGTCACAACGAAACGGGGTCACGAAACGGGTCGCAACAGAGCGGGTCAGAACAAAAAACCCCCGTCTAACCCGGCCCGGGCTTGCCGGCGCCTGAGTGCTGTCACTGCGAAACCGCTGCTGCAGGGATTGGCCCCGCAGAGCGGCCTATCAAATTAGCTGTTCCGGCCAGGTCGTGCCATGGTCACTTCCTGCCGTCTGTGCCAGAAGCACGCAAAGACGCACGAGCTCAGCTGGGGCCCTGCGAGACATCTCCGCTGCAGCCATACTGAGTATAGCGTCGCCAAACTTGGCAAAGTTTTTTCTGTGCTTATGTTAGGTTTCAGAAATTATGTCGCTGGAAACTGTGATGTAACTGTGGCTCCAGAAATTGCGGTGTTGGGATTGTGGCGTTGGGAATGTGGCAGTCCGGCTGCAAAGACATAGTGTGAATTGCTGTTTCTTTTCAGGATTGATCGATAGTTTGGCTGGAGCAGTCTTTTATTTCCAGCAATGTCCTACCCTGTCATGTATGACCAAGGTGTGTAGCAGTCTAGATCCCGGCTTGTGTAGCCCGTCAGAATCCCGGTGTGCGGACTAAGGCCAGTATCCCGGATTCTGGAACGGGGCACCGGGGGCATTACAAAGCCCAACCCTACTCGCCTCAGTAGAACTAATGAAAGCTTTGAGAAGGCACTGGGCATCACCTTATCGATTATGCAATACGTAAGTTGCACTCAGCTGTCGCTACATTGGGCAAAGCGCGTAACATGATCTTTGGTGCTTTTACTCTACAGCCAGACGCGAAACAGTATGACTTCTTATAGTGCTAAGGATAATAAAAGGTGAATTAGCTATAGCTCTTGCCCTGAGCGATGCGTGAACTAGACCGTGTTGATATCTGTGAGTTATTCCGGGAGCGTGATGATTGATCACGATAAGGTCGCTCGTCTACACTCACCCTCTGCCTCTTAGACGACCTTGATCCATCTCACACGCTCAGAGGATTCTGCACAGCCACAAACGCCACAAAAATTACTAGGCAAACTCAGCTGAACATTTGAGATAACTGCAGGTCTTATCGACAGACACACACCAGATCGCGCCAGCCGGCCCCTCCTTCACCTCTTAATTAGCACCCTCCACCCAGCCAGTGTCCGCCCACCCAGCTCTTTGTGTGTAATACTAAGAAAAATATGTACTGGGTGGGCGCACACAAAGAGCTGGGTGGGCGGCACCTGGAAGCTGGGTGGGCGGACACTGGCTGCCCTCCACCTGGGGCACAGTTGGTCTGGCGCCGAAACTTCCAGCAAGCCTTTCCTCTTCCTCAATATCTCGGGCGAGTTGGCACTCCTTCGTCAGCTCCTTCGTGATCCAACTCCCATCTTCATGACAACTACTGCTGAGTGACAGTATAGAGGAGGCAGAATGTTCCGAGTGGAAACTATTCGTGAGCCCTTGGATGCTTACCATCCCTTCTATTAGGGCACGTTCCGCACTGAGTGCTGGAGATGATGGCCTGCCATCAAAGCCCTTGTTTTGGCCCTTTGTTCCAGGCTGATGAAGATCATCAGCATTGCGTGGCCCTTCTGACCCCCCTGGAACCAATCCACCCCCCAGTCTGCTAGAGGCCAGAATGTTAGTCTCAGCTTCGCTATCCGTTCCATCTGTGCAGGTATGGCGCCCAAGCTGTGATTTCTCATCATCCGCTATGCAGCCAGTCCGCGGCCTGTCCACGGCCAGACCCTCGGTCTCTGCTTCATTGCCAGTCACCCAGCTCGGACCCAGTTGAACATCATCGGTCTCAGCTCCGCTGTCTGATGCCGGAGCGAATTTCTGGTCTCGGTCTGGCGATGAATAGGGCATGTAATGTAGTTGATCGCGCCAGCCTCTTAGATTGGTTGTGAAATCCCAATCTTTGTCGTCAGACCCGTCGTCAGCACAGACGGCACGGACATCTTGAAGTTGTTCTAGAAGCACCGAGCTGAGGTCAGACCCGTCATGGCAAGCATCAGGGCGATCACTTCCATCAACAAGAGGCCAATTATTGACTGGCTCTGTTTCGAAGTCGACCTCAGAAAAGGGGGTAGCCGGGACAGACGTGAGGTCACCCTGCAATTGCTGAGTCAAGTCCTGAGCGGTTTCAAATGATGTAGAGGATGGTGGGTACTCGGATGCTGCCGGCGGGCCCCGAATAGTAGATGCGTCCTCGCTCATCCTGCGCTTCTTGTTCTCAGGGAAGACCATAGGGCTTGCGGTTCGCTTTCGGTGGTAGTCCGGGTTAGACCCATTACTCAAGCGCCAGAAGTATTTGATCACCTGCTGCGCGCTCCACCGGTCCTTTGCATCGTACGCAAGCAACCCGCCAAGTAGTGTTGTGAACCTGTCCTCAACTTTGCCGAAGTATGGAAGAACACTCTCACACATAAATTGAACTTGAGACTGTGGCGAAAAAGGTTTCTTGGGGCGCTCGGGGTAGAGGCCTGTGAGAAGGTAAAAGGCGATCATGCCAAGAGAGAATATGTCAACCTTCTCATCTTGTGGCTGCTTGCTTAAGATTTCCGGAGCTGCGAATCCAGGAGTGCCTGCAGGTGATGCTTTGCGGTGCACTAATTCCAAACTGCCCAGGTCGATTACTTTAACCACCCATCGCGTCGTATCAGGATACAAACGAATGTTTCTTGGGCTGAAATCCCTGTGAGCGACACCCTGTTGATGGAGAAAGGCAGCAAAGCTGAATAGCTGCAGGATAATATCCACTGGATCAAGTGTTGGAAGTGGTCCTTCCGGCCATGGCCTTTCGTGTGGGTGTCGAGTAAGATAGTCTGCTAGACCAAAGGGGATGTGCTCGAGGATCAGCCAAGGCAGCGCAGAACCATCCTGCATGTAGGCAATGTCGATGGCAGCGGCGAGGTGTGGCTTTTGACAACATTTTGTCAGCTTGAGAAAATGTTGTAGTCAGTGTTAGAGATGACTTACATGGGCAAATCGCTTGTAGGACTCAAACTCCTTACGAATCTTTTCGTTCTGGTGTTTGACAATGCTGAATGAGGCAGAGTCGTCCCGTAATATTAATTCCTTGGCACAGAGGGTCACTGAGTCCCGGCCAACTGCCTTGACCATAATCATAATGCCATGGCTACCATGAGCCCCCAACTGGTTTGGCACCTTGGTGTACACAGTACCATCCAATGCTATGCGGGAAGCTTCATCCACAGTGGTCAATCCGCTGTTAAGCGGAGGCCAGTATTCCAAAGAATTTTCAATTACCAGTCGATCCATGCGTCGGGTGTGGATGATGAATAACTCTCTTTCTTGCCTGGTCCGGGTAGGGAGCCAGATGCGGAATGACAACTTTGGATGATGGACAATGACGGAGGAATAGATTTCATCCTGATCTCCTCTGGCCAGGTGGATAGTATTCGAAGTATCAGAACCGTGTTGTATGTACAAGGCGTTGTCGGATTGATTCGTAATCCGCAGGACAGGACTCCTATCTTTATAGGTGACAAAGTCGATGCTGAGGGATTTCTTGCTGACTCCGTGTCGATTGTCCCTGGCGATTTTGAAGTCAACCTCATTGAGATCAGTGTTGCTCCCGAGTATCCAGCAGCCAGCACGTTTCTGCTGCACTCCGAAGGGAATGCCGAAGATAGGTGCCGGGATTTCCAGATCTTTTGGGAGTCGGCCCCTCCACGCAAGGTTTCGGTGAAGAGGTTTGAAAACAAATTTCTGGTTGATGCCTTCACCCAGCTGAAGGAGTTCGTGGGTATCAGCACCCTGAAAGCAGCCCATCATGAACGCAATGTGGCCTAGAGATGTGTACGGTGGGGAGGGCATTGTGTTAAGTAAACAAGCAGTAAGTCTTGAATTTGCAGAGGGTGATGAGAGAGGTGGTTGGATTCCGCTGAGCGACCACTTCGACGAAATACAAAACCAAGGGAGCGTCTTCAAATAATCGGCGAGGGGGCAACCTAGGTAGCCATAAACGAGCAGTTAAACTCTGGCGAGGACGCCAGGGGCACCAAAGCACCCAAGAGCATGAGGAAGGGGCAGCAGCATATCACGTCACACCGAGGTGTACATACAACAAAACATGGGGTGGAAAAATGGCTCGTTCTCGTGATGTGGCCGGGGTACAGCGCTTGCGATGCATTATGCAACACCCCCGCATCAATATCCGGGAGTCGCCGCAACTCCCCACAGGTGTATCTCAACGCGACAAGCCCCCCTCTCCTTGTGCCCTCCTTTCGGCAAGTTGCTTTAAGCGGGCACTGCGACGCCGTTCCGAGGGCTCTGGCCTCGGCCTTAGGGTGGAGGAGCGTCCCTTCGCAACTTTACCCCCTTGCTGTTTCGTCTGGGACGGATTCCTGGGGGGCGGATGCGTGCGAGCTCTCAGCACTCTGGTTGATTGTGCTGATGATGCCGGCTTCGGTGACAGATGATGAGGCTGCCGCTGAGCTGGTTGCTGTTGCTGTATCTAAGGAGTATCAGTAAACAATTGACTAAATGCTGGGGTGGAATATACTATACGTGATACTGATGTCGATACCTGTGTGGTTTCAGTACTGCTGCCTCACACTGCCAGTATCGTTCATCGGTGATGCCCTGGCGTGCCTGCTGGATATGTTTGGATCGTAGGCCCAGCTCCTGAGAAACATGATGTAGTAGTCTGACGTTCTCCTGCCACTGGCTTGCTGTCCTGGCGGCATTCTCGGAAGCCCATTTGATCTGAATTTTTGCTCGAAGTTGTGTTGTGACTCCTTCCGCGTATTGGGATATTCTCGTCATTTGCTCATACACAGCATCCATTTCATCTACTGCGAGCTCATCACTTATGAACTCTATCTTGTCGAATACACCCTCAAATGAAAAGGTCAGGGATTTCTGTAGTTGATCCAATAAGAGTTCCACAAGTGCATGAGCTTCTGCTGCCCAGTAGTGGCTGTCTTGTATCGTCTCGCGAAGGGTGTTAACCTCCTCATCTTGAAACCATGCTGAGATTTGCTCGCATTCAAACTTGAATGAGTGAGTTGGATGTTCTCCATCAAACTCGACGTCGGGTGTCTGATCCTCACGATCCCTTACGACCTGGTCAAGCTGGGTGAGCGTGTGATTGACGAGTTTGTCCAGGTAAGCAGCATTAAGCTGATAGCCAAGATCTTCAGGAGACATATTGTTCGATGGTCGCTGTGCTTGTGCTCGGATGGATCAGAGATGGATTAGAGTCAGTTGTCGAACTGTGTCATCACAGTTGAGAATGGATCCAGAGGCGGCGGGAAGTCTGGTGTCGCTAGTTGCCCAGGTGGCAGGTTACAGTGGTGCCGCATAGAACGGAACCGTATTACTAATCTTCAATCGCCAGGAAAAATGGCCCCGGTCCATCTGTCTCAGCCGACTTCTAAGTGTGATGATTTATGGCGTGACTTTTTAGCGCCATCTAAACAAGCGGTCAGAAACTTTGGATCTCAATAGCTAGAGCCACGCCTCTGATGCCGATCGCGCCAGTTTCATCACATCAGCAGATTAAATTTGGCCCAGAAACTTGGTGCATAAACTTGGCACTGCCTCAAAACTGGAGACTCGTCATGCAGCCGCCTGTTTTAGTAGCCCCTCCAATGAATACAGCTCTCGCAGACGCCTGTCTCGTATTGCTAAGCACCAATTTCTTAATGTTACATCAACCCCCAAACGTCTTAGACGGAGCATCTGCTCCGACTGGGCAACTGTGGAGGGCAGGCAGATAGTGGTCTGTGCGCCGCCAGCTGCATCTTCGCTACTGCCAGCTGTGCACCTTCTGCAGCTCGTCCTAAGCAGACATGGCGTCTTTGTTGAGGAAGTCTTTGCAATGCCTGCTTTCAAACTATTACGGGACTTTACATTAAGGGAACATACACCTATTACACTAGCTGAGCAGCACCCAAAAATTGGCGAAAAGTCACTGTAGATCCATTGCTTATATTAAGCACTGGACATACTGCTATGGTCTGTAGGTGTGGACTGTTTTGGGCAGGAGAGTTGTTACTAACCTGCACCTAGTCGCTAGCAATTCAACCCCTTGATGATACCATCAGCCTTGATGATGCAATGACAGCTGGGCGGTGGGTTACTGGTTGTGGACAAACTATTTATTGGCGTCAATGCTTCTTATGGGTGTACAAGGTGGACAAGGCGGATGAACCAATTGAACAGTCCGATGTATGTGATGGACAAGCAGTTGTTCCTTCAACCATTATGCTGTACATCGGGGGCAAGGGAGGGAAGGTGAAAATACTAGGTCCCTAGGTATACAGTCTATCTCGAAGCGCCATGCCTTCCTTTGGCCACAACAATATGAAGATATCCGCGCTCTCATCCGCCACAGAAGAAATTGCCATTGAAACACAACTCGTATATCCATTTCTTTTCTGGATATCCATCTGGTAGACTGGAGTGGCGAAAATTGCATCCGCAAGCTCCGAGCCAAAAAAGCTACCGATATTATCAAGGCGGCACTCTCGGAGGAGGAGGCGCGGGTAGGGAGTAATCTTTTGGCCATTTGGCTGATATAGATACCGAACACCATGCTCCGTCTCAAGCTGTGCACCAAACAACTCTTGGGCAATATGCTCAACCTTGCTACTTGTGACCTCTATCCTGACCAGACACTTCGTAAAGCCTTGAAAAGGAAGTGCCATTGAAATTGCCGCTCCTAATGTGCCAGAGTTGTGAGGTAAAGTCCGCCTGACAATAGCCCTCGCGAGATATGGAGGGAAGATAGAGGCACATTCTGCGATGGAGGCATATTTGAGGACATGTCGTTCTTCGGAGAAAAATTCGATTGGATTCAGGACGCCAGCGCTCGTCGATGCGGATATAGAGGAGGTAAAGCCGTGTGTCGTTGCAAATGGTACAAGTCGGGGGGTCTGTTGCGGAGTCAACTGGCTCGTTGTAGAGTCTGGGCCTGTACTTCGTATCTCGCTCTGTTGTGAGCTCTCCCGTGCTAGTTGATCGTCTCCGGTGCCCTCTGCGCAGAGGAGTTCCCTTTCATTGCCTCTGCTGCTGCTTGCAGGTTGAGATGCCCGCTGGAAGCGCTGCTGCTGTACAGGCTCTATTCGTGCGCCAAGTCGTTCTGCTAGTGACTGTCGTGATTCGATGCTTTGCTCTTCTATACGGTCTAGAAGACGTCGGCGTTTTCCTCTGCCCGAGACGTGGCCAGTAGATTCCGTCGCTCTTTTTACCAGGACATATGCTGTCCAGGCAGGCACGCCGCCGTAGTCGTAAAAGATTCTCTCCGTCGTGACTTCATCAGCCTCCTGTAAATTCTTCAATGCTTGGGGCAATGACCGTGGGAGCTTCCGGCGATTTTGGATCTCCTCGAGAAATTCGTTAATATTGTCGTCTTGTTCGTTGTTCATCGCTGGTCGTATTGGTGGCGTAGAGTCAGGAGACTGGCTGACTGGGTGTCTTGTTCAGGACGGCACTAGCTCCAGGCCACCTGCCGCCGGCACGAAAGGTGACGTAACATTCGCTTATTAAGCACAGCTGGGAGCAATTCTACCGAGCTCTTCAGTTGGCCTAACCGAGGAAACATTGTCAACCTTTTTCGCAACTTCCCAAGCCGACCGACAAACGGGATGCCTCCGCTGGTCTAGTCTCAATCGAAAACACCAAAAGTCAGCCCTCATGCCAATGATCACGATCCGCGATACCACCAAGCCCACGCACCAAAACAAGCCCACGCGAGCCCACGCGAGGACAACCTTCAAGCCAGCTGCACCCGATGATCGTTTTTCAAGTGCAGTGAGACCCACCGACAAAGGCGACACCAATCACTCCGAACAGTACCCTCAACACCATTTTATCTCCATCACAATACCCCCCCCCCTCAAAAAAACTCTGCCCTACAAGAATCAGTACAGGTCAGCCTGCCGGGCAGTGTTTCCAGGCGCCACCGCTTGTGGGTGAATGGTTTGAGAGCTAGTCGTCAGTCCATAAGCTCAGTTCAAGAACGTTCTCTTCCTCTTTCCGCCTGCTTCCCACGCCCGCCAGGTCCCTTTCCCCTTCTGCAACACCATCATCATGAGAACGCAATGTCGACGCCTGCAACCGCAAGCGCTGGGCAATATCAACGCGACAATACCTGGGTACAGCCAGTCAATTCGATCATCCTGGGACCCTCCAACTCGACCCTTCCGACCCTTCTTGCGAGCCTTTCCTGCGACCCTTCCTGCCCACACACACAAGTACTTGCCCCAACGTAATAAGGATCACACAAGTCTGTAAAGGTGAATTCGTCCATGGATGCCCATAATCATGCAATCACAAGAGAGAAGTGTTCTTGCCCCTGGTATAGCAAGCAGTTCAAGTTGACAACACCTCCATCATGCTCAGTATCAATGCTACGCTACAGTCCACGAGCACAAGCTATTTAGTTGCCGAGGCAGCCGCAGGCCCTATGGCAAACACCATCTCAAGCATCATGACAAAGACAATTCCCATCACCATTGTAGCAGAACGAGCTAATCACAGCTGGCTCGCGTCCATTACAACACAGATCTGGCGGAGCTTGGCCCAAATGCCCAATGACTGATTCTTCAACGAAAGCGTGACGTAATCCACCGTCGCAATCTTCGACGCCAATGAGTAAAAACGCTTCTTCTTCTCTGGAGCCTCTCCTGCTTGAGCATCTTCCTGGTTCTGGAGTGGAGATTGCTCTCAGGGTTGGGCTTCTGGTACTGAGGCTGACGGGATTGGTACACTGTGCCTGGCTGTGGGTCTGGCTGTGCAAGTCTGGCCTGAGTTGATAGTTTATGTTGAACCTTGACTTCCCAGCCCTTGCTTTTCCTCCGGGCAGAAACACATGCTGAAAGTATTTTAGCATGAGTTTATAGGTGGAACCGTAGATCTTACTCATCTTGTAAATAATGGATAGGGACTTGGGTGTCTTCCAGTTTTCAAATTTCAGAAAAAGACTGGCGCAAGTTATACAGAGGGTGAAATATTGGCAACAGGAGCTGCCAGACTTTGGATGCCCAGTTTTTATATCTCGCTTTTCTATGAGCCGTTTTTAGCCGCTCACTGTGAGGCCTAACCAATAATGGTGACTTGCAGATTCTCGGTGTGACTTGTGCCACTTTACAAAGTAGCAGGCGGCTACCTTTCCAAAAGGGTGGTGGAGACGGAGATCCTGCACCCGAGGCAGCACCTGAAATCGAGGCCATGCAGACAGACATGCCACTGAGACCCGAGACACTCTCACACGCCAACTTACAGACACGCAAGGCGAGACAGCTGGATGACCTTTATCATATTATTCTCCCTTCTGGTTATCTACTTTAACATTCAGAAAGAGCGTCAGCCCAAGTAACATCACCAGAGCAGAATCCCAGGCAAATAATTAAGTTCCTCCACACATCACATTTATCGGGTCTACCTAAGCTACTCTCTCCCAACTCAGAATGCTGTCCTATTGACATTGAATTTCAATAAGCGATATCATATTTCCTTTCTCCTCTAATCTTGACTAAAGAAGTCGATATTGAATAAGTCAAGGCTGCCCTGTTGCGACTGAGCGAACAGTCCTGGGTGCAGCCCCGACTGGAAGCTCCGACGTCAGGGGGTCTGGTTCGGAGGATGTGATTGGTAAGGGTGGCAGCGTGGAGTCAGCAAGGGGCGCTGCAAAGCTGGAGAGAGGCGCTGTAAAGTTGGGTCTGGGCGAGTTTGAGGCTGGCATTGAGCGAGGAGAGGATGAAGCGGTGCTTTGGCAAGACGACAACCCGTGATTCCTTTGGCGGACCAACTCGACGTCATCTGGTCCGAAGCGATCTGTGAAATCGGCCTGGATCCCGAAGCGCTCCAGGACGCCGTGGTCTTCGATATAGCAGAAGATCTTGCCCTTATAAACGCCAATGAGAGCAACACTTGCCTCCGTCAGGGTGTTTATCTCATGTACAGAATGGTCGCTTAAGTTCTTTGCAAATATTTTAGAGTAGAGCTCCTCAGCGCCCTCCTATCCCCACGCTTGCAGTACCCGTGCGCGCACCTCGTTTACGGCCTCATCAACAGCTTCTTGAATAGCATCAAACATCTGGTGCTCTTCCACGTACTGGCAAAGGACTGCGTCTAGTTCATCGGCGACTCGCTGATGGACGTCGTCAGGCGTGGCATACTCGGTCGCCAACTCTGTGCGCAGATCCTGGAGCTTCCTCTCAACATACGCCTGTATTCGGTCCGATATGGCCGACGATGCGGCGGATGCTGTCGACGATGCGGCGGATGCTGTCGACGATGACCCGGGACTTGGTGCTGCTGCTACTGGCGTGGCAGATATCTGGCCCCTGGTTGTGTCCTCCTTCTGTTGCTCCGCCCGGGAGATCAAGTCCGTCAGCCGTGCTGCCAGCTCATCGGCGCGGGCACACTTGGCATCAAGGTCCTGTTGCGAGATATGCACCCGCCGCAGCAGCTCAGCCATCATCTTCTCTCGCTCGCCGACCGCCAGGTCCAGATGGCGATAGGTGCGGTAACGGAGAGTGCCGGACGAGTCCGGCGAGTCACTCGAGGATGTGCTGTGGCGCCGTTTATTCTTGTTCGCGATGGTTCTTGGAGGTGACTTCATTCGACCTGGCACTCGTGCGTCATCTGCATATGCCGGCGGAGGCTGTTTGATGTGGCTGTCGCCATCGCCGTCGTTATTATTGTCGAGGGCTCCCCAATTGACAAAAAGTTGTGGTGGAGGGGCTTCACGTTGCGGCGGAAAAGGGCATTTGTTATCGTTGTGGTGATCATCCTCGTCGTCGTCGTCGTCGTCGTCGTCGTCGTCGTCGTCATAATTCTCATCACTGTTCGCATAATTCATCTTCGCCTTTGGCGGCAACATTGCAGGCACTGGTTCTGCAAGAGGACCCCACAAGCCTTGATGAGCTTGTATAATCCGCCCGCCCTGTCCCTGGTATAACGTCTTCAAATCCCTCTGGTGGGGATCTGGGGACAAGCGTCCTTGATTCACAGCATCACAAACTGTCCTGAGTTGTGGCAATAAGACGCCCAATGTCTCGCCGTCCAAGTCTGCAGGCAGGACTGCATGCAGAGCCGGCTGCAGAGCGAGAGAACGGAGTGTCTTGATTGTAGCGAGGTCCGCATCATTGTCGGGTGGCACTAGAAGGCGGTTGGGAGCGATGAAGTTGATATTGGTGGCATCGAATCTAAGGTGTGTAGGATGGCCGCCGTCACAGTAAAGAGTGAGGCGACGGATTCGATGAGGCATTATATCCAGGTAGAAAGGTTGAGGTGAGGTGCCGACGGTGGCAGCGAACCGAAACGAAGCCAGGCCTCGAGCCGGATCGAAAGAGATGCGCAGTGTACCAGAGATGAGCAGTGCAGGTAAGGGGGCAGTCGAGGAGGCCTGAGCTCTTAGAGATGACATCGTTTCGATATCGGTATGGATGAGGCAGCCGGGAATCGACCGTATAATACGGTTCTGGCTGGAGACGCTCATTGTAACGGAAAGGGTGCTAACGATGATGGTAATGTTTGGTCATATGGATTGGGCGTTCAAGGGGCAGAGCGTATCTATAGTCACCATCAAGTAGATGTCAGTTCAGAATGTGAAGAAGGCAGGAGACGAAGACATAGCCCCGTGTGAAGCCCTCTCAGAGCACATCAACACGATATCCCACCCACCCAGGCTTTCTTGATCTTGACAACAAGGTAAAGATCACATGCTCCAATGCGTCCAGACAGGAGCAGCCTTGACTCCGTGGATGGAACAGTGAAGGAAGCTTCGAGCCGGCCTCCGGTTCGGATAAGAGTAGGGGAAGATAATCCAGATGGGGTGATCCTACTGCACACAAGCAGTACAATTCTTTCATATAAGCAGTCACACTCCTTATATGCAAGCAGTTGCACTAGCTTGCTTCCCAAAGCCCAGGACCGTCCTCAAGTACCCCCAGCAGTCACACTCCTGAGCTCTCGAGTCCTGTAGCGTGGCAGTGGGAGGTGCAGTGATGGAGTCGGATCTACATGCTATGCAGAGTGCCATGCAGTAGCAGTAGTGTTTAGTGGGATGTAATGGTGTTGAATGATAATGATAATGATTGATGGCGATGGTGATGGTTAATACTATATGGGGAAAGGAGAAAATCCCGCTGGCTGGGATTTGGCTACGAAATGCACAATGGTCCATTGTTTGCTGACTAATAGACTTAGAAATGTGGAGGCTGGACAGCGTCTTGGCGCCAAGTGCCTGCCCCCACAGCTACCCACCAGCTACGCCGCTGCACCCAGCCCTGCCAGGATGACGACCATGCCTTCAGGCTGCAACATCCCCTCCCTCCATTCAGACGAGACTACGTCGCTGCCTCCGACCCTGTCAGATTAACGACCATGCCTACCAAGGAATAGAGTCCTCGACCAGGTGTGACTGCCTGCTGCCCCCGGCCCTGCCAGGTTTACAGGTGTGTCTGATGTGCTCGGTCATGAGGATTGTCTTTAGGGTGTGGTTTGGATCTGTCGCTACCGGGTCAGTCGGGACTCCGATCATTGTATGGCTGATGCGAGGAGTTTGTTGCTTGCTTGTAGGCCTCCGATAAACGTACCTTGCTGTGCCCAGAGTTTCCTCTTGAGATGACCAACCCACGGTGCCTCTTGCGGAAGCTGTTGCCATTTTACTCCGGGGGATGTGGGCAATGGGTTTTGCCGTTTCGTTGGGTCGGTTATCAAGTCGGCAAATTGTGTGGTACCATGCTGCCCGAGCCGGCAAATACGGGACCACGTCCCCAAAGGCGCGGGCTTTATCAGGTAAGGCGTCGTCGCGTCCGTCGTCGTGAGCGCCTTCTTGGCCGCTCAACAGACGGGGCAGGTGTCGAGGCGACATAAATGGTGTCTAGCACTATCTCTTCCTCCTCCTCTGACGGGGAGCTGGAGGGCGCCGAGAAGGAATCATTCCCATCGATGCACGGCGGGGGCACGGCGGAGGCGCAGACGGACTCAGGGGCCTCGGCCGGTGATGCGCAGGCCGACTCAGGGGCCTCGGCCGGTGATGCGCAGACGGACTCAGGGGCCTCGGCCGGTGATGCGCAGGCCGACTCGGGGGCCTCGGCCGGTGACGCGCAGGCCGACTCGGGGGCCTCGGCCGGTGATGCGCGGTCTAAGCTGGGAGTTGTGCACACGGTGGAGCCGCCTAAGCTCTGTGGTGACAGCCCGTACGCTGACCTCTGCTCCTCGTCCTCGAAGATGGCGGACGAGAGGCGGGCCCCCAATATAGCGGGGTCGATAAAGGAGAGGTCTAGCGCAGGGACCGATGGGAGGGGCGCGGTTCCAGGCGGGGAGGGCCAGCAAGCAGCCCCCTCGACATCTAGCCGTTGCACCTTGGGGGGCGGAGCCTGCGCCTGCGGTGCCGCGTAGCCAGGGATGTGGGGGCCATCGTCCTCGGCCTTCCGTTTGGTGCCGGCCCTGACCTGCGGCACGCCAGCCGATATCTTCGTGTCCTGTCCGATGTCGTGCCCAGCAGCTTGCAGATGGACAAGCCAGGCGGCATGGTCCGCAATGAGGGGGGCCGTGCCGCCCGCCCGGATGCAAAGCGGACAAGGCACGTCACCATCCGAGCCTTCAAAGTGTGCCTTGCGGATGTGCAGCCCGAGTCCTCGGGCCTGGAAGAGGCGATCACAAAAAGGACACTGTCCGGTTGGGGGGAGGCCATGCATGTCGGTGAGATGGGCGAACCACGACCCCAGGCCGAGGTCGCTCTGCCCTGGGCAGACGGCGCAGGCGGCGGTGCCCACGTAGGAGGTTACCGCGCTTCTATGATGCATGTGGAAATGATACAGGAAGCGGTCTGGTGGGAAAGGACACAGACAGAACGTGCATATAATTTTATGTGCCGCCCCAGCCCCTTCCGGCGGTGTCTCGGGCTCTCCTGGCGGGGCGGTTGGGCTGAGGGTGGTGGGGAAATACGGAGCGTGCTCCTTTGCGTGCCTTCGCTCCACGTGGTTGCTGAACTGCGACGGGCTGCTGGTGGTCTCCCCACACAGAGGGCAGGAAAATGGGCGGGACAGGGCGGCCTTGTGCTTCAGTGCGTGCCTCGTCATCTCAACGCGCCGGGCGAATGCCCTGCCGCAGATGAGACACATCGACCGCTTCCCAGCGGGGAGCTGCAAGGCAGCGGGTCCGCCCTCGCGAGCGGCCGGGCCCTCCGGCGACGGGCTCCTACTCGGCAGCGAGATCGCGCTCAGGCTGCCGGAGAGGTAGTGAATCAGCCATTTCATGGCCCTGATAGCCCGCATTTCCGCCCCGGCATCAAAATTCGTCCCCGGTGCCCAGGCCTTCATGAGGCTGCTGATATCGAGTGCGTCGTGTTCCCGTTTACCAGGGCAGTGCTCCGGCTCCGTCTTGGGCTGCGGCCCTTGCAGGCCCGCCTGGAGGGACCGCGCCTTCTCCTCGAAATAGTGCTTCCGCCGGTACAGGATCGCGAGCTCCTCTAGGCGCTTCCGGTGGGACCTGAGTTTTTGTGCCGCCTTTTGTACCTCTTTCTGTCTTCCTCCCCCACTCCGAAGCGCCGATAATGTTTCTCTGAGCTCTGTTGTGTCCCTGCGCGACTCCATCTCGAGCCTCTGCGCTTCAGTCATGTAGATGGGAGCATCAGGATCAAAGTTGTCCCAACCGTGGCTGAGGTGCTTGAAGAGAAGAACATTGTCGCCGGCGAGCTCCCCGAAGGCGGCGCCCTGCAGGTCTTGACTTATGCGCTGGGCTTGGTAGCTCTGGTAGTCGACTTTCTCAGTATGGCTGAGGATCCGGAGTTTCAAGGACAAAGGCATCCCACTGGCTGTAATATGCCCAGTCAGTCATCGTGGAGGCAAGAACCGGAGCAGGAGACAGGGTCTTCAAGGCATGCTTGCTTACCCTCAAAGTTCGCCCCCGCACCGACTCGCATGAAGTATGGGCGAGGCGGGTCTTGCAAGCCAGATACGATGCAGAGGCGTTTAAAATGGCCGCGGAAGATGTCGCAGTTCATCTTGCAGAATCGCTGGCCCATAAGCTCCTCCTTCCACCTGAGATGTGTGGCGCTTTTATCATCCACCTCGGGCCGGTTCAGCATGTCCTCAACGGAGCTGTAGCCGGCCTCGAAGGCGTCCTCTTGTAATGCCTTGGCGGCGAGGAGGTGGGTCAAGTCGAGGAGAAGCGTCGGCATCAACGTTATGGGGTACGTGAAGCTGTGATGACCGCGAATCAGCGACATTGAAAGGTGAGGCTCAGCCCGCGGCGAGCAGAGGACTTACTGGTCATCCTCGGACCTCACCACCACCCTCCGCCTGAGCTTGTTGAAATAGAGGGTCAGGCTGGCGAAGAGCCGGCGCCTGCCCGGCTCGGATGGGTCCATGATGAGGTAGAGCTTGAAGTCCCTCCATTTGATCGTCTCCAGCATGCCTGGCCGGCAGCCAGAGACATACAGGATGAGCACGTACATGTGCACAGCAACCCGGTTGTGAAACGGCATCGGGATATCGTCAGCGCGCTCCCACAGAGCACGGAGAAGACGCTCGATGTCCTCGCACCTTGCACCGATCTTCTCGTACTCGCTGTCCGGCGTGAGGCCGAACATGCCCTTGAGGTCCGTTTTGATCCACTGTGCGGGTGTCAGCTGAGCTGTACTGGGATCCCTGCGCACACGAGCATGGGCCCGGACAAGCCTTACCTCAGTGACCATCGTGGCTGGGCCGGTGTCCTGGGCCCCAGCAGGCCCTTGACGTCGGGCAAGGACGAAGATTCGCCCTGTTGACGCGGCCTTCTCATTCAGCTGCATCTGTGCAGCCGCGACAAGGTTCTTCCAGCAGGTATTCACAGAGCTGATCGTGGTCAGGGTCCGCTCCTCCCGCCCCTCCTCCGGGCCCCAGATGACCTTCCTCTGCTTCGACGCAGAGACGAGGAAGGTGAGGTAGTTCTTGCAGAGGGCCATCGCCTTCTCTTGCTCCTTGAGGTTATCCCCAGCCAGCCACTCCCACACATTCTCTCGCAGAATGGCGTCCGGTTTTGTGTATTCGATAAACCTGCAGGCGCCAGGCCGGGTACCGGTCAGCAGTGATCGTGCAGGCTGGATGGAGGTTCGGGTGGGGGGCGGGGGAGCAATTTTGGGTAGCATACTCCTCCCAGTTCAGCATCGCCCTCCTGCGGTCTTCCTCGGTCGTCTCAGCGATGGCATGAGACAGGACAATCGGCTCCTTTAGGAGGGTATTGAAGTTCTCCGCTGCGCCGTGGGTGTTGTCCGCGGTGAACCGTGACTTTCTGATCCGGTGCTCATGCTTCCCCATGGCCGCGGGTCTATAGGAAGAGGTAGCGTAGCAGAGCTCGAGAGGGAGGTGGTGGAGGAGGGAGAGGGGAAGGGAGAGCGGGATGGCGCGGGACAAGGTGAGGGCATTAGTCGTGGAGGAAGATGAGCCTGGACAGGAGGACAATGAGGGATGAGGGATGAGGATCAGGTCGAGGCAGGAGCCAAAGGAGCCTGGCATCGTCTTATAAGGTGCAGAGCGGCGCGGAGGTGGGGCCCGGCCTGCCAGTCGGGGCAACCTGCAGGGCACCCTGCGTGCATGTGAACTCAAAGCCAACGCGACAGCAGGGGCCGCGCGACCCGAGCGTAGCACACGCCGTCGCTGCGGCGCAGCGGCGCCCCAAAACGGGGGGCCTCGAGGGCCGGCCGTGGTGGCGGCCCGTAACGGAGCGCAGACGGAGGGCGGCAGCCCGGGGCGCCGGACGTTGGCGTGCGGCACGGGCAGGGTGCCGGGGATGAGGGCCTTGGTCAGCAGCAATGGGTGCTGCGATTTTTGGGCTCCGCAGTTAGTTCAAACCATCTCCATATTTGATAGCCACTTCCTCCACGGGGTTGCAGGTGTGGATATATGGGGAAGGCAATGGGGAAGGTTCCAACGCCAACTCCACCGAGTGCAATGCTGCCCACGGGGTTTGGGAAAAATGTGCCTCACGCAAATCCGGCACACAGCTTTTCGCACGCCCAGACGAACGTGACATCGACGCGTCGGAAGGACCGTTCCTTCCAGCGCAATTCTTTTGTCATTCCTGACCATCTGACCCTGCAGGGCCCGAGCTAATTGGCACACTGCTCGCCTCGCAGCGAGCAACGACTCTGCTTGCGGCTCTGTGCGGCTGATCTTCCCTGCTTGGCAGACGCTGTTCCCCCCCCGTCGCCAGGGCGGCAGCAAAACAACCCCGTTGGTCGGATCGGCCGGGCGCGGGCACGCTGACGACGGGTGGACGACGTCATACCCGCAGCTGCAAAAGCCAACGTCATCCGCCCTGCCGTTCGTGCACCATTGTCTCGTAAGTGGCTTTTGGACTGCCGAGCGTGTCAGTCACAGTCACTGCTGCCAGTCGGTCCCAGTCAAGTCAGTGCCCCCAGTTTGCGAGGGCGACCCACTAATTGCAGACACGTCTCTTGCTTTGTCCATTACGCAGCGTTGTTCCCTTCCCCAGATTGGGCCCCGCGAGATTCAGCTGGAGACGAAACCCACCGCCCAGGCAGATCCAATTCGGCCCGTTTCCCGGGCGCAAGGCAGGTACGCCGGACACGCAGGAAAGGATCGTCATTGCTGGCCGGCCATTACACGTCCGCACCGAGGTGCCACCGAGATCGATCACCATCGCGATCTCGTGCCCGCCCGGCAGCCCGGAAAACAAGCACTTGTTAGGCCAATGTCGTTGGTGATGAACCGGGTTTCGCACATATCAGGCGGCCCTTCTCCCGGCAAGATGAGCGACGTGATTCACTGATAAATGTTTAATCCGCCGTGGCTTCCGGACGTGTCCACAGGCGGGACTGTGAGCCTGGTGTCTGGGTCTATCTGCACCGCAGACCACTTCTCGACAGCAGGGCGGTGTCTCTCTCGTTCGGACCGATTGGAGTAGGAACCTTCTCCACGCATTGTGTCGGACAAGTTCCACGATTCATCATCGCTTACTCGACTTGATCAGCACGTAGATAGTCGACTCTGATACCCGTCGACACCTCGCTACACGCTCAACTGGGTCTTTGGTTGCTCTGCACGCACATCACATTCGATTATTTAAACACCTCCGTCGGTGCTCGATATCCCGAGGCCAGTATTTGTACCGCATAATGACAACGACGGCACGTACGGACATCAACATAGGTGGAGCATACGGAGATTGGTGACCGGCTCGCCGGGGCAGTGTTGAGCCTGGCAAGCCACACTCGTCCATTTCTTCGTCGGGAGAGACCGGTCTCTTACGAAGGCCGCCGAAGCCTCAAGCTGCTCCGAGCTTTCCGGGGACGTGAGAAGCCAACCAATCTACTAGGAATCGCATGCCCTTCTTCATTGCTGTTCACTCAATAGAGATTAGCTTGGCAGCTAACGCAGAGCTGCGATGGACAGGACACGGGCCAGTTGGCTGCATACCAATGCTGCGCCGATGTCTCCCCATGGTCAAGTAGCTGGGTCAGATAGAATCGTAGCTGTGGACAGATCAAAAATTGTATGGCCGGGGTATTTGTTCAAGGCCTGCACCTTCAGTCATCTGTGTGTGTTGACCAGCCGCTCACAGACATTGCTGGAGTGGTACATTAAATCTGCCGCAGGATCTTACTCACAAAACTGGTCCCACCAAATAATACATGATCCAAATCTTCAATTCGCCTCTGGGATTGTTGGTTGAAAGGAAAATCGAGGTATCACCAGTTTTATCTGAGTTCTTGTTACCATTTTCGCCATAAGAGTCTTAGTCTCTATCGTCGACTCTAAAAGCAAAGCAAGACCCCATCTACGAGACCGCAGCAAACCCGAATGCATGCAGACAAGGGCGTGGCTACGACCCGTAGCTCTCAGGCCAAGCAAGGCTGGCCACTACATATGTAGAATCTTCCAGACCCTTACAAATCAATCCCTTCCTTGCGACTGACCTATTGTGAGAATCGACGGTCCAGTCACTACCCGTACTTACTGCAGAGGTGACACATCCTGTGCTGTAGTCAAGTGAATGACTCCACTGCCATTAGGAAGTTATATCACTCTATAGGAATCGTTGAACAAACCAGACACGCTCAAATACACCAACTGCGTCGTATTGCGAAGGTCTCGAATGGTGTTCTGCTCCCAGAATTCCCCGCTACATTGCTAGAACCTTCCGCAGTATTACACTCCAGCATCTCGGCGCCTAAGTATTCGGTCATGATGGCCATTCTTATTAAAGACGTTGTGCACAGCCCACCTGAGCACGGAAACCTACTGGGAACATCGCCCAAGATGTGCAGGAGCCAAGGGCTTGTGTGCTTTGCGGTACATAAAGCGAGGTATGAACTGCAAGGTCGCCGTTACAAGTCGCAGCAAAAAGACAAGGCTGAGGACGAAGTAAATCATTCATGGAAATTGCCCGCTGGAGACTTAAGAGACTGTGAGCAACAATAGCGCTGTGAATCGAACAAGTTAGTGAGCAAGACCATGACTGGGAGGCCATCCGAAAGGCTGGATGAGAAAATTCGGGCAAACGCAAGATTGCGAAATATCGTTCTCAATACTTCCCTGGCTTATGGCGCCAGGACCCCGTTCTTCTGTATACAGAAGTAGTTGCACAATTGATGGATCGTTGGCGAAGATCCATTGCCATGTTATCCCGGCATATTGTAGACTAGCTGCTGCAGATTGAGGCCTCGACAGGCGCTTTTCACATGCAACTGATTTACTGTAACTCTAGTGCCAGAACTGTTTCCATCAGGATAGGATTGCCTTCCCTTTGTTGAGCTGGTGACTGGTGACTTACCTTCACGATTGCCGGTACGATGCCCGTGCCTTTTCTCGGTCCCTCAGTGATCCGCAGTGCAGCAGGGCCAAGGTCAATTTGGAGCGTTCAGCTACAACACCCATCGCGTCTACTGTGATGCTGCTCAGCCTACCGACCACTTTCATTCTCCGGTGTTTGCGGGTGGTCATCCCTTTCGGCCAGGGACGCACTTGGCCCTCGACAAATCTACAACGGAGAGGCCGGGGGTGCGCACGTGATCAGAATGAATGCCGAGTGGTTCGCCATCTGAAAGCCAACTTTCAATATTGGTAGACAGTGAGCATCCAAAAGCCTGTTATAGCGGCTTAAAGTGCTGTCATTGGTAGAGTGATATAAGTGGTCTCGTTTTTAATCTATACACATCTGCTTCTTAAGCAGTATGCACCCAGTCCCTTCATACAGTGATAAACGCTTGAACACCCAGAGTGATACAAGCAGTCTTGATTGCAGATTGGGACAGACGATCGAAGAGAAATTCGCGAAAGTGTGAGCCATCTAGGACACCTCAACAGCTTCCATTTGTGAGGAAGGTGATAGATCAGGAATATGGAGCTATTCTCGGTTGTTGCACCGTCTATAGCAGTCAAATGCATGAAATATGACTACGCCAGAACCTGTGTGGCTGCTCGCCCTGTGTTTTAGACCTACTCGAATAGGAACCCATCGCTTTAGCAATGCTTGTTTGGTTCCGCTGTAGCTGGCTGGATATTCGCTTGCGATGGATGTGTTGCGCATCTGCTATGCTCAACCGTGGAGCCTGGGTCAGGATTTCATGAGGCTGAAAAGCTATATTGTGTGATCGTCTCAACGTGCAGGGTGTGCCGATCAAGCTTCGCGCCACAGAGGTGGCTCTAACTATCTTCTGGTTCTCAAACCGGACAGGGTCTTCCTGGTTTACGGACTGAAGTCCTTCAGCACAAAGAATGAGCGCCGTCGTTGTAGAGGCTATCTGAATACGCTCCTCGCATGGACTTTGTGCGTCCCGCTGGACGGCAGCAAGAGGTACCGGACAGTTTGCTCTTGCGTCCCGGATCAAAGGGTGTGTGTAGTTGGTGAAGCCATCCTGTCGCTTTTGGCAGGGCTCGAATGAATCATTACATAAACCTATCGATAGTTCGTCAGAATGCAATAGCATGGATCCATATGTGGATAGTTTCGAGCTTGCCTTTCTCACTACAGTTGTATTGGAACTGTCTCAGACAACACGGGTCAATACTTCAAGGCCGGTTTCATGATCGACATCAAATAATGCAGCACTAGAGAGTGGAAAACCTAGGGCTTCCCTACGCAAGAAGTTTTTCGACCGTCTTGTTCAAGTTTGACCCCATAGACGAGCTGCGCAGCAGACAGGGCGGCCATGGGTCATTCGACTGTGCAGTGAGTCGATTTACCAGTGAATGAATATGGTTAAGCAAACCCGCCAGCACAAAGAAGCTATTAGCACTAGACACGGCAATCGCCTTAAGGCTTTCACTATGCGCATGCCATTATACTGTTAGATATTTAACATCCAGTTCCGTAATTCTTTCCAGAGCTTGCCTTTGCAATTGTTGACTAGCTCTCATCCAATGCCTAAGAATATGCAGTGGAAGGCTAATTATATCATTTAACTAGCCTCGTCTCAAGCTGCATCTGGATAACGGCCGGCTTCTGCGTTATCAGTCTGGAGTGGCACAGCGAAGCTGTCTGTAGCCATTCACAGATGTCATAATCCCCGCACGAAAGTTTAACCGTAATGTTGTGCAATTACTTCAAAAGACAGTTCCATGAGGTTATCTGTCATGTAAGATACCCATTACCGTGCGGATGTGCATTGCTTGCCCATGAAGTGGAATTGAGTGCGATTGGAGTTGACACTGTAGCATTACTAGTACTCCCAGATGGGCACGATTAAGGAACGATAGTTAATATATATATCTTCCCCTAAGCACTGCATACTCTTCAATGCCCATTAAAAATCCAGAAGACATGAATCGGCCCCTCAGAACCATTCCATCCCATTTGGTCAGTATTCCTCAGGCATACCATAACCGTCTGGTTCCCTGAATGGGGAGACTCAATGGACCAACCTATATATTGTTGGTTTGGATAGGAAAGAAATCTGTCTAGGTCCTCTCATTGCAGTTTTCACGAACGGTTTTAGGTCGATGCAGAGCTTGTGGAGTCAAATGGAACGCAACAAGCGGTTGGGTATGGTTGTCCGATTTTTCCAAGAGAAGTCGATACCTGATGCTGATAATGTCAACTGCATCGTCAGATACCTACGCCAATTTCCCCTGATAAGCAATCGTATTCATTGTCGTCAGGAAGCGACCCTGGAATTGAAGACTGTTGGATGTCGGAATTTCCAAAAGGCATGGCACCACTCTCATCATGTCCCAATTAAACGATTTGCTGGTGCTACCGGATTTCAGCAGGGATTTGAAGTCAAATGTAATAAAGGCGAGGAATCATTGAGAATTTTGTATGAGAGTTCCGATTGTCCTTGCTGGAATTCGTTTGTTCATAATCCATGTAGGTGATGACCTGATGGAGATCTCCGCTTGACTAAGCTTTGGAAGAGAATTTTGAGGGGGGACCAGAAATTGTCGGCTAAGATGAACTAATAATCCCGAAGCAGCAGCGCGATTTTAAAGTTGATGTCTCACACATGTAAAAAATTCTGGGCCCTCGCCAAAACCCGAATTTCCCCCAATTTTCTTTTCCTCCGTGCCAACCGCAACACCGAGTTTCCGCAACGTCCATACGAGAGCTGCACTCGGTTCATCACAGCCATCAATTCGATGGAGACTGTCCCTAACTATTGATTTTTCAAAGCTGCTGATATTTTGTTTCCCTCGTGTCCTCGTGTCCGATCGTGTCCGAGTTGATTCTTCATATTTATCTCAATCCCATCAATCCGCGTCCGTTTGTGAGCTCCCAGTCACTTGCCCGAGTGCTCGAGCTGGACGAACACCAGCATTGAAGATATCTCGACATTAAAGTTGTCATCGAAGGAAGGAATAAAATCGCAGCTCGATGGGGCAGCACGGCCTTCTTTCTTTTTCCCGGCCAGGAGACCTGCAGCCGAGTTGGGAATTCTGTAGACGTCTTCACCTGCGATCCGTACGGCCAGGTCGAAGTTAGTACAGTACCGGTAGGCAGAGGGAGAAACTTTGCACGTTGAGGAACTTGAAAAGTGGGGCTAGTCCGGCGCCAGCGAAAAAAGCATACCAGCAAGCAAGCAGCAGCAGCCAGTGTCTGGACTGGGCCAAATAAGGAAGAAAGAAAGCACGACCCCGGACCGAGCTGTTTGGCAGGGGCAGAAAGCAACTCCCGCCGCCAGCCAGGGAAAACAGAGAAAGAAAAACTTTTTTCTTTTCTTTTCTTTCCGAATTCCCTACCCGCCATCAAACAACCACCATTCATCCGACTTTCATTCACCTCCCACCCGTCCACCTCCCCGCGCTAGTTCGATTGTCTGTTTACCATCCATTTTCACTACCTCCAATCCACCCATCCATCGGCTGCCAGCCATTTCCTGTTGCCTTTAACTACTGCCTGCCGAATTACTACTAGCGCCAGCAGGACGAGCATTGATTGGGTCTAGAATTGGAATTCAAAGCAGGAAACCTCACTCAACCACCCCTTCCTCTCTCACCTTCCCCCTTTTCGGTGCACCTGCACTTGGACCATCCGTCCTTCCTCTGCACACCGAGCAACACCTGCCTGCCTCGTTGGCAGCTTGCACAACATAGCGCGGTGTTATTCTCTTTTCTGTTCTTGTCCTCCCTTGACTGGTCGGCCGATTTGTTTTTCTTCGTCATCTCCATCATCGCTGGCCACCTGCGACAGCCCAACATGCCTCCTAGACGACAAGCTTCCTCGTCTGTTGCTGCCAACGACGACGCTCAGCAGCGATCTGCTCCTATTGCGAAACTCCTGAATGACCACGACTTTGCAGACGCGTTCCAGGGCGAGGTAAGTCGTCTGGATATCCGTCTGAATGTGCACGTCCTCCTCCCTCCCTGGCCACTCGAGAGCCCATCAATTGCATGTGACCTGCATCAATCCGCCCCATCCACCAACCAATATTTCCGTCACGCCACATCCACAATTCATCTCCCGGGTCGCATTTGCTCACCAGACCCACTCTTAATTGACACTGCGTCTTCTCAGACTTCATCCAAGTTCGGTCGAAGAATGACTAGCGCCATCCACGGCGATGCAGATGGTGATGCCGACACGGTTGGCAATGATGGTCGCAATGGTGATGCAGCGGCAGCCGCCAACGGATCCGCGAATGGCACTCCTGCTGCCTCCCGCCTGCTGCGTCGGGCCAGCTTCGATTTCGAGGCCGCACCTGTGGACCTCAACGAGCTCATGCTGCGACAGCTGAAGGAGGATCGCAACTCGCTGCAGTACGACATGGAGTGGACTCGCCACCAGGTCGGCCTTGCTAACATCACGCCTCCCGAGTCTCGCACATATCAGCTGCGCCTGTTGGACCTCGGACACCAGCTCCGCCAGACCAACCACCGCATCCACATGCGAGAGGCCGAGATTCACAACTACCGCTTTGGACCTGCTCCAGCTGTGTACGGCCAACAGCAATACGCCCCGAATGCTGCCCAGCACGCCTTCTTCATGAACGCGGAGCCTCCACAGGAGCGCCGTGGCCCAGGCCGCCCCCTCGGATCGAAGAATCGCGCCCGGGACTCGCTGGCGCCTGCTTCCACTCCTGGCCCTCAGGCCCCGACCAACAACGCTCAGAAGGCTGCTGCTTTGGCGAGTGCTGGCGCTAAGCGCATCTTGCCCACTGAGATCACTGTGGCGACTCGTAAGTCCGACAACGCAGCACCCTGTACCTTCTGTTTTGATTGTTTTGATGTTCTTGCCTTCCAAATCGATACCACACTCGATGTCACCTGCGCAAATGGCCATCAATTCGAGCTGACCACCTCCCGTGCAGCGAACGGCGACAAGGGCGAGTCTGGTCCCTTGGCGAAGCGCCCTCGCGTTGAGGTTGGCTCACCCCTTGACAGCCCCGCCGAGGAAGACAGCAAGATGGTGGTCGATTCCGGCAGCGGCGAGGCTGCTCACAGCGGCGACACTACTAAGGAGGATAACGCCGCGCAGAACGGTCAAGCCGAGGAGGGAACCCCGAATGTCAACGCGGCGGCCACGTCTGTCCTCGCCGCCCCGACGCCGTCGACCCCGAACGTCCCATCCATCTCCGCCAACACCAGCAGCGCGCAGGCGCAGGCCGGCTCCACCCCGACGGCCACCCGCACGACCCCGGGAGGCACCGTCGACGAGACCGGACCGGGCGGCAGCCAGTACCAGCGACTGGGCCACTGGATGTGCACGCTTTGTACGTCGCAGAAGTACCTCCAGCACCCGGCGCCCAAGCAGCCGTCCGAGCCGTCGTCCTGGCCCCTCCGCGACGTCAGCAAGATAGTTACTCACTACACGCGCATGCACGGAGAGCACAACCGCATGGAGCGCTGTATGGAGCTCGGAACCGCCCTGCAGGCCAACCTGGGCCCCTTCCGCTACTGGATCCAGGAGACGAAGCGGGAGAAGATCCCGCTCGAGGAGGTCCGCGAGGCCCTCGCCACGCTGCAGCGCGGACAGCTGCCCGAGCTACTGCGCCGCTTCTCGACTGCCGCGAGGGCGTTTCCTAACTAATGGGAGACCAGTGGAGGATGTGGTGGAGGGAGTGGCTCTCGTACAGTGTGGCCGGGTGCATGGATGAGGAAGACCTGGGGTTGTGGCAACTTCTGGTATGGGATGACTGTAAAAGTCGTAAAGATGTGACGGTCAACGAAAGTCAGCGACGGTCAACGACGGCCAAAAAATGAGGGTTGAAGTTGAAGTGGAGGACGAAAACGGCCGGCCGTCTTGGAGGCTTGCAGCCGGCGATGAGTACGGACGACAAACACCACAAGACCGGACGATAAGTCGAGCAACGCCAGCACCGCGGTTATCTCCCCACACCCTGAGCTGCAAGTACGGCTCCATGTACGAACCTGGCGGCAGTCGAGATATCCCATTCTATCAGCAGCGAAGCACCGACTGTCTCGGTATTTCACACAACAATTACACCAATCCTCTGGGGGCCCAGGGCCTCTCTTTGTGTCATTATTGCCGCGCGGGTGGCCATCCAGGTGGATAGCACCAACTTGATCGGACGTGTCCGCCACTTAGTCTATTTCAGCATACCAACGGGCCCGGGCAACAAGAGGAGTCAGTGGCGAGTGGTCGGTTGGTACGGCGTTCAAGTCTGGGTTGGGAATCGCTTTGATTTCAGGACGGGGCGTTTATGTGGATAGCTCTACGTGAGAGATCCGTTGATTAATCGCGATGCTTTTTGGGTCACGATCTTAGGGGTCCTCTGTCCCTTGTAAGTGTGTGTGTGTGTGTGTGTGTGTGAGACTGTTGCCTGAATCTGCATTATGCACAACCTGCTGGATTTGGAAGTGAATTAGCCCTGGCTGTGCTGCATCTTTGGTACGTGATTGGTTCTGTGAAAGTAGCCTGGCGACATGGCCACGGTCTTGAAACTGTATGTTGCAGATGGCCGCTATCCCCTGTCTTTGCCGATCACTACCTCGTCCACCAAGCCGACCTGTCCTTGAGGAAGGTCGTCCCAGAGCTGCGGCCACGAGCGATGTGAAATTGCCAAAGACTTCCAGCTCGATTCGGCCTACATACGCATCGTCCCTTCACGGCTCCAGCAGCCCCGGCGCCGAGGTAGCATGCGCGACCGGGTTCCTCGCTGGAGTCGGTGGCACTGTCGAAGCAGCGCTGGTAGGGTTGGCAGGACTGAGGGCACCCATATGGATGACATGGGGCCGGTCCTCATCGCCCGCCCGCCTTCCACCCAGCCGCAAGGAGCGGGGCCGGAGGCGGCTGCCGGACGACGACGAACCGTCCGCTGCGGTCGCAGTGTTGTGGTTTGACCCGCCGGTTGTCCCAGAGCCGGATCCTTCATCCCTGGCGTCGCTTCGAAGGGAGCCTTCATCCCCAGGGCTGGAGGAGTACCTGTTGTGTTTCTTGACTCGCTTCTGCCTCGCTTCTTTCACGTCCGCCTTCATCTGCGCCACGCGGTCCTCGACGTTCCTCACCAGGTCTTTGCTCTTCCAGTCGAGGCTCAGGTACACCCTGTCGTACAGGCCGGACTTGATAACCGTGAGGGTGGTGAGGTACTTGTAGATGAGCCAGATGACGGTCCGGACGTAGTCGCTGAAGGCGATGACGAGGGCGAAGCTGATTATCCCGGTCGATATTGGGACTGTCCCCGAGAGTCGTGATTAGTTTCAGCCGCAATGTGGGGCTTGTCAGGAAACGAGTGCTGTGGAACTTACACATGTATCTGAACTGGCTTCGAAGAGTCATTGGCATTTCGTCGCCCGAGGTCTGCTTGTTGTTCATGCCAAAGATACTTGCGATGAATCCAAGTGGCAGCTATTGTGTCCAATGAGCGAAGTCCCTGAATTCTATCGGAGGGTCGACACTCACGAAGATGATAGTCATTACGGTGAAGATTATAATGGCTCGACCTTGCCTCATCGTTTCCTCGGCTTGCTTTGTGGACTGCCAAGTCTGAAACACAGAGGCTTGCTGCTGTTTGAGATTGAGAAGGTGGTCCAGCTTTAGGAATCCGATTAGCAACTCTCTTCGTTTCTTGTCCTTTAAAGATGAAGAGCTGGTATCGATTCGTTGACGGACTTACACTCGTTGACGTGCTCTCAGCACTCTTCCTCAAACCCTCCAGCTCTCCGATCTGGTCGTCAACATCACCCAGCAACTCGTCAGCCGTATTGACAAACCAGAAATAGTCGTTCTGCCGCTTTTGATCTTTGGTGTCTTTGGAATTACTGATTGGGGTAGTAGGCAGCTTGTCCTTCCAGGTCCCCGACGGATCGAGTATGTGTGTGACCTCTTTCTTGAACTTCTTAATGACGTCCCTCTGCTGGGTGCTGATGTAGATCATGATATCGAGTTCATCAATGATGTCCTTGATCTCGCGCTGCAGCTTCCCTTCTTTATTGATATTCAGCAATGGGATGACAAAGTCGCTCAAGTTTGCCGGGAGATAGCCCGGCCTAGCGAAGTTCCCGAGCTTGCCAGTCCATTCCCACAGGTGTTCAAAGCTGATTGTCTGCTTGTTATTCTAAAAACGTTTAGTGCTCCGAAGTCCTGTCGTTGGAAGAATTTTTTGTTCCTTACGACGTTTCCAATTGACTCCGAAAATATGTCCATGACTTGAGGCTGGCGGTCCTGGAACAAGCTTTAGTTATTGGGGGAATATTGACGAAGCGTGACCAAAATGCTACCCACCTGGGTTTTGGTTCGGTCGAAGAACGTGTTTGAACATTCATCGAGAATGATCAAGGCCAGGTCGCATACGGTTCTTATGTGATCTTTCCTGAGCCCTTTCAACCTCGAACGAATGGATTTGTGGACGCCAGACGAGTCCTGCTTGTTTACTCCATACCGTTTGGGAAAGCATGTTATTATCGTCTGTTCGTCGAGAATCCACATCCACAGCTGATCTACCATCACCACCCGGGAGACTTTTCGGATATGGTCTCGACAATGTGGACATCGAATGCCAATGGTTTCCTCCAAGCTACGCGTTGTTGAATCATCCTTGGCGTTTGGATGCTCCTGTGACAAGGTGTGTTTGGTGGCATTATTTCTCTCTTCACAGTCCCACTCAAACTCGACCTTGTCACCACTTTTGTGTTTCTGGGCCTTGACGCCCCACGCTGGATTCTTCGGTCGAGTCTTCGGTTTTAGCCTATGGCGGAGGTTCTGGTCAACAGTCGTTCCGCGATAAACAACCTGATCCCGATCTCTGAGCTTCGTTGTTTTCAAGGTCCAATAGTAAGCCTGGTCAAGGGTGCGGCGTGGATGTAAAGGAGGATCTTTGTGTAGGTATTTCTGGATGAACCTCCTGTCTCGGTAATTCGCCATGGCTTCGTAAAGCACAGCAGCATCGAGCAGTACCTGGCCCACCTCTGTGCCCGCAATGATCCTGCCAGTCTTCTTCTTGAACGGAGAGGACTCTTCAGCGTCATCTTTCCGATGATGCAGCCATCGTAGCCAAAGTGCGGTACTAGCTCGACGGGCAGGGCTCTGAGAACGGCGTATGTCTTTCGGCCAGATCACATCTCTGCCTTTCTTAGACAGGCAAGGAATTGTGAGGTCTTCGCGGTCTTGCTGTCGTATTTTCTTTCGTGAACCCTCCTTTATCTGCTTCGCCTCACGGTGCCGTTCGGACTCGAGGTCAAGTGCTTGGGACAGTTTCTCCCTCTGTCTATCCGTCTCCCCAATGCAAGTACGGCATCTACAAGGTACGGACGGGGCTCAGTGTAAGTAAGTGAGCAGCTCCGACATGGCCAATCGAAAGTTCTGATGGATAAGGAACTCACAAATAGCACTATGTTCCGAGGGGCAGCTTCAACATGGGTTGGATCTAGGTCGAATTAGTGCGGTGTGACTTGATTGGTTACTGTGTAGCGGGCGACGACAATATATATGGAGGTTGGGCACTAAGAATGGGGCTCACCAGACGAGACTGTTTCGCACAATGGCCGGAGATGACGAGCGTGAACAGAAGCTGACCGGCCGCCGTGTTGCTGCCCTTTCCAGAATTGGGGTCAGAATCGCAGACGTTTTAGTTCTCTCCTTTTCTGAGACTTCTCTGAAGAGCCCGTCATACTTGAGATCCCCCTCGGCAAAATATCGCGCAATGGCTCTCTGAGTTAGAGTCAGCAAAGTGTTCCGCAGCAGTGTCACTCCACGGATTGGCATTATCAGTGCGCCGCATACCTCGATCCACTGTGGCATCATTAGTCAACCATTTCCCTGTTAGGACAAAGACACCATAGCCAGGAAACGGGATGAGAGAAGACAGGGCGATACTGACTTGCATATTATTGGCGGGGAAATGGAAGTAGTTGATGCTTTCTTCCGGCTGCGAACCCTTGGCCAACGGATTTGAAGGTTCCTCATCATCCAACAAATGAGACACAGCAATCTTATGGTTAGGGAAATGACCGTTGAATCGAGGGTCCTTGAGATCTTTCTCTGCTTGAGATTTCACATATCGAATAAGGTAGGCGTTCAGATCGCGATCGGGATCATATTCAGAGCTTCCCAAATGCGGTGTCCGCGGATCTCTCTGATTCGTGGAATTGGGTCGGCCTTTTCTCAATCTCCAGGTTCGCACTGCCTTAATTCCATCCGGGCATGTATAAAGCTCACACTTTCTCCAGGAATTCATGCTTCGGTCCAAATTCAATAGTAGCAAAGACTCTTCTTTGTCGTGTTTCAAGACATGGCGTAGGTATTCGATGCGACGCAATTCAGATTCGACCTGCTTCTGGTGCTCTCCGTCCAGCCAATTGAAGTAGTCCTCCCTTTCACAGAATTCTAGGCAGCCGAGATAATGCAGTATGATGTCTCTAGCCTCAGTGTTCCCATGTTTCTCTGCACTGAGGCATGTAGGCGTGATGTCGTGGTCACCCATGATGTATGGCTTTTGCTGCTGTGGATCGGAGCGATTGAACTGATACCAAAATGGCCAATTACTGTGGTCAAGAACGGTAAAGATCCTTGGTATTTATTAATGTTGTGTACTCATAGCGACACACTAAGAGTCGCAGGACCAAAATGACCCAGCCACATGTGCGCCATGTGTGCGCCCACGCCAGTTTGACCGACAAGCAGGATCCCGAGGTCCGCGTCCACCTGAGCACTCGGTAGATGAGGCTCTGCTGCACACACACTGATCCGCAAAGGAGGATTCAATAATGCATGGTGTGCATGTAAAAGGTTAGTCAACGCCATCACCATTGGTGAATTTGGATTATACCTTTGGGGCCGTTTTGCCTCCGGGTCAGCACCAAGGACGCCACTGAGAAACCGGCGAATGATCTCAATTCGACAAAGATGTGATGGAGGGCCACTCGCTGGGCTAATACTCAGCTCGCCCGAATTCCTAGCCCTGCCAGTTGTGTACACCAAGTTGGAGCTCGCTTATCTCAGCTGAAAAGCCTCTCAGATTCGGTGGCTTCAATGGGATCACTGTGGGAACCATACATGGCAGAGAGCCAAGGCTGTAGGATTTTTGTGACAAACTCGGTCACACCGATAATTGAAATGGCTGCAAACTATGGTGTGATGAGCGCATGCTGAGTAGTAAAATTAGACAATGCAACTGATTTTCACTCGCAACCAGAATGTTGGAACACGAGGAAGCTTGTAACAATTCAACAGGCCCAAGAGAAATAGAGGCCATCACTGTGCTCTCCCATTGCATCCAGTAGGCGGAACAAGCGATTCGAAAACCGAAAGAATGGTATTGCCAACTTCGCTGGGGCATCTTCCAGATCAAGAATTGCAACATCGCTTCTCACCCAACGTTCAATGAAGTCAAGCTTGAAAGTATCTGCTCATGGAGATTAAATTAATGACAGTCCCACACGTCTCAAAAGTGCTGGACAGACGGACGAAGATTTCCGTTCGATTTTTCCCTCCTTGCCGATCGTGATAGCCCCGGGGGCTTCCGTGGCTTCAAGGGTGGAGTAGAACGTCAGCCTGATGCATTTTCCTTCGAATAACGTCCTGCTGAATTATGGAGATCCGGATTCTACGTCTCTTATAATGGCACGTTATCGGTGGCCTGATGGAAGAATAGTACACGAATGGTCTCGAGTTGCTGACTTAACCTTGACTCATGCGATAAATGATCAGCCGGATGTGATTTTCCAGGGGGGGGGGGGGTGAGAAGAAGGAAGAATATTGTGAATGGTTTACCATATGCGAGACGATCACCAGAGTCCGAAATCGAGTGAGGAAGATTGAGCCACAAGCGCGAGTAGCTTAAGATCCAGAGCTGCGCACAATCTTTGCGAATTTCCCTGGCTGCGTGGCTTCTAGCCGCCTAGAAGCATGTATCAATAGAAAACTGGGTACGAACATTCCATCATGGGGAAGGTTATGTGAGGCATGGGGAACGCTAGCGAGGCCGTTTACTGGTTAGGAGTAAAGTAACCAAGTCGAAATGGAGCGTTTCAGCCGCTCGTCAGAGCCAGAAATCGATCGGTCTCAAGATATCGCTGGGGACCATCGGCCTTGAACATAATGACAAGCTTTTTATGCTTTGTCGTCGAAGCAAAAATATTGCTAGCTTAATCTACTAGACCAAGATCGAGTGGGCCTTGCATTTCTGACTGGTTGATTACTGCTAGAAAATCGTTATGATCTACCCCGGGTACCGCGTGCTCGGGTCCCAGTCGTGGGCCGTGGCTAATTATGGCGTCGCTCTCGTACTCGTACTTCAGCGAGGGCCCAGAGCTTGCAGCACCACGACTCTACACCGCACTGATTGACAACAGCCACCCTGCACTCGCATAGGGCTGTGGCTATTCAGACTTTGATGGATTCAGTCGAGGCTATGGCCTTCGCTTCGTTCCGAGCTTTCCACTATTGCAGTGCTTTCGGATCATGGGTACGAGAGCGACTTCGCGGGACACAGAATAGCTAGAATAACTAGAATAGCTACGTAGGTATGGTCTATAAGATGAGTGAGAAATCCACGGCTTGATGCAACAACACTCAATATCTCCATCAGCAGCTTTCATGTCTTGTCATTGATACCCCTTTAGACATTTTCCTCATCCCGTAATCTTGGGCGTCGAATCCACTTTGGAGCTCACGCTGCACTTTTGACCGCGGCTGTCTTCCCTGCCAAAGTACAGAACTAGAAAAAACCACCGAAAATGGGCCTCTTAGACTACCGTTTCAAGCTTCCACTGCACATCGTGGAGTTAATCCTTATCGTTGCCGTGTGCGACATCTCCACTGCCCGGCTCTTCCTGCCCGGCGTGACCACCAAGACCAGGGCCAACACGATAGCGCTCGGATTTGTGAGTTGGGCATCGCATGTCTTCCATGACGTACCTGTTGAGCCAAGCCAACCATTGAATCCCCCTTTCCATAGTCTGCGAAATCAATCAACTTCATTTTCTACCAGCTCCTCACCGACCATGTCCAGCGCCTGCGGAGGTGGAGGAGCCTGAAGGCCTACACGATAATCAACGGCCTGGAAATCGTCTTCTGGGCTGCCGTGGTGTTCTTCCTTATCCAGGCCAATATCTCCGTCTGCGCCGGTGTTGGGTGCACCCTCAGCTGGGTCGTTGTGGGCATGTCCATCTCGCTGAGGTAAGCCCGGTTGTCCACCACCACCCACGCCCGTCTCCCCTTACGCGTTGGCTCGGTTTGAACGGGAAACTGATTTCGACTCTGTAATTATAGTATTCTCTCGGCCTACGCGTTCTGCACCTCCTTCGTTGCCTTCCGTGAGCTCCGCGCGAGGCAGGCGGCCGAGCGGCACGGCGATGATACCCACGAGCTCCGTCACGAAGTAGGCCACCGCCGCTGTTCTACCTTAGTCAGCAGGGAAGACATGAGGAAGTGAGAAGAGATAATTACTTGATACTAAAATTCTGGACGCGGAGGATTCATCACGGGTCTCAACGAAGTCTCATACGGAGCTGAAGGGAAAAGGACACAAGGGGGAGTAAAGGGCGCCTGCATCCGTGGCTGCCCCATCTGGGATGTTCAAGCGTTTGATATTTTAATGATTCGTTTTGTTTTATTTTGTCATTATTTCATTGTGATTATAGTCCAGGACATTGGAACACCATGGGATAGATGCTGCACAATATGGGGCGTGTACAATGAGGAACAGGATGATACCTAGGTAGAAATCGATTATATGATTATTAGCACAACTTTCCCTGCTGTGCGAATTGGGCGGAACCGCAACCAGTACATCCGAGTGCGTGATATCTGGTTGGGTCTCTTGTCATTAAGCAGAAGCGGAAAAGAGAATGGAAAGATGACAAAAGACGTGGTACCGAAAGGAGGGAGGGCAGGTGTGAAAACAGAAGTCGAGTTAGACAAGATCTCTGAGAGTCTCACTTGGGAAACAATCGATTCAGGTAAGGACTTCATCACACAAAGTAACTAACACATCTTGACTGCTGAATAATATGTCAATAAAACACCAGGGACTCCAACGGTAAAACTATCCCAGAAAGACATATTTCGAAACGAAGGACACCAGTAAGTCATCACCAACACCACAACCAGCCCACCTAGATGGCTCTATTGACAACAAACCTTGCCCTCCTCCCCAACCTTTAACTCAGCAACTCCATCCACAACCCCGTTCAGCCCCACGCTGCAGTTGACCTCCTGCCGGCTAGGCGGCACATCCAGCGCCGGGTTGCGGTCAAAGAAGTTCACAGGGCGCATGGTCACCTTGATCATCTCCATAGGCATGACAGGGAAGTCCTCAACACGTGGGATATGATTGATACCAAACTGCACCCAGACCACAGGGCCAGGCGACCCAGCAGGGGAAGGCGCAAGCTCATCCCCGCGGCCAGCCCAGGCCCGCACGCCCGCCCCGCCGCGCGACTGGTTCGTGTAGTACCCGCCCGCGAAGAGCTCGTTCTCGGCGTACCGCGTGACGTAGATGCTGTGGTCGGCGAACTCGGCGCGGCGGTGGTGGTAGCTCTCCGGGTCGGCGAGCATGGGCTGCATGGGCGGGACGTGCAGCTTGTAGGCGACGCTGGCGCCGTTGACGCTGTTCTTGACGCCCGTGTTGACGAGCTTGAAGGTGCGGTTGCGCGAGGTGTCGAGGTCGTAGCCGCCCGACGCCGTGATGGGCGTGCGCTTGACTGTGTAGCCTACCCCGTGGGGGTTCTCCTTTGGGTCGCGGGGGATCGCGTGGGCTTCTTCGTAGACTACTTGTTGGTTGTCTGGCCCTGCGATCATGGGATCTATGCGGAGGGAGAAGAAGTGCTGATGGAAAGCGGCGAGCACACCTGGGTGCACGACTGTGCCGTAGGGGTGTGGCTCCTTGGTGAGGTCGAGGTCGACGGGCTGGGTGGACAGAATGCCAGTCGCGCGAACCTCATAGGTCACGTCGCCTGCGAGGCTGAAGTTCCAGGCCAAGATATACTCGTAGTTGCTAACCGTCAGGATGGTCTGCAGGACCAGCTCGCGGTTGCGCACTGCGACGGCGCGGTTGGTGCGGTAGTTGGTGTGCTTCCACAGGAGGCCGGCGTCTTGCTCGTGGATGCAGACCACATTAGGGTAGTCCTGGGGCTTGCCCTCGGTGTCGGCCAGCACGCCCGAGATGTAGTAGATGGAGCCCAAGCAGTCGCATCCCAGGCTGAGGTTGTTGGCCATGATGCCGGCGCCGACGTCTCCCAGGTCGAAGGCCTGCTTCTTATGGAATGGATGGCGGGGGTCCGCGTAGGGGATGGCCATGTCGGACAGCGAGAGGCGGTAGAACAGGGGGTTGCCATCGTAGTGCACATCATACAGGACCATTCCCTCACGCTGGTTGAAGCCGACCTTGAACTCCCACTTCTGCCACTTGATCACCTTGCCCAGGCCGTCCGCACTGAACTCCTCGACCGTGAAACTTGCTCCTTCAGGCTGAACTACCCGCAGCGGCTTCAAGTCCTTTCGGAGCCCGTTAGGTTGTGCCTCGGGGATGTACTCATTCGGAGGCACGGGGCCCTTCCATGCCTCGAGCGACTTCACGGTGGTATCCTTGCCCGTGGGCAAGATGTCGATCCGGATGACCTTGTAATCGACCGTGTCGACAACAGGCGAGACTGGAAGCGGGAATGCATAATGGCAGCCATCCTCTTCCTTGGAGTTTTGTGGATCACGCATGTACAAGAAACACTGCTTGACCCGCTTGTGATCGGAGAAGAGGCCCTCGTGGACGCCGTCAGACCCATAAATCCAGGGGTCAGATACAACAACACTGCCCTCCGGTAGCTTCAGCTTCTCGAGTTCGGCTTGTACGCCGGGATCTGCTAGCATAGCTTTCTCGATGGCGATGATCTCCTCCCCATCACCGGGGGCGTGGATGAAAGGGCCGAGCCGGACATTGCTCTCGACCTTGGCAGCGCTAAGGTTGACGACAGCTTCGTGGAGTTTGTCCTGAACGGATTAGCTTGTGATCGCGGACATAGGTATTGGGTTAGGAGTCCTTACAGTGTTCCTCAGGTAGTACACTACCTGGCTCTTCCGATCAATGGGCTTGACTGGTTGGCCAGCCCTCTCCGCCTGCAGGTACGGAGCCAGTTCGGTCTTTGGCGGCTCAAGGAGTGTGACGACCTTGAACTGAAACTTGGTCCCCTCGGGCCATTGTGCCCTAATCAAGTCTGAAGACTGGGATATCTCACTCGCGGTCAGAGGGCCCAGAGGGTGCGAAGGTGCCGACTTCTTCGTGGTCCCGTTGGAAGTGGTGGAGGCCTTGGTCTGGTTGAGGCCTGCCGGTTCCGGGGCTGCGGAAACGGTGCTGTCGTTGGCCGTCATGTTGATAGTACGTTTGGAGTGGTGATATCAAAAGGAGGCAAGATATATGAGGACCGACCTAAGTACAAGGGGAAGCAAGAGGGCGGTAGAGCTGCCGAAAAGGACTTGAATTGCTCTTATACTCGGTTGCCGGGGCGATTGGGGGACAACAAAATCCCATCAGGGAGAACCTTAAGTCGTATCGAAGATAATATGGTGACGAACCGGCAAGATATAGTCGAAATGTCAAACACGTAGGCTATTATCCCGTTCTCCAGATGACCACGGGCAAGAAACTCAGTTTCCAGATTTGGATGCTAAAGGGAGAAAGCTACGTCGAAGAGGGTCCGCGTGCTTGGGCGGGATACGCTTATCGGAGATCTGCCCCACGCACCCCTCCCCCTCGCCGATATCGATGCGTTTGTCTTGGGAAACTAAAACCGGTTGGACATGCCACAAGGGGCCTAATGCAAGCCAAAGCACAAACTCGGGATGGGATGGAGTGGTCATTGGGCTTTTCCCCAACCGTGCTGCTATCGTGCGGCCGCCCTTCCCAGTGATGATCGTTTCCCGCTCTGGTCCCGGCCCGGTGGCTGATGCGGCTGCGGAGGACGTTTGCAGACGGGGAATGTAATGCTGACCTCCGATACCCACTCGGCTGCCGACGGTCCCGAGTAGCCGGTGAAACCCGTTACATCTCACGGATTACATGGCTGGTTATGTGCGACGGGAAATGCAGAAGGTCGCTGAATTTGAGTTGCTATCGATCGCATGGGCGTGTTTTTGCTGACTTGCTGACTCACTGACCCGCCGGTTCGGCGGGCTGGTTGGAAATATTTTATAACTGGCTGCGTCGACCTTGAACGTAATGTACAAATTTTGGACGGCAGCATCGCTCCTCGCCGCACGATATGAACGCATCGCTCCCTTATTAACCGGGCCAGCAGGCCTCGAGCCATCCTCCGTACCACCCTTGAGAATGAATGGTCCTTGCCCCATGCACATTGGTCTCCAGATCCTCTGGCCAACCCACCACCAAGCAAGCCAATATGCGCCTGATCAAGAGACGGAGTGTCCGCGTGGGCTCGCCTCGCCAGACGACTGAGCACTGAAGCTCGATCAACCCTCACGACCTGCACATTCACCAACCGATTCCGCACCTCGCGATCAGAAGATGCCCTTGGTCACCCACCGGCTGGCACTAACCATCCACAGCCTCGAGTACCACTGGTGCGCCGTCTCCATGTACTTGGGCATGGGCCCGAGGATGCCGTCTTGCTTGTTCTTGGAGTCGAAGAAGCAGCTCTTGAGGCCCAGCTCGACCTCGCCCCTCTCCTTGTCGACCTCGGCGTACATGACGAACAGGCCGTCGCTCTCGCGCGGGCCCGCGTTGCGCACGGGGCTGTCGCCGCGCACGGTGATGGCCGAGGGCGTCCTCTCGACGACCTCGAAGTGGTCCGTTATGCGCGTGCCGGGCTCGTAGTTGGAGGTGGCCAGGTCGCGCGGGGACCAGAGGTGGTCCGGGGTCTCGGCCTGGTACTTGTTTGCGAGGATGCGGCGCTGGGATCGGTAGCCTGGGTGGGATTGTGGGTAGTGGTTAGCGGCTGCGTCTCTTATACATACAGATAAATCGCCAAAGCTATAAGCGGCGCGGCAGAAGGGAAGGGAAGGCAATGCAAGGCGAGGGAAGCTCACCCCAGCCGGCCCAGACGCCGCGGCAGAACTCGAGGGCTAGGTCGCCGTCCTTCTCCAGCAGTTCTGGTCGGATCTTGGATAATGGCACGCGCTTGATGCAGACATCTTGGGTGGAGGGGTTGTTGTGCACGTTGTAGCGGTTGAAGGGGTTGGATTTCCAGATGGGGTCGTCGCGGGGCAGCGGGCGGATGATGGAGGTGGAGCCGGCGACGTAACCCACCAAGGCAGTGCCCGTGAGGACGGTGGTGTAGAAGGTCTTTTTGATGATTCCCATTGTGGCCGGCTGGCTGCTTGCTCTACGAGAGGGGGAGGGTGAGGTTGGCTTCAGAGAGAGGGGGAGCAAGAGACAGCCAAGCTGGTAGGGTGTTTGAAGAATCGAATTGGAGAGTTGGAGCTGGTAGCTCGTTGTCGCGTGATGGTTGAGTCGACAGGCACACACACAGTACACTATGCAGAACCACAAACATGGCCCCTGTACTTGCACGCCTCTAGACCTCGGATGATGCGCGAACTGCGCCTCGCCCAGGTGGTGGAGCTTCCCGTCGGCCCCCAGAATTCGGCCCTGGGAGCTCGCTCTTCCCCTGTAAGTCGAGCGAGATGGGCCCGCGTCGCGGGGTAACTCGGGACGGCGGACGTCGCAGTCGGGCTGTACCGGCCCCGACCACCTTCAGAATTAACCACTGCACAGTGTTGAGACCCACCCACAATCTCGTCTCGACCACGATGCCGTATTCTGTTGCAACACCAATCACAGCCACTCAATTACTGTTTTGCTGTGATAATGGTCTTCGGGTGGACCTTCACCGTGTTTATCTCACTATTTGATGTCTTCATATTGCTTACTTGCCAGCTCTGCTCCAATGCAATATCTGGTCACTTCAGCGAGTCCAACTTGACGCACCGGAGCGCTTGTCGACGCAACACGTCACAGTCTACGGGCACTCAATTGAAAATTTGTCCATCTGGACAACATCATCTCTGAAAATCATTTTCGTCATGTTTTCGCCGCATCCAGCGATGCCTATGGTGGTCGGCGTGGTGAAATCCGGGGTCGACTTAGACGTCCCTATGAACACAACCTGACACAGACTCCGTCTCAACTTACGCAGTCAAAGCTTGACCCCTTCAGCTTCTAGACCCTTCTTGATGTCGATTGTTTCAGCTTGGCATTTTCATTAAATGACATACCACCGACCTCATGGCTGCTGGCTGAAGAGCTGTGCCGAGTGACCCAGCCTGCCAGATATCGTGCCTCTTCGCACACGCATCAGACACATTCCCTCACGAGTACTCACCAAGCCTGTAAACATGGGCATCTACCGGAGACGGCAGCTTCGTGCCGCCTTCTCCCTACTCATATATCCCTTCGCCTTTGCTGTCCTGCTCACCTTCTTAGCCAAGCTGCTCTTTGGACGCCCAGCGTCGCCTCCTCCATCCCTGGCAACAACAAGCCAGAGCAACCGCCAGCACCAGCCAGGCACAATATCCAAGGCCCTGGTGGTCGCCTCCACCACAAAGGAAGACACCACATGGCTGTCCCAGATCCCAGCTTCCCTAAACTGGACCATCAACCACTACCGCGTCGACGCGCCCCTGACCCCGGCCCTCAGCGTGCCCTCCAGGAACGGCAACGAGGCCATGGTCTACCTGACCTACATCATCGACAACTACGCCGCCCTGCCCGACGTCATCTTCTTCCACCACGGCCACCCGCGCGCCTGGCACCAGAAGCTCGGCAGCGCCGACGAGGTCGCCCGCCTGCGCGCCGAGTACGTGCTCAAGGCCGGCTACGCCTCGGCCCGCTGCCTCCCCGGCTGCGAGAACGTCGTCTCCCTCGAGGGCGGCGAGCCCGCGCCCCGGATGGCCGCCCTGCCGCTGCTGTCGCGGCGGGACCACCTCGTCACCCTGCTCGAGAACTTCCTCGAGCCCGCGCGCTTCCCTGACCTCGAGGGCGCCGTCCCCGCGCAGCTGGCTGCGCCGTGCTGTGCGCAGTTTGCTGTCAGCCGGGGGAGGGTGCTGCGCAGGGACAGGGAGTGGTGGGTCAAGCTGAGGGAGTGGCTGATTGAGGCGCCCCTGCCGAGTATGAATTCCGGCCGGTTGATGGAGCATCTGTGGCATGTCTTCTTTGGAGTGGAGGCCGTGCAGTAAGTGTGTCCCTGTTGGATCACCTGGTTGCAGACAGTCGTGATGCAGGGTCTGGAGGTATCCATCGTAGGCTGACATTCTGGTTGCAGCTGTCCGAGTCTTGAGGCTTGCCGATGCCACGTATTTGGTATGGGGGATAACTGCGAGAGCTATTTCGAGCAAGAGAAATACATGTGAGGGCCCAGCAAAGCTCACCTCCTGGCTTCGTTTGACAAGTATTCTCAGCTGGGATACGGCCTGAGTACATCTTCCACGCTCCCTGTTTTACTACGGAGTTTTGTTAAATTGAGATCAGAATGTTTAACCAAGCGCCATGCATCGCATTACTCCCCGGCATTCAAGTCTATACTTTGTGCCCTACTTGAAACGCAAGTATGGTAACTTGCGGGCGCTATGTTCCCCTGCTCTGGCAGCCTCCTCCTGCCCTGGAATGTGTCCTTGGCTGCACAGGCTGCCCTTGCATACGTGGCCATGTGGATTACAACCATCACAGCAACAGTCCACGGGTCATGCTACTCCTGCCTACTCCCACCGTCATCGAAAATGCATCCAGTAATATGGCGACCGGCCTAGAATCTCCCGCCCCGGGGACACAGCACGACGTGCCAACCCGGCCTTGTTCCCTCCTGGGCCAATGCAGCCACCGACCAACCATCCAACACATCTCAGCCCAGCTTCGGCCCGGGCACGTCAGAAACAAAGTGCTTCATGAGCAAGCTATTGTTCTTGCGCTCCATCCTACCTGTTCACGACGGCATTAGCTCACGTTTGAAGACAACAAGACTCACTTCTTCGCGGTCTTGTTGCCGCGCAGCTCGACCTTACTCCAGAATCTGCGCGACTCGTGTCGCGCCCTGTCCTGCTGCTTGAACTGCCTCAGCACTACAGCGCGCTGCTCCGCCGCTGGAAGGTGAGCCAGCGCCGCGCGGTCGCCAAGCGACATCCTCGCCATCGCCAACGAGAGAGTGGACCGGCTGTTGGCCTCGGCGCGGCGCTCCAGCCGCGTCAGCGCTCGGCCGGTGTCCGCCGCCGGGGCTTCCGCGGTGGGCTCCGAGGGGCCTGCTCTGTCCTCGCTTGGTGGGGTCGGTGATTCGGGTTGAGAAGATGCCGCGGCGAGGGCGCTACGGCGGGTGGGCTTTTCCGTCTCGGCAAGCGGGCGGTGGTGCTTCGGGGCCGGTGCTGAGCGATGCGAGAGGACCTTGCCCGAGGGGAGGAGTAGACTGCCCTCCCGAAGCCGGAGAGGCGGCGCGTCATTTGCCAGCGATGCGTCTGCCTCCTCCGCATCCTCGTCCTCGGAGCCGGGTGTCTCCTCGCCGGAGGAATCACCCTCACCCCTGCCCACTCTGGGCATCTCGTAGAAATCGCGGAACTCGCTCTCGCCGTCCTCGAGATCGACCCGGCAGTGGCCCTTGCCCGTCATGTGCTGCTGCAACGCGCGCGGGGTCTGCCTCCGCGTGTGGCAGAGGAGGCACTCGTGGTAGGTGTATACCACGAGGTGCATGTATCGCACGAGGGTCTCGAGGTCGACCGCGAGCGCGAGCGAACCGTTGTCGATGGCGGCCGGGATGAAGAGAGAGTGGTTCCTGCTCATATGGGACAAGTTGGACTCAAAATCTGGCGAGGCGGCGTTGCAGAAGAGGCACTGCGTTGGGGTGAAGCCCGGCTCTGTGGGCTCGCTGCCTGGCCTCTGGCTAATATCTGATCCCTCAGGTCCGCTTTGGCCCTCTGTGGTGGATATCTCTGGGCTTTGGGTCCTAAGATTTTGTGAGGACGTGCGCCTCTGGGGAATTCAACAGAAGGCGTAGGACTGGGTACCTGTTGGGAAGTGTCTTCTGTGATGCAGTGCCTTTTCCCTTCCCGGGGGACAGTGTGTCTGGTGCGGGAGCACCCATCACTTCAGTATTAGCTGTCATGATGTCGGCGTGGCTCGTAGCGGGGGATGTCGACGTAGCGTCCATGTGATACTGTCTATCAACGGTCTCCTGTGTATTTGTCTACAGTCAATGGCTGGTTGAGTTGAGACTGGCTGGTAGGTCATGGCGACTTCCTTTTCTGCTGTGGGTAGCGACATGCTTATTATTTATATCTATCAATCTTCTTTTTCTAGGTATCGCGTATTGAACCTGTATCAGGTAAGGCCTTGTATCTCCCGTGTCACAGAGTCCCATGTAAGTCCTTTGGTGACTCAGGCAACGAACCGGATCGTACGTAAAACGGCTTAGGTTGTGATCGATATCAAGGTTGTCCTGAGGATTCCAAGGCCTAGGCCCTTGAGACGCAGTAGACCAGTATCAGTTATACGTGGACATGACGGTATGGTCTGCTAGTGCGGCACCTGAGATGCCGAGTTGTCGCTCAGAATGACTCATGCCGATGCAAGGCGATCCCACGAGCAGATCCTCTGCCTCCTCGCCGAGCTTGATGAGGGACGTGGGAAATGATCTCAAGATTAGCATAGAAGAACCTTAAATTTTTTGTCATTGGCTTGATATTCTGTGATAAATTGAATATTTCAAGCCACGATACATGTGTACGGGTGGCGTCACTCTTCTGCGCCTGCAACTTTCGCCCCGCTGAGGATCCCTGAGTCTGCTGTGTGACCAATGAATCCTTGGGACCTGGAATTGGTGCATGGCTCACAGTTGGGCTCCAAAGTGCATATGAGAGAATCCGATGCAAGAAAAATCACGATTTGGATACAAAACCTCAATCCATAATGTTTAACATGATGCTATACGGATCGCTGAATGTAGGAGGTAACATGCATTCCACTTTTGGCCACAATGTTATCGTCCTGAAGTTCAGAGAGCCTCCGCAAATAGCGTGATGAATCCTCGACGCTGGACGTACATTTTTTTTTTTTTTAAAAAAAAAAAAAAAACCGGTCGATATGGACGGGAAAATCCGTTCTGTTGGCAATTCAGGTCGCTCGAATACAAATTTGATGGAAAGGGGCAATCTTTGTCAACACCAGCCCAGGATCTACATCGAGTGCATGACTGGCGCAAGTGTGGCTACCACTTCCTCAGAACTCATCAAAGTAATAAAGAACAACTCACTAGTGAGTGTAGGATAGTCAGGATTCTAGCAAAGTGTTCACTAACAAGAGGAGAGTTCACCCTCCGGACTGCTGTCTTCTTTGAATTCACCAAAGCGAGGCCCCATTAGAACTATTCCCACATGGTTACCGCATAACGCAGAACACTACCTATGACATGGGGCCTATGATGCCTTCGTGTGGAACGGTTCCTCAAAATGGATCCCATACACTAAATTGCAAACCGAATGGGACCTGGACTTCGGCAGCGGTCGAGGACCAGCTGCTAACGCCCAAATCAGGATCAACGGGACCGGCGCTAACCCCCGTTCGTATTTGTATACGGCGGGCAGGGCTTACTCTGCACCCAGCCGGCCTCTACGATCGGAGAGTTGGGATCAATCATTCCGAATTGGTCACAGTGATGCTGACACTGAAGTGACCATGCGTCTCATTGTCGATTGCAGAAGCGTTCTCGTGCATGCGGGCAACGAGATATAAAACGGCTGACCGCGCATTATCCAGAAGTCCTCATCCAAGTCAACCTCACTTACAGCATTTACACAATCTACTCACCACATCACTCGAGAGACCCAGAGACGGTCTTACATTGAACATCTTCCCCACCACCCTAACGAGCGCACAGAGGGCCTCGACAATGCCGCCATCCAACACGGCCGCCTGGCTGACGAAGCCAAAAACACCACTCTCCGTCTCGTCGGCGCCGTACACCCCGCCGGGACCAGACCAGATCGTGGTCCGCTCCCGCGCCATAGCGGTGAACTACTGCGACTGGGCAAAGCAGGACCTCGGAAGCATGTTGTTCCCCTGGGTCAAGCTGCCCTTCGTGATGGGCGAGGACGTCGCGGGGGAGGTCGTCGAGGTGGGGGCCGGCGCGGACGCCTCCTTCAAGGTCGGCGACCGCGTGCTGAGCCATGCGGTCGGTCTGGACAAGATCAGCAGCGGGGCCAGCGAGGGCGCGTTCCAGGAGTACGTCGTGCTGCGCGCCGGGCTGGTGGCGCGGATACCGGACTCGGTGGCGTTCGAGAGGGCCTGTGTGTTGCCAGTCTGCCTGAGCACCGCTGCGACCGGGCTGTTCTGCGACAAGCACCTCGGTCTGGACCTGCCTTCCCTTGATAACAACGCTGCCACGGACGGGAGGAAGGCCGGGAAAGGTGCTCGTTGTATGGGGCGCCAGCACCGCCGTCGGGATGAACTGCGTGCAGCTGGCAGTTGGCGCTGGATACACTGTCGTTGCGACGGCGGGGAAGCACAACTTTGACTACGTCCGCTCTCTCGGCGCGGCCGATTTTCGATTACCGCGAGGCGAATTGCGCCCGAGAGGTCATCAAGGCCACCCAAAAGATTGGGTCGGGATGTGCCGGGGCCGTTGCCATCGGGGCAGATTCGATCAAGCCATGCATAGATATCGTCTCAGCATGCTGCAAGGGCACGGACAAGGCGTACGTCGCTCAGATGTCTCTCAACGGGCCTCCACCGCCAAAGCCGGGAGCTCTGAACCTTGTGTCTTGGTTGGCTGGGGCAGCCTATGCATGGATCTCAACTCTGGTGAAGAAGAACCTCAAGGGGGTCAAGGTCGAGTTTGTCTGGGGGTCCGACCTATACGATGGCCCTGTTGCTGAGGCAGTGTATGGAAGCTTTTTGCCAGCCGCGCTCGCAAAGGGCAGCTTTGTCCCTGCCCCGGAGCCACAAGTTATTGGGCATGGGCTGGATAAAGTCCAAGAGGCATTCGAAGTGGGCAGGAAAGGCGTGTCTGCGAAGAAGTTGGTGGTGACTGTTTGAGGATGTCAACACAGTCGTCTGATTTTATGATGCGCACCAAATACCAACCCACGCGGTGTAATGCATTTTCGAATTGCAGGTCCACACGGATGGTATCGCGTCTATATATGCGCGGTCCCAGCAGGATGTTGCCCATTTCTTTTCACCAGCCACGAGAGCAGTAACCAGTGTTAGTAACAATTGACCTAGCTCCATTAGAAGTAACGGTGGGCAGCTCAAGGACACGATGCGCCCATAATGGACGGGCAAGGCAGATTGAAGAGCGTGTGGAAGGTGGGAAGCTGTTACTGACGGAGAAAAGCTTAAGGCCAGCTTCGTATAAGTAGATGCTTGAAAATGGAATACCTGCCTCACCCTTCTGATGAAGGCTCCGACAGTACATTAGGCGACCGGCGTAGGCACAGGATTACCCAATTAGGCACCCAGTAGCTAGAATATGGGAATTATCGTAGCAGTGTTTGGTCAGATTTCCACAGTACATTTGAGCCATGAGACATTCAGGGTGCAACCTCTATGAGATACCACTTTTCAATACTTGCCAGTGCCTTGAACTACACGAACGAAGAAGAAATTGTAGGTATAACTGTATGCATAGAGCCGAAGAGTGATACCTTCCCTTGCAGTCAACTGGTTTTCCTGACGACCATGACACCGGCCTTCCATCTATTTTGAGAACACTACCAAGTCTCCCTCTTGGCCTGAATCATCAGTATTAATAAACAAGCCTCTTTTAATTCTACATTAGTCTCATTTCTCATGTATGCGGCACAGACACCAAGCATTTCGGCTACATCCATCCTCATCTGGGACCGAAAGCCGGAAAATGTCCTCTGGTAAATCTCGGCGCCTTAATCAAACCGAAAGCCCTGGCTCTATGTATATGAATCGAGCCTTCTTTGTATTCTCCTTCAACCTGGGAGCCAGCACGTATTCCCGGCCCCTTTTCATACCACTGGACATTCGTCGTCCTGGTCCACCTCGTCTATATTCTGAACCTCGCGGAGCCGTGACTGCTTGAAAGCGGTTGGGCACTCTTTGCGGAATGGAGGCGAGAATGTCTCTTGGAAGTAGTTGTCGAACGCGTTCGAGTACCAGTATCCCTCATCGGCCTTGTACAGCAGGCAGACCCCCTGACAGAGGTCAGACGGCGCAGCGTACGTGATATCGCCCTCCTCGTCCGCCTCCTCGCGCGATGTATCACCATCCTCAATTTCTCCGGGCACTTCCCGGTCGGAAGACGCAGGCTCCTAGCCCTCGTCCTCTTCCTCCGGGATCGTGCCAAGCTTGGCCCCGTCTCTGGAGGCCTCGCATGTCTCGGTCGCGCTGCCGTAGCCGTCGTCCTCCTCCTGGATCATCCCGATGAACTCAGGGGCCAGGTCGATCGGCACGCAATGGAAGCAGTCGTGGTACAGGACGTACTCCCTGCCGCGGTCGTCCGTGAGGATCTTGAGCTTCGTGGACTCGGGGTCCGCGTCGCAGTACGAATGTGCCCAAGCCGCGGCCTCTGCTGGCGTCGATGGAGGAGTGCTGTTGTTCTCGCTGTCGAGAGCTGATTGGGTTTCTGGTTGCATGCTCTCTTGCTGCATGCGCTCTTCTCGCGCATCCAACCCAGCCTGCATGGGAGGTGCATTCGAATCATCAGAGCCCGCTTTTCCGCTCGCCTCGACTGCGAGGGCGACGTCAAGGTCGCCGGCATCTGGGGTGGCTGTCCTTGGTGCGTTCACCTCATTGCATCCCTCCTCAACTGGTTTCTGGGCCATGGAGTCCCTGCCGCGGCGGTTGCGTGGGTCTCCCAGCTCGATGAGCTGGCAGTAATGCTGGTATTCATCTATGAGCTCGATCTCCTCCGTGTTCTGGTCCGGCTCCGCAGCATGCTTCGCATAATCAAAATCCGAATGGTCAACGTCATTATCTCCGAGACGTGTGCTGATGCTGGTAGCCCATGACGATCGTCGACTAGAACTCGGGCTGTCGGACAGGCTCGAAGATTCTCCGGTTATTGTAGAAGGTTGGGGAGAAGTCCGTCCACCATTTGCCTTACCGCAAGTGACTGTATTCGAGGGAACAAGATCATGAGCTTCAGCACTGGTGAAGTTTTTGGCCAGAATTTCCTGGAATGGTAGCTGGCTGCTGTGGCTGAGGGGACGAGCAGTCAGAGTGTAGAAAGATTGCAGTTCCAAGGCTGGAACGGTGTTGTTGTTCGTATGGGTTTTGTCTTCGACTTGGTTCGAGAGCAAGTGGTCTGGGAACGATGCACTGAATGTGATAATTTCATCCTGACCGCTGAGAAGGGAAGGGAGAATTGTGAATGAAGACGTCTGCCCGTAAAGCGGAACAGTGAGACGATCAAGGCTCTGGTGGACACCTTCGAGCAGACGGTCTGATGGATCAGGAGTCTGCATGGTCGACTTCGAATTACAACCCTCGAAGCGGGACGTGATCCTGTCAGATGGGAAGGGGATTTGAAGTGGCTCAATTGAACTCGTAATGCCCTTGTCCCTGGGCTCGACCGCACCAAAAGCCAAAAGACTCGGATCGAAGAAAGTGTGAAAAGGGTCCATCGCGCCATGTTTCTGGAGGCATGTATCGAGAGACTTCCAGAGACTGATCTGAGGTGACTCGAGGAATGTCGCAGATGGGGATGATGTGGTGGCGACATCGTGTCGCTTCTCAAGTGTGGTTGCTGTGGTAATTGGCAAGGTGTGGAACCATGATGTGAATTTGAGAGGCTTTGCAAGGTTGAGACCCGGCATGGTCATTCGACTGACGGCTGGAAAACCAGCACGTCTCTTCATGGCTACCTCAATGCAATGTCTTTTGTTGACTTGACTGTAACTGCAGGGTGGATGTGAAGGATGCCTCAGGGAGACGGTCGAGGCTCGAGTTTGGTGCTGGGTTAGGATATTCGAGTGCTTCCCGAAAGGCTCGCAGGATTGATAAAACAGGGTTGATCGTTCCTCCGTTGGTAGGCTCTTGCTTGACTTTGGGCAATTGATGCTGTCAAGTAGAGTTGTTGTTTCCTTGCAGCGAGATTGGGTCGAAGGCGCATGGAACCGCTTGGTGGGTGGTGGACAGCAGACTGTGCATCAATTGAAAAAAGATGCTTTGCAGGAAAGATGAATGAACGGGATTGACTCGGTTGTCTTGCATCGAAATATTCAATTCAAGTTGTCGGGTGGTTTCAATTAACCCAATGTGAGTGAATTCCAGTCGCTGGTTGCCAGGGCGCCAGTTGAGATGGTGATGGCGCGTGCCTGTGGTTGCGCCAGGGACTGAGCCGAAGTGAAGGTGGAGGGGGGATTTCAACGTCACGTCTAAGCCTAGAGGCCGCTACCAAATGCCCTGGCACTTCAAAACGGCTGCACTATTGATGCAAGCACGCAAAATCATTCGACGCAGTTTGTTTTACCACTCCGTCACTGATCTCCATGTCACCCTTTTCCTGCTCTCTCGACCGATGACCCTCTCACAATGCAGCCGTCGCACATTGCAATCAGATAGGACTGGTCAGCACATTCTACCAAGACAGGCACCCCCCCCCCACCCCAGGCAGACTACAGCGATTCTGCAATGGCGTCTAGAATTGTGTCGGCTTCTCACAAGAGATGGCCGTCCAGGGTGCCTGGGCATCAACAGTACATTATTGCTGACTTCCGTAGTGCTGGTTCCTGGGAAGACATGTCTTGCAAGCACAGAGAACATCTAAATGGATCTAGAGGTGACGAAAATACCCACCTAGAACTACGGGTAAGAGGGAACCCAGTACAAGTGTAGATTTGGTCATTTATAGTCCAGGGGACATAGATCGACTTCTGATGTAGGAAGAGCAGTCAACGTATGGACGTGAGACTCATTGACGGAAATGGTGGACTGTTTTGGCGCATGACAGCCAAAACAGTCCATTATTCCACGTGGTTCTATCATGAAATTAAAACGACGCAAACGCAGGAATAAATTGATGGGGAGACAGCAATCGATGACAGTAGGGACTACAGCATTAAAGCGAGGTGTAAAGCAGATTAGAAGAATATCGAAAACCTGCCTGATGTAGCAGGTTTTGCTCGGCCACTAACTACCAAGCTCGGTGCTAATCCCCCTTTCTCTCTGATTTGAGCAAAGAGGATCCTTTTATATCCCAACACAATTGAGCTCGACCTTCGCTGGATCGTTCATCTCTAGCAATACACTGAAGTTGTTATCATTGCAACAGTCTTCGACTCTCTTTCGAACTTGATCGCTTGATTCGTCTGGTCTGGTCTTCACACGCATGCGGTGAGCGACGAGCAAAGAGACCAGCACAGCAACAGCCTCAACTTGAGACACCTTTTTCCCTAGGCAATTTTGGGCACCCTCAGACCAAGGGAAAAATGTTCCTTTCCGTGGAACGAATAACTCCTCGCCGTCGACTCCAGTGGAAGCGTCAGGGCGCAGTATCCAGCGGGACGGCTTCCACTGGAACGGATCAGGCCAATACTTTGGGTCAGTTTGAACGCCAAGTAACATGGGGAATACGTCAACTCCCGAGGGAATTGTGATCAATCGCTCCCCAACTTGAATAGTGTGCATCCCGCTGGACGTCATCTTTGGCAGTCCAGTAACAGGCGCGTATAACCGCAGCGTCTCAAGAAACACAGCGTAGCAGCGTTTGAAACGGGGAAACAAGCTGTAATCGCAATCTTGAACCGGACGGCCTTGAGTGACACTGAGAATCTCTTCATGAAGCCAATCTTGAATATCAGGCTCGCCGGCCAGGCGCATTATCATGAAGGCCAGCACGTTGGCAGTGGTATCGAGCCCCGCAAAGTTGATCATGAAGATGTTGCCGAGAGTCTCCTCAAGTGACAGGGTGCCTCTATCAGACTTGTGGTCAACCGCGCGGACAAGCGATGTTATTAGTCCGCCGGACCCTGATTTCCCATGTTTGAGAGCGGCCCTTTCTTCTTTAATAACCTTTTCCATGGACTTCTTGAGGCAGTGAGCCGCATATCCAATTTTGAATAGTGCCTTGGGAACGAACGGCATGATGAGATATTGATATGGGATCACCATCAAATGTATAATGTAATGGTGAACAAGAAGTAGTGCATCGCGAAAACTTTCCCCAGGCGACAAGATCTTTTTCGCAAGGTCCACGGACCCTACGAAGTCGGCAGACTCTGCAAACACAGTTGATGCGAGAACGTTGAGAGTGACAGTCCGGGTATCTCGCTGCAAATCTGGTATTCCGGCTGTGGAATGGGAAGACCAATAGTTCGCCATAGACCTTGACTCGGCAGTCAGTATTGAGAAATATCATTGACCAGCTTGATTCAGCTTACCTAGTCTGACGTATCGTGTCGTGCCATGCCGAACTCATTATGGACTCGTTAAATGGTGCTGCCACAGCTTTGCGATGACGAGGCCACTCTTCAATTGGGGCATTGAATAGTGATGGTCCGTAGATGGCCAGTACTTCTGTGAGGGCTTAGATACGGGTTCAATGGATCGCAGGGTATCAACTCACTGTACTTGTGGGCTGGACGAACAAACTCTCTCCACCGATTGAAAATGTCCTCTATGGCGGCTGGATCTGCAAAATACAGATGCACGCCCCCGGGGGACACGAGCGCCCACACAGGCCCAAAGCGCGCAGTAGGGCTACTCTTCTCCAGGAAGTTCCAGTTTCGGTGAGAGAAACGAATGATGTCCGGATACGAGCTCCATGGAAATGGGAAGCAAGCTAGAAATTTCCAGGCCAGGGGCTGGACGACTACCCACAGGTGGCCGTTGACGTCGAACGGGGTGCGGACAACAGGAACGCCCAACGCGCGAGCTTTCCGAACGTTGACCTCGAGACATAGCAAAGTCCAGCCAATATATACCATGGTCGTGCCCAGAAACACCGCCGCGATCATAGTAATGGAAATGAGGGCTGCAATCTTGCAGACCAGTTGATGTGATGAGATATGAAAGATGGGTCATTCGCCCTGAGACCACGGTATGAACTCTCAGCAATCTGCGCCCTTAAATGTTTGGCCTTGCCAGAATCCGAGGAAGTGATCCAGTACTGGACAAACCCGGAAATGGCTACAGACTCAAGAATACATTCACGCTGATGCAAGAGCCTCAGAACAGACTCGTTGCCGGTGGCTAGGTAGGAACATGGCGTACTACCCTTGGCTCGCGCAGACGGAGATTTGTTGCTTGCTGCGCACTGCATTCATGATGGCTGCCCTCTTCTGAATTCACCGGGGCGCCCTGAAGTACATTTGGCGTAGCAAGATGTCATCATCTGCAGTCTATTTCAATGTCTATAGTTAGTAAGTCCCTATTTTGGTTAAAGTCCAGTTCAAATGGTCCGGCCCCCAGTCCATGTTGAACTCACCCCAATACGAACAGGGCACAGAACCGGGAAACGGGCCAGGTGGTAGATCGTTGTGAAAAGTCCTACCCCGCGATATCACGTTGGGGGGGGGGGGCAGGGGGCATCTCTCGAACGAATAGCGTTGGAAGAAAGTCGTGGCACTTTCTGCGGTTGGTTTCCCGTGCAATGCAGATCCTGAGTGCAACCACACATGCAAATCCATTACCTACAGTATGTGGATGCTGTACCGTGGGTCATAAAAGTACATAGCCTCAGAGCCCCACCCCAAGCTTCAGCCCCCAAAGTGAGGGCCATTCAGTCCATCGGAAGACTGCCGTGCTTTGTGAGATATCACGTCGTGGCCAATTTCTACATGATGGACACATCCGCTGTGTGCGCCTGCATCCGGCGGTCGAACCGAACTGAGACACAACACACCACATTGGTAAGCACCTTGCAGCTCAGTATGGCTGCCTGTTCGCCCAGTCTGGTTCGATAGGCCATGAAACGGCATAAAAGTTGCTTACTCTGCATCTACGGCATGCAAACCGGTGGGGCAGGAATATTTTCAGCGTGTTCAATGGTAACCCGACATTTGAGCTGCGACCTCGGATGCCAAAAGTCACCTTCGGTGACCTTAGAGCCTTGCTTTGAGATAGACGGCCGGCATAACGAATGGAGCTACATTCTATTCAAGGCACTGTTCATTCAAAGTGTTTGAAGGCCTCGTGCACGCTCCATAGCGAAATTTGGACGGTCATATATTGTATGCCTGTAAATTGAGAGTAGCTACGATTAAGACGTCGAGGGCGCGCTGTAAGAAGAATGATATAGCTGAGCTAGGAGCTGTTCGCTCTGGCCGTGAGTCTCACATTGAATTCCTGCCCTTCCTTGATTGAAATGATGCCCAAGACCGGCCTTCCCTCGTCCCCCTCTGGAAATGGCGGGTTCCCGACCATCTCGATATCGAAACGCCGTAGCACCGTAGCCACAAACGAGGTGACAGTATACCGGGCTAAGAAACGACCGCTACATAATGTCTTCCCGGCGCCAAACGGATGCCAGGACGGACTCTGCGGCAGATTCGGTTCTTTTAACCACCGCTCCGGTTGGAATTCGTGCGTGTTCTCGCCGAAGACGGATTCGTCAAAGTGCTGTATGCGGTGCGGAACCATTACGCGGTGGCCTTTGCGCATCAGCTTGCCCCCAATGACGGTGTCTTTGGTGATGAGGCGGATTGACGCGGACCATCCTGCCATGCGAAGGGTCTCATGCCAGATAGCATCGACCTGGGGACATTTAAAGCGGTCCTGGATGTAAAAGGGATCGACCAGGGTGTCCCCATCAAATGCTGGCCTTGTCTCTTCCCTAAAAGCGGCCATGAGAGAAGGGTTGTGGAGAAGATAAGTCAGTACCCAGAAAATAGATTTGCGAGCGTTGGTGTTGATACGACAGCAAATGTTAGCCAACAACATCCGATCAGCGCAAGCCAGGTACAACTTACGCAATGTAGAGGTGGAATACGATGATAGCCATATCCTCCACCTCCACCCCGAGTGCCCTCATCTCATCCTCCATGGCTCTGATCAGCCAGGCAGCATCCACTCGATCGGCCGTGGGCGTTTGGAAATATTGAGATAATGCAGCTACAACCCTGGCCCTGCCTCTTGCCATGTCTTGCGAGAGGAAATCTGGATACTGGTACAGCACTTTCCATATTAATTCGTCAAAAATAAGGAAGTTGTTGGGTACCTCGGGGTTGATTTTGCTGAGGGTTGCTCCAAAGTATACCTCCTGGCCAAGTTGGACAAATAACTTGGATGCCCATTGATACAATGGTACCTCGAGATGTGTTGGACTCTGGGACACAGCATAATGGCAGACTCGGTGGAGATTATCCAAGGTCAGATGGTTGTTGATCCAGACTCGAACCTTTCGTTGGAGGCGAACTAGATTATCGTGGCCTGGGTGGAGTTGGTAGATGTGCATCTTCTGGGCTAGAACCCCCAGAGATTCGCCCTGGAGGTTGGGGAATCCGGACTTGTCACGAGGCAAAGTGGTGTACATGGTGTTGATAGCATGCTCACTGTTCCCGTTTGTCCTCATGAGGCCTTGTACAAAGCCCTCAAAAGAGAGTGTTTCCGTATTCTTATACACCGCAGCAGACTGCTTTACCTCTGTAACGAGGTAAAACGTCATGCCAAATGCTGTTATGGCAAACGGTTCTGGACAGCAACGGAAATGGGTCCTTAAGGTTTCGATCACCTCAGCGATTAGATGCGTCAGGGGAAGGAAAGAAAAGTAGCTGCCCACCTGGTTCTGGATATGAGACCATTGGAATCCCGGAAGAAAGCAACGCCATGGCCTGGATGTCTTCATCAGATCGTTGAACTAGACTAAGTTGATTATATGACTGACCTAGGACTAATTTTGTCCAAGTCAGCACTCCAATATATTAAAGTTATTCAACCAAATTCTTACATGGAATCCAATAGGGAAGTTCCTTGGGCCGCTCAGGATGAAGGATGGGGCAGAGTGTGAATCTCCACGCTCGCCATAACACAAGCGATAAAACAAAGCCAAGAAGAGCCCATCTGAATGAACCATTGCCAGTCCCAGGGAGAGAGCTCACTGCAAAGCCTTCTGCCTCAGCATCGGCCATGGCTATAACTGAAGCACTTGCTGCTGAAGACATGGGCATGGGTATTGGGTGACGAGTTCGTCCAGGAAAGAAACAACCAGAGGCACTCGACGATTTTAAGAACCATGTCCACAACTGACTGAGACAAAATGGCAGAACAGCTCAGGTTGAAGTAGGAATGAATTCTGCTCGGGGCTCTATGTTCGTCGCTTTGAAGCAGTGAGCGACATGCCGGGCCCCAACGAGTTGAGATCATGGGTCACTAAATCGGGTTCGTGCACAATCTTGCCACATCGTACAGATCTTGGTGCGGCTCAAAAGCCTTATCCGCTTCCAGACATATGCTATTTCAGAAGGACTTAGTAAACACTGACCGAGTATGGGCACTCACAGATGAGAGAGGTTTCACAGCCACAATGAATGACACAGCAAAATACGACTTGGTGTCTGTCGAAGTACAAGTTGAATTGTGATGACTCCCTGCATGTTCCTGTGGGGGCGGAACCAACAAGTTAGTTGAATCCATGCCAAGCACGGAGATAACCAACAAATGTGAGTGATCATGCACATGTATTTTCATGTAGGTTGATGTAGGTTGGTAGTACTTTTATGCGCCTAAATCAGGTTTCAAAACCTAGGTTGCAGTGCTGATCCTACTCATTTAGTTTTCTTAGGCAGCAGAATATTGATGAGTATGCATCCATGAAGTGGTGAAGGAGCCTCGTCTTCCCAGCGGACCAATTAAAGTTCGTGGTAGTAGTGATGAGAGACAGCAGTCCATGGACACCAGCCTCCCTCCCCTCCCAACACGTCGCTTCAAACTATCCAATCACTGCTGGAACTGACAAATTGTTGCTAGCAAACTGTTTTAGCATGAGTCAGAACATGTCTGGTGTCAACGAATTACGGAAGGCCATCTTCCAAAAATTGTCACCAGGAATAAAATGTATCTACTACATATAAAAAACTCTCTACATAAATATAAGACTTTTAATTCTCTAAATATTTCCACTGCTAACACAAATTTTACTTAAGATCTGGAAAGTCCCATACTTGTATAAAATATACTCTTTGTGGGAATAAGCCATACATAGAGGGGCGTGTGCTCACGTCTCGTGGGTGCCTTGCATAGAATGGAAGGTGCATGGTAAGCTAGTCTGATCGATAGCGTTGCCAGCTGGTCGCGAATCAAATGCCAGCTGACAGTAACATCAGCCTAAAGCTGGACGGCCGAAGCCATTGGCTGCAACCTACCCCCTACACCATAGTCGGATCCAACCACCATACCCACTGTCACCATCAACCCTCATGTGCACACGAATAAGCCCAGCCAACACTCCTCTTAACAGTTTAACAATGAAGATATTTATATTCATTTCCGATTTATGTATATATAAATTCAGTGTGACCATAGTTACCTATTCTTAGAACTAGTAAATATCACACAATCTCGGCTGGGTCCTGGATAGTAGTATCAAAACTGATATGAATAGTACAGATTCTCCACAACTGTCGAGCCTCTCAATGCCATTCACTGAGCACTGTTTCCCCTCCACTTAGATTTGTGAGGCTTACACTTGCCTTCCAAACCATATCTCTCTTGTGAGCATCTCTGGACTCATCACTGGTGCTCTCGAGCTTGTCGCCGTCAAAGTACAGGCCCTTCGGAAACTCAACCATCCCACCATCGGACTCAAAAGCCGCGCGTAGTACGTGCCGGGCCGATGTGTCCGGAATTCGTATCGGGCCGCCCGGAATCAGCCATGCGCCAAGGGGGAAGAGGATGGAAATCAGCACCCGCACCAGCCACGGGGCGTAGCGTTGAAGACCTGTACTCATGTAGCCAGGGTCGACGGCCAGAACACAAATATTGCCCAGACTGGCGTCTCGGCTCATGCGATCCTGGAGCTCGTGCACCATCATCATGGCGCAGAGCTTGGCGGCGCCGTACCGGCGGTATCCGCTGCGCCACGCCGGGCCGTCTGATGCTAAACTCCAATTGCCCCTCGCGATGGCCTCGATGTCTGCTTGATCACGGATCAAAATACCTCCTGGGAAGGGATTGATGGGTTTGATCATAGTGTTCAATTTGCTGTGTGGGCTTTTGGAAGACGTTGACTTGGTTACCTTCCATCTTCGTCCAATTTCGGGCAAGTCTTCATCAAAGACTAAGGAGCTGAGCTACTTACTTGTGGGTCTGGGACCCGATCACCACTATACGTCCTGAACCTTTATCCATACTCTTCAACAAGAGTAGAACAAGCAACCAGTGGCCAAGATAATTCACGGTAAACGTGGGGTCTAGTCCATCGGGACCCCGGGTCTGCTCACTCATATTCTGGTATCCGGCATTGAGAACCAGCCCTTGAATGGGCGGTATGTCACCGTCAGAGATACGTTTATTGATAGTCCGTGCTGTGTTCCGAACGCTTTCGAAGTTTGCCAGGTCGATGGAAACAATCTCGTGCGGGTGTGAGGGGCGTCCTTCAGCTGCGAGGGCTTGTTGAAGTCCAGGCCCGACGTCTGCATCTCGGACCAAATAGAGCCCATAGTACACTGAAAGCTCAGGGCGAGATGTCACTTGGCTTACAATGGCTGTACCAAGGCTACCATTTGCGCCAGTGATCACTATTGTGCCTTTGGGAGATGGCATTTGGTGTGCTGAGTGGATCACTTGATTTGGCTCCGTGGTGCTTGAGGAAGCTTGCTTCGGTGGCTTTGGCAGTTCCTCTTCTATCCAAGTGCAGTACCACCCATCGTCAAGGACGCTTATCATCGGACGCAGCAAAAGTTCATGTACCCACTCACGCACACCCGCTCACCACCCCCTTTATGCCTACCTATTTCCCACTAAAAAGCCTGATTTTCAACCCAGCATAAATCATTCTAAACAAGGACTAAAAGTACCCATTTGTAAATTGGTTTACAAAAGTCTCATTCAGAGGACAAAGCTTTATATATTTCGGAAAGACTTATGTTTAACTATTAATAACTTTAAGGAATTAAAAGTTATTATCTCAGTAATCTCTCCTGTGTCTTATGTATACATATAAAGTTTAACATAATAATTAAAAAAAACAAAGGTTCCTATTTACTCTTGGAAACTTAATAGGTTAAATATCAGGAGTTTTGGTGGGAAAAGGGAGGGTTGTGCGTGAGTGGATACATGAACTTACCAGCAGGTCTCAAGCTTGTCCAACAAGGCCTGAGGATCAACATGGTCTCATAAAGTGGGTCAACTGCGGTCAACATGACATTCTGCAAAGGAACATAGGGGCCATAAAGCAATGGCACGTGAATGACAAAGCCTGTTTACCGGTCGTTGTCTTTGGTCCAATATGTGTGACCAACTGCAGTCGAACTGATAGGAAGCAAGGGTGTGACACGGGAAGACGCCTGGGCATGCATGGGTGCGGGTGGGGTGGGGCCAAGTGTTGGCTCGCTGGATGTCTCTGCACGAATGACGCCAAGTGAGGCTGGCAACGGTGATGGAGGTCTGATAGAGTGAATCATTGGCTCGCAAATTGTCGCCGTTGGGCAATCACAAGGTGTTCGAGAGGTAAACAAGAAATTGACAGTGGGTGGAGTGTATGCGCTGTTTCTAAGTTAAGCGTAAAGGGTTGGGCTCAGATGCAGCCTTCATCCGGTAATCACAAAGATCGACATCGAAGGATTGTGAGCTGAAAATATCGGCCGGTTCGGCGTCACTTCTAAGAAGGAATGATAGTATTTGCCGACAGTGCTGGGTAAGAACACTGGGTCACCTTGGGGGTTGTGAATGTAACCGTGGGTTGGTACATTTAGAAATACTTCAATGCTAGGCAACTGGGAAAATTGCAATGCAAGTGAGTTTGCGATTACGAAAATCATCTTTTCAACCTATCTTGTGCAGTGGGATCCTGTCTCCATTCCTTGATGTGCCGTTCCAAAATCCTTCTTTCTCTCTCCTCTGGAGCCATCATCTCAGTCTGGTATACTCTGTGGCCGTCTGGTTCTGAAACGGCATATTGAGAATCATACGAGCCTCGGCCGGCCGGCTTATTCTTCCTGTCCTGAAGCATTCGAGCATAGGCTGGCGTGACCGCCAATATGTCTTCAGGTCAAGACCTTTGCGCCGTCCCAGTGGGGACAGCACCCGATGGAACCTGGGACTTTGTTCACTTCCAGTCATTGACAACAGCAAGCATTGCGGTCTGTGTAGTGATGACAGTTCTGGCCCTCCTCATCGCTGTGCCTAGGGTTTACGTCAATCGCCGGCGTCTCCTCATAGCTGACTGTCAGTCTCTTTCCCAGCATTTGTATTGATTCTGCGCTGACCCTGGGTTTAGATTGTACCATCCTTGCACTTGTTTTCAGCATCGCATACCTGGTGCTTATCTCACTTAGTAAGCGGCCTCGAAGGGCATCATTTCGAGGGCATCCTACTGACGCGGTCCGCAGTGGCCCGCTTTTACAGACATGATTGGAACCTTCCGGCCTGCTGGTTTGACGCCAGTTTTGCCAAGGTAAGCATTGACGCTATGTAGTTCTCGATGGAATTGCTAATGAAGCAGTAGCTGCAATTTTGTCTTGTCTTCTTCTCGGGCCTCGTGCAATTCTTCCCGAGGGCGTCCATTTTCCTGCTGTACCGACAGCTTTTCCAGGTTCACGGTTCTTGGGTCCACATCGCAATTTGGGTCGGTCTGGTCGGCACATTCCTGACGAATGCTCCCAACATCCCCATATCAATCGCTATCGAAGCACCACATCCCGGTGAGACCTGGGAAGACGTGTTGGTGAGACTAAGCAGACCTTCCAACGGGCACGACTTTCGCCTGTGGGGTCCCATCCAAGGCGCGGCTTCTGTAGCACTTGACATCTTCGCCTTCGTTCTTCCACTGCCCATCATCGCCAAGCTCAATCTTGCCCCCAGGAAGAGAAAACAGCTGCTTTTCCTGTTCTCCACGGCGCTTTTGTGAGTAATGTGGCCTTTTGCACACTCAGTCGTGCCGACGCTGACAAAGTCCACAGAGGTGTCGCAGCAAGTATAGTAGCACTGGTCTACAAGGTACAATTACTGATAAAAGAAAACGAAAATCAAGGCGACGAAACGTGGCTTCTCGGCCCCGTGAACATTTGCATGTGAGCTTTCTCTTCATCCTACTCGGTATGAGGACATGCGGAGATGGGAATTAACGCGACTACGCTAGCGACGTCGAATCCAACATTGCCATTATTGTCGGCTCCATGCCTGCTTTTGCCAACTTCATGAGGATTCACGTGGCTGAATCACGCGTCTTCATGAGTTTATGGTCCAAATTGGGCGGCAGTGATCCATCGGCGCCGGCATCGTCCAATAACGGGAACCAGCGGCGCCCTCTACATGGCACGATTGGCTCGCCATTGCCCCGAAAGAAGGTCAAACCAACGTACTTGGAACTCACGGATACCAATATCCTCAAATCTGGGTATACGATTGAGGGCGGGGAGGGCCTGGCGACGACAACAACTGAGTCGGGTCAGCCAGGGATTCTTCGGACTACGGCAGTCACACAAGAGTCGCACTTTCCTCGCTCTACGGATAGTCTGGTCCGAAACTGAGCCGCCGTAGCTTGTGTAAGAGACAGATCTTTGAAGTTCTGACAGCAAGTGCATGTCATGGAATACAATATCCAAGACTGAGTGACATGGGAAAGACGGCCGATTGTGGTTAGATATCGCGCTCCGTTACAGTTTATACACATAGAAAGGAGCCTGGATGAATCCATTGTTTTCTCAGCAATTAAGTGTGTGCTGCCAATTTGACGTCTGTGATATGAAAAGGTCACCGGGGGTGGTTGATTGGCGCATAGACCAACCTAATTGGTGTCACAGACGAGCCTTTTTGGGGAAGGTACCCCCATTTACCCACCCCTCCACCTGAAGAGTGTACCTATGTACGCCTCCCCTTATCGAAGAAAAAAAGACGTTGGCCCAGGGTCGTGGGACCATCAAGCCAACAGTTGCAACCCCTGATACACAGTACTTCCGTGTACCACGCGAGACACCAGCCCCACTGACGTAGGCTCTGCACCCAGGAGATTCTGTAGCATTCGGCTTACTGCTACATTGAATGCGCCCTTTGTTGGTAGATATCTGTTGCCTGCATATTTGGTATGACCGTTGATATGGCACCCGCTCAGCTGATGAAACTGTGGTTTTTTTCGTCAAACGCTTCCATCATCTTGTCTTCCTATAAATCGACAAAATCCCGTTGAAGAGGCATCCTTAGCATGTCCCCAAGCACGCCAGCGTCTGATCTTCTTATCTTCTTTCCAGGTGAGCACTAACTCCTCAAAGATACCTGCAATCTGCGCTCCAGCATTTCATTAGCGCCAACGAACACCAGGGAACAGGCGCTCCCTCCACGCAATCACCCCGCTGAATCCTGCCCGGCCATCCTTCGAATTTGGTTTAATTGGCACGAATTCCCTCAGAAAAGATGGATGTCCAAGGCAATGTCGATTCGGAGCAGCCCAGTATGCGTGACCCAGCGCGTCTTTGCGTAAGTTTGCCCTCCAAGGCTTCCGCGGCCTGGTCCTCGTCAAATGGAATTCTGAGCAGTATACCAGTGCCTTGCCCTTGCCTCCACCTTAGGAAGCGGCAAGCTTGCTTACCCGGATAGCCAAGCGTACAACGCATCGCTGGCATCATACTATTCGTTGCAGCAAGAGGGTATCCGTCCAGCCTGTATCCTATCCCCCCAGACAACTCAAGACGTCTCGGAAGCAGTGAAGATCTTGGCAAAGCAAACGGCCAATGGTCTGTGCGAATTTGCCATCAGGTCCGGTGGCCACACCAGCTGGGCAGGTGCCTCCAATATTGCTGGAGGCGTGACACTGGATCTGCGCGGGCTCAACGGCATCGACGTCATCGAAGATGGGAAAACGGTCCAGGTCGGTCCCGGCGCATCATGGGACGCCGTCTACCGGAAGCTTGACCCCCTGGGACGCAGCGTCGCGGGCGGTCGCGTGGCTGGCGTGGGCGTGGGCGGGCTGACCCTGGGAGGCGGCATCTCTCACCTGTCACCCCAGCACGGCTGGACTTGCGACACGGTCCGAAACTATGAGGTCGTCCTGAGTGACGGAGCGGTGGTCAACGCAAATCGGGATGAGAACGAGGACCTGTTCTTTGCGCTCCTCGGCGGCGGTAACAGCTTCGGCGTGGTCACCCGCATCGACTTCGAAACCTACGAGCTGGGCCTGGTCTGGAGTGCTTCCGTGATGTCTGCCACCTCTGTGCTTGACGCCAACATCAAGGAGTTTGTCAGACTCAGCGCAGCCGACGCCTATGACGAAAAGGCTTCGTTCCTCTTGTCATTTGCTTACATCGGCTCTATGAATCTCACAGCCCTCGCCAACACACTCCTGTATGCCGATGCGGTGGAAAACCCTCCGGTCTACCAGAACCTCATGAAGCTACCGGCGCTACAAGTCAGCACGGGACTGAAAAACATGACCACCTTGTCTGTCGAAGCGGAGGCCATGGTCCCGAAAGGGGCTCGTTCTCTCTACCGCACCCACACCGTCATCTCGACCGAAGCCGTGCTCCATGCCGTGCACAAGGTTTGGAGCGACGCCGTTGCCGTTATCAAGAACGTTTCGGGTATCTCATGGGTCACGTCGTTCGACCCTCTCCCTCCGTCCTTCTACGCTCGTCACGCGGCCTCGAACGCTCTGGGCTTGACCGGTCGGGATGGTGCCGCGCTGCTTGTGATGTTGCTAGACGTCAGGTGGAGCGAGGCGGCTGATGACGAGAAGGTCGCCTCCACTGCTGAATGGCTATTTGACAATGTGGGCATCCCGAGCCTTTAGTTCCTGTTCCTTTTTCTCATCGTCATGCTGGTCAAGGCTGAGTTCTGATTCACGTGTGTACAGATCAAGAAAGAGGCACAAGCTCTCGGCGCATATGACCCATTCATCTATCTCAACTACGCAGGCCCAGATCAGGACCCGATAGCGACCTACGGTGCGGAGAATGTGGAGCGGCTGAAGGCAGTCCGGAGCCGAGTAGATCCTGGTGGGCTGTTCACCGAGCAGGTGCCCGGGGGCCACAAAGTTCCCAGTAGATGATCCACTACGCGTAATTCTCCCTTTCTCAATTGCCATGTCAGATTTAGACGGTCTAATAATACTCCAACTGCTTGCGTGGCTTCACCTCTGTGTGGTTTTCAACCTCCCTATGAATACGGATACGAGCACTGCCTGCCTACTTACCGAGAGAGCGAGCCCTTGGGCAGGGATGCCGCGCCATTGCTCGGCCAGCAACCCACTGATCATATAGAGGGCTGCTTAAGCCACTCGGAGCCGATCGGTCGAGCAGGTCAAATCTGGTGAACGAGCATGAGCACCAAAACCTCGGTGGCATGTCTCTTGGTCTCATAATCATCAAGTAGATAAAATTTGGCACCTGATGCAAGCCCTTGTGAGCTAAGTTCCCATTGTAATTTAGTCGCGCACGGCAAGGCACCTTGTCTGCCATCTAGTCGACCTTGGGGAATGCCCTTGCACATATGTTCAGTAATCAGGCCTGCCTTTGGTTTCTCCGGGAGGAGGGAAGAGTCCCGTTGTACTTGGGCACCGCCCCTCATAATTGCTGATTGTCACGCCGTCAGGCACATTTGTCAGGCACATTTGTCAGGCAGGGATGGGGCGACCTGGTAACCTCAGCGACTCATAAGCCTGGGTTTGCCCACAAGAATGAGGATCTTCAAGGGCCCATGAAGTGCAAAGGCCTCGCTCGGAGCTCCGAGGGTCACAATGCAAAGACTTTGGTTCTGCTCCAAAGGGGCATCCGGTACTATCCCGCCCATTACGCAAACACAACGACAACAAAGCAGCACGGCAGGAGTTGATGTTTGTATAAAATGTTGCTCGAAACTTTGTTTCATGGCGAGATCAATTTTGGCTCACCGGGGCTACCTTTTACCCTCCCGGATTAACAATTACCACTGTTTTCCCAGCCTCTTTTGTCTTGAATATTGGATCACATCATGCACATAGCCCGCCACGATCTCGGCCTGGCCCTGGCTGCGGCTGCTATCACGGCCCGCGTGGAGGCGGCCTTTGTACGACAAGGTCATCCAGACCAGCCTTGGTCCCGTTCAGGGCTACCAGTGTTTTACCAACCAGACCGAACTCGAAACTTGCTTTGGTGTCTCGTCCAGCAATGTTGCCAACTTCCTAGGAATCCCTTTCGCGGCCTCTACTGCTTACCAGAATCGTTGGAAGGCTCCCCAGCCCAGGCAACCATGGAATGAGACTCTGATCGCCGACACATGGGGTGCCCCCTGCCCCAGCCGGGACAATGCAGGCTACAGCGAGGATTGCCTGAACCTCAACGTGTGGACGTCAGCCAACTCCTCGACCGACAAACTCCCCGTGATTGTCTGGAATCAGGGCTCCGACGAGACCTCCGATAATGCATGGTGGTACGGTGGTGGAATGGCCCTGCAGCATGATATCATTGTCGTGACCTTCAACAGTCGTGACGACGCCTTTGGATTTTTGGCCCACCCGGACCTGAACGCCGAGTCTCTTGCTGAGAACGGGCACAACTCGTCCGGAAACTGGGGTATTCTTGACCACAAGGCAGCCCTGGAGTGGGTCCAGTCCAACATCGCCAACTTTGGTGGCGACCCAGACAGAGTTACCATCATGGGCCAGTCCTTCGGCTCTTCCCAGGTCTATCACGCTGTTAACAGTGTCTTGTTTAAGGGCCTCTTCGCTGGTGCCATTTCTTAGTCCGGCATTCACTACCCGACCAACCCATGGATTAACGGCCTTGCCACATCATACGTTAACATGTCCCGCGCTCTCGAACACGGTGTCAACTACACCACAAACCACAACGCCACCAGCATCGCTGAATTGCGATCCGAGAGCGTTTCTGTCGAAGCCCTGCTCGAGGGGTCCCAGGATCGTGTCGGCACCGACGACATGTGGTGGGTGACTGCCGTCAGCGCCGGCTACCCCCTGATCTTCAAGCCCGTGCTGGACGACTACGTCCTACCCGAGAAGTACATGGACCAGCTGCTCCAGGGCCCCGCCAACGATGTACCTCTGATCACGGGCGGCACTCACGACGAGAACGGCGCATCCCCGACGAACTCTTACGAAGCTTCCTATGTCGACGAGGTGTGCGCGCTCAAATGGGGCGACCTGTCGTCGCAGTACTTCAACCTGTACCCTACGGGAAACACAACAACATCCGCCAACGCGGCATGGAACCTCGCCACCCTCGACCTGGGCACCGTCTCCCAGTGGATGTACGCGACCGACCGCGTCGTGCGCTCCAACGCCACCGCGCCGATGTGGACGTACCTCTGGGACCACGCGCCCCCGGGCCAGGAGCAGGGAGCCTTCCACCAGTCCGAGATCATGTACGTGCTCAACGCGCTGTATGCGAACAGCGACACCTACCCTTTTGTCGATGACGACTTCTACATCCAGAGTATGGTTTCTGCCTACTGGGCCAACTTTGTCAAGACGGGTAACCCCAATTTTGGCGACTCGTATGGCAGCACGAATGCCAGCCTGCCCTACTGGGCGCCCAACACCGCCGACACCAAAAGCATGTTCAACATTGGTGACTCTTTCCGGAACATCAGCCTTGCCGTTTCCGATGCGAAGGTTTCTCTGATCCAGCAGTACTATGCCCAGCAGAGTGCTTTCTAGTTGGACTGAGCTGTTGTATGGCCAGTCTCATTTGTGTTTGCTCCAGGGCTGCATTTCGCTTCTGAGACAGGCCGCTTCGACGGGTTCGGGCCGAAATAACCGACTTTAGTTTCATCCTGTGTCAATATTAGATGATCTTATACATCAGCAGATTCGATTTGAATGATTTCCCATGGCACACATTTGCAACGGGTCAAGGTGGCCTCGCATGCCAAGGATATTCAAAGTGGTGCGAGCTGAATCCATCCCTGGGTAGCCTATGTGGATAAGGCTGGCTGGCTGATTGATAGCCAACGTCAGCATGAAGGTAGCTAAGCTTATGATTACAATGAGAGTATTCTACGAAAATCCGAATACTGTGTTACTGTCAGTATTAGTCCTGTTTTGCGTTTCATGTTTTGTAGCAAGCGGCGCAAAGAGTCGTCGGGGCCTTTGTGGCCGTGGCCGTGGCCCTGATTTCATGCCTGGTTGTCATAACACATGTGTTCCCATTTGATGCCCTAGGTCTGTGCTTGTATGGTCATGGATGTGTCATGAGTGGTCTTATGAGTGGTCCAGTCCCGAAGCCTCAGGAATACCCTTGACAGACGGAGATGTATCGAGCACCAGTCGTACATATCTTCAGCCAGATATTAGAGAATATCGATCGTCATTGACTTCGAATCGACGTATGACTTCCAAATACTGAACGCGGATGCCGCTCGTATCTCGGACGGAAGCGCTCTTCTCCGTGATCGGGTCATCTGGTCAATACTGCCCAATATCCCCGGCCCCTCGATCCCCTTCGGCCCAGAAATGCTTCTAGGCGTTCCCTATCTACAGCATATCAGGATCCGGTCGCAAGGTCTAAATTAGCGTCCCAAATCATTCCCCGAAGACGCCTGGTGGCATTTCAACCCGTCGACATGGTCATATTCCACCAGGATCTCTGCTAAGATGGGGCTCATTTGTGAGGTGTGACCAGGAGAGCACTGCCAGACCGCCCGGACGCATAGGTGACATAGCGGCCAATCTGTTTTAGCCTGTACGGTTTTGAACTTTGATTCGTCACGTTCAAAAGCGCTGTGTTGGGTTGCAGTCAGACGCCACCTAGCTCCGTGCTTGATTTTAAATTCAAGTCAGTCCTTCGGGTGCAGAATGTCAACGTCGTAATTAGGCTTCCGGGGGGAGATCAAAGCATGATGCTGCGGAGAGCGCGGGCTACGCCTAGGGGGGGTGGATCTGAAACGGCCGTCCCATCAACGAATGATCTGCAGCCACAATGCTACATATACCATGAACCACAGTCATAACATGATATTTCTTTTGTTTTAAAAATTTCCTGCAACCGTGGCTCACATAGCTGATGATCTAGGCTTATCCGGACAGGTGCCATCTGCCAGTGTCAAGACCCTTGGCGAGTGTCGCAGGAGGATCTTGCATGAACGAGAATCCACGCTCGGGGATCTGGCCTCGATCTGTCCCGCATGGCTCTCCAATCGGCTCAGACAGCTCGGATCCGGGGCAGTCAGCCCCCAATGTGATGTCCCAGCTCAGGGGCCTGAGGGAAAGCCCTTCTCGAGAACATATCACAGTGTGACTGCGCTTGTCCTACCGGGTGATATAGTCCCTGAGGGATCTTCTCCTACCTTGACGCTGTCATAAACACGAAAGCCAGCCAAAGAAGCTCCATGCGATCCTAAACCACATCAAATCCCCGCTGGTTGGGCCAACAACCGATAAACAGGTCGCAATGTACTGGGCACACTTGCTCATCCACTTGGGGGCGGTCTACGCTGCCTCGCCCGAAACCCGCAAGCGAGACCTCGCCTCGATCCAGTCCTCGCTCGACGCCATCAACGTCGGCCTCCAGAGAGTCGACACAGCCGTCCTGGGCCTCGCGACGGGCACCGGCGCCTCCCTCCTCCAGCTCGGCCAGCAGGCCGTCCCGCTCCTCCAGAACGCGAGCGCCCAGATCCGGCAGTCCGAGCCGCTCAGCCTCGAGGACTCGCTCAACCTGGCCACGACGACCCAGGCGCTGCGCCAGAACACAAACCTCACCATCAACGACCTCATCGCGCAGAAGCCCCTCCTGGACCAGGCCGGCTCCTCGGGGATCGTGGCCGCGGGCCTGCAGCAGCAGCGGGACGCGAGCAACGACCTGGCCGTCGCGCTCGCCAGCAAGGTCGCACCCGACACGCCCAACGTCGTCCCCGCGCTGAACGAGCTGGCTGGCATCTTCGACCGCGCCATTGCGGCCTTCAGCGGCGCGGACCCCGGTGCCGCATCACAGCTGCCGCCTGCGCCGACATTGACCGCGGCGCCTTCCGGTGACCTCGCGCCCATTACGCTTCCCCTCGCAACGCCGTCACCGGCGGGTGCGATGGCGCAGCCTGTGACTGGGATGGGTACAATCGGCCCTGATGGGTCGTGCAATTGTGCGGCTGAGTGCCCAGCTGGCTCGCTAGCTGGTGCGATGGTCATGAGATATTTCTAGGGGGCATGGCCGGGTGTGCACACGTCGTTGAGTTGGCGATTATTAATGTTACCGGTGTGGTGGATGGGTTTGGACGGCCATGGTGACTATCATGGGACTTGTATGGAAAGGGAGGCGCAAAAGGTTACGGATTTCGAGGACTATGGAGGATTGTCCGTCCCTTGGGCGTCGGATGTGGGATTGGGAGCAAGGGGGTTAAAAGGGTCAATGTGGCTTGTGTGCAAGCACGAGACTGACTTTCACCTGTGGCCTAGTTCACAGCTGATGGGTCAAGCTTGTGTGTGCAAGCTCTGGTAACGTTATATAATGCACCGATAATTGATAACTCACCGCCATCAACGGGCACTGGTATGATCTCCACTTCTGGCCGTTGTCAATCTGGGGGCGCAACTAAAGTTCCGGTACTGCTCCGTCGCTCAGGCTGTCAGGTCAGCATCAAATGTTCTTAGTGGCCGCGTAAAGGTCCTGAGCTGTACGCGGAAAGAAGCACAAGGCAACGGAGTATTTCAGTTGGTGACCTCAAGACGATGCTACTGCAGTCTCAAAGCTGGCGTCATCCCAAAAAGTGTAGTCTGAAACAAGAGGGTAACGCCCATGCGATTGGCTCACGGCGTTGCCTTCTCTGCCCAACCCGGATGATCCATGTACCTAGTGTACAGCACCAGCCTCGGTTCACATGCGGAAGCTTTTGATATACATCGATTCGATGGCCCGCACGCAACCACCCGCGCTTCGAATCGGGCTTGACTGTTCCTCACTTGCCGCCTCAGGCCAATGGTGAGCTCGAGAAGGCGACGAGATCATGGCCGACCCGAAGGATTCCGCCAGCAAGGCGGCAATACCAATAGAGCTCCTCAAAGTCGAGGCCGCGTTCTTGAAGCGTGCGGTTACCTCCTCGTCCGACAAGAGGTCAAAGGGACAAGGCGCCCCGAGCTATAAGCGCGATGTTATGTATGCAGCAAGTAAGCATCATCTGAAGGACACCTTTATTCATTCGAAGACCGCTCTCTTCAGGCTTTCATGTTACACCACAAGTATCATGGCACCGGGTTGAGGCAGGTTTTAGCCAAGCACCAATCCTCTCCGTGATATCCATATGGTAGGGGACGTTCATTGTCAGATTTGGCGCGCTAATTACAAATGCTGCAGTGAGAGAGCTCCTTGGCGGATTGAGCACGCAGCAGGCACAAGCTCTTGTTCCGACGACGGATAAAGTGTACGAAAGGGTGGCCAAATGGAAGCATCAGAAGGTCAAGAGCGTAAGCTTGGGCGCAGGTGCACAGGGACACTGGATTGGGCCTGAACAGGCCAACCATGTCATGCTGTACTTCCATGGTACGATTCTCACGCTTGGTCTCTTGCGGTAATTGTGCTGATTGGATATCAGGCGGTGGATTCTACGGCGCAGCAACGATGGGACATCTGAGATATCAGTTCACACTGCAACGCGACATGGCGAAGCGCGGCCAGGACTTCGCGATTTTCTCCCTGACCTACACGCTTTCCCCGGGCGCCACATACCCAACACAGCTCAAGCAGGCCGCGTTGGCGCTAAATTACCTCCTGGTTGACGAGCACCGCGATCCGGCGTCGATACTTCTCGGTGGGGACTCGGCTGGCGGGAACCTGGCTGCCGCGTTGCTTGAGCATATCGCCCGCCCACACCCTCAAGTTCCGGCGGTGACGCTTTCGCGGCCCTTGCACGCCGCCCTCCTGATCTCGCCGTGGATATCATTTCAACTCACCGAGCCGTCCGTCTCTAGTAACGCTGAATCCGACTACCTCACGCCAAGAGCGCTGAGGCGGGCGTCCAATGCGTATATACCACCGGGAGGCGAACACGATGATTACTCGCAGCCCGCCACTGCTCCGGTTGAGTGGTGGGCGGACATCGCTCGCAGCGTGGTAGACAAGATGATGATATGGGGAGGAGGCGGCGAGGTCCTCATTGATGGGATTCGAACTTTTGCCGCCACGGTCAAGAATGGGTTTTCGGAGGCCGATGTGGAGAGGGTCAATCGCGACGAGCAGAAAGGGACTGACAGGTTTACCTTCGTTGTCACGCCGAAGCACTCGCACGAGGAGATGATTATTGATGAGGTCTTCTTCAGGAGCAAGAAAGGCGAAGGGGCCGAGGTAATTGAAAGGTGGTTATCTGGAGTTTTGAAGTTGTTGTGAATAACATCTTGTTTGACTGAAAGTAGTCTGATCGAGTTATTTTGTTCCCACAATATTCGTGTGTATGCTTTTGTTCTCCACCACCTCCGCAAACCTCACGGGCAATAATTGGGTGTATGATGGGGTATGATATAGGTAACAACCTGGTAAATGAAATCACTTTGGCTGTTAGCCAGACAACTTTCGCACAACAAATTTGGCAGCAAATTTCCAGGTCTGTTATGGGCATAAAACGCAATAGTCGGAATGACAGTCGTTGGTATTTATTCTATCCAGTATAACTCGATTACTGGCATGGTAGTTTTCCTATGTGTCAATGTCATCAACTTAATCACAATCTTTATGGTGCCTCATACTTGGCTTAAGTTTTCCATACCGAAGAAACTTCTGAGGGCCATCACATTGTCACCTTCTCATGCTGTTGTCGGCAACGGAGCTGGGAGACCGGTTTTCACACTATATGTTGTGAACATTGCCAGAACATAATGACACTGATGAGCAACTACACTCCTACGGGATTTCGCACAACTAGCTCATGTTCGTTGCTTCAAATGATGGAGGAGAGAAAGCTAGAGAGAAAGTGGGGAGAACAAAGCCAGAAATGAAAAGCAAGAATAAGTTCAAATGGTTCCATGCCGTCGCCTCTGCCTTTCACAGGACAGCTGTCTCTACCAATTGGTACATTTATAAACGTGGCGTCAGCTAGCAGGCAAAAAAGGAAACTAAAACTGAAACATGTGCTTGACTGCTATACTAACTCTCCGTCGCCTCATGGAACCTTGGCCAACCATGCACCCACCTCACCTACGGACATCCTTTCCAGACTCTTGCTACGATTCGGAAGTTGACGTCGGATCTGTGTTAACGTAGCTTGTTGTCATCGCTATGTTCATCCACGGCGATTCGATTCCGGCCCAATTTGGAAAACCACCGCCTAGGCTCTGGCACTTGAACGCAGGATGAATAGGACCCAGCAACAGAGAGCAAGCCGGTTGCACGGCACGCATGCCGTTACACATTACAGGCATAGCAAGAAGGCCCTTTGGATCTGAAAGTTGTTCAGGATCCACGTAGTTGTAACCGTGCAAGTTCAGAGGTTTTGTGGGTTGAGGTGGGCTGTTTAGTGGGGTCGTGATAGGAACAGTCTTGCAGTATCCGGCGGGGATATTGGATGACGGAGTTGCGCAATATGTATATTCTGTCGGCCATTGTATGAAAACAGTTGGGAAAGCCCTAGAATACGCATTAGAAGGACTCCAGACAGGATATAGTAGGAAAATGGAAACCAACAAAGTGACGGTGGAGTTCGCAATTGGGATCAAGCGCGTCCGAGTGCCTGCAGCGTTGGTGGGGGGTGGTGTCCACCCTGGAGGCAGACTGGTAGTAACTTTCGTGATGTTGAGAATCGTATTGACAATGGTGACCACGGTTGCATTCATCCGAGGTATCACCGGAGAGCCAGGATCTGCACCTGGGAAATCAAGACCCTCATCGGGCCTTGCCCAGCCATAGAACGTAGGGTAATCAGAGTCTACCCAGCACTGATCAAAGTTGATCGAGGAGTTCCACTGGGCTTGACAACCTAAATACAGTTAATCTAGATGTCAATCCAAGGCACTTAAAGCGCTCGAGATGGAAAGAATCAACCCAACGAAGTTTAGGCACCACAAGGGTGGCTCGCCTGGTGTCGGGGGCTGTTGGGAAAAGCTCATTGAACTCTCATACCTTGGAACAGGGCAGTGAAGGTTACCCAGATTGTAACGTCCATAAGGGATATGCCAACGATTTTCATTTTCCTCAGATCGATAGCTCTGGCGTAAGTGAAGGTTTTCAAATTTTATCCAGTTGCTGGAAAGGGAGAAGACGTAAAGGTTGTGAAATTCGGAAACGGGAGATCAAAGCAGATCCAGCTGAATTTATTCCAACTCAGAAAGATCTGAGAGCTGAGCGATGCCTACGCAAAGTCTGCCTCGGCTCTTGGGCCCGGCCTTCACACTGCACACACTCACAGTCTTTCATATGATTGCGCCCCATCCATAATTAACTCTTGCACTTTTGCCCTTCTTCAGCTCATGCTGCTGTGAAGCAGAGCTGTGATATCACTAGTTCGCGCTCAAATGTGCGCCGGGCATGCTATAGCTTACAGTGTGGTCTGGGTCAAATTGTATATCGTACGAATATCCGCAGCTGAAGTTCCATTGCCAAGTTGCGGCGGCCGCTCCAACCATCGGCCTCTCCAACCATCGGCCGCTCCAACCATCGGCCGCTCCAACTGTCGTGCTACTCAATTCTTCCTGGTTACTTTGAAAAGCCACCGCCAATGTGTTACAGCGGTTTTCGTCGCCTTCTGATTGATCTGTTCAAGTCACCTGGTTTGCCATTTTGCCCTCAAGCGGTAAAATCATCTCAGCTTCTACACCGGTGCAGATGGCAGGCTCTAGGTACCTTTGCTTCAGCCTCAAGAAGCCTGATGAAGCCAGCCGGCGGAATGACTCTCAAAGTTGCACTTGTAGATATCTTGCTTCGGACTCCCCCATATTTATTTTTTCAATCTCTCATTCGAAAAAGAGCTTGTTTGATCAGTTGTTTTTATTCACCTCTCTCTGACAGAAACAAAAAGCAAGAAGCAGAAAAATGGCTGAACATACTGCCTATTCGCGAGAGCCAAGCCATCGACCACATTTTATGGCAAAAGAAGATGGTATATGTCAGGCAAGGACGTTTTGCCTGACAAATGCCACACCCTCTGATGGAGGCCATATTTCAACCCTTACCACAGGTTCTGTTGACACTGCGAATAGCCCGGGTCCAGGTGAGAATGTTTGGAAGCCAGACACCCCCCTCCGATCCCACTAGTTATGGGCTCATCAAGCCAGAATCCTATGTGATTGATCAATTTTACAACAGATGAAAACGCCTATCACGATGAGGATACTACCCTCAAAACAAATCAACCAATGTGTGCCGAATGCCTCGCAGAGAAGCACGAGAAAATCAAACTACCTGCACAAGGCCCGTGGCGACTCAGAACGATGCTCGACAGATTCAAGCAGACATTGACTCCTATACTGTTATTCTTTCTGGCGATTTGTCTCTTGGCAACTGTCATAACCTATGTACAAGCAACTTATAAGGCGGAGGAAAGATCCAATCGAGGCAGTCCGCTCAGTGATTTACTCAAGACAGATGTCAGCAGGACGCTCACTATTCTCCGGACGTCCCAAGGTATCTTGTCTGCTTTGGTAAGCCTGGCCCTGCAAAATGTCTTTGTTCTTCTCCAATGGAGTCAAATACACCCACCAAATGGAATTTCCTATCTCAACATTCTGGCATTGTCGCCCACTACCGGAGCTCTTGGGACCCTTGGCCTCATCAAATCGTCCGCCCCGAAAATTTCCGCAAAGGCTTGGGCACTATCAAGGTAAGTTCACTCATGTAACTTCCCATAATCTTGCGTTTCTAATTCGGCTATCTAGGGTGATTCTATTTGCTCTCGTCTGGGTTTCAGGATTGGCATTGTTCTGTAGGCTCATCCACATTCCATGAGCATGATGGTGTGCTGATGTATCTGAACAAGTCAATACTTCTCTTGTAACTGTCTACGACACAGCGCATAACTATACGGTAACGGCAGGGGTTGGTCCGTTCAACGGATCACTCCTGCAGCCATTCAGAGACCACCTCCACACCTTTGCACCCACATACCAATATGAAACCCTACCTTATACCTGCTTCGCAGCCGCATATACACTTGTGGTGAACCCCTTGGTGTCTGTGGTTGCGGAGACACATGGCTGCTCCAGCAACTTGTGCGCATCATATATCCTATCAGGTGGTCTGGAAATGGTGATTCCTTGGGTCCCACAAGGCTATGACGACCACTCAATGGTCATGGTAAAGAAAGTGCCCTCGATTCAAGTCGACTTTACTGGTCCCGCCATGGATAGCTTCAATGATTCGGATTGCGATACCTTTGGAGAAACCGGAATATCGATTGGCATTCGGCTTTGCTTGGCACAAACACCATACGATCCGGGGGCAATCCGAGCAGGTGTGTTTAGTCAGACAAGTGCGGTGAGCCTCGACTGATGAGGGATACATAGGAGTGTTTGTTTGCCAAAGTGGCATCGACAACGGAACGTGTGACGGACGACACGCCGCACCCAATATAACCACCAAAGTGTCATTTCACACTCTTCAATCGTCCATTGTCACAGCCCGATCAAACCACAGTATAATCAGCGTCATGGACAGTACTGTATGTAAACTCTTGCATCTCTTCATGACCACGCAGTTAGGGTGTATTGGAAATTACTGACCGTTACATAAGCAACCGACACCAGTCCTAGACCTGGATCTAGCAGCGTACAGAGACTCATTAAGATGGCTACTCAATTACACGGCAGCGGACTTGCCACCTACATCCTCGATAGCCCAAAGCTTTTGGAGCGCTCAAAAGCAGCTTCAAGATCCTGCTACCTGGGGCATACAGTTCCAAAACTTCCAAAGCATCCTGGTTTTCCCCTTCTGGCTTTTCAACGTAAACAATTGGGGTAACAAGGAGACACACGCGAACACAACAGTTCCGAACCTGCCACCGGAGTTTTCAACGGAAGCCTCAATCGTCGAGCCGTATTCAAAATTCAGGGTTCAGCCTGCGATGTTCGCCCTCTTCCTGACGCTCCAAATTGTCTCGTTGTTATTTGTCGGAGGAGTCGTGGTGTGGGCTTGGATAACCTCGAGGATGCCTCTCAAGACGTCTTCATTTCCGTTATTCGATATTGCATTCAGGGCGGAGGTGCAGAGTGACGTTGGAAACAAGGATCTGAGCGATCTGAGTGACTCAGAGATTGTACACCTGATGAGAAATGCAAAAGCAGTTGGACGGTCTGAAGTTTGAAACATCGACTCACTCATACACCGATTCTCATGTAATCTACTTCTCGTGACCTTGACAGAGACAAGATAGGGATAAAACTGTGTTCAAGACTAGTGGACCATGTCGTTGGTTGATGAGTTTTCACAAAGTCCTAGTCGCGATTGGCTTCCAATTTTCAATGCCTCTCTCCGTTGGCACAAGCCACACTATGCCGCCTTGCCAACCTCCCATCTCGTGAGACGTTTCCCCTAGCTTGACACCAGACTCCTTGACGGCATCTTTGATTGCTTTCAGCTTTGCCTCGTCAATGGCCACATCACCACTGCCGGTGTTGTCAACTAACGTCGAGCAATACAGGGCCTGCAACCCGAGTGGGGATGGCACAACTCACTACATCAGACTAACATGAGGCCCAAAAGCCTCCTTCCACTCAGAAAGCCACGCCTTCGTCTTCGGCCCAACCTCGTCTTCCCCCTCGACACCACGCGCCCTGGCGATAGCCGCGACGTCCTTGGCGCCGTCAAATCCGCACTTGAGGTAGCATCTCCGGTAGTAGAAGTCTTGCGTCTTGACACGCTCAAAGCGAATCGCTACATTCGACGCCGTAGGAAACGGGATGCTGTCAAGCCACTTCTGGGGCTGGTCGCCGTAGATGCTGGGGTCGATGCCCGACGTGAGGGTCAGGTGTGGGGCGAAGACCGGCGGGCGCGGGGACTCGTCCGGGAAGTGGGCTGGGAGGGTCGTCTCGATGAGCTTGGTGATGACCGCCTGCAGGGGGTGAGTGGGTGGTGGCGTCAGCCAGAGAGAAGAGCCTGGCATCTTGATACGTTGACTGCTGGTGAGGTGGTTGCTTGTGGTTGACTTTGGAAGGGAGGACGATGACGTTTGCAGGACCTGGCGACATGTAGTCGAGTTGAAGGTTAGGGTTTAACCCGTCGCTTTTGCATCCAGAGAAGACCGACCCACTCCCTCACTCCCTTCACCTCCAGCATTTCCAATCATTGAACGACCGATGTTGTTGCAATGCCCTTAGTAAACCACAACGACATATGAAATTTCAGTCGCTATGCAGATAGATGAAAAGACCCCAGATCGAAATTGATGAGAAAGCAGACCGGTGGGATCCAGTGTATCATGGACAGCACGGCCAAGGCGCAGAGAAACAGAGGTGGGTAGGATATGGTATCACTCGAATAGAAGACATTATCAACGCTCATCGTCAGTCATTAGCCGCACCCGGACAGCAGCAGCAGCACTCAGGCCCTGGTCCGCCTCCGGTCAGACCTCCCCTTCCTCCCTTTCCTCCGCCACCAGACCTTGATCTTCTTCCTGAGCGCCGTATTAAACCCGTACGTCAACGCGTTCGCCAGGCCGACGAACTGGCTGCTCGACTGCAGCGCCGCCAGCACCCTGCTCTGGGACGTGTTGCCCGTCGCCTCCATGAACCGGTTGACCAGCCCCGGGATCCACAGTATCACGTACATGATCGGGTACGCGTTGAGCAGCAGCATGCGCTTGATCTCGCGCTCCATCTGCCGCGTCTGCCGCCGCTGCGGGAACTCGCTGTCCGTCGTCGCCGTCGCGTCGAACTTGCCGCCGTTTAGGGCTGGCGGCGGCGCCTTGCGGTTGGCAGTCGTCTTCATCGTCGGCGGCTGCTGCTGCTGTCCCCGGCCCGCCGCCGTCTCCTCCTCGATGATGCGGTCGTGGATGTCGTTGTAGTCCTCGTCCGAGTCCGACACGGAGCATATCGAGCTGGCCCTGCTCCGCCGTGACCTCTTTCGGCCCCCCGGTGTGAGCTCCTCCTCCTGTCCGTCGTCCTCGTTGGTCCTCACGTACGCCGCCTCGGGGGCCGACATCTCCCACTGGTCCTCCAGCACCCTGGATATCCTCGACTTGCTGACGGTGGATAATTCCGTGTCCTGGTGCTCGTCCTCTTCCCGGGCGTCGCCGTCGCCCATCCTGTTGAAGCCCTTGCGCCGGCGCCGCGAGCGCTCCGTCGCGCCGCTGAGGTCGGTGAGGGTCGTGCTGACCATGGACCGGAAGTGGCGGTTCATGTACCACCACACAAAGATGTAGATGCCCGCCGTGAAGAAGATGATGGCGATCCTCCACCCGTGCGTCAGCGCGTACCGCAGCCCCGTCTGGGAGCTGACAATCCAGCACCAGTTGCCGCTCACGGGGCCCATCTTGCCCATGGACGTCGCGATCGTCGCCGTGACGAAGGGCACCACCCACACCGAGACGCAGATGGCCACTTTCCGCCACGTCGAGGCGTTGGGCATGTATGTCGTCCGCGTGATGGTGAGGAGGGTGACGAGGGCGATGACGAGGATGGAGAAGTCCGAGGCTTGCACGGACATTTGGCCGACGAAGCCATTTACGGTACACGCCGTGCTGGGATATAGCGCATGGTCGCGTAGATATATTATACCTGATACTGTGTTGTTCAGTGTATTTACAAATTCTGTCCATCTTGTCAGCTTTCATCCCCATTAAATCAACTGAGCCAACCGAAGAAGACGGCATGTATGAATAATGGCAGGCCTCTAATCATGGAGTCAAGTGCACGTACCAGCCAGCGCCAGGTTGAAGACCAGAGCATGGCGAAAAGAACGTTGCTCGTGGCGATAATATGCGTACGAGGCCAGGACGCACGTCGTGGCTATGAATGATATGAGGCTGCCGGAGAAGGTGACAGCGGCGACAAGCCCGTCGAAGCCCGCCCTCGGGTCCATCGTGATGGGTACGGGTACCACGGGCTCGAGTGGTGTCGATGTAAAGAATGAGCAGTAGCGGCGGTCACGCCAGATGAGCGCCCGACCCTGCCGGACTGGACAATGTCAAAGAAAGTGGTTGACCCTCCACCAAAGTGGATGGTGGGGTCTTCGTCCGCAGGCGTCGTAAGTCAGGGGTCGCGGGTCATGAGATTCGTGCCATCAATTATATCGTGGGCAGAACGTTCTCTCGGGTCGAGTGGTGATGATTTCGACTCGCGAACAATTCGGGAAAGCAAAAAGAGGCTGGCAACAGAGTAAGAGAAACGGCTTCTGCTCTCGATTACCCATGGAGGCCAAGCAGGGGCGCAGCGAAACCCATGCCCTGGATGAGTGGACCGGTCGCCCATCAAGGACTCCGAGACATTATACAGAGAGTTACGCCGCACGTAAATATCACGACTGACTCGTGGCCCGGGCAATGATGATTTCAGGGGTTGGCGCGGGCTTCCACGGCGATCCCTGATCCGCAAATGACCCGGCCGGGTCCAGTAGCCTGGATTGGCGAGGGCCAAGTCCTCGAGTGTCTATTTCTGGCCTGGTCTGAAAAATTGACGTTCATGCGGATTGGGTGAAGCGCGCGGGCGGCTCTTCGACTTCGCTGCAACAAAAGGGTCTGAGCACCCGGGCGCAGGGCATTTTCGGGCCAAGCACAAAGCCCTACAGCTGCCGTGCATCATCCCAAGTCGCCTGAACCGATCCTTTGGGAAGCTCATCTGCGCAGGTTTTAGTCCCGCATGGCATGCATGTGGTGCCGTACCGCGCATAGCCGCAGCTGAGGGCGGCCTTACTGCGGCTGCTATCGCCAACCCGAACCTTACATTAGCCTAGTTTGACGAGCTTGCCGAGTTTCGGCGGGCTTGACATGATCTGGGGGAAGTTCCACTCATGGGGTCCACATTGTCGCTCCCCTTGGTTTCAGAATCCACGGGGCCTCGAGGCGAGGCAAAGACAAGCTTCACAAAGTTTCAATCCGCCTCTCCGAGTCGCTGAACAGAAGCAGCAGCAGAAAGCTACCAAGTCAGCAACGCGCTGTTGATTGCCGCCGTTGCAGACGTTGAAGCACCTGACCGCGGGGATGGTGATGTGCTGCTAGTCATGCTTGTTCTCACACCATGCCCTGTCATGATGCAAAATCGGCTGCAGCATTTTGGTTGAACTTGGACTTGCGGCCGTCACAGCTGGTCGACCATGATTCGGAAGAACCGTCTCAATGCTTTGCTCCGTGGCAGTGACATCCTGATACCGGCAGAGTGTTCTTGCAACCTGCGAACGGTCTCGTCAATGCCATGGCAGACTCACAACTCGGCGCCTGAAGACAGACGGTGCACATAGTCCGTACACCTGCGCGAGTCGTTGATCAACATCGGACTTTCGGACTCCAACCATGCCCCTGCAGCCATGTGAGGTAACCTGCGCGGATGACAGATCGACCACGTGAGCCCAAATGAAACATAGAGTTAGTTTACCTTCGCTATCCTATCCTTCAAAGACTGGTCTTGTCTCGTTGTCTTGTCCCGTTGTCTTGTCCCGTTGTCTTGTCCCGTTGTCTTGTCCCGTTGTCTTGTCCCAACTGACTTACAAGCTTAACTTTGACACACTGAATGAACCCACATTAGGCTTAGTACGAAATGCTATAAAACGCAAACGTTCTGGTCAAATCTATAGCTTCGCTAAGAACTGACATATTGGTACAGGCTAGAACAAATTTAGTTCAATGGTGTTGTTCTTAGGGCGAACAATATGTGCCTCAAACTAGCTCGCATGCCATTGCGACGTTGACAGTGGCAGCTCACTAGCAAGGGTCCTGAAACGAGCTGAGCCAAGCAGACTGAAAGCCGTTTCCCGCTGTAGCTAGTCTTGAGCCGCTGCAGTTGAATACCGAGAATTCCTCTGCCCTGTGGCCAAAACTTTCATAGCAGCGTCGAGGCAGCTATGTCGATTCACGGCGAGTTGACCCAGCCAGGCCTCAAGGTCGGCCGTGACGCCCTCCCTGAGAGCCACGTCAAAGAGGCAATCCTGCCAGCTGCCCGCGACGCACAGCCGCTCTCCCGCCCTAGTCATGGGCGAGATGTTGATTGCGGCGGCAGTCGTCTCGGTGCTCAGAGAGAACTGCGCCATCCGGGTCGCCCAGGCATAGTCACCACCAGACGGCGCACTGTTGCCGTTTGCACAGTATGTCTTCAGCGCCCCGTCCTACACGCCAATGCCCGTGATCCACCACGAGTGCAGCCGGGGTCTGCGGGCGGCGTTGGCCATCTCCTGCGGCCAGTCTCCTACGAATTTCATGATCCCGACGATGTTGTTCTTGGGGCGTGAGCATCGTCGGGCCCCATTCTTCCCACATTGTTTTGAGGACGTAGGGTAGGGTCAGAGGCAGCTTGCAGATTTCCTCGGTCAGCGGCGGCAGCCTGGGGGGCGAGTCTGGCAGTCTCACTACTGATGACTCGTGGGTGCTGTTTCGTGTAACATCACCTCGCGTTGTGGCGTTGAGGCTCTCAAGCAAGCTGGCGTGAAATATCTTGCCGCTCATTCCGTCGCAGTGAGGGTGGTTCCAAGTCAAGATCATCTCGACAAAGTCGGCTTGTTGCGGACGTATGACAATAATTCTGCATCCTGGCCAACGTCAAGTTCACCGTACGTAGCATCAACCTCATCCGCGATGACTCCTTGTCAAATACTATCGAGGATTAGGTGGCAGTCGTTGAAGCGCCATGTGATGTGCTGGCGCAAATCCAGAGATTCCAGCTGCACCCAAGTAGGACTCTTGAAGTCTGCATCTGCAATCCCAGCTTGCAATACACCGTGTTTGAGAATCGTATCGAAAATGGCGCGTTCCACGACTCGGACCAGCTCGCTTTGAGATTCGGGGCCGACAAGCCTCACTGCGTCCGTCAGCCTATTGAAAACAGCAAGCCCTTCGCTAGGCCAAGATTCTGGTTCGACACAGCAAGAAGAGTTTCAATAATTATCGTAAGAATGACAAAACTCAATAAGAATGCCACAAGAGTACGCTGGCGAAGATAGAATGGTCGTCGCGGTAGAATGGAGATCTCTGAGTTTGCGGGCTTGCTTGTGGCTCGATCATCACGTAGCACGGGGCTTTCAACAGAGGCATCGCCAACGGAGGATGACTGTATGCTTAGACGATGGCGACCACCATCACCATCTTCGTCATCGCCATCTATATGTTGAGATAAAAGGAGATCGGCGGAAGTACGTCCGGATGCAGGCGAGGCTCTGCGGCAATGGCGGTCGTGGTCGTTTGAAAGCCCAAGAGATGTTCGATTCGAGACTTGTACCTGACCTTCAATCGAGTCTGGTGTTGTGTTACCAGAAGAACAGCCACTCGAAGCTCCTGTGGTGTCAGTAGTCGTATCTGGGAGTGCAGACAGTTCGGTGAGCTGGATTGTCGCATCTAACGCGTGATTCACCTCATCTCCCCAGGGTGTAGTTTCTGACGGAACAGGCGAAGTGGGTCTGTCATTCTCGAGCATGGTGTGTAGTTTAGGTCCAAGCCACGAGAGATTCAGGACTCTTAGCCATCCTAATAGGGGTGCCAAAACTTGAACCGAAATAGTTTTGTATGGAGCAATCTTCTCGGGAACCAAGATTCAGGGATGGCTTCCGTCACTGTTTTGTTCTGAAGTAAGACACAGATCACATAGCTGGGCTGACATACAGCCTCACTTTGTCTTTCAAAAGCTAATTAATGTGAGCACCAACAGTAGGACAACGTCGTACCTTGGGGGCCGCAAGGCTTGGCCGCAGGTGATATGCACAACTCACCTGTTCATATGGCTGTATACCACTTGATTCGTTCACTTCACTGGAGCTGAATTGCGTGTATTGCTTTTTCGCCCCGCATGTACCACACATTGACGTCAGGCCCTTCGATTGATGCATGTATATATGTAAGCCCCCATCCAGCGGTGTACCAGAACATCAGCAGATTCTGCTAGAAGGCAATTGGTTCGATGATCAATTCGAAAGGCCAAGGAAGAAGATTGAGCATCTGCGCAGGATTCAGGGCATCTATCACCGTACACGAAAGGGGGCTTCTATTCTCGTCATGTCGAAGCTACGGTTAGAGGCAAATTCTCCCGTAGAGTCAAAGGCGAGCCACATCATCACGTCTTTGATGAGAAGCCCGTGGCTGTAGAGGGCTATGGTCTCTGCTCATTCGAGATGGTTAACGAATGGACGCGGTGCCAATGCTCATCACAGAGCAAGACGGAAGGATGACGAACCTTGAAGAGATTCAACCTGGGAAAAGATGGGAGGCAGATAATCCTCGATGGCTAAACTATCCATTAGCTTCCACAGTAGTGCGTATCTTACCCATCGTGAAGGCTAGATGAGGGTTCAATGGCACATACATTTCGTAGACAGTGCACTTGTCCAAACATGGCGCCGGACTCGGTGATCTCCATCTGTACGGGAGAAGACGGGTGGGGTGAGTGGATGAATCAGGTCATACCACTCGGCCCTAGTGTTCTTATTCGTCGGTCAATCCATGACCTCGAATATGTCAGAATGGAAGATGGTGACCTGTTCGTCGCCTATAACAAGTCGCCGCGGATCAGGCATTAGCGACGCACGTTGTAGCTTTGCACTGGCACAGTCCAAAGGTTCTTGCCTGTCCGCACAATTGTTCCGTATGTCTTGTTCAAATCATCAAGAATCAAGTGGTTCCGCGAGAGTCTTGGCACTTGTAAACGTGCCAAAGCTTTGTCAGAGCTGCCAGGCGCGGTTCAGGAAAGTGTTTCAGGCGATGGAAGAAGAGGCGGTAAACTGCAATGCTGCCGAGCACACCCACAAGATAGAAAAAGAGCAGCGTGTATGCGGTGTGAAGATACACAATGGAAGGTCGAGAATGATACGAAAACCGAATCATGGATCCAAACGAGAAGCGAAGAGACGTAAATAATACAGGAGACACGTAAATGCCATTGTCCTCTGATGAACACGCCTAGCTGGACTGCGACACCCCAGCTGGTGGCAGTAGATTTGTCAAGCAATAGATCCATCGCCATGTCAACGAGTGCGTCGTAAGTGAGGGTGAACGACTCAGGTAGGGACGCTGGGAGATATGTGGAATAGAGTCTGGAGCGCAAACAGTTGAGATCTATCGGTGGTGAGAAGGTTCAATGAGACATTCTGCTGCGTCCGTTTCAATGGGTTTGCGGCTTCATGCACTTTATCCTTGGACGATGGAGGCAATCTTCGGAGCTGGCACGATAAGGTATTCTTTTCATCGTTACATGGTTGTGTGGTGGCGAGCACACAGCCAAGTTGCTCCATGTGGACACACTGGTTGCCTAGGCTTATACTCATAGCATTTTGCAAGCATCCAGTCTTGTGATTATCGAAAAAAATCCTGGATGAGACCCAGATCAAGAAATCATCGGTGGTACGGAATCTTTCGCCTGAAATGTAGGTAAGGCGGGGTGGAATATGCCTTGTTATCCACGGTACATTCTTAAGGTGCCTTCACACTAGACGAATAATGCATGTAATTGCTGCCAAACCCTTGTCTGTTCTATGCTACAAGTTGGCCAAGATGAGCCACATATTTGACCAGCCACAGTGGCACAAGGAGCATTATGGAAGAAATCGTCTTCATTGAGGTTGCTTACATGCGGTGTTGGGCCGAGAGAATCCTGATGGGGGCTGTAGACGGGTGCGACCTTGAACAGTGGTCAGCTTATTGGCTACATGTGGCAATGATCGGCTGTCGATCCATTGTGATAATTTAATGCCAGTTTCAGATTTGACTGAGCCTTGTCGAAACCTGGTGATTCTTCCTTCTAAGTTTTGTCTCAAGTGTCGTCAGAAGACGCGTTACGGTGAACAGCCTGATGTGTTGTGCGATGACAAAGAGGCAGACGGCAAGGCACGTTTGGAACATGATCTGTGTCCCATGACACTTTTCCAATAATCATTGTACGAGAATGAAACCTGACAATGCCAATCAATTGGGTCAGAAGGCCCATGAGAATGTATCATCTTCTAGGTTTTGGGAACCGGACTACCCTTGTCGAGAGTTTTCAGGGCTCACAAATATCAACTGCTAGTATTCAGACCGTGTTGATTATATATGAGTGCTCTCAGGAAAGGTTTGGGCAGGATGACGTTTGAACGTTTTCTCATGAAACGGCCTACACTTGATCCACACGGCGGTATTATAAAACTTGTATTGGAATAGAAAACTTGATATGCACACTTTGGAAACGATCGTATCGGCTCCTTTGCACAGCCACGTATCATACCACGACGCTATGGCTCTTTACCGTCAATGATCTGAAGACTATGGTCTTTCCCAGCACCGCATTTGCCTTCTTCGCATCCAGCTCCACGGAAAGACTTACCACAATTTCATTCTTGAACAGCGTTTCATACATCCTGCTCTGGACCTGGATCAACCTCCTCGATCTCACCGTCAATAACCAACGCAAACAATCAGCTTTAATGGAATACAAATTTAACGAGCCATGGCGCCCCATCCCCTGAGGCTGTCTCTCAGCCTTCAGAGCAAACATCATCGGTAATTTGGCGTACCCGATCGCCCAGCTCGTCAGCGTCGCACTGGGTGGTGGTCTTGCTCAGAGTGCTGTTCTATCTGTTCTTGGCTACGCGTATAAATGAACTCGGTGGCGGCAGCAATTGCGGGCCCATCGTGCGGAACATCCTCAACGCTGCGGGCTTCACAACTTTTGCATCAGGAACCCTCGATGTTGCCACAGGTGGTGGGGCCGAGGGAACTGCACCCACCATTATTGCCTGGCTGGGTATCAAAACCGCGGTGGTGAGCACAAGTGTGCGTGCCCAGGGCATGTATGATACGGTGGGCGATGCTGCCGCAAGGCGGCGCACCGTACCACTTGTTTTCGGCGACAAGCAAGCTCGGGTGTCCATTGCGGGGGCTGTGATTTTCTGGTCAGCTGTCTGTCCATATAATTGGGATACTGGGATTTCAGGGTTGGTCCTGCCCACTATACTTGGGACTTGGGTGGCGTGGAGAACACTGAGCCGCACGAGTCCGCCTGACAACAGAGCGACGTTCCGCACCTACAACGTGTGGTTGGTGGGCATCTTTTCCTTAGCCGCCATGGCACAGTTGATTTCTGTGTCCAAACGGGCCTGATTCGGCTGTGAATGGTTGTTCAGCTTCTGTGGTTGATTACTGATGTGACAATATCGCTGGGGATACACTGCATCACGGGCTTGGAACGTGGTTGGATAAGGGGTACCGCAACAATGAAGGCCTGTCGGATCATCCGCTGTGGATCAGCCATGGCATTTCGTCGGCAGTCCGGAAGCAAGGCATTACTCATCCGTCTGCATTGTGACAAGATGGGCAGTCGCCCCCAAGCCTGCAGATCTAAACCCAGTCAGGGCATGTATGTACTCGAGGCTCTGTTACAAGTCAGACTGATGGGGGCCAATCCAGCATTCCGGAGGAACCTTGCCAGGTGTGACTCATGCCTTGGTAAACATACCTTTGTAGATCTTCAACAGGCAAGAGCCTGCTTACTCCAGCCCACAGTGTGCCTGCACAAGAGCCAGCACTGGCAGAGCTTTATTAGATTATAGTCATCCTTCCATGTCCCCACTACATCCATTACCAATCGCTCGCATGCTACTTTGTCGTCTCTATCTAATTGCCTTGCAAGCAATGCCTGTCCTGTTCTGCGTCTTCTTGAATATTCCTGAGCCTGTATACGTTCCCGATCTATTTCTGACCTGTCCATCATGGTGTCAGTCAAACCAAGCTATCTCACCTACGCCATAGTCTCAAGTGTGTCTACTGCCCTATCGGCTGCCTGTGTCACTCTGCGGTTCTTCCAGCGCCAACGGGTGGGCGGCTTGCAGTGGGATGACTGGACGATCTTGCTGGCTGTGGTCATGTCGGTCGCATGTCTCGTGGTCGTTCTGCTGCCCACATCGATCTGCCCGAGAGTACTGCAAGATGACCCGAACATCAAATTCACAGACACAGAACTGAACACTTGGACAAAAGTGAGTCTTGCGGTCAGGCGTTATACTAGTACCATGCTTATACTGAACTGCGGATTGCCAGACTTTGACTGCTACACAAATGTTCTATGCAGGCAACGTCACCCTCTCCAGATCCTCAATTGTGATCTTCTATCGTCGAATCTTCTCAGTGGACACAAGATTTCTCATTTGCACTCACTTCATGCTATTTTTCATTGTGGCAGCCTTTCTCGCATTCGTATTTGTTGCAGCTTTTGCCTATACCCCCGTCGAAGCTCAGTGGGATGTTTCCAAGCAAGCTACGAGCTCGAACATACAGACGAGGGTGTGGGCTATGACATTAAGCGCAATCTACACTCTTTTAGACATCTTGGTATTCTTGATGGCCGCCTACAGGACGTGGAAGCTGCAGATAGACAAGAAACGCAAGATATTATTATCCCTGTTGTTCTTTGTTGGCACACTGTACGCAACCATGGCCCACCTTCTTTTACCAGCGAAACTAGGCCGTTGATGCTGATTTTGATTACTCTTCAGACCCCTTATTGCAGTCATCATGCGGCTGTCCTACTTTTCCAAAAATGTTCCACGTCTCGGCTGTAAGTCAAACCTGAGACATTGTATAACTGAGAGGGCAGGTGAATTTATGTACACTGACACAAGTTCAGTGAATATACAGTTTCCCAGTATGACCTGGTCAAGCGTCGAAATGAACTCAATCATCGTTTGCGCCTGCTTGCCAATGTGCTATAGCTTCTTGGTTGCTCGAGCCAACCGAGGGGACAAAAGCGGGCAACCAAAGGAAACGGGGTACCACGAAATCAATCAGCGCAGGCCTTTTGCAAAGAGACCCAACAGTTTGGGAAGGGTCCAAGCAGACCAACGTCAGCTTCTCGATGATGAGAGGTACCACGTCATGCCTGGTCCTGAATTCGAGATGCGTGGGGACTACTCAAATTCTATGGCCATGGTGCATGTCCGTGGATAATGAATGGTCCAAGACATTATCACTTATATCAAGCAGTCACTAAGATTGACTGGGCAGATCAAGGTCTATTCGAGAGCTTAGTATCACATGTTTAGAATTTCTGGGGCTTCTATAAACTAGGACGCCATCCGAGCCGGGAAAGTGCAGAAGAAATGAGGTTATTGATTTCAACGATTTGGAATAGACTTTAAGAGGCAGCATTGCCACTTTCCCTCAATTTAAATTTTCATGTGAGAAAGAGGGTCTTGATTGTCGAATAAGAGATATCGGAAGGTTCATATTGGATCTACGGTGTCCTGTTATAAGAAGATTAGGCATGTCAACGGCCAAGTTTGGTCATCTAAAGCCTTGCTGGACTTTTGAACTTATAACAATAAATATTAAGCTCAGTGTAGCCTTCGAACCGCTGTGGGATGTAATTTCTCAGCTACATTAGCACAGATAACAATCATCAACACGAGAAATATACATAAATGTCAACTCGCACTGCATCTATCAAGTCGACTCGTCTGTCATTGAGACTGTGAACGAGAAGTGGGTTCTCATTAAAAACTACTAATTCAGAATAAAATGAAGAGAAGAATCATAGTACACAGTTTACAGCCGGTACTTCAGGGGCCGTCCTCCAAAGGCCACCACCAAATACTTTCACAGCACCATTACTCACTGAGTCTTCATACCAGAGTCTCCATGCCTATTTCCCCAGGCCCGCACCTTGCGGTCCATGTCCCATCGAACAAAGACCAAGATGAGCAGCCCAAGGCACCCCAGAACCCAGTCAGCAAAAGCGCGGAGGAACCCACCCCTCCTGCTGGCCCCCATCATGGTAGACAGTACGATCCTCGTTAGGAAGTCGGTCGCGACGAGCTCCTGCCCGCTCTCCAGCCCCATGATGCTCTTCCTCGCGACCTCCTCGGGTGTCTGTCCGCCGTCCGCCTCCTCGAGCATCTTGGTCACGTCCGTCTTGACCCTGTTCTCGGCCTCGTATGCTTCGGTGAAGATGGTGGCCGGGAATATCGTGTGGACCTTGACGGGCGGTGCGTACGGGTTCGCCGCCGCGTAGAGGTTGAGCTCCTGGGAGAGCGTGTCGGATAGAGATCTCAGGGCCGCCTTGGATGGGCTGTAGGGGGTGTACCCGATGATGCTATACAGTGCGAGGAATGAAGAAGTGAAGATGAGGTGCCGCGCCGGAGGAGACTTGTTACTATTCTTCCTGGCCGCCTCTAGCTCCCCAGCGGAAGCAGCAGCCTGCTCCTTGTCGTTCCCGTCCCTGTCCGTCCTCAGCCAACTTCTCAGCGCCGCGTGTGCCATGTAGGCGCTCGTGAAGTAGTTCGCATCCATCTGCGACTGCAGCTGCGCGGTGTCCGTGTCGATGAACAGGCTCGGGTGCGACGTCCCCGCGAAGCACCACACCACGTCTGGTGGTGACCCGCCGTTCCACTCCGTGGCCTGAGCCATGACGCTCACGCATGCCTGGGCGCTGGTCAGGTCGGCAGTGATGGTGTGGAAACGCTGCTGTGTCCCGGCGGTGCCAGCGACGTGATTATGGGTTACCCCTGCCTTGACATACTCGATGCCGTCGCGCAGCCGTTGTGAGTCTCGGGCGACGAGAATGACGTTGCCTCCCTTTGCGGCCAGTTGTCGGCCTGCATCGAGGCCTGTTCCCTTGGAGCCGCCTGCGATCAGGATTGTCTGGTAAAATCGCTTGTCAGATTGACTGCGTTGCCGGGATATTTCTGCGGTAAAGTGAGGGACATACTCTTCCCTCGACAGGAAACGCGTTCGACGGCATGATGCCTTTTTGTTCGCTGCAGTTGAGAGTGCGTCACTGAATAGGATTACCCGGGGTCAATCTCTTTTTTTCTTTTTCATAAAGCAAATGCGTTCCCTCCACAGACAATTCCAAGGAAGGAACGCTAGACTTTTACCGAACAAATCAAGGGCCTGAAAATGTGCAATAGAAAAGAAGGTGGCCACCACTTTTGATAAGCGTGGCTTTCCGTGGTTTTTCAGCAATGGGATCAGCTCCCGAAAGGTCGAGATATCAGTCAAGCTCTGACTAGCGCGGGGTTGATGGAATGCAAGGTGGAAATAGACACATGCGTGCGACCATTCCCTACCGGTTGAAATGCTGGAGGATCCGTACGCGATTGGAGAGCCTCGGGTCTCAGCGGAGGTGATTCGCCATGGCGAGCCGAGCTGCAGGGTGGCGTTGTCCAAAGGTGGTGTCGTGGTGCGACCCGAGACCTGCAGCACACTTTCAGCTTACTAGCGGGACGGCGGCAAGACGTCAGCTTCTTAGCATGCAAGCGAGGACTCAGAGTGCCCAAACAATTTGTCTCTCGCCCCTCCACCAGACTGTTCCGGCTGAGCCTCGATCAAATACTGCAGGGTGAGCGTGAGGATATGGGCTGAAGGATGGGAGGGGCAACAAATAGTGCCACCATCCCTTCCGGTGGAGGATGAACACCCGGTATGGGCAGATAGATGGATGCCTGGGCCGGAAGGTCCAAGTGTGTGTGGCCTGTCTTGTAGGTGTCTATCGCGTGTGGCCAGGTCTGTTCCTTTAAGTGCGTAGTCCTGTCGCTTTCCGTGGCACGCCTGGCTTGCATTTTTGGACGACATCCCCCACCCTTTAGATGCTCACCGTCCAGCGGGCCATTTCAAGATGGCGGATCACAAATCCAACGAAGACGCCACCACGGCCGCTGGTGCTACCATGATAGCCTTGTCGGTCATCGTGGTGGCCTGCCGGTTTTACATGCGGTTGAAGCTCAAGTCCGGGCTGAAATGGGACGACTGGTTCATCTTGATTTCTCTGCTGTCGCTCATCACTGCTGGTGTACTTGTCGTGGCTGGTACGTTTGCGTCTTCTTTCCTTTCTTCTTTCTATGATGTCCACAATATCCTCCTCACAACTTGAAGTAGTGTCGTCATGGATTTTGTTACCTTGATTCTTCACAAGGGTACTTGCTAAGTTGAAAAACACACTGCACCACAGCCTCCACAGTCGACCCAGATTTTAGTTGGCTTGAGATATCATACTCAGATCCGAACTATATCTATACGCCAGCAAACGAGACCCACCTGCTTCTCTCTTGGCTTTCTTCCATCTTCTACTACTGCATCGTGTGCGCGGCCAAGATGTCCATCCTCTTCATGTACAAGCGCATCTTCTCGATATCCGGGCCTTTTCGCCGTCAGGTGTACGCCGTTATCGCCATTCTCACCATGTACTGGGTGGCCATAGTCCTGGCCGATATCTTCAACTGTATTCCGTTCAAATACAGCTGGACTGACAGCAACAGCCCGGCACCGTATTGCTTCAACTTCAATCTGTTCTGGTTTTCCTCGGGTATCATCGAGACCGTGCTGGATGTTGTCATCATTTCTCTACCCGTCAGCATGGTGGCAAAATTGCATTTGAGTATGAGGAAGAGAATTGGTCTCGGTGGAGTTTTCTTGCTGGGTGCATTGTGAGTTCTCTCTCCTGTGCGCCGCTGTCGGTGACATCGTCTGTTGTTGGCGACGGCGTTCTATTAGCTGATGTTTTCCCGTTTCCAGTGGCATCGTGACAGGTGCGATAAGAGTATGGACAGCCTATCGACCCGGCCAACGCTCGCCGTCATGGGGTGAGAGCGAGGTCTGGTCCTCGATACACGGTCAGTCAAGTATTTCTCTGGATCATCCTAGGCCAGTCTCGAACCCAGCGCTGACTCTCAGGGCTCTATCGCAGCCGGTGTATGCATCATCTGCGCTTGCCTTCCAGTATGCTGGCCACTGGCCAGCCCCCTGTTCTCTAAGGTGCGAGGAAGCACCGCCTCATTACGAGACCGCTGGCGCAGCCGCAATAGTCCGCATTCATATGGGCCCAAGTCTACAGGCGACCAATCCAGGGAGGATAAAGACCGCTCCGAAGGCGTCTCCTCTCCCGGACTTCCCGACACTGAGCTGCTTCCTGTTTCAATGCGAGGCGTTAGTCCCGACGTTGAGGCCTTTATAGCATATCCCCAGCAGGCCCGGGCTGTTAGTTCAAGTGACTCTGAGGACGGGGTCTTGATAATACAGGGTGGACAAAACACGGAAAGACACAGATTTGTTGGGTACGGGGTCTGATCGGCGTGGACCATATTTCAAGTCGCTGAAAATGAAAGAAATATTGAATAGAAGTGCGTGCTCGAGCTGACCATTCTGGTTTGTGAGCAAAGAATATCCGGCCATGTGGCTGAGGTGTAAAATTTCAGTCTGCAAGACCCAGGTTTGCGTCCAAATGCCTTTGTCCTCATGCAAGACCCTGCCAAAGAGCCTGATGGGGCGCCACTATCCGCAATTTGAGCCACGGCCTGTCATTAGGGAGTCCATCACGACCAGCTACGAGGTCTCATATTTTTGGAGCTTTCGCCTCCTGCTTGCCAAGGTGGAGTTTTTTTATCAGGTTTCATCCGTCGTCAGCGTTCTCGGAGCTCTCGACCATGCGAGCTACGCGGCCGGATCTAGCTTTCAAGAAATCCAAGTCCACTACAGAAAATCAATATGATCCGAAAATCTCATCGATCGACCGTGACTTCGTGGGAGACATCGGCCGCATGGAAGAGATGGATGTTCTTGTCGTGACCGGGTCGAGGAGCACAAAGTCCTTCCCCAGCTGGTGATGGAGACTGCTACTTGAGTGCCATCTCCGGGTCGTAGACCGCCTTGAATCGCAACAATTTGATCAGGGGTAGTGTGCGTCGGCGAGAGTACCCAACAGTAAAGAAGCTGAGACATGGACAAAAGCCCTTGTTGGCCCGACAGCTACAATATCATAGACCCCTGGACAAATGAAGATTTGGAGGAGAGTGCGCGCGTCTTCTTCGGGGGAGTATATCTATCCGTGTCTTCTCTCATGGACAACAGGGCACCTGACGTTACTTGTGCTCCAACTGGTCTTGGTGGTTTATCATGGAAACGGTGAGCGGAAGATACCGGTACGTCGGAAATTTCAGCACACACATACGCCAGTCCCAATGCGTGCCTGACTGGACGGGCCGGGCCACACAGCCAGACCGTATTTGAATGGTCCGGTTGGGGTCGTGACAAACTGATTGGGTAGCAGCAGAGTAAAAAGCCTCCTTGCGACCAAACATTCCAGGAAATGCTGAGCATGTTGTCGGGCCGATGTGCCCTCCACAGATTTACGGGGCGCTTTCTGCCCGTGAAATGTGAAGATGAGCAACCCACGCCCGGTCTAGACCGTTGGGAACAGGAACAAAGAACGGAACATGCTGTAGAAACGGAACCCAGCGCCCAACGGCTGACAGCTGGTGGGGCAGTGGGGCAGCTCTGTCGCTTATCGATAGACTGGCGACAAGGATCTGATTCCCCAAAGTACCTGGATACTCTGGATGTGGCCTTGTGTCGGGGGCATCACCAGTCAGGCATTCTGGTGAGGAAACAACTACAGACACTGACTTCTGAGTTTTCAAAAGGGTTGACTGATTTTGACCAATTTGAAGCATGTCATATGAACTCAGATCACCAACGTGCAGATAAATCTCAATAGGAACCAAATGAACAGAGGTAAACAGGATGCTGAGAATTGGATGTCAAGTACTTGGTACATACCCCCGGCCCAAGCGCCCATCCACTATTGACCGCAAAATTACGTAGCTCAGGACATTCGGCGGAAGGAAAGCTCCAGCCTCTCTCGCTTTCTGTGAGCCTTGAGAATCCCTCTGCCAACTTCTATTCTAGAACCATCATCGTCACACCCTGCCATACCAATCCAAGCAGTCTGCTCTCTTACTCGAGTCAAGCACCCTCTTCACTGCCCACCTTCTTTTGAGGCATCATTTCTGCCATCCTTGTTCCCATAGCATATCTCGACCTCTCGTCGCCCAGTCCAGTCCGCCATCTTCGTGTCACCCGAGGCCCAATATACCCCGCCGTCGACTGACTCTACCACCCTCTCACCGGTCGAAAGGAAAAGCCAGCTCCAGTAAAGTCTGGCCCTTCATAGGCAAGCGCAAGCGACTTGTCAGACGAAAAAGCAACCTAGCCTTGTGGGACCCTCCGCGCAGGGGGCAGAGAAGAAAGAAAACAGCTGGGTAGCTGCGCTTCCTTGCTCACAACCGAACCAGCTTGCATCGCTACACCTTCAGTATGCCGAACGAGGAATCCAACGCAAACGGCAACAGCCGCCTCCGCATCGTATCGAACCGTCTGCCTCTGACCATCAAGCGCAGCGAAGATGGCCAGTACAACTTCTCCATGTCCTCTGGCGGCCTTGTCACCGGCCTGAGCGGTTTGTCCAAGACCATGACCTACGAATGGTACGGATGGCCTGGTCTGCAGGTACCCGAGAACGAGACTGGCCATATGAAGGACATGCTCAAGAAGGAGTGCAATGCACACCCGGGTCTTCATTGACGACGATCTGGCCGACAAGCACTACAATGGCTTTTCCAGTATGCTTCCACCCCGTCCCAGACTCCCCATCGTCGCAACATCCTGCTGACAGTCATGTTTCACAGATGAGATCCTTTGGCCTCTCTTCCACTACCACCCCGGCGAGATCACCTTCGACGAGTCTGCCTGGGCCGCATACCACGAAGTCAACCAGCTCTTTGCCAAGACCGTCGTCGCCGACGTCCAGGACAACGACATGATCTGGGTCCACGACTACCACCTCATGCTCCTCCCACAAATGCTGCGCGAGCTGATTGGCGACTCCAAGAAGAACGTCAAGATCGGCTTCTTCCTCCACACCCTTCCCCTCTTCCGAGGTGTACCGAATCATTCCTGTCCGTGAGGCCTTGCTGTACGGCATCCTCCACTGTGACTTGATCGGCTTCCACACCTACGACTATGCGCGACATTTCTTGTCTTCATGCAGTCGCATCCTGTCCGCGACAACGACGCCCAATGGTGTCGACTTCAACGGAAAATTTGTGACGGTCGGCGCGTTCCCCATTGGCATCGACCCGGAGAAGTTCGTCGAGGGCCTCAAGAAGCAGAAGGTCCAGGAGCGTATCGCTGCGCTGGCGCGCAAGTTCGAGGGCGTAAAGCTCATCGTCGGCGTTGACAGACTGGATTATATCAAGGGTGTGCCTCAGAAGCTTCACGCATTGGAGGTCTTCCTGACAGAGCACCCCGAGTGGATCGGCAAGATCGTCCTGGTGCAGGTTGCCGTGCCCTCTCGACAAGACGTCGAGGAGTATCAGAACCTCCGTGCGGTGGTGAACGAGCTCGTTGGTCGCATCAACGGCCGGTTCGGCACCATCGAGTTCATGCCCATCCACTTTCTGCACCAGAGCGTCAGCTTCGAGGAGCTGACAGCCCTGTATGCCGTGTCTGACGCCTGTTTCGTCACCTCCACGCGGGACGGCATGAACCTGGTCTCCTACGAGTACATCGCTACGCAGCGTGAGCGCCACGGCGTCATGATCCTGTCTGAGTTCACCGGCGCCGCGCAGTCGCTGTCGGGCTCGCTGATCGTCAACCCCTGGAACACAGAGGACATGGCCAACGCGATCCACGACGCCGTGACCATGTCCGCCGAGCAGCGCGAGGCGAACTACAAGAAACTGGAGAAGTACGTCTTTAAGTACACCTCCGCCTGGTGGGGCAAGCAGTTTGTCACCGAGATGAAGCGGCTGGACGCCACGGTGGGCAAGGGCCAGGGCGGCATCCCCGTGGGCAACGGGCCGCCAAAGATCCCCCTCAAGGAGAAGGTGGCCGACAAGGTCAAGGGCGCCGTGGATGCTGTCACCGGCGGCACGTCCGACGAGAACGGGACCGAGAGGCCGTCCTAAGGGGCCCACTAGCATTTTTGGTTGGGCAGCTAGCAGTATAATCAAAACCACCACCTAGAAAAAGAAAAGGCGATAGCTAACAGGGGCTTCAGAGTCACCCGGCGGGAAAAGCTTCGACGCACATACAGCGGCGCTGCCCTCACTTTAGAAGCAGGCTTCGCTGGCTGGTTGGATGGATGACACCACCTCTCCTAACATTGACCACAGAATTCCGGTCATTAGTACTTGTAGCATTTGGAGTTGGAGTTCTCGGAATAGGCACAATACAGGCGTTTTCCTTCTGGTTTCGTTCCCATCCACTGTCGTGTAAACTAGTGACATGAGCCCTCAAGTCTCATACATCACACCCACACCCACACGCACATACACACGTGCACTCCACCGCAAATGATATTGAGTGTTTGGTATTCTGGCTATCTAAGGTATCTATCTACCTGCTTGCAACACCCACACAGCCCGTCATCGTTCGCCGCAAGCACGCAAGGCAAGGCAAAGAGTAATATCACAAGTAAGCAAGATTGGGGCCTGAAACCACTTCATTCATACGCGCACTCGCATGGGGGAGGTATCTGAGCAGACTTCAAAAATGGACACAGAAAAGAAGGAAACACCAAGCAAGTAGTAGTCAGGCAATTTCGGAGCGAAAATCAGGAAGAACAAGAAAAGAACATGGTAAAAGGTCTCCGGTCCAAGCTGGACCAAGCAAGTCATGTTCGTGTAAAACGCCTTGAGCTGTGGGGAAAGTCAATCAAATGAGCCTCGCCACTCTGGTGCCCGTCCCTGTCCTTGCCATATACCCTGGTCTCCGCAGTACATCGATCGCTCTTCCGCCCTGGTTCCGAGAACCATATAATGTGTCTGGTCATCCCGCTGCGAGACTGTCATTTTCGCCGAGACATTTCCCCTCTGCCACCACCAACACCAAGGTCAGGCGTCGTTCTCTTAGTATGGCGAGTTGACAATGTCCTCCTTCTTCAGCCGATCCACGGGGCCACCCCTCCTAGGTGTGGCATACGCGCCCGCGCTGCGCCTGGTGCTGGGGCCGGCGATACTCTCGCGAGTGGGCCGCTTCAGCTTCTCCTTCTGGAGCATGTTGACCTCGTTCGGTAGCGCGTAGATGACGTTGCTGTCGCTTCCGAATCGGAAGTCGTCCGCCTTCACGGTGTCCGCGTAACGCTTGATCTTGTACGGCGCCTTCTGTCCCCTCAGGGTACTCTTGAGGTTCCACTCGATCACATAGGGTCCCGTGGCCGAGATGATAGAGGTCTCCGACGAGTTCTGGCCAGCGTTGAACTTGGCAGGCGTGAATGAAATCCCCTTGCCGGTCTCGTAGGCGAACTGGGCAACGTGCTCCGGAGTCAGGGCCAGACGGCGCGGTTGCGGTTTTGAGTCGGCTGCGAAGGATTTCTCAAAACCGAGCCTGCCCTCATTCTTGCCTGACTTCTGCTGCGCGTCGATGAGGAGAAGGTATGTGCGGCACGTTGCCAGTACCCAGCGACCGTCAGCGGAGACGTCAAGGCCGATGATGGGCTCACCGAGGGCGGGGATGTGTGTCTTGGCATTAATGCCTAGTCGGTCAAACAGTCGGATGTCGCCCTTGTTCGAGGCCACGGCAATATGGCCCTTCTCGGTAGTCGCGACGGATGAGAAGTCGTTCTTGGAGACATATTGCTTGAGCTGCGAGTCAACGAGCTTGTTGCCTGACAATCGGGGGTCGACACGGTACAGTGCGTTGCGGCTGATACCGAGGAAGGTCGGCTCGGATGTCATCTGGGCGAACTTGTTCTCCGGAGCAAACGTGATGGCATCGATGTCGTCGTGGATCTTCCACTCGTCAACGACCTTGCCGTACTCGAGGTCCATGCGGTACAGCTTGTTAGGGTCGGTGTCATTTTGCAAGATCATATTGTTGTCCTCGTTGTGCAGCATCACCTTCTTGGGCGTGAAGAGCTTGCCACCGGGTGTCTCAACCTTGGAGATGTTGGTGCTGAACTCCAGCTTGTTGTTGGGAGTATGCTTGAAGACACCGATCTTGGAGCCGCGGACAACAAACGACCGGTCATGCTTGTAGCCAACAGCGATAGCCTTGTTGGTCTCTTTGTCACTTGGCCTCACTGCAACGTCGTCCTCGTCCTCGTCGCTGTCGTAGTGTTCGCTTCGAGGACTGTCATCCTCCTCCTCCTCCTCCTCTTCTTCCTCCTCGGTATGCGCCTCCTCAGGCTCGGCATCCTGAGCTTCGGCATCCTCCATGGCGAGATCTGCAAAGGCGTCCGTGACGTAGTCACGCTCTGTCTCCTTCACCTTCGTCCACTTGATCTCGTTTAGCTGCTCCCAGAGTGCGCGAAGCAGGCCCTCCTGGAAGCGTTCCAGTTGCGCTTGATCCTTAAATCGCAGTAGCCACGAGTAGGCAGAGCCATCGTCAGAGAACTGGTTGAAAATGAAGGACAGGAATTCGAAGTTGAACACCGGGTTGATATCGGCAACGACAGGAATGCCAAGCCAGCTGCGATCCTTGCCCTCCACATTGAGCCAGTATCGCCAGTTTCCAATCTCAGTCACTGTTGCGGTAACAGAGGCATCTTGCAGAACAAAGGCTCCAGAAGGGAAGTCAAAGAAGTGGAGCTCAGCGGTCTCGGCAGTCAGCAGCTCACTCGCCTCTGGTGCAGCCTCGAACTTGGGAGGAGCGGTGCTTCGTGCCTTTGGAGGCGTCTCGGTGTGTTCCTCCTCCTCGACCGGTTGTTTCCCCCTCTTGACGCCAATATTGGTAGTAGTCGGGCGCTTGTTCAGAGACATCTGGTCGACAGAGTCGATGGATCGGCCCAGGGTAGGGCTGTGGAGAGGACTCGCTTGGGGTATGGGCTGCTCGTCGAACTCGAACTGCTGCAAGTCTTCGTCGGAAGCGGTCGTGAAAGGCTTGCGGTACTTTCGTTCGTACTGGCACTGCTTTGCCACGAGCTCAAACTGGTCGATCTGCTGGCCACCAGCCGCTGGGTCGCACACAAACTCGTAAACGTCACCCGCGTCACCGCTTAGGTCCTTCCAGCAGAGAACCTTCTCGGTCGAGGTTTCTCTGTTCCTGACACGGAAGTGGATGGCCTCGTCGAGGAGAAATGTCTTTTCGTCACGGTCGGACGCAAGGGCGTCAATCTCGGCGTCCTCTCCTTCTTCCTCGGCTAGAAGCTCGGCCTCGCCCTCCTCGAAGACTCGCTGGACGACTAACTGGTACTGGAAATCCTGACCGGTTCTCCGGATGCGAGCAGAAGAATCCTTGAAGATGAGCTCGGAGTAGCCCTTGGGCGAGAGGGGTCGGACGAGGTAGAGTTGGCCCTGGGGGAGCTCGATCATAGACTCTTGGCCGCCGGCGCCGAAGATGAGTTTGCTGACTGAGCAAAGGGTTAGTTGAGTCTGCTTGGATGCACAAGTGTAGTGTTGGGTAGAAGGGATGGTTGGGATTTGGGCCTCGGCCTGATCGGTGACCAGTGGCGATGATGTGACGGAGGGGTGCTGCTGGTGTTTATGCAGATTGGCGGGGCAACAAGTGGCGGCAAAGCAAGGACTTACCATTTCGCAGGACGAACATCTTGACAAGTCAGCGACAGTCAAGATGAACGGGGAGGTGAACCGTCTGTTATCTTCAGATCTAGGTCAACGATGTGAGGAAATGTGGAAAACGTGCTGGATGTTGCAAAAAGTTGAAGGGAAACTTCGCAAGCCTTGTCACCGCACTTGGTAATGTACTGATAGAAGATGATCAGCCTGGACCTTTGAAAGGGCAGGCAGGCACAGGGGAGGGGCCCCGGTCGTGGTTGCTGCGTCATCCTAAGCGAGTGAATGAAAAGTTGGCCCAGGCCGCTGGGAGGCCTAAGCTCGCCACATGACGCACGGAGATCCCAGGCCGCTATGCCCTGGGAGGCAAGGCGCGCAGCCTAGGGCGCATCTGATCTGGCATGCTACCTGCAGATGCACCTGCCACTCGCCGTACATACGTGTGTCTAACAGTACATTGATACAGTAGGTACATATCCTAGTTCATCTCTTGGGTATTATAGATCTTCGAGGCCACCATGGCCGTCTAATCTTCTCGATGCTTGGTGGAAGAAGTGGTGTTCAGGAACCTTGTCTGCAATCCGGATGGTAACGAACTTGAACACTTTCCTCCGGGGGATCACCTTGCTAATGTAGGCACGGTACTGTGTTTACTCACATGCGTTCAGTCCACCTCACGTCAATGTTTCGAGCCTTAGGTCATTCCCATTCTTGCTAGTCTACCCATTCCGTGTTCCATCAGCCCGCCGATGGCTCACACAGCAAGGGCGTGGCCAAGTTCACGAACTGGAGGCACAGTATAATCATGTCCAGCCAGAAGGCATTGTTAGAAATTCCAGCAGCGGAAACCCTCGCCATCACCACATCCACCTCCATCAAGGAGGGTGACCTCCCCGCCCTCCGCGCCGTACTCTCCCAGCACCCCGACCTGGCAACCGCCCTCATCACCTCCCCCGGCCCAGATGGTCAACTCGAGGGGCGCACCCTCCTGCATATCGCCACCGACTGGCCGGGCCACTTCCCGAACGTCGCCTCGACCATACAGGTCCTAGCCTCCGCCGGCGCCGACGTCTCAGCGCCGTTCCGAGGCGGTGCGCACGAGGAAACACCGCTCCACTGGGCCGCCAGCACCGACGATATCGAGGCCCTGGACGCCCTCCTCGCCGGGGGAGCGTCTATCGAGGCGTCCGGCTCCGTACTGGGCGGGGGCCCGCCGCTGGCGAACGCGGTGGGGTTCAGGCAGTGGCGCGCGGCGCGGCGGCTCGTCGAGCATGGTGCGGCGATGACGCTCGCGCAGGCGGCGGGTCTGGGCCTGACGGAGCGGGTCGAGGCCATGTTGTCGTTGCGCGAGGGCGTCCCCCCTGCGGGCGAGGAGGCCGTCTCGAGGGCGTTTTGGTATGCCTGCCATGGCGGGCGGTTGGATGCGGCCAGGATATTGGCTCGGCATGGTGCGGATGTCAACTGGCGGCCGCCGTGGGATGGGGACACCAGGCCACTTGATGCTGCGAGAGAGGAGGGTGGTGAGGAGCTTGTTGGGTGGCTGCAAGAGCAGGGTGCGGTGATGGGCCGTGGTAATGATTGCACTCCGGAAGACGAGAAAGCGCCTGCGAGGTAGCATGTTACTCTCCTTGTGGACGTTTTACGAGCCTTGACGACAGTACCGGCTTATCCCAGAGCTTAAAGTCGGTAGACAGTCCTAAGCCGGTGGTGATGATGCGGATACTCTGGTCGTCTAATCCTCGTTCGGATCTCCGTAGATGCGTAGCGACGAGTTGAGATACTCCGTCAGCTGAGTGGAATCGAGAAAAGATACTTCCGATGTTAATACGTCTATGGGCGCAAGGTAAACCGCGCTGGAATTATGCTTTGGTAGATATTCTTTAACTTGACCACCTACGTACGGCTTCAGCTAAAAAATGTTTCATGTACCAAGGTAGAAAGCCTGGCACGAATTGATCCACAACATACTGATAGCTAATCCCAAGTTCTTATAGTTATGCGGTTCATCTCTATAGGCATTCTATGTGAAAACAAAGTGCCAGTCAAGGTTCATAGATGCGAATATCGACTTTGTCATAGTCTTCCTTTGGTATGTAAATGGGTGGGAAAATCAAGCATGAGATCCGGACGTGTTATTTATAAAGGTCGACGGATGGCTCAGCCAAAAGCCGTATTCTCCATTCCAAAGAGGAAATGTCTGAGTTACACCACCCCTCTTGAAAGGAAGCAAGGGAAGAAAAAGTTGGTTATGTATAATATGGCTTATTATTAACGCCAGAGCCTGCTAGTAATGTTTGGACCTCTCTGATAGCCTAACGTATATATAACCGCTCCATTCCATTGCAATAGCAATGCTTCGCTCCTCCACGAACCCACCCTAATGTTATGAATCCCCGGTCCAGTTCTTCACCTCCAGCAATCCCGAATCCAATGCCACAAAGCCCCTTCGACAACTCCCCACAAGAAGCGATCTAACAAAATCACCTAGAGTTCCTCAGCAGCCGCGTGAGACTCCTCGGTCTTGGCTTCCGTCTCCCTCTCCGCCGCCACGACAACAGTCTCGTCAGCTTCCATGCTCTCCGTCTCCTTCTCCTCGGTCACCGCATGCCCTGTGCTCAGTCCCAACGCATCATCAACAATCAGCCTGGCCACGTTCTTGCCCATCAAAGCATTCGTTTCCATTGTGGAGATGAAACCTTCCATGCCAGACGTGTAGTAGACTCCGTTGCCAACGATCGGGTCCTGGAACGTGACCCGCGGTAGGGCCCTGGGATAGGAGTGGAAGACGTGCTTGTGAACCCACGAGACGGGCTCCACGGCCACCGTATCGTCGTCTGCCGCAGGAGTGGCAGCAGGGGCCGCGCCGGTGAGCGTCTTAGGGACCTCGACGCCCAGGACAGTCGAGAGGAACTCGGATGTGACTTCCATGGGTGAGAAGATCTTGTACAGATATTCCGTCTTGCCTGTCGATGGGTTTGTGACGGAACGAAGCGTGCTGATGGAGAAGATTCCCGTCTTGCCCGCGCCCTCAAGACCGGAGCTGCCATCGGCAGCCTTGGCGAAAGCAGTGAGGACGCTCGTAGGAACCTGAGCACCGGGCTTGAGGCCAAGGTACTCCGCGCTGAGTCTGAACGGAGAGGCGAACAGAGTGACGTATAGCTTCACGTACGGGACCTCGTCGATGGCAGTCTGGAGGACGTCGTCCGAGGTCTTGATGTCGCTGAATTGGTAAGGTGTGGCGAGGACAACATTGTCAAATGCAACACCAGCCGAACCTCCGTTCACCAAGTACTTGAGGTTTGCCGCTCCTGGCTTCGATCCCACAGACACAGAAGAGACCGACGTGTTCAGGTAGACATGAGCCCCCGACTTTGCGACCATGCGGTCGAAGATCTTCCAGTTGCCGCCAACCACGGCTTTGGCTCCCTCAGGGGCCATAGATACCATCGTGTCAAGGCCATGAATAGAGTCAAGGTTAGATGCATAGTTGACTCTCGTAGCGGCCTCAACTATATCATGTGAGAATGCCGCCGAGACGCCGTTGTCGGCCAGGAACTGCTCCCCCGTGGCACCAGTGACTTTCGTCAGATCCAACTCAAAGGCACGCGTGCTCAACGACCTGAAAGGGAAGTATGGCTCCTCATACAATTTGAGGAACGTTGCCACTGTTGACTGCATGAGCTTCTGTGCCTTGTACGGCGACGTACCGTACTTCCACAGCAGCTTCGCCGTATCCCACCACCATGAGCTGCTAGCTGCGGACTCAAACACGAACTGATCGCCGTCCCAGATAACTGTGAGTCGGTCGGCGTCGCTGTTGGGATCCCGGAGCTCCAAATCGAAGTCCTGGGTGGCATTCCACAGAATCTTGTTCACATCGACGAAGATACTGGCGCCAACTTCGACTGGTTCGGATGGGATGCCGTAGGCGTCGACCGTCAGAGTTCGGCCACCGATGTGGTCCGTCTTCTCAAAAATAGTGATGTTGAGTTCAACGCCAGCATCAGATGCATATTTTGACAAATGGTATGCGGCGGAAGAGCCGGCAGCACCCGCGCCTGGAGGTCGGATCAGTATCGAGAGCAAGATGGCGCATCACCCCATATTATCCGAATTCCAGTGTTCGGGGATCTTGTTGGACATGACCGTATTCTCAAAGCATTTTCATTCCATAGATACTGTAGACACACGTGGTGGTGCCTGTGGCTTGAGTGTGCACTGACCTATGATGGCAACCTGTCTCACATTGCTCGCGGCATCGTCAATTAAGACAGACTGTGACGCGTCCACGTTGTCAGCCCCTGGCGAGGCGAGCAGACCGGGTACGGCCGCTTTCAAGCTGTCGAGCCACTTCATTCTCGATCACGATCAGAATAAGGATCAGGGTCAAGGTCAAGATGATCGCTGAGATCGACAAGGTCGGTGCAGATGAGATCAGACGGACCCGAGCTCGGATCTAAGTAGTGTCGACCACGAGCCGGAAGAGCAAGCTGAGCAACGGCCTAGGCGGTCCAAAGTAAACAAGAAACAATGCAGGGCGATGATAAGAAATGAAGCTCAAGCATGCCTCCGTTGGTACAAATACAATATCGTGTACGGCGTCCCCTCACTGGCTCGAGAATGATGAAAAGACAACCATTACTGGAGGAAGCTCGACGGGTCGTGGGGGAGGAGTCGTAGGACATATTTCCAAACACTTGTCATTGTCTCATGCAGCCCTGTGGATGGCGAGTACCTTGCATGTTCCCTGAATCGTGTGGGACGGCAAGTACCATCCATCCCGGGAGCTCTTGACACCGCCTGACTGGTCCAAGCTCCTATCCTGTCGGGTTGCTCCTGCACAGTCCAGGACTGCTAGGCGCCCAACGTCCCCTGCCCCTGCCGGCAGCGTCTCCTAGCGGCAAGGGCCAAAAATTCTAGAAGGTGAACGCGGAGCAAGAGACAGCAGCTTGCAGCTTCATCACACTGCGGCGGCCTGAAGAAGACGACTGCATCTCCTCGACTTCTCTTCCCCCCAACCCCTGAACGCTCCCACGAATAGCCCAGCCACCCTTCTCGATCGCACTCAGTCAAGATGTCGGCGGCGCAGCTCCTTAACCCGAAGGCCGAGTCAAGAGTACGGGGCTCCCTGCTATGAACCCCTCCACGTCCTCTGCTAACGGGCATCTGTCTACAGCGGCGGGGCGAAGCTCTCAAGGTCAACATCAGTGCCGGCGAGGGTCTGCAAGATGTTCTCAAGTCTAACCTGGGCCCTCTGGGCACGATAAAGATGTACATCTTCCCCTTTTGTTTTCTACGCTTCCCCTTTCCCTCCCATGCGCGACGCAAACTGACCACCAACGCGTCGACCACAGGCTCGTCGATGGCGCCGGCCAAATCAAGCTCACCAAGGATGGCAACGTCCTCCTCCGCGAGATGCAAATCCAGAACCCCACCGCCGTCATGATTGCCCGTGCTGCCACCGCTCAAGACGACATCTGCGGCGACGGTACCACCTCGGTCGTCCTGCTCGTCGGCGAGCTGCTCAAGCAAGCCGACCGTTACATCAGCGAGGGCCTGCACCCCCGGATCATCACCGATGGTTTCGAGATAGCCAAGACAGAAGCCCTGAAGTTCCTCGACTCGTTCAAGCTCTCCAAGGAGGTGGACCGCGAGCTGCTCCTGAATGTGGCGCGGACGTCCCTGGCGACAAAGCTGAACGCTACGCTGGCAAACAAGTTGACGCCTGATATTGTCGACGCCGTCCTGGCCATCTACGAATCCGGTGCGAAGCCAGATCTTCACATGGTCGAGATCATGAAGATGCAGCACCGCACAGCAAGCGACACGCAGCTGATCAAGGGTCTGGCGCTGGACCACGGTGCACGACACCCAGACATGCCTAAAAGGGTGGAGAACGCCTATATTCTGACGCTGAACGTCAGCTTGGAATATGAGAAGACCGAGATTAACTCGAGCTTCTTCTACTCAAGCGCCGACCAGCGTGACAAGCTCGTCGAGTCCGAGCGCCGGTTCGTGGACGCCAAGCTGAAGAAGATTGTGGAGCTGAAGAAGGAGGTGTGCGGAAACGACCCCAAGAAGAACTTCGTCATAATCAACCAAAAGGGTATCGACCCTCTCTCGCTGGACGTCCTGGCAAAGAACGGTATCCTGGCCCTTCGACGTGCCAAGAGGAGGAACATGGAGAGGCTGCAACTCATTTGCGGTGGTGTGTCACAGAACAGCGTCGACGACTTGTCACCCGACGTGCTGGGCTGGGCAGGCCAGGTCTACGAGCAGCAGCTGGGCGAGGAGAAGTACACTTTCATCGAGGACGTCAAGGACCCCAAGTCAGTCACGCTACTGATCAAGGGTCCCAACGCGCACACCATCACACAGGTCACAGATGCGGTCCGCGATGGCCTGAGGAGCGTGTACAACATGATCGTCGACAAGAGCGTTGTGCCTGGCGGTGGTGCGTTCCAGGTTGCATGCGCGGCCCACCTGAAGAGCGATGCATTCGCGAAGACCGTCAAGGGCAAGGCCAAGTGGGGTGTTGAGGCGTTCGCGGATGCCCTGCTGATCATTCCCAAGACACTGGCGGCGAACGCCGGCCACGACGTTCAGGATGCTTGTAAGTGCAAATTATCACCTCGCGCAGTCCGACTCCAACTAAACATCATTACAGTGGCTTCCCTGCAAGACGAGCACCGCGACGGTGCGATCGTCGGCTTGGACCTTTCTACTGGCGAGCCAATGGACCCGACGCTCGAGGGTGTCTTTGACTCTTTCCGCGTGCTGAGGAATTGCGTTGCGTCCAGCGCCGGTATCGCCTCGAACCTGCTGCTCTGCGACGAGCTGCTGAAGGCTAGGCAAATGGGACGCCAGGGTGGCCCTGGACCGGGCATGGACGGACCTGGAGACAGCATGTAACGCGAGAAGATAGATGTACGTCGAAGGGATGATACCATTGTAGAGGCAAGGCGTTTATAGTGTCCAAATCAGAAATGGCGATGGTATAGAGACTGGTCGGCACCTCGTGCTCTCTTGTCTTCGTGTCCCAGAGATCCAGATCAAGTCCGAATGCCGGCATTAATACTGTTTTCTTGCGAAACGACCCTGGACACTTCAGCAAACCGGTACTGAGGTGCTAGATGGTCCACCATGCCGGGCTGCTTCTCCCAGTCAGTGTCTTGGTTCGGGTTCTCCTCACATGCTTATCAGTTCTGATAAGAAGACCCACTTTAAAGTTGCGAGCTGCGAGCTCCAAAGAGAAATTTCCAACCCCGCCATCGGGGGCAGTAGAGATGTAAATCAAGACAAGATGGCACCATACGACAGTGACGACTCGTTCGACGAAGAACAGGACTACACCGAGACTAACGTTCTCCTCGGATATGCGTCCAAGGATGCAGACGACGACACAATAAGCCGCCTAGGCGGCCGACCGGTGAGCCCGCTACCTCCCCAAAAACGTAGACGTAACCAGGATCGCAGAAGCTGAGACAACCTCTCTAGGATTGGCTAGAACCCTCAAAACCGCCATCCTCGTCCCTCGCCCGCTGCAAGGTCTGCAATGACCTCATGGTGGTCCTCCTCCAGCTGAACGCCGAGCTGAACGAGCGCTTCCCAGGCCACGAGAGGCGGCTGTACGTGTTCTCGTGCCGGAGGAAGTCATGCCGGCGGAAGGAAGGCAGCATACGCGCTCTGAGAGGCGTGCGCATCTCACCTGATTCGGCTGCGAAGGCCAAGGAGCGTAAAGAGAAAGAGCAAAGGGACAAGGAGGAGAGAGAGAAGGCCGAGGCGGAGAGGAAGGAGAAGGAGAAGGGTCTGGGCGAAGCACTGTTTGGCGTCCAAGGGAAAGGTGCATTCGGAGCGGCTGGAACAGCAAATCCATTCTCCTCGGGCGGCAGCTCCGCAGGTGCGAACCCTTTCGCGAAGCCTGCTGCGAACCCCTTCAGCACAGCAAGCAGCCAGACGACACAACCACAATCACCACAGCCCGAGGCCGAGCCCGAACCAGCATCATCATCCAAATACTCCACCAAGGACCTCCCCAAGACCTTCGCCGAGACACTCTCCCTCAACAACCCACAAGCACCCGAGAAACGTGGGCCGCCTCCCCCACCAGAGCCGTGGCCACCCGAGGCAGAGCAGCCGAAGCCCTACCCGCTAAGCTACCTTGCCGACGCGGACTACGAGACCCTGGACCCGATCCCGGCGCCCAAGGACGTCCCAACGACCAGCATGGAGATTGACGACGGCGCTGGTGCAAGTTCCGGCGGCGGCAAGGAGGACAAGGACGTCTTCGAGAGCACCATCGACAGCACGTTCCAGAAGTTCGCGGACCGGCTCGCGCAGAACCCAGACCAGTGCATCCGGTACGAGTTCGGCGGGCAGCCGCTGCTGTACAGCAAGACGGACGCCGTGGGCCGCAGGCTGCACGACGGCAGCGCTGGCGGCCGCATCCCGCCGTGCGAGAACTGCCGCGGCGAACGGACGTTTGAGGTGCAGCTCGTGCCGGGCGCGATCGCGGAGCTCGAGAGCGAGGAGGAGGGGCTTGAGGGGATGGACTGGGGTACTGTTGTTGTGGGCACGTGTGCCACGGACTGTGTGCCGGCGGGCACTGCGGATGGGGAGGCTGGGTATTTGGAGGAGTGGGCTGGTGTGCAGTGGGAGGAACTCACGCAGAGGAGGTAGGGGATCCGTGATTAGATTTCGATTTCAGAGCTACGGTCACTCTGTGCGTATAGAGACACGATCGATCAACTGGAGATTCCTTTGATTCTATCAGAAACCTGATGAAAGGTTGCGCTCAGGCCGTACTTTAAGGCAAGAAGCTTTGCATAGATGCTTGCGGTAGCCCTCGGTTTGATACCATGCAGATCGTTAAGAATTTCAAGCATCTCGGTCTTGGGACACCATTGCTAGAGCTAGGCTTCTTAAAAAGATTCTATAGATTTAGTCTAAGTATGGATTAATTATTACTTTATAATCTTGATCGGCCCTTTAAATTAGTTATATTCATATACATTTCAAAGTCCCTCTTCGGGGTGCGCTCGAGCGACACCAGTACCAGACGCCTCGTCCTTACTTTGCAGCTCTTTGCGTCCCCGGATCATGAGACTAGATCGCCTTTTAGCCAGTGTGAGGTCTTTCAATCGCTTTGAAACGTTCTCCACAATGCTGATGAGCCCTTTGGCGTTCGACAATGCCATGATCGTGACAACTAATGCAGCTGTTGAAGCAAGCACAATATTTATTGCAAGACTTCTTTCTGGGGTCCCGTTCATACTGAAAATGCTTGCAGTAAATCCGAGAGGCATGAAGACAACTGTGACGTAGGTGAACCGCGATGTTCTGCTCGCTGTGGAAGCTCAGATCCTCTCGAGCCTTGTCGAGGCGATTCGAACACAAGTAGTATAATGACTTGTTATTTTCATGAAGGTGTTGCAGCCGACTCATCTGATGCTTGACTTCACGACGGATCGCCATGATTGAGGCTCGATACTTCCTTTCATCATTTGGGGTCCATCGGGGATTCTCCTTTCCTCTGTCCTCTTCCCTTGCCTCCCAACGATTTACAATGGTCTGGTGAACGGTAAGGTCGTTATCCAATTTCTGAATGAGAGGCTCGAACTCCTGCCAGAGAGTGCTCCAAGATAAGTATGCATTGATGGTGTGGATTGAGGTGGAAAAAGATCCTGATTTGACACCCAAGCATGCTTTCACCTCATGCAATATCTCTTTGACACTTCCAGTCAGGCTTGTCAGAATATCAGCAAAGTATCGCTGCTCGAAAACCTTTCGCTGGCAGTATGTCCTCTGTTTAAGCAAATTGGGATTGCTTATTGGGCCCTTGTGAGTGGAATCAAGCATGTAGCATGTCCGATCACGGTCAAAAAAATCTCCATGGAATCGAAAACTCGTCGATGCACGCACAATCTGCATTCCAAGACCCCCTGGAAACGGTTTGCTATCCGGTGTAGCAATGCCATGCCGCGGACCAGAGGAAGAGGACCCGCGAAGGAGTTCGCAGTAACTCAAATGAAATTCCGATTCCCAGTAGTTGTGAATCATGCTGCAATTGTCGATTGGGTGTTTTGAGTAACGAGAGTGTCTTTCGAAGAATTCTTTCAAGTTCCATCTTTCAGACGCTTCAGTTGTGGTATAGCAGAGCAATGCAACCGGTTTTGATAACGTTGTGAAGTTAAGCAGACGTTTCTTCGAATGTTGTGCGGTCCTGGTCAATTTGAGGGCGGCCTCTAGCTTCTTGAACTCGCCTTCATGGTAGGTGGGCTTGTGCACCTTTCGCTTGCCTTCGTTGCGCTTCGAGCTATGGACATCAACGATGCAGAATTGAGAATTCTGTGAAGTGTTTCTGTTCACGGAGGTGAGAAAAGTGACAATGTAAACTTTGATGTGGGCTGTAACATACTTGTCCAAGAGAATTGGCACGCTACTAGCGTCCGACGATTTCAGCTTACGCTTCAGTTCTTCAAGGCCCTTGTCACGATGACTGAGAAGAATACTCCCTCTGCTGAAAAAGGAGGGATATCTCTACAGCCACTCATCATCAAGCTTCACAATGTTGCTGGAGTCGACGAGTTGATCGAAGGGCACAGCTTTCTTGGTGGTCCGTCTGACATCTCGGAAGACCTCATTGTTATCGAGGTCAGAAATTGTGGATCGGCTCAAGAGAAGGCGCAGGAGCACCTTCTCTGCATCACCTTGCAACTGACCGATACTCTGCGGTACTGATCCTGTCCGTGGGAAATTGCCTCCAAGCATTGAGTCGGAGTGTCGCCTAAACTTTAGCACTTCTCGTTTTGAACGTGTGTAGGCGGCGATCACTGGCTCCATGTGGGCAAGGAGAATGTATGGGATCTCGAAGCTGGCATGGTAGTAGGATCCCAGGTCTTCCTCCGCAATACGTGACGCTTCCACAGGTTCGTTCGTCGAGATTTCAATTCGACTAGGGAAAAAGCCGTTGGGGCTGGAGCTGCGGATCAGGATGTCTGTTGCCGTTCGGACCAGCTCAGCTGGTTGCGTGCCGTTCATGTCGAGGTCACGAGCGCCTAGCATAATGTATAGTGCGTAGCGCAAGGTCTTCCGCCAGTTTGTGTGCTGGTATTCAGTGTGGTACATCTGGCATTGAATTGTGATCTTCCATAGCTCCTGGACTGAGTTGCCTTTTACCAGGAAATCGAACGGTTCGCTGTAGACAAGCGCCGTGTCGCGACCATGCAGTATGAACCTGGATTCCCTAATAGATCGAGTTGTGGCGAGCATCCGTTTTTGTAAAAAAGAGTTTTCTGTCGTGAATCGTTCCGATATTCACGCTGGACGATCTCAGACCGGAAGGTCTTGCGTAGGCGCAAGATTTCGTCCTCCCAACCGGAAGATGGCCCGTCAGAAACCTCCTGCTCATTTTCCTGCGCCGCAAGCTGGCTCTTTCGGGACTTGTCAAGCATTTTATCCCATGCTTGGCGGTTCTTCAGTTCGAGTGACTTCAGTGCACGCCAAATCCAGACGTGCTCGTCCAGCCGGAATGTGTTGACGCCTTCTTTTTCAGCGTGAGGCCAATCGTATTTCTTTCGCTTTTCGGATTTCTCCATCGATAAGAGCCAAGAAGGCGCCCAATCACACATTAACTCCGCCGCGAACTCAGCTGAGATATCGTACTCATTCCATGACTCCATACAGGCTGCCGCTTTGAGAATCTGAAACCCTGTGTCGAGAAGACTCTCTCCAGCGATCCAAGATTCACTCAACGGGGGCTTGACCATCGGCTTGTCTGTAACCCAATATTTTGCTCCAAAGCGCTTTCCAACATTCTGCTCCTGGACGCAATGGAGCCACTTGAGATGGCCCAGACATGTTTTCTTGATTCGGTCAAAAATAGCATGTTGCCCAATTCTGGGACAGCGGAGGATTTTGTAGGATTCAACCAGGAACCGAAATGCAAAACTAGATAACAATCCGTCAATATCATCCATGGGTCTCATTTAAAGCTGCACTCACAAGCTAGCTGACCAACATATTCTGTGCCCCGACATGTCGCCACATGTTAAGGCGACTGCCGCTACATCGGTTAGAGTGTAAGGGTGGTTGAATATAAGCAGAGTAACTAGGGATATGTAGCATGTAAGTAGCATATAAGAAGCGCTTAAGCAATTTATTTAAAAAGTAAAATATAACTAAACTTAATTCCTCCTTTTCTTCCTTTTTTTACCCTTAAGGTTCCCTTTTTTTATAAAGGAAGTAGCTTTTATAACGCTCCTAAGCATTAAAAAAGCTGCATTATTTTTTAAAATAAATAAGTATTAAAGGTTCTTTTTTAAGCTAATTCCTTTTCTTATATAAAGATCCTTAATAAACTGCCCTTCCTTTTAAGCTTTTATTTTAAGAATAATAATATATATAATAATTAAGAAAAGTATATATAAAATATAAATAAAGAATAAAGGTTTTAAATAATTATAATTAAAAAGATAATAAAAAATATTTTATTTTACTTTATAATAAATAAAAGAATATAATTATAATAAATAATATATATATTAAAATTATAATTTATAAGCATTATAAGGTATATTAAGAAAATATTATTAATTTTTATTATATTTCTTATTTAATTATAATTATTTAAATAATAATTATATTAATTTATTATATAAATAGCGTAATATTAATATATTTATTATACTTTTATATTATACTTAAATCTTTATTGTTTTAATACTTTTTCTTTTTTTTTTAATTTAATATATATTAACTTATTTTATAAATATATCCCTTATTAATATAATTAACTTTAATAAAATATTAATAAAGCATAATATTTATATTTATACTTATATTTATATTTAAATTTACATTATAAATTATATTCTTTACTTTATTTATTATATATATATAATACTTATATTAAGTATATATTAATAAATTATAAAGTAATAATAATAATAATAATAATAATAATAATAATAATAATAATAATAATAATAAAGTAAATATTTTTCTTTAAGTAATATTATAGCAGCTATATAATAATTATAACATGCTTATATATAATAGCTAATAAAAGGGTTTTTAAATATTTAACTTTACCCTTAACCTTAATATTTTAAATTTATTTTTTATAAATATTAGCCTTTTATTATCTTATATAATATTTTTATAATATTTATATAATATATTGTGTGGATAGCTTCTTTAAAGCTCACAAGAGCCATTCTTTTAAATTTTATATTTATAAAAAAGGGCTTTTTAATTATATCTTTATATAATAAATAATAATTTAAAGCATTTATTATTAATATTAATATTTAAAATTACTTTTTATATATAATATTTTTTTAAATTTTAAATTATTTACTTAATAAATAAAGAAATAAAGAAATAATTTAATAAAATATTAAAATTAAGATTTTAATTTATATAAAATATATATAAGATATAAAAAAATAAAAGAAATATATAATATAATAAATAATAAAATATATATTAAAATATATAATATTATAAATAATAAGATATATAAGAAAATATTAATATAAATATAAATATCTTTTTTATTAATATTTATATTTTTTATATTTTTTTACTTTATTATTTTATTTCTTTTTTTTAATTTCTTTTTTAATTTTTATATTAATTTTTAATAATTAAAGAATATTAATTTTAATTAATAATAAATAATTTTACTTATATATATTTATATATTTAACTTTAATTTTTATTTTAATAAAATAAGTTAAATATAATTATAATTATTATTAATATAATTTATTATTTAATTAATTTATTAACTTTAATATTTATTTAATATAAAATATTTAATAATATTATATTATAACTTAAAATAATTAAGTTATAATAAGAAAATTAACTTTTAATAATAATTATATCCTTATTTCTTTATATTATTTATTGATTAACATTATTTAAAAAGATTTAATTTAATTAAAATTAAAACTTATTATATTTATTTATTTTAAAGAAAATAAAATTATTTTAACTTTTTAAATAAATTAAGAAAATAAAAATTAATAAATAAATACTTTTAATTTTAAAGTATATATAAATAATATTTATATAACTTACCTTTTAATAATTGTAATAATAATCCTTAAATCCTTATATATAAGAAAATTAATAAAATATATAATAATTATAAATTAAAGAAATAATTAAAAAACCTTAAAAATATTATTAAAACTTAATATAAGAAAATATATAATAATTTTAAGTATAAATAATTAATTTTATTTTTATATAATAAATATTATTAAAAATAAAATATATATAAAAAGTAAATAGCTTTTTATAATAATTAAATGCTATACTTATAATATATTTAATTTATATAAATAATGCTTTATATAACTTACCTTTAATATAAATAATTTTATAATAAATTAACTAACTTATAATTAATTTTAAGCTTTTAAAAAAAGTAAAAAAAGAATTAAAATTATATAAAGAAATTATATAACTTATTTTATAATAAGGTATAAATATTTATTAATTATTATTAAAAATTAAAAATTATAAAAAATTAATATTATATTATATTTTTAAATATTTTCTTAAATTATATAAAACATTTTTATTTATATTATATTAATTTAAATAAATATTAAAAAGAATAACTTATTAAATATATATTTTAATATTAATATTAATTATAATTAATATTAAGTAAATTAAATAATAATTTTATTTATATAAGTTAAAAAAAGAATTCAAATAAAATATTATTAAAAACCTTAAAAATACTTTTAAATAAATTATAACTTATATAATATATATTAAAAAAAGAATATTAAAGAAAAATTACCCTTTATATAATTATTTTTTAAGCTTATTAAGCTATATTAAAGTTAAAACATACTTTAATAAATTAAAAATTAATTTATAAAGTATTATTTATAAATCTTTATATAATAATTTAAATTATTATAAAAGGAAATTTAGCTTATTAATTCTTTATATATAATAAAGTAAATATTAACTTTATAAATAAGTAATATATATATTAAATTTAAATAATTATTAAAAAAAAATATATAATTATTTTAATTTTTATTAAATATTATATAATTATCTTTATTTTAATAAAAAAAATTTTATATAATAAAAATTTATATAATTTATATTATTTATATAGAAATAATGAGTATTGTTTATATAAAAGACTGTTTAGGACTAGGCAGCTTTAGCCCATTAAAATGCTTAATAAGCAGCAGCCTTAGCGCTATATATAAAATAGCTAGCATAATTAAGCCTTTTGCCTTCCTTCCTTTTATAGTTAATAATAATTAACCACTACATTAATTAAATATTATATTATAATACATAACTTAGCTAATATTAATTAATAATTATAAGGGTAATTATAAATTAATAAGGCTTAAAAAGATAACCTTTTAATTATATTAATTAATATTATTAATATTATAAATTTATATAGCGTAATTTATAATAATAATAATACTTAATATATAAAAAGGTAATTATTATAATAAGAAATTATAATAAACTTCCCTATCTTTAATATATATATATTTATTATATCTTAAATAATCTTAATAATAACTTTTAAATTTAATAGCTATAATTAAAAGAATTAAATTAATATTTATTCTTATTAATAATATATTTACTTATATTTTATTATATAAATAAATATAAAGAAAGAAATTAATTTATCTTTTAATAGCTAAGTTATAAAAATAACCCTTAACTTCTTTATTTTTCCCTTAATATTATTTATTTCCCCTTTTTATTACTTTCTTTCTTAAATTAAATATACCCTTATTATTACTTTATTAAAATAATAAAATAATAAATATAATAAGTAATACTATTAACTAAAATAGTTTATTAATATTAATTATAATAAACTATACTCTTATACTTAAAAACATTATTAAAATATTTAATCCCTTAATATAAATAAATTCCTTAGGATTTCTTAATAGCAAATAATACTTAAATACCTATATTTAGGGCTAAATTTAAGCTATAGCATATATATTAAGTAATAAGGCATATAAGGCATTTATTAAAAACTTTTATAGCTAAATTAAGCCAATATTTATATAAATTAATAAAAACTTATTATGCATTATTAAGAAAACTTTTTAAGTTAAGAATATTTATATTTAAAAAGTAAATACTTTAAAGAAACTTATATATATTCTTAAAGCATTAAATTATTTTAAATAGTTAATAAATTAAAAGCAAAAATACTATATTATATTTAAAATTAATTAAATTTAAAGTTATAATTTAATTACTTATATTATTTTTAACTTTAATTATATTTTAATAAAAGCTAAGGAATTACTTAATAATAATAATTTTCTTAATTTTAAACTACTTAAATTACTTAGCCTATTTAGTAATAATAATAAAGGTAATAATGGCCCTTTAAGACCTCTTAATTCATTAGGAAAAGATAGCAACCTTCCTTTAATTAATAACTTTTATATAATATATAATTATTATACCCTTTTACCTTTAATAAAGATAAAAAACTTTTTATTTAACTTAAATATAGTAATTAACTTAAGTAAATATTATTATAAAAATAAGATATTTATTAAAAAACTATATAATATTCTTAATAATAAAATCCTTTTTTTTTATAAAGCTTATAATAATTTATAAATTTAGCCTTAATAATTTAAAGTAGCTTTTTTATATATGCTTAAGAAATTAATAAAAATATATTATACTTAAGTTATTAACTAAGAGAATTTATTTACTTAAGCATATA